GGGAAACATGGGACCTCGCCAAGAGGGACGAAGGACATACCGAGGAACCCTTAAACGTGGAACAGTTTATCAGAATCCTTGGGCCAGGTGGGTGGGGTATTTGTACTCGTCATGCTATTGGAAACACAAATTTTTCTTATATAATATCTCTCTAATGATTCCGGTCACCCAGAAACTTTAGCCGAGTCTTAGAGAGCTAGATTATAATTTATGTGTTTTATAAATCATGTGATGGACAATCAATCAATCAATCAATTAAGATTCTATTAACCTGGCAGAGCCTAACTACTTAACGTCTAGCTATGCAGGTGCGCGGGAGCCTAGAATCTAACCGTAAGCGCTATATATCCCACAGAAGATAGTCTAAAATCGAAAAACTTTTGAACACAACTAAACCTGCCCGCCACCCCCCTGGCAGCTGGCTTTTTCTACCTCCCCCATCCATTGTTCCTGGTCCCTCCTAGTACTCCTAGTATGTGAATGCTGGCGTGTATATAGAAGGACTGACCGGTCCTCCCTGGGGTGACTGTATACTCATCGTCTTCCACATCTGTCTGTCTTTAGTAGTGACCAGCTTGCTTATCTGCCTGAGATTAGCTGACCAGTTTGTTCAACCGCTCGAAATTGGCTAAGCAATCCTGTCTGGTGCATGAATTCAGCGACGTAGCGAATCGCCTGCGGATGGGACATGATCCCGTTGTAATCCATCCTTCCTCGGACCTCCGGGTCCAATTTGCTGAGTATTATACCCCTGAGTTCAGCGTATAATGGGCATTGTAGCAGAATATGCCTCGACGTCTGGGATCCCAGCGTACAGTGGCACTGGTCCGAGTCTACCGCGTTGATTTTAGAAAGTGCTATAATCTATTTCTCTAGGTATGTATCTAAATAATGATTGCTACGTACGGTTTTGATAGGTTCCCGTAGAGATCCAGTATCTTCTTATTTAGAGTCTCTACTAATCTATAAGTTATGCGGCCTGACCTCTCCGTTTTCCACTCCCGTGTCTATCTGTCTTTGATACGGTGTCGTATCTGTCGTTTAGCTGCCGCAGCTAGACAGGCAGCTTCACCAGTTCGCTGCGTGCCTTCTCGTGCGGCTTTATCGGCTGCCTCATTCCCTGGCACGCCGACATGTGCCGGAATCCAGTGGATCTGGACCCGGTCTTGCATCTTATATCGCCGTACGATATAGTAGATCTGGTCTAATATATATTGGCCGGACGGTCTCCGCGGGTTTTGGACTGCCTGGATCGCGGCTTGGCTGTCTATAAAAATCGCGGCTGGTCTGTTCTCTTTCCGCAGCGTGTGTAGGGCTGTCTGGATTCCAGTCAGCTCCCTGCGTAGACCGTCGATTCTGCTTCCGTCCCCAGCGTACCGTTCTGTATCCAGCTCTGCGAGAGGCAGACGGTGCTGGCTCCAATTTAGCTATTTAGGCCGCTCCTATCTGTGTAGACTGCAATCCCCTCTCGCCTGGCGCAGTACTGCCTATAGTATTCTATTACGGCTTCGTGGCTGTCAATCACAACCACGACAGGCGTCTCCCACGGAGCCAAAATATATGGCTCGCGGGTCTCCCACTTCTTCTTACCCAGCGGCCACAGCGGGCCCCCTTTTTAACTCAGTGCCTCTATTGGTGTCCAGCCGCTGCGCCGGCGCTCCTGCGCTGTGCGCGACTTGAGTACTGATACTGGAAAGGCCAGTTCCGGTCCTGTCCGGATTCTGACCGCCGTTTCTTCGATGATCTGTTGTAACTGGAGTTGTACTGGTAATATATATAATTCCACGTTTAGGGCTGCTGCGGCCGTGCCTCGGAGGGCCCCACTAATTAGTAGCGCCGCCTGCTTCTGAATCTGGGCGAATTCCGCCAGCATTCCTTGGTTCGGCGAGGCCATAACCTGGCCGCCTCTGGGGCTATAGCAGGCCGCGGCCGCGTAGAACAGCTGGGGAACCACTGCCGCCTGGTAGATCCGGTGCATGGCACGCAAAGGAGCGCCCCATGTAGATCCTGCGATTCCCTTGAGAGCCGTCAGCGTGCTGTGCGCTTTGGCCAGGGCCTTGGTGCGGTGCGTGGTAAAAGACAGAGTCTTGTCCAGCCACACGCCTAGGTATTTGGCTGTCTCCGTCGGTCTAATAGTCGTGTCTGCGAAGGTGATTTCCATCTGGTCGTGGCCAGCTGGCGGCAGCGGCACTTCCCATATCTGGTCCGGGTGGCCTGGTGGAAGGCCCGGGGATTGGGGCGGCGTGTCCGGCTTCCGCGGGTTGGTAAAATGGATGAGCTTAAATTTATCTGGTGCGAACTTAGATGCGTGTCGACTAGCCCAGCAGCCTGCTCTGGGTAGAGCTGTGTTCAGCGTCTCAATATTCTCCGTGTAGGTATCCGACACGGACAGGGTGCACGCATCGTCGATCCAGCCGAAGGCCGTTGTTGAGCCGCCTTGGGGTCGCCGTACATGGAGATCTTGGATCAGCGGAGTGTTGTAGATTAGGTACAGAATCGGAGACAGCGGCGAGCCCTGCTGGATGCCTGTCGGGGTAGGGAACTCCGCGCTGAGCTCCCCTGCAAGCGAGATCCTGGTTGTCCTGCCCTGCCTGTTAGAAAGGACTGTAACCAGCCCGCGAAGTGGCCCAGCCTGAGCTGGTGGAGGTTGAAAAGTAGCCGGGCGTGGGACACGTTGTCAAAGGCACCGGATATGTCAAGTAGGACCATACTTACCTTCTTACCTCGACCCCATGCTTGATATATATATTCGAGGATCAGCTGGATGGCGTGGTCTGTTGATATCCCCTTTCTGCCTCCGAGATGGGTTCGCGGAAGTAATCGGTGTTCCTCCAGAGTCCAGGCCATGCGAGCGGCGATAACCGATTCAAGAGTCTTACCCAGAGTATTAAGTAGGGCAACTGGTCGGTAGGATTTGGGTTTGCGGTAGTCTCGCGGGCCGCCCTTACGCAGGGCTACCGTGTGGAGGTCTGGAAGTGTCTGGATTGTGCCCTACTTTGAGACTCGCGTTGAACAAGGCCGTGACCCGGTTGAGAAAGACCAGGACGTTCAGCAGCTTATGCCAGACCTTATTCGGGACCGCGTCCGGCCCGGGTGCCTTGTCTGGCGGTGCCCGTCGAATGGCCTTGGCCACCTCTGCTTCGGTAATCTCCGGAAAGTCGATCTGCGGTGGTTGGGAACGCCCCTCGATGTCGGTCAGGTCGGCTGGGGGTGGCTCTGGGAAGAACGACTCGTGTAGGACATCTGCTTTGGCCTCTGTGGTATCAGCCGGCCCGCGATGTCCATTTAAAGTTGGAATCATGTTCGCGGCCCGGCTCCCCCGGTTGCGGGCCCTAATTGATCGCCTCCGAGACCCAGCGGCGAAAGCCCCGTCGTAGAGACCGGTTGATAATTCGACCTTTTCGATTGCGGGGCTTGACGTAGGCGGTCCAGTCCGAGGGTAGGTGGTGACGGATATAGATCCTGTGGAGCTTCCTGGTTATCTTGACCGCACGCTTGTATTCCGGTGTAAAGTCTGGATTGGCCCACGCACTGGGACGGGCCCACGGGACTGCGTGTTGGATCGCGCGTTGGACTATCTCCATAAGAAAGTCCGCGGCCGCGCCAATCGCCGTCGCCGAGGGGCTCGTCCCCAGTGTGTCCCAGTGAGAATATATATTGAGGTTGTCGGCCACAAACTGGCGCAGCCTAGCTGCGTCCATGGCCTTTCACTGGCTTCGTTTCGGTGGTTGGCACGCCTGGGGCGCGAGGTCAAAAATTATACGGATTAGTAGGTGGTCGGAGTCCGTGTGGACTATGGAAGCCACTTTGCAGGCAATAAATTGATCTGCGAGGCTCTGTACTCCGAAGACGAGGTTAATCGTAGACCGATAGTTGTTCTGATCTCGGGTTATCATGCCTGGCTTGAGCCACAGATCCAGTAGCCTGGAGTCGGTAAATTCCAGCAGCGCAGGGGCTCTTCGGTCCGTACGGGTCTGTCGGTCACGGCTGGTATCGTCGGTGTCATCGTTCGTCGTAGTAGTCTCGCCGGCTGAGGTTGGGTCGTCGCGGGCGTCCCGTTCGGACCATACCGGGTGGTGGAGGTTGAAATCGCCGAGGATGATGTGATCCCCTCGGCAGGGCACCACGCGGTCAAGTAAATCTACTATGTCAGTGCGGTCCGTGTCCCACGGCCCGGGATTATATATAGTGAAAATCCGCAGCTTCCTGCTGTGTAGATGTAGCTCGAGCTCTTGGTAGTCCGCGGAGTGTACCGTGTATTTCCATGTTCTAGGGTTAATCTTTCTTGAAATATAAAGGGCTACACGGGCTCTTTTGTTGCCGGTGTTATCGGCAGTTAGGTAGAGGAGCTGGTGGCTCCCGTATGTCGGGTGGTGTGTCGTGTCAGAGTAAGTGTTTCTAGGGCTCCTGAATAGCGATGATGTCGGCTCTGAGCACCTCGGGGTCACGGAGAAACTGGGCCATCACGGTGTCCCTGGATCGGTTCACGTTATATTGTAATATCTGTAGCTGTTTATTCATGATTAGGGGATGAGGCAGTGTTCCGTGTGGCGTCAGATCGAGTGCGGCCGCGGGTTACAGCGACGGTGTCGGGGCCGGAGGAGTCCCTTACACGGCGGCGTTTCCTCGGGCTCAGCGATCTGGATTGGGGGTATCTGAGTTGGAGTCCCGGTGAAAATATATCCCGGGTTGCGTGCCTGGGCACGCTCGATTTGCTGGACAAGTCTAGCGCTGCGTCTAGTCCCCTTGGTGCCGGAGGATGGCGCATCTTGGCTGACGTCGGTGGTTGATAAAGTGGGAGGTATAGTCGGTATACTGGTCAAGGTCGATAGGGTGTTAATAGATAGTTCGCCCTGCGGAGGGGTGTTCCCGGTGAACCTCAGTCCCTCCATGGCGGAGTCGTCCGGCGCGTCTCTGGCACCCTCGGACGATCCCCCAGCGTCCTCACTTCCTGTCTCCGTTGGCTCCCCGCTGCTGGAGCCTATATGGTGTGCGGCTGACCCCGTAGCGCTACCCACGTCCGTGTCCTGCAGGTAGGCAGGTGTATGGTGGAAGCGCGGCCGGTGCAGTGCGCGCCCCTGAGCCTTCTCCCACTCCTGGATATATACCTCACTTCTTGTGCCAGGCCATGTAATCGCCACCGCAGTTGGCGCATTTCGGTACAAGCCTGGGGGTGTCACGGTCGCGGCAAGCGGTGGTCAAGTGCTTGCCGGCGCACGCGCCACAGACGGTTTTGTTCGGACAGATATTTCCTATGTGGCCGTATCGGTGGCAGTTGTTGCAGCGAACAATGCGAGACGCCCGGTCGTACAGGACGGTCTCCGAGACCTGGAAGTCCCAGATGGTCCCGGCCTTGACGGCGCGGTTCGCGTGGTACGGCGTGGTAAATTCAATAACAATCGAGGACCGTTTCTTACCCGGGGAGGGGCGAACGAGCCAGCCCACGTACGTGATCTTGCAGGACTCACCCCACGCGTGACAGTTGTTGGCCACGAGTTCTTGCGCGATCCGCTTGCAGTCCGCTTCCTCGGTCAACGGGCCCAGGACCTGGCAGGGCATGTCGGCGGCGACCACCACCCCCCACGAGGGGAGGGCGACCCGTGCGGCGGTGCCGAATCCCTTGATCTAGGTGTCCCGGTGTGTCCGCGCGATCTCCACTTCCTTGGCGTTGCGGAGGAAGAGCCGCGGGTCACCTGACCGCAGAATTTTCGCCGCGACGAACTGGATAGAGGCCAGGGTCGGTCGGACGGCCGTGATAGCCGCCAGCCGGCGGTGTTTCTCAGCGCGCTTGACTAGGTCCTCGTTCGTGAGCCGGCGCAGGTCCCGGGCCATGGCGGGATCACCCACCTTCACGGTGAGGGCGCGGTCGCGGTCGAGATCGGCCGGACACGCCGGGGCGCTGCTTGCGGAGTTGTGGTTTGACTGATAGTAGCAGGGCGAAGGGGCCCCCCGCGCGGCTCTGGCGAACGTCCGCAGGGGGTCCTCCGTCCTGGCCGTGAGCTCGTTGGTGTCCGTTCGGATGTCGTTGATCGTCCGCTGGATCTTGTCCATCTGGACCTTCCAGGCGTCCCCCACGGGGTAGTAGGAGAGCGCCTCGGTCACCGCCCAGGTCTTCTAGATGAACTCGATCATACGCTTCGAGGTGCCCGAGCTGTGCTGCTCCAGCAAGCTCGCCGCCTCGCGGTTGAGGTCTAGGACGCGTTTCTGAAGGAGTCTTGCCGTGTCGCCGGACGCGTCGGCTGCGCCCGCAGGGGCTGGGGCAGCGACTGGATCGGCGCCATCTCCTACCAGGTCGATGCTGGTATCAGGAGATAGCTCTCGTTCGACGAGAAACTAGGCAAATTTTGGGCCGTTTCCGGCGTGGGGTAGTGGCAGAATTTCAAAAATTTGTTTCGCGAAAGAGTTGGTGTTTTTTACATGTGATGGACATTGCTAGCCTGAGACTGGTGGCCTCAGGCCGCTTTAGTTAATAATAAGAAATAAAGTAGCATTCTCCTTCTCTTGCGCCATTAGCTCAATTGGGAACATATAGGGCGCATCACTATTTTTACTAAAACTTTTCACCGAGCGCCACAGAATGGTTTGCCCTGACAATCCCGACATCAGCAAGGCCTCCGATATTGGCCTGTTCTGTGTCGTGCACTAGCTCGGGATGAAGACCAGATGGATTTATGGCTTGCTGGTTAGCTTCCATTGTACAAATGAACCTTTCGTTATTTTCTTGTGGCAAGAGCTGGCTTCCGACGCATTCAATCAGGCCTTGAGCACGTTCCCAGTAAAGCGACAAAGTGTCTCCAGGTTCGGGAGATCTCAACGAATATGCCCTATAATTTTAAGTATTTCTCGGCTTGAAGAAGACCACATGTTCTTAAGACTTACAAATAACATGATGGCAATGTGAGTAACTGTACATGGTCAATCACTGGGTCTTGATGTATTCGGTGAATGAGACATGGTTCCTCTAATATTGGGTGTAATGGTCCAGACTCGGCTCGCAGCCAGTTGTTCTCAATACACAGCGCCGGAATAAAGCCTGTGCATCTTATCGTTTGGTTAGTGACAGTATAATCTGTCCCACAGGTGGGGCATCCTACATTTCGCTTCCACGGAGATCGTATTGTCTGTACTCAATCGAAAATCGCTCGAACATGTTGATCGGCTGGCCTTGAATTTCTGGATTTATTAGGATACAATTATCACAAGGTCCTCCGGTATCCATGTACGACTCTGTGTTCCAGGTGGATGGTGGGAGATCGTAGGCATTATGAACCGGAAACACGGTTCCAGAAATACTAGCGCAAGCCTGGGCTGGGTAGAGAGGAATGGGGACGACTGTGACAAGTTAGATCATCAGGTCATCTCAAGAAGACTTAGATTCCATTCACCAGCTGCTTCTCGATGATATTGTATAAGAAGATCCTGAAATTCATCAAAGATTCCTAATTTGTTCTGCTCTGCGAACTTTCCTTTGCTGATCGACATCACGTTCTCTAGTCGATCCAATATAGTTGGCCAAAGTCTCTGTTGCACGAAGATACCGACAAGGAGGTCAATCAGGCCTATCGAACGTCAGACTATCTCTTCCATATAAGAGCCTAGCATATGGTGTCTTTTACCATTCTTTGATAAGGTATGAAGCGGGGTATGAGGGATCTTGCTGGGCCACCAGTCTGGTCTTGCTGCCTCCCCACTTTTGTATGGGAACCGCCTCGTTTTCGCTGGTTCAATGTGTCTAATAAGCTCTTTTGCGAGAATGTAACAACCATTTTTGCCCAAACGATCCAATGTGTTTGATAAGTAGTCTTTATTCATCAGCTGTCGCAGCATTTTGAAAGTTTTGTGACTGTACATACCGTTTGTCTTCTCGTGGGACTTGATTGTAGCGTCTGATATCTTCTCGGCGTTATCTTCCTCTAGAATGAATGTCCAAGTAAGAGACGAGTGTGACGATGGCTGAGTAGATTTTTCTACCATCTAATGAATACAATGGGGATCAAGCGAGATTTTCTCACACATTACTTACCGGCTGAAAGCTCATGATATAGAGTAGTGATCTCACAAAGGTCCACAAGTACTTCCAGGCACTCATTCAACGTGTCGACCTGCCTCATATACATAAACATGTCTTGGATTTGGTTATTTAGCCATAGGGACCGTCGCATGAATACGTGGACCAGAATCTGTATTCGATCTGCATCGTGTTAGTGCATTTCAACAGAAGAAGTACGGGTATCCGTGATACTTAACCTACAGTCCTTTTTCAAATGGTATGGGCTTCTGTATGGAACTTCAGGAGGCCACCAAGTTGGCCGTCCCTCATTGTGCCGAAAACCTTTCAAAGAAGGCTGGAGATAGCTAATAACCCCTTTTGCTAATGCTAGACAAGTGCAAGGCTGGAGATGATTTAGTCTAGCCATTAGATAGTGTCTAAATCTCCCGCCATCGCATGCGTAAAACATGTAGTGGTTTCGTCTTTCTTGTGCAATTTTGCTGAAATCCGTATATGATTGGTTATATAAATTCAGGTTTGTTTCTTTTTCTTCACTCATTGTACGCGATCGTTCTGGGATCTCTGGCGCGGCAGTCTGGTGTCTGTGCGTTTCAGCTGCGATAGAAACGGATGCATCGCTACAGATAGAGAAAGTATCAGGAACTGCCCACATCTGTTAGTGACAAGCCGCAGCGGTGGTGTTATGCTTTCCTACCATCCCGTGAGCTATGATGTGCACTTACGGCTCTGTATATCTCTTCCACTATTTGAGCATAATTATCTGGAATGTTGCCCCATGTTTTCGAATGCTTCTGTATCAGTGTACATCGATGCATATCAGAGAAGATATGAACCAGAAGCGTGGATACAGCTATTCAAAAATTAGTACTTTATACTAATATTTGCAGTACTGGAGTATAGGACAAATCTAAGGGAATGACTAGATTTACCTCCCGCATCGAGGCGATATGGCGGAACGTGAGGGAGCGTGCTAGGCCACCAAGTCGGCGTCCTCTCGCTACGTCCAGAGTAAGGAAACGTTTGTCGTTTCCATGGCTCAAGGACATGGATTGCCCACGCTGCGAAAGTCTTTCGAGTTGGGGTTGAAAGCAAATGGATGGTTTCCCTCAGGTATCGTCGAAGGCTCTCGTGGTCATTTAAGTATGGTGCAATTTGGTTGGTATTCTGAGCAAGCTGGATGTTGTGTGATGTAGGTTGCGAATGCTCTCTCTCGTCGAAAGGAGCGCCGCAGATTACTGGAACGTGTCAATAGCCACCATAATCATGGTTTGTCCAACTTACGAGCTGGTGCTAAATATGTATTCTTGCGTTGCAGGTCAACTCTAAGTCCAGGGGAGCCAGGCAAGGCTAGGTGTTGTATATGGGATAGATCCATTACTGCGTGTGTGATGCCTGTCAGCTTTGGAGGTGAAGTGCAAACAAATTCTGTGAATGAAAGTGATCTAAATAGATAACGCAAAGCAGGATTAACTTATTAATATTTAGAATGTACTATATTTAAAGAAGGTTAACCGACAAAAGTACGACCTTGGTTGACTAGTCGGAAAATTCACATATACCCTGTTCGTGCCTGTGTGACTAAATGGAGTAGCGCCAACGTTAAACAGCTGGGAATCTTCTGACGGCCCGAGTATTTTTTCACGATGAAAAAATACTACACCCCAACCCCTACACCGAGCATAGCTAGTACTTCAAGTATGTTTCATTGGTCTTTGGGGTGTGGCATGGTACTGTTGTCTTGTCACATATTAGGGGCATTCACGGGCTCAACCGGACAAGATGAGTGCTTAATTGCAAGCAGATATTTATTTATAAAATGGTATGATTTATCTAGGATTTCGTCACATCTCCATCCTCTCCCTTTTGAGGAGCGCTCTGTTATAATTGTGAGGGGGGCAGCTCAATTACTTGCCTGTGTTTTTTTTTTTTTTTTTTTTTTTTTTTTTTTTTGTACTATTGACCAACAATCGATAACGACCGAGACTTCTTCATTTGTTTACAAACTAGTGTGAATGCCAGAGGGACGAGTCAGAGCTTGATTTAGCTGGATAATAGTACTAAGTTAGGAAGCAGCCCATATCATCAGGCGAGCTGTTGCCGATAATTAAGATCCGCAAGGAAACTCCACATACACCTTATGAGACTATCTGATACTCGTAGTTTTTTCCGATGATACGACGCAAGCAATATTCCGTCTCATAGTCATTCATCTCGAATCGCCAAGGCTTCGTTGAACTATGACAAGAGAGCAAGTCAGCAATAATCATCATTACATTTAACATGGACAGTATGAAAGCCTCACGTTCATTGCCGTCACGCAATTCCATCCAGTACAGCGTTTTGGTCATATCACGAGCCTTTAAAACCTGCGCTCCATATGACACAGGGATCTGTAGAGTCAGCATACAGAACAATTAGTATGACTGGTTCATACATACCAAGTATCCCGGGCTGCGGGATTCTTCACAGCAGAAACATACGTTTTCCTCTCTTATCAGTTCAAAGCACTTGTTACTACCAAATACTGCCTCGCAAATAACCAACAAGCAGCCCCGGCATATGTAGATGGATGGAGGCTGAGGCGGAACATTTTGGATGTAATCCAAAGAACCACAGGGAATGTTGGTATCGACGTAGGGTCCGACAACCTGCGAGCTGGGGATATGATTAGAAGACCCTTGAGGAATACCGTAGTACACTTGTAGGGATGGATGAGCGATATAAGACTGCTGGGTGCTCTCCATTTTGGCAATTATCCAACTAGTGTGGTAGCTGCAAGAGGGCAATGTTTTCGTGATGAGGCAGAAACCCCTTAACAGTTGAACAAGGTACGTGGGGTCTCATGCGAAGGCCTAGGAATATAAGCAAACATAATATCACACGAATCATTGTATAGAGTACCCTACCTTGGACTTTTGGCCAATCACTCACCCCTTTATCCTGTCCAAGGGGTTCCTTCCGCCCCGCGTATTGACAGAGCTCATTATTGGATATGCAAGGTAGTTGGCATAAGTTCATCTCAGTATGATATAATACGTGAGTGATGGAATCGATCGATGTATTTGGTAATGTACGATGCAGAAGTACGTCCTGTATAGTGTGGTGACTCGGTTGATGATACTAACGTGTCTAGCGCAAACATAGAGTTTCCTACATGTGAAAGTGCAATACGTTGGGTAAGGAACACAGGAGAGTGAAACAATATCACAATACATGTAATCCTTGGGTTGTTGTATTGATTGGTATATTTGACTGGATTGACGCAGAAAGCTCGTTGTATCGTGTAAAAACTCGCGTGATCTTAGTTCTAACCTTACGAGTGGGTCCAAAACCTCAGAGCGTACCCACAAGTGACCAAGCTAAATAACTCCCCCACCCAAGCCATCTTCCAACCAAGCAAAAACCCCTCGGCGGTCATTAGTTGCGTGTTGCTTGAATCCCTTGCAGTAATCTCAGTCCAGACCAATCCAGAGCACTATCAGAGACTCAGGGATTTGGAATTATGTCCGTTGAAACTGATCCTAGGCCCGAGCGAAATGCCTGGCTCCAAATGGATGCAAATTTCGCGCTACACCCGAGCGAGGCGCTTTTGCTTGCCAAGATCCTAGAACAGCTTGCGCAAGAAAAGCACTCGCTGCTCACTTTCCTATGTGGGGATCGGCTTGAGGACCTATTCGCTGATTACCCCTCCGAACCATGCGGGCTTCCACGTCTCAGCCGCGGTGCAGGGAGATGTGAACGCATTGGTTACTTAATCAGTGTCTATATCCAGACAGAGAAATTCTTCGAGGAACATCCGGAATGCAACACTAGGATGGAGAATTGGGGATTCTGGGAAAATGTCTCCAATCCGGGATGTCGACGACACGGAAAGATGAAGGAATTTGCTGAGAGGCATCGCTATCCGATTCATCGGACAAGAAATGTACTTGTCAGGGGTGGGAAGATCAAGGCAATACAGAGCGCGTCGGGTGAGCCGGCCGTGGCACTATTACTCCTCTCAGTTGTCCACATGCTCGACGAGCTCTCCTATCCTGGGGCCAGAGAACTCGGTCTACGGCTGCGTCGCGATAGCACTGATTGGCTTCAAGCTGGCCGATCCTTTCGTAAGAGATGGGAAGTATGCGTGAGAAATCTGGAGAGTCTGGTCTCTGCCGATTAAATTTCAATGGTATTCTTGATACTATGTTACGGTTCACTCTTCTCTCGGCGGGCGTGAGAGGATCCTTTCCCTCAATGCGTCAGGCACCCGTCGTAAGAATGGCACTACATACTGCTCAAACTTAATATCGCGCCGGCCAAAGTCAGCCTGGTCATCCGAGTAGCCCATGCATACGAAATCGCACGGAGTTGAGCTCCTGCCAAATCGGACAAGCGTCCCAGCGTGAACCAGTAAGACCTGATTGAAATCCACTGTAACCGGATCCCACTTCGATTCACCCGGTGCCTCGCTATGGTATTGCCTAAACCACTCGTCAATCTTGGGCAGGCTCCACTCATGCGAGCCAGGGTAGACCTCAAAGAAGCCGTCGTCGCTACGAAGTGGTTTATCTAGTGGTCGAAACATCATGACCAGCCCACATTCCTTATCACTTGGTGTTCCAATCACAAAGACTTCCGACTGCTCCTTGGTGGGCTCGTTGGTGGGCTTGTCCTTGGCTTCGTAGCGCACAATCCTCGGTTCCAAAAAATCCCGGTTTGGGGTTTTTGCGATGTAGACAAGTAATGACTAGCGCAGTCAGCTATTGCCCCAAGCAAATTCTATCGTGATACCCACTGCCGCCCCTGAATTCATGTATCCGCGAGCCAAAGTGGAGAACTGAGAGTCGGGGTTCCGCCATATGGTAAAGTTCCCGTGAGTCTTCGGTTTCTCTCGCTGGCGCGCCGCTTTAAGGATATTCATGTCCCTTTTTGATGGCACGGAAACGCCTTCAAAGAAAGTATACCCAGGTAACTCCATCTTGTGCAGGGTTACGAGGTAGTCGGCGTCGTCGGTTCGCCCGAGTAAGTCACCGAGGAGTGGCTCCATCATGGATGCGGGGAATAGATAGTATTGTGACGCACGTGACAACTTGAGCACTCAACGAGAGAATTGAAAGTATGGAGAAAGCCTACGTTCGCCGGTGTTTATATATTTCACTCTGTGTACAACATATTGTACAGGCACTATAGAGTAGGAATCTTCTTTGGGATTCTAAAATGGAAAGTAATTGGCATACAAATCCTGAGACCGCATCGATACTTTTGACGTGCATTTTGATAACAACCAACGATACGAAGGGCAGAGCACTTTCTGACTTGCGGATGGGAGTAATAAACATAGGAATACAAGGCCTTGCCTGAATTGGCTCATGTTATGATGTAGTAAAATACTATCGCTTCATGAGTTCTCTTACGAGGTCACAGGAACATACAATAGCCTCTTAATTAGTGGAACATAGATTCAAAGGCAATAGAATGGTACCGCTACAGACTGTGTCAGCCCCCACAGAAAGCTGTTCATCTTTGAATTCCCTCTTTATCTCCGACAGTGATATAAAAAGACCAATATGAAGAGAAGTTCATTTAGGTTTGAACAACTCCATAAACGCTTCCCTAGACATATCTCCGTTGACAATGACTGATCCACCTTCCACACGGCCACCGCTCATAATATGTATGGAACTTTTCTGAACCCCGACATTGCCATTGATGATGCAACTATTTCGTTTATGTTTCCCACCCTCTTCAGCTCCATGTTTGTGATGTACCAAAGTAACGTCATCGCTTGTATTGTCCGCGCGGTCGTTCATGGTGTCGTTTGAAGTGTCGTTTGAGGCTACAACCACAGCGCTGTGACGAGCATCACTATTCTAGACACCCGGAGAACATCATTAGCTTTTCCATTCTGCGAAAAGGTAGGTCTGTGGATCACTCACCACACCTTGAGGAAGGTTTTGCCACTGGGACATTGCAGGAATATAGCAGAGAAAGGTGCTATAAGATGTGGTTGCGTACCGATGAACGATAAGTTTTTCACTTACACTACAGACAAGGCAAATGCTCTATATGTACCTCTCAATATGGTTACATCGGTTAGTTAGGGCCGCTTCTAAGCCACTATTTCGCTCAAGGTTCAAATAACACATTAGAGACTGTGAAAAGTGGGCCGGTGTATAGTGCGCTCGCAGTGGTCTAGACCTCACAGCCATGATACACTAGGTTTTACACCGTCTTTGACGGAATTAGGAAAAAAAGTTGTAGAAAGCTGTATCAGTTATTCTGAGTGGTCGGCCTCGTGAAATGTTGCTAGGAGTGGAGGCATCCTGTCTAGCCAGGTTTGTTATAGTCGATTAATTAGCTAAAGACGCAGCGATTGATTATTTAGACTAAGCTGGATCATAAAGGATGATAAATGGATTAGATCAGCAATTTATTGATGGCTTGTCTTGCTTGCCTTGGTGTCACTAATCCTTCCGTATTCAACCATGCACATTTCCCGTATTCCCTTCGGATTTTAGCAACGTCCTTACCTAGGTTTCCATTTGAACCCTTCCCTCGGCCATGCATCGATATACTTTAGTTCTCTGTTACGGTGAATCACATCCACACTATAATATGTTAGCACCAGGAACAAACTTCATTCCCTATGATGCGATACTTACATCCAAAACCCACATAAATAGAGGTTGGCCTTTGTCATTTGCGTAGTCTTTTCGGAGGGATGCGCATCGTCTTTCCATTGTTGAAAGTGGAGCCTCAACTCGCTTGTATCGAAGACAAGGTGGGTGGGTAAATCTTCTTTTCTTGAGACTACCAATACCAATTATCCCCCCTAGGCTGTAATCCTAGTCTGTGTAGGTCGACGTTCCATTCAGCGAGCCAAGGCCGTGGTGGGTGGCAGTAGATGGCTCACGCCGACTTAGGTTAATTACATTCTCCACAATATCAAATGTCCCGAGGATAGTCTCCAGGTGATTGTCATAGAATACAGTCTTCTCCATCCTCAACACATCGCTCTTCGTGACCCACTTCAAAACTCGGTGCTCTTCTTCCGCTGAACGTATACTTTCCAGCCAGCCAGACTGCCCATCAACGGTCGCAAGAAATGTGAAACCAAGCCATTGATGTACTCCCTCATTCTTTGAGCTGTCCCTTGTCTTGGTTGGGACAGTATCAAGGAACTCGAATCGAGTTATACCAGTCGTTTTCTCAACCTCCCGTTTAGCAGCTTCACGTAAAGTTTTGTCGTTGTAGTCGACCTTGCCGCCAGGCAGTTTCCAGCATCCGGAGTGGCCGTCGCGAGCAGAACACTGGAGAAGAAGCATGGAACAGGCTGGTGCATATTTGTCGAGGATAATGACGTTGACCCGCAAGGAACAGATTAGTCCCTCGAGTAAGAACTTGTATCCGGGGTGCCTTGCGATGTGGAAAGGAGAGAGGTTGGTATCGAGGGTAACACGTTCGAGTCTTGATACTTCCATAATGACTTTTGTTCCAAAATGTAACACAGAAAGCAAGTACAGAGGTATAGAACAAGATATATGCAAGAGGTTATAGTGCTTACATAGAGTAAAATTTATCGCAGTCATGCTCATCGCCCGATAGCCGGATTCTATGAGTAAATCCGTGAGCTCTGCCACGGCTTCCACCACACACCTAGTCGATATGATCCAGTGCACCCTAACTACAGAATATGCTTGTGGATATCACACAACAGCCATAGAAAAGCCGAGTCTCTGATTTGCTTACTACCTTTTACTACACAAACTCCTGAATCTCTGTTATTCCTTCAATCGCTCGACTATCTCTTTTGTATGAACAACGGTATTTTCGCATTGACCTTTATACATTAGAATCATGTGCCTATTTAATTATGGGTCGTAAAACCAACCTCATTTGTAATGGCATTCCTCTTTAGTAATGCAAAGATCACACTCCCTGCATGGGGAAGCAAGATGTTGGGTTCGTGTTGCGTTGTATTTATCAGGCGTACAGAAAACTGGGCCACAAGGAATCAGGCCTTCGTACTTCTTGCCGCATGGCTTGTGAATGGCAATTTGTATAAAGCACATGTTGCGATGGGACAGGAAATAACAATCAAGAGATGATGAAAGTAACATAGGGTAATCAATGCTCGGAATATATACATCTGCCGCCGCGTTAAGTGTGGCCATAGGAAGCTCATAGGATAGAAAGATGCAGGGAAAAGAAAGAAAAGAAGATCAACGATTGGGTCGCTTGCAAATATCATAATCTTCCAGTAACTCTCGGCCACGCTCGGACTTGCGCAGCTTTCTTTCTTCTATGTTGAACGTCTCAGTCCAAAAGGTAGTAAATGTTTGTCCTCCTTCATTGAAATCGCACATGCTCACTTGGCGCACAATTTTATAGCTGTCACCAACTTGCCGTTTTATGTAATGCCTTCGAAACCCGGGGCATCCATTTATTCGGTATTTTCCGTCATGTAGGATAGAGCACAATGGATCTATCAACCAGTGAGTATGCTACCTTCATACCAGCGATGTACCTACAGACCTTGAGAAGCTGCGTTGGTGGCTTTCCGTTGCCAGCCGAGACAACCGAAATAAGGCAATATAGAGGCAAGAAGGGGATGCATAGCTATAGACGGTAATAAAGGAGTTTAGAAAGACTGGGACGCATAGAAAACCAAACTGTGCACTGACGAGGCAACATAGTACGGTTAAGTACGCCCATCATGCAGATAACAACACACAGCTTAGACTAGTCATATAGCCGGTTGTCGGTATAGACTAAAAACTATAGGACGTAAAATACTAGCTAGTGTGTAATTATTGAGCTGAGTCGTAATTGCTTCGAACGGTGCTTCTGTTTAAACGCCATCACTGCAGGAAGTTTATAGGTCAGTTTTCAGTTGTCTAGTTTGGTTATTGATTATAGATGACTTAATCGGTATGCCAGCTCGTCACTACATACCAAAATGGTTATATGTCAGATCTAAAATGCCACATCTTTTTGCAGCATAATGCAGGTCAGAGCCGCAAAGCAAGCCCAAACTTCTTGATAACCAATCCTACCTGCCTAAGTCGGTTGGCTTGCGAATGTTCGATATGAACCCAGAAATTGTTGGTAAAGTAAGTGGGTGGAGGCGAATTAAACCCATTTCTGAATAGGTTTTCTGTCCAGAAAACCTATTCAGAAATGGGTTTAGCTGCCCCCACCTAGCGGAATCTTGGGCTACAACGTCAGCAAGATGACCATATGCCAGAGCCACTGCATGGATCCCATGCAGGCCCACTGTGACAGGCACTGCGTTCTTTCATTCAACTGCCCGGTATGAACAACTATTGGAGGATAGGTTTTGTAACCAGTTTGTTAGCATTGGCTCTACATTTTCAGGGTACCTTAGATGTCCAGACACGGCCCGAAAGAGGTTTTTGAATATAATACCGCACATACCTTTTCTCCAAATACTGATCGCATGTAATTTTCGTTTCTCAATCCTTTCATCCGTATGAAATACCAAGAAGTAATTTTATAGTATTTATCACGAATGATATTAAGTTCCTAAAATAAAAATATACACACAGCACTTAAGACACAGCTTGACCAGTTGATAGTTCAAGCACCCGCCCCTATACTGATGTTGAAGCAGCTAGTCTCTGATGATAATTTCCAAAGAAACACAAAGCAAAGGGAAGCGCGTGGAAAAGTAAAGGAGAATTGGCGGAAGTTGATCGAATCATCTCGGAAATTCTGGCTAAGTCAATCTGCTGTTGGATTCTAAGGTAAATGCCATTGTAGGTTATCCGACGCAAGCATCCCCAAGTACCACAAGGCGAGCAATACCGTAAGGCGCGGCTGGCATTCACTTCCTTTGGTAATCCATGAAACGGAATCAGATAACTCCAACCTTCCGTTACGATCGAGGCGTCGAATTGCGACAAGCTCACGATCAGTGAGGATAAATCCAAAATGAGTCTCATGCTGCTTCATATAATAGTTGACTTGGGCCAGGGCTTGTTTGAACTGCTTTCTTCCATATGGAGTTGGGCTGTTCCGCAGAGCGAGAGACCATTTAAAAGAGGGCTTCAGATCTCCTGGAACTCGGTTCGGTCTCGTCGGGGCCGGGAGAAGTGGATCGTAGTATGCGGTATCAGGTGTGAACTGCTCGATGAGTTGCGCCAAGTTTCCTTCTCCGAAATCCACAACAGTACGGTTGGCCAACTGGTTGTTCGTTGTCAAAAAGTCAAAGCCACTACGGAGAGCTCTGCGGACCCTTTGGTTCATATAGAATGAAAAACGTTGCCGAAGACCTGGCTCCGAGTTGATCGCTTGCGGAGGTGATAAGGGCATCGCCTCATCTTCTCGCCGACTGTTTGTGAGTACAGCCTGATGCTGATGCAAAATCGTGTTCAAGTTGAAAGTTGCCCAATGCCCAACATATGTGATATCATCCGCGGAGTATCTTGTGTTCGTGGTGTTATCCGTCGATTGCCCTTGTTCAATGATCGGTATTCTTGGTGGGCCATGTTGCAGATAAGCAAGAAGACTGACTTGATTCGCCATGTTGCGTAATGGGATGTGTTGAGAAAAGTAAGGAAGAAAAGAGTCTCGTACGTAACTGTCCATGTTAAAGTGGCCGTATCTTTAATTTATATTCTGTCCTCGAGGGATGTCTGTTCATTGACCGTGTTGCTCGCATTGTCTAAAGCCGTGCTGGGCGATACGAATAACTGCATCTATAATTGGATAGTATTGATGAATGTAATATTGCGAAACCGGGTATCATGTAAATAACATAATTTGTAAATAGTTGTTTGGGCATTGATGGTCCGAGCGGTGCCTAGGTCCCCTCATAATAATTCGAAAATCATTTAGTGTGGTTTGTACTTGCTTTTCATGGGTTCATTCCCAGAATAGGCATAGTGCAAGCGCAGCTTGAGTCCAACATCATATTCGCGCATCCCTTAAAAGATTATTGTGTCTCATGGCCTTTGCGTAACTCAAATTGTGGTCCGATTATCGCGAACACCATGGAAATCAATTTATCGGCGATAGAGTACGTTGGACAGATTAGGAGCTCTGAGTCGTCATGTATTTTCCGCACACGTTGGCGCGGTAGAGACTGTATTATGAAAGTGGTACGCGACCGGGTAGTCTTCCTAACCTCCACCAGTATCTGATATGTCCCTAGTACCACAGTATTGAAGCATCTCACGCCGACCCCGCAGACCGTGAAGTCGACATCTTTAGATGCGAAAGCAAAGCCTATACTCGACTGAAGGCCCATGGCCTATGCGACGAAGGATATGTCCCTGATTTCTATGGCCTGATAAAACAAATCAACCCCATGGAATGGTCACCACACTTACAAGAGTTTCTCAAAGATCGTTTACCTCCCAACGCTGTTTTGCTTGAATACGTACCGAATCTTCAGCAGATCGACCTATCTACTTTCTCAATGGAAAGGGTACACAAACTCCGTCAGATTCTCTCAGAGATACATAGAGCTGGAATCTATCACGGAGACCCATTTCCACGAAATATGATGGTTCAGGAAAGCTCAGACAGGGTTCTCTGGATTGATTTCGATCGTGCCCAAACCTTCTCGTATGACTCAATCACAACTCGCCAACGGCAATGGCTGGAAGAGGAAGATGAATTGGTGGACTATTTTGTTGATGCTCTTGTATGGATGAATAAGACTTTATTATTGCTTTTAGAGGCTAACTGACCTATGACTAGGCGGCAGACTACAAGGAAGGCAAGATTCATCGCACATGGGAATGTTATTATGAGTACGTACAATCCCACCATGCCCCTACTCGACAGTGGCTTAGATAGCTAAATTGAGAATAGTAGTATTTACGAATTCTCTTGAGTGTTTAATCGCAAACCCACCAGGTACACCCCCGCAAAATCATTCATGACATAAGAGAGAACTGTGGCAAGGAATTGGCTATACTGGTCTCAAAAGAGAAAACATGTGTTGAATAGAATATCCGCATAGGATTCTGACAAGATTAAGTTTCGACTCTGGGGCATGTATTCTGAAGAAGTAGCAGGAATAGGATGTTTTCTTTCTCTCTTTTATTTTTCTTCATTGAGAGGGACCTAAGATGGTCACCAGTTATGTGATTCGCCACATAAGTATTACTAGCCAGATAAGAAGAAATCCGTGGATAGTTAAATAAGTTATAGCTAGTTAACTAAGCATGGTGCGAATTAATAACCATGTTGTTATTGTCAAAGTTTAGGTGCCAGCCGTACTACCGGAATACCGGAACATCATTCGACCGACTGGCTAGCTCCATCGCCTTCCATATTAATTGCCCGCCGAGCTCTCCACTCTTCGGTGACCCCACTCATTTCCAAGCGCTCTATCATACAACACCATAATATCATCGACTCTATGGGTGTCGTCGAGAGTAAACAACTGGCTCAAAATGTACTGGTTGCCTGTCAGCGTGCGGAAATTGAGGGTAAGACTCGGCTGGATAGTTCCTCCTGGGACTGGAAAGACAAGGTATTCATTCCTCCCTGTTTCCAACTCGTGCGCTAATTTCTGCCTCCTTTAGACTATCATTAAAGCCGTAAAAAGCGTCTGCCGACATATCCCCAAAGACATACGTGGGCCCTCCCGCGAGTCTGCCGTCAAGAGAACTGTTGCACGTCCTCTCAGCCGAGTTAATATCTCGCAAGTCGTGCAAGACTTAGTAGATAAGCGCGAAACTTTGTTCCCGGAGATACAGCCGGTACAAGACGCAGGACATACCCACGGGCCCCAGGATAGCCTTGGGACGCTACGTCCATCCACAAGCAATCCTGGTAACTCTCTTGCCAGGTGGTATGAATTGACAGTTGACCATGAGAGGCAGCATGATCTATACAAGATCCGCCTCAGGTTCCTTTATGTCATGTTTTACCGACTGAAGCAATGGGTAGAGCCAGGAAGCCAATACCAGTATTTTAGCGCTGCCGAATTTATAGCACAAGTTATACTGAACAGCGGCTCGAGTAGTGACTCACTTGATGTGGTTCGCAACAGGGTTCGGGAGTGGGTCGGCCACGGAGAGAGATACGAGTTACTAGCGAAAGATCTCGGCGGTTTGGGAGTATTGTACATCCTCCCTGATTATGGCAGTAAATCTTTGTAGGTTCTACCCATTCGCTGGTGTCTAGCTTTTAACCGTCATATAGATGGACGAAAGATGTCCCAAAGTCAGCACACAAACCGAACCGGATCTTAATGCTAGAGCGTTTGAAGCGAGAAGGTATCGACGTTGAAGCACTGCATAGAGGTTTGCATGCCTCCGCAAATGCGGAAATCGACAGCATTTTTACACCCCTCCAAGGCTTATTACAAATAGTCCTAGAGCATGGACTCTCACAGGCACAACATTCAAGTACGCCTCGAATGCAGCGAAGTGAATACGCAAATGGTCATAATGCAGCACAGCATTCGTCACATACATTGGAAAGGAGTGGAGTCTACGGTATGGATACTTTATATTAGTAGGGAATAAAGTAACTGACGAGTTTAAAGAGAACCAGCCATTCCCGTCTGAAACAAATTCTCAGCCAAATGCGAACCAAACCTCAAGGTATTATCAAGCTACAATGCCCACAAGTCATCAAGGAGTAGAGACTCAGGGAATTGCGCAAAACACAGCGCCTTATGGTGCCCGTCTATCGCCAAATGGGGATCCCATTTTAACAGGGATGCGTTGTTCTATGCAGCAGGCGTCTATTAACAGACAACGGGAACACGATATGGATCCAATAATCTCGAATACGTCTCAATACAATTGCAATATGACAGGGGCTGACCCTCCGACCTTTATAACCATGACGCCAACAAACTACCCTCAAGTCTTCCCGTTGCCCATGGCAGCTACAATGACGCCAACTAATCACCCGCAGGTCTTCCCTCATCAGCCAGCATCAACAATACTTCCTATGAACTACCCGCAGGTCTTCCCATTCCAGAACTTGACCAACCCGCCCTCATGTTCGTCGCAAACAGAACAGCAGGTATTGCAACCCGGGGAAGGTGTACATCACCCACAGCCTAGCCAGTATTTTGACGTTTCAAGCGCTTGAATTGATTTTATTAACAATGATCATGCGGGAGGGAGTGCGAGAATCAGGTATAGTGCTGGCGTAATCAGAGGCTCCTTATCAAAGCGCACCGGAGATCGCGGAAGCAGAAGCGGCTGTGATACTTCGGATAACAGGCGGGGTTGGCTGGAAATTATAGTTATAGGAATGATGTATCCATTCGTTGCCTGTATCCTCGTTCTTCCCAGAACCTTCCAAGCCTGAAATCCGTAGCCACGAAGATAGTCTGGAAGATCATTTGCAGCCTTTATCAACATGGGTTCTAGGTTTGTGTCATTGCAAAAATACAGATTTTCGCCGTCTTCTGTCCAGCTTGCTCGTTCGAGAAAAGATGCCAGGGCATCCATTTGCGCGTTATCTAGCTCGTCGAGAACGTCCAGTATCCAGTCAGTATCAGCTGGTTGTTGACAGCAGGGCCATCTACTAATAGTGTAAAAGCTCAGTCACCTAATTCCGAAAATTGAACTCATTCTACTCACCTCTCTTTTTGTAGCTTACCTCAGTTATCCTGATCGGGGGTTCCTGGGTAAAAGACTGTTCGCGTGAAAACTACTGGAGGGGCAAGACCAAATTGTATTGACACTAAGGCGGGGTGGGTGCCCAACTCTGGATGCTGACTCATCCCTTAGTCAGATGATGATCGGAGATAAGATGGACCTGCCTTTGTGCAGCTTGTTCACGGAAGGGAGAGGGTTTTGCTCAACTTCGCCTTGAAAAGGCCGCTCGACGGTACCAGATGGTCGAGCTGTGGAAAGATATTTGCTTGAGAGCTATGTGCAAGATATACTGTCAATTCTAGTAAGGTAAATATTGATATTCGTCTATTCATTACTCACTACTAACATTTCCGGGGACCTAGTTCATTGATTCATATATTTACTAATACCATCTCTCCCTGGTCTAACTTAAAATCAATTCTAGACATCGTCCCAGAGCTTTTTCATTGCTGGCTAGTATGCCGTGATCGTAAACAGTGCCCTAGAAGCTCCATAAGCCCGAACAGCGTGCATCCAGCAGCTGTAATATAAGCTCTACCAAAGTTTCACATCGGTGACGTGCCGGCTGATGTCTTGGCCTTGTGGGGGCAGCTCCACGGTCGGGCAGTGGTGGTCCAGATTGTCAATGTCGTGTTGACCGTCCAAGGGTTACAATGGTGTGACCTTAGTGAACCCTCGCTTTCATTCTGGCATTGCATGGCTTGAATCAAGAGTCCGACAGTGTTTCGACATCGGGCCTCTAGGATTTGTCGTATCCGAAGGGGCACAGCCAACTTGGGACCAATTTGTGGTCCACTCGAATAGAATCCAAAGGATGGTCGGTAGTTGCGCCCTTTTTCCCGTTTAGTTCCCCTTCAGTCCGTTTCCGTTCCTCTTCGGCCCCTGCAAGAGAGCATTATGACCAGGTGAGCCGTTATTCGGAGGAATTCGTGCAGTGGCCATTCAAGCTACCACTGCTGCAGGCCAGGCAGACAAAACTGATCTACAACCCGGCTATGAAGCTCTCAGTAGCCCTTTTTCCGTATTTCCTTTGGAAAACTAATTAGTACAAGCCTTCAACCCTGACAGAAGTTGTATGTTATAAAGACGCTTCCTGTAAAGCATCTTGTGCCTTTTGTACTATTTCACGCATCTGAGAGAGAAGGCTCTCATCTCCTTTCCTTCGTATCTTGCCATTCGGAAATACGGCCTTTCGTAGCTCATCAACACATGGCTTCAGTGGTTTATGATATTCTGTAAACTTGTCCATGGTGCTTTCAAAAATGTCATCGTCCGAAACAGTTCCTAGTTTGAGCTTGGCTAACTCTTCCATGCTCACATAATTCCACTCGTCGAATTCCCTGATAACCAAGCTCTTCTCATTAGGACCTTCGTAGTGGATACAAATCCAGAAGAGTACCCAGAAAAAGGATTCTAGTCCATGTACCCAGGACAACTTGTCGCCTAGTAACTGCCCTATGGGCATGAAAGCTCTCGTTCCCGTTTTACCCCATGCTCCTGAAGGCCGGTCGCGTCTCTCTTGAACTGCAAGATCTAGATCGATGAGGAATGCAGGCCAAGAAGGATTATCATCGTCTTCGTTCATCATGAGGTTACCTGTAGATATATCTCCCTGTAGAAGCCCTGTTTTAATATACAGCGAATGATAGCCCACCATGCAACGGTCGAAGGCAGTGAGCATGGCAACAAGAGAGCTAGCTTTATAAAGTGGTTTGCCGTAATCATGGATAATCACGCGACGGTGTACTCGATTCTGTTCGTCGCAGTTCCCTCTATCTTTGCTCGGGGAACTCGAGCAGGTGCGTTTCTTAGGTGGTGGTATTTCAGTGCCGGTACGGCTGGAAGATCTTTTTCGACCAGCCATACTACCGATAGAACGGCCATTCCTTGTAATTCCTTCATCCCGAAGGCATGCTGGCCTATGATGCTTAGCACTTATCAAATCAAGTTCTCCACGGATATTTCTGAGTACATCGTCGATTTTCCCTCCCACTTCGACAGTCTGATGAGAGTAGTACCTCGCGACATTAGTAACTCCCCCTTCCAAAGCTTTCTGAAGTAGCACGCCTTCTTCATCCCGCACAGGATACTGCCAAGAGTCTTTAACCACAAGGGGGATATTCGCTTCACCCCCTGCACGGTGGGCTTTCCAACAAGTTGTAGCTCTGCCAGCAACACAGGAACTCCTTTTCATAAGCTCATCAAGGATAAGGCGTTCTGGCTGCCCATGACGTATAACCTCGATAGTGCGCGTCCCATCTGAAGAGCACATAATAGTGGGGTCATATCCTAGCTGCTCGTTATCCAATAATAGGTAGCCGGTAACTACCGATATAAACTTCAGCCCATTCTTGTTGATATCAAATGGCTCGGATGCAGTGGCCCCCACCCTATCAAACTCCCACAATCGCATAATGGATCCACAGAGAGTGAAACCCAGCACAAACCGACGCGTGTCTTGTGTAGTGAATACTTCCCGCACATATCTACCCAAGTCGCGCCATGTTTTCGAGACTGTATCAGCTTCTGGATTACTTTTCAATTCTCCAGGAACCAGAATACGTGACCAATGAGGTATTTGCCCGGGAATAGTTTCCGAGTTGCTGACTATCGCGATATCCAGTTTCCGGGCGGCTGTAGAGCCTTGTAGTGGCTGTGCTGGCTGGGCTAAGACAGTTCTGCACAGAGAAGCACTGGGATTTTGTTCCGCGACGAAGCTTCTAACCAGATCGAACTTTCCACTTATCCACTTCAGAACTTCCTTCTCTTGAGCGTCAGCGGGCCAATCGCACCAGCCAATCCCATCACAATACAATGGATTATCCCCTGTCTTGCATCGCTGCAAAAGAGTAGTACATGCTGTCTCATGCCCGTTTACGGAGTTGAAAAAGGTCTCAAAAAAATTCGGCACATCGAGAAAGATAGACCCCAGTTCCGCCTTCAACACAGTGTCCACATGTTTTCGGTGTTCGGACGAGTTAACGATGCTGCTCGTGGTGTGCAAAAATGGTGTCTGATTGAGGAAAGGCACCAGTTTTGGGGGGGGCGTAGATTCACGGACAGTAGAGTATATGCTATCCCAGATGTGATCCTCCGATTCTTGGTTTAAAACTGCTCTCAATAAAGGAATGAAACGTTCGACCACGAAATCATCAGAACTAATCACGGCGTTCAGTCTAAGAAGGTCGCTCAGGAGGTATTTACGACCATTGGCGGACGGGAGTTTTCGCATATCTGGGATGGCTCGCAATGCTGACACTAAGTCGAGCACTAAATTCTGAAGATCTGAAAGCGATCAGAACGCGGTACAATAAAGCTAAGTAGTAGATTTTCACCTTCATTATCAAATTGACTTATAGCATCCAAACTCGCAGTCAGTCCCAGCTCCTCGCATGTGGCTTTAAAGCTTTCCCGAAATGTATTCAGCTTCCCTCCGATGGGTCTCGCTTTGCTGGTGTCAGGTCTTGCGTATTGAGACATCTTATAATAGTCGTAAGAACTTTTGGCACCTGATTGACGACATGGAGTAGAAATTCAAAAGATCCGGTAGTACAGATATAGTAGGTGCTGGATCCGACATTGACCTTTCTTTTTGGTTTGAAGAACGGACACAGTTCTATTAATTGTTGATGTGAGTGGTTGATAGGTTGACTAATCCAGGTTGACGATCCTATTCAACGTCTAACTAAGGGCCACGTGAATATGGATTATAGTTAATCCGTCTCGAAGGAGTCTTCGGAGGGAGCACCTTAGCAACATCACGTGCATCACGTGCTTATCGTCGCTTACTAAACTCAACTAATATCTTCGGGCAGCTCAACAAAAAGGGAACTAATTATTTTGCGCAATATAATTCTCTGGGAACGCTAGAAGTTTTAGGTATGTCAACAAAACATCTAAATTATACTGTCACAATATCGTACCCTCTATTTTGTCCAAAAAATGAAACCACAAAACGGCAAGGGAAAAGGGAACCAAAAGACGTCCTGACCAACCAACCAATGCAATCCTCGTTGCGGCCGATCCTGCCGGCAGTATTCTTTTGTGGCTATGCAGAGCAGCCAAGACCACCAGCTTGTGTATGCGAACAACTACTTATCCAATGATAAGCACGACAGGTTATTATTAATGGGTTCCAGAGTTAGCCCTCAAGCCCGTCGACGATGGGATGCTCGACAATCGACTTGACTCTTTGTCGACCGATCAAATGCATATGCTTAGCCGTGTTGGACGCATTGTGGGTGGAGCTGGTCTGGACGGATCATCCAGTAAGAATGCTCACTGTCCGGGGGTTGGGGGTGCAGAGAAACGCAGGAGTCGCAGAAGGCGCAAGAATAGAGACCAGGCGGTGGAGAGCCCGCCTGGATGCCTCAAGGGAGCACCAGTTGCTGAACATAAATTTAAGCTCTCCATACAAAACTTATGTAATTGATATAGAAACAGAAAGCAATCAGTCATAGCTATGACAGTCTCAAAATATTCCATCTAGTGTCTGCAAGGCAGGAATGGTTGGCGATAGGAATCCAACCATTGAGCAAGATAGACTGCTCGTGATCAAATCGGCAACCCGGATTACCCAAACACAAATCGGATGCCTTGCTTCAGGACCCCTCTAGATGGCCACCAGCAATTCTAGAAGAATTGGACTCCCACAAAGCAAATGAGACCCGGATAGTGCAAGAGATCAGCCATATGCTTCACGGGTGCAAGTCGATCCCGACAAGTGGGTGATATTCATGGACATTGGCTTCGCCAGGAAGTTCAAAATGGAGCCGTATCAAATGGGTTCCTACAGCCGAAATGCTTGCAGACAGAATGACTAAGCTTCTCCCTGACCAAAACCACCAAGATTTCATCAAGATGCTTGGTTTAGTTAACATTCGAGACCTCATCTTTGCCTAACAGGCAACATTCACTGATTTATTTAGATATTCAACATCTGACCGCAGATACTGAGGTGTCGACCAGAGTGGGTCAGATTATACATTATTCAGCAGCCGCTCGGTCCTACTTTAGTCCATTCTGTTTACCTTTTATTCAGTTCTCCTAGATAGATTCAGGAAGCTAGAGACCTTACTCTCAATGCAGATGCATTATTATTCATGATATTGGTGATACTAGCTCATAAGCGTATTCAGCGGTCCGACAAAACCCCTAGTTTAAAGGAAATTCATTTAACCTTGGGAGGATTCAGATTTTCAACCTTATTCCTCTCATTTCTTTTATCGATTCGCCCCCGACTCGACGCTTGTTTTCGAACTTTCAAGAGAACGTGTCTCCCGATGGTATTAAAAGCGAAAAGTGCTGTCGCCACGTCGTCTAGCTCAGTTCTTCATTACTTGTCGGCCATGGATAAAAGAGATCATGTGGGGCATCCCCGAAATATGATGAGTCTCGAGGTCATAATAACTGCTCAGCCCACAAAAGACTCGAGACCAGACAACCACTCTGTAGACCAGATGGCTTCAGAGTTATTGAATAAATATGTGGATCGTGTCGATATTTTAATGCCAAAAGATATAATGCGAAAGGGGGAATCAATCAGCCCTGGCGGGCCGGTTCTATCCTCACAAATAGAAGGTCATGAAAGGGCATCTGTCAATCCGCAAATAGCCACCGAAAGCAAACCAAATCACGATTTCTACTTCGAAAATCAAAGGATGTATCATGGATATCGAAAAGGGGTTTATATGGTCCCTTGCGATGAACAAGAGCAGGACCGCCTTGATTTCCTCCACAAGGCTTTTTCTCTAGCAATAAGGTCAAACCGTCTGATCCACGTCCCCCACCCTACCAGTGCCAAGATCCTAGATCTCGGATGTGGAACGGGGCTCTGGGCCATCGACCTGGCAGAGAGGAACCCAGGTGCATCCGTTGTGGGCGTAGATCTTTCTCCCATCCAACCGTCTAACCATCCACTGAATTGTCAATTTTATGCTCCCTTCGACTTCGAGAGTCCATGGCACTTGGGAGAAGACTACTGGGATGTTATACATCTCCGGATGGGCTGCGGCAGCGTGGCCAGCTGGCACAGTCTCTACCGCAGAGTGCTTGCTCATCTTCGTCGTGGCGCTTGGTTCGAACAAGTAGAGATCGATTTTGAGCCCCGGTGTGCCAATTGGGCGCTCAAGGAGTCTCACCTACAGTACTGGTATCAAAATCTTAAGCTAGCTACGGAGCAGAGTATGCGACCACTTGCTCATCGCAGTGAAGAAACATTGAATAAGTTGCAGGAAGTTGGATTTACAGAAATCCGCCATCATCAAATTAGACTGCCTCTCAGCCCGTGGCATCAGGGTGACCAAGAGCGGCTGGTTGGCCGTTGGTACGGTTTGGCGTTTTTACAGAGCATGGAGTCCCTAAGTCTTGCACCTTTCAGCCGCATCCTAGGCTGGTCGCCCGATAGGATTCATCAACTCCTCTTCAATGCAAAGTCTGAGGCATTTAATAACCAGACACAAGGATTTCACATTTTAAACATATACCAGGCACGAAAACCTACCTCTGAATAAAGGAATCTTTTCAGTGATTATTTAGTAGTAGTAGTAGTAGTAGTAGTAGTAGTAGTCGTCATTATCCTGTCCTAGCATGCCTATATTACATGGCCGCCATGCAAGGTTGAGCCGTCCAGCGGCTCCGTAGAACACTGCCTGCAGTGGCTGCGGGAGTAGTAAGATAACAGTATATAGCAGATAAAACAAAAGAACACAAGATAGCTCTACATCTACAGCTTAACCTCTAAAGCCCACCCTCAGTCTCTCTGCACCCCTACCAGCTTCCGTATCACCGGCTATGCCGTACAGCCTTATAGCCATGTTCCACCGCCGTTGATGGTTTACGCCTCATCTTTATATAACTCAGTGATTTAGTCGTAATGAACTAGTCCACTATTTCGCTCGTGTTTTATCTTCACCAAGTTCAGTATTCTACTTGTTATTGTCTTGTTCTTGTGTCGAGCCAGTTGCCACTGGATCCACCATCTGGAACTGTGATAATAAGCCTGTTTTGAGCATAAACTCTGCTTCTGGCAGAGCTGCCTTCGACTCCTGAAGGAGCTGGTTGAATGATAGGGTCCCCGGGACCTTTCTCCGCCAGAGATCCCGCCACATGTCCGTGCGGAGTTGCCCTAAAAGAGGACATTCTATCATGATGTGCGAAGAAGGCTTGATTATTTGCTGTCAAATAAGGACAGAAGTAGCATACATGCGAAAATTCACGATTTCAATCTGAATAGATATGATTGTAAATATTCTACGTATTGGTTGTCATACTTCTGAGCGAGTGCTCGGCATGAGCCATCTGCACATTCGAGTGTTTTCTGGAAGCCGATGCCTCGGAGCTTCGGAATGTTCTTATATTGGTAAGTGACTTGTCCATTATTTTACCCCAAAATCTGGGGAATGGACCAGATCTGGGTGTATTGTTAGTATAAGTTGCTTCCTCGGCAAGGCATCCGGCTGGTCGCCTGCTGCTCCCTGAGCCAGCTTCCGACGGGCCGGCGGAACATTGATCTTCGAAGTATGGATGAGAGCCGTGAATCGAGGGGAACAGATCTTGACAGCAAGGGAGCCACAACAGGGTTCACTGATTTTCTTATATCTTACTATGCGAACCGTGAAATACAGTAAACGTGAGTAGACTAAAGACACGGTCTATACGCCGCATTCGTCGCTCTTCCACGCACAAACACATCCACCATGGCGCTCCAGCATTTCAGCAACCAGACTGTCATCATTACCAGTTGTGGGCATGGTCTGGGGAGGAACTATGCCACTTTTTTTGCATCGGCAGGGGCTAACGTGGTTGTCCACGACACTGACGAGGTACGGAGCTACATATCATTCCTCACTAACGAGTGTCCTGTTATGGGTCTAACATGATACCAGATACTGGCAACTACTATCGCGAGGGATATAAAGGCGACTGGAGGTATTGCAATTGCGAATTCCTCATCGCTCCAGAACGGGGACCAAACTGTCGCCGCCGCTCTCGCTGAGTTTGGACGAGTGGACATCATTATCTACAATTCGCTCCCGGAACATGACCGGAGATTTAAGGGCTTTCACCCTCAGGACGGGAGTTCTGACTTTGGAGTAGCATTCAAGGGATTGTACAAGGTAAAATACCTCAATTTGCCCGACAAGCACAGGGATTGCTGACGGTTGTCATCATTATATCCTAGACCGTCCATGCCGCCTGGCCGATATTCAGAAAGCATAAGTTTGGCCGCTTCATCAGTACCACTGGTCTCTACGAGCTGCCTAACCACGAAGAACATTTGTCATATGCCAGTAAGTGAACACATAATTCCTGTCAAAAACGCATCGCGAGTACCTCTCGGTCGGGAGGTTCGACGCTAACATCTGTATTACGACAGTCTCTAGCTACGCACATCTTGGTTTTGTGGAGACTGTTGCCAAAGAAGGTGTGAGCGCAAACATTCTGGCTGCAGTCATTGTGACTGGGACCCCTTTCGATGGCCCAAGTGGATATCAGAAACCCGATCGTGATGCCGCTCTAGGCTTGGTGGCATCACTGTCCCATAAGCTAAACACAAGAGCCACTGGGTCTATGTACTATCTGCGAGGCAAACTTTGCCACGCATTGCGATGGGAGCGGGCCGGGGGTGCTGGGCTTAGACTTGATCAGAGATTCACACCCGGGGCGATTCTTGAGAAATGGGACGAAGTAAACAATTTCGCAGACTCAGAATACCCAAGAGGTACATCAGATGTTTTATCCATCTTAAGAAGAGCGGCCGACCTCCCAGAAGACTATAACAAGGAAGGGAAGAGAGTATCCTTGCATGGAAAAGTCGCCATTGTTACCGGTGCTGCAAATGGGTGAGTGATTCGAAGTCATTTGACTAAAACTCTTACTAAAGGTATCTCTCCTTAGTCTTGGACGTGAGTATGCATTGCTGCTCGCTAAATTGGGAGCGAAGGTAGTAGTCAACGATATCCAGGATCCTGCCCCTGTCGTTTCTGATATCCATGAGATTGGTCAACATGCCATTAGGGTCACTGCGCCCGCACAGAATGGCAAAGAAATTGTCAGGCAGACTGTCGAAGCTTATGGGCGTGTTGATATTATTATCAACAATGCTGGAACGGTCAGGGACAAGTCCATCGGCAAGATGACCGAGAAAGAGTTGGACTTTGTGTTCAGTGTCAACCTTGATAGCACTTACGAAGTCATCAAGGCAGCTTGGCCATACATGGTGAAGCAAAGGTATGGACGAATCGTCAACATTACTAGCACGAGTGGGATATATGGCAATTTCGGACAGGCAAATTACGCAGCGGCGGTAGGTTCTCACGACCGAAATACATTGCAAATCCTGTTGGCCCCTGATATGCTAACGCCTAATGATTTGATTTCGCCAGAAATGCGGACTCGTAGGATTGTCAGAATTTCTTGCCGGTGAGGGTGCGAAGGACAACATCATCGTGAACGTGATTGCTCCCACCACAAGCACTCCAAATCTTCTTTCCATCATGCCAGGCTTTCCGAAGGACCTTAAACCTGCTTACTGCGCGCCTATGGTTGCCTTGTTGTGCTCCGACCGCGTCCCATTCCCATCAACGGGCGCAGTGTATGAAGTCAACGGTGGCTGGCAAGGACGCACAAGGCTTCAAAGGAGTGCCGGATCCCCAGTATCCTATCGGCCAGACCAATCAGTGCCAGCAGGATTGGACAGGATTGCAAATTTCGACAAGCGTGGCAGTTCGTACCCTGAGGACGGACCTGCAGGGCATCGACATCTCAAGGAAATCCTGAAGACAGCGCGCGCCGTGGAAAAGATAGAGGCCGGGCAGGCTGCTCGTGGCCGGGGCGGTATTTATGAATACAACCACAAGGACGTTATTCTTTACAGTGAGTTCACACATACCTCACCCGACTAGCTCTGGGAGACATCTGACGCGTATTCTCAAGACCTCGGTGTTACGGCCAAACGGAATGATTTGCCTCTTGTTCTCGAGACGGATCTGAACTTTCAGCCGGTACCAACTTTTGGGACGATTCCAACCTTCTTCTCGCGCTTGCCCGTCGAGTTCAAAGATATCTTGCCCAAGTGGAACCCACTGGGCTACGTTCATGGGGAGCAATACCTCGAGATTCGCAAATATCCTATTCCCACTGCAGGCAAGCTCGTTACGCATAGCCGACTCCTTGAGGTGGTCGACAAGAAAAAAGCGGCCATTGTGACCATGGCTCACATCACACGCGATGAGGCTACCGGGGAAGATGCATTTTACAACGAGGTCTCTCTTTTCGTGAAAAATGCTGGTGGCTTTGGCGGCCAAACCCAGCCCCGTCTCAGCAACTCAAAGACATACAATCCCCCACAACGGGCGCCGGATTTCATATGTGAAGAGAAAACTTCCGAGGAACAGGCGGCACTCTACCGGCTGAGTGGTGATTAAAATCTGGGGCATATAGACCCCGCTGTTGGTAGGGCTGTTGGGTTTCCTGCCCCGATTCTTCACGGTCTCTGCTTCTTTGGTATTTCGGGGAAACATATCCTCCAACAATATGGCCGATACAAGAGTATCAAGGGCCGCTTCATTGAGAGTGTCTTCCCTGGACAGACCTTCCGGACCGAACTGTGGAAGGAGGGTAAAACAGTCACTTTTCAGACAAGAGTTGTTGAAACGGGCAAAGTGTGCATTGCGGGTGGAGGGGTGGAGCTATTGACTGATAGTCAGAACAAGCTGTAGCTGCATGATTCTAGGAACTGGTGCACTGGGGAAGTAGGCTATCTTTCTTGTATTTGTTATTTACGCCTTTGCTTTGATTACACTAATCTTGATGTTTTGGTAGAAAGAATTGTTTCGCGCTGTTAACAGACAGGTCCAGTCACTCCGGCCCTTTTAGGCACTCCATTTGCCGTCATGTAGTTTTAACTAATATACTATTTGATTCTATGTACTGTCCTAAGTTGCTACTAATTTAATAAAGAATCGGTGATGTAGTAGTAAAAAGTCTTTCTTTATATAACTGCAAAAGTACTTCGATAATCGGTATATGACACCAAAATATAGATTTATAGAAGGAAATACGTTTTACCATTATACTTCCAATGCTGTATCAAATCATTAGATACCTAAAGTTATCTATTTATTACATAGAGAATCGATTAGAGATAATCTTAATCGATTTGCTATAATATAAGTTACTAGTAATATTTACAAATTCTCTTAAGTGTTTAATCGCAAACCCACCAGGTACACTCCCGCAAAATCATTCATAATATAAGAGAGAACTGCAGCAAGGAATTGGCTATACTGGTCTCAAAAGAGAAAACATAAGATCCGCATAGGATTCTGACAAGATTAAGTTTCGACTCTGGGGCATGTATTCTGAAGAAGTAGCAGGAATAGGTCGCCTTATTCCTAGTACTGTAAAAGGGAAGTAGAAGACCTAGTGGCCGTCTGTTTGCCGCCTGTTTACTCTGATGAAGTCCAAAATTTGGGCGTAAATGCCATTGTGGCTATGCAAGGCGGCCAGGAACGCCTGCTTTTTAAAGCGCAAAGGTGTTATCCAATAGATAAGGTAGAAGGGAAGCAAAGTGGGTAATAAGGTTCGCTTTTGGGTAAGTTTTCGCGAGATCGCGCGTTCTCGGGTGAGCGTCGGCCAGCCGCTCACCCCATCTATTGTGCACTCACCCAAGCTCACCCGAGGTCGCGCGACGGTAAAGCGGCTCACCCGCTAGCTCACCCGGGCGGCAGGCACCCGACTTCTGGCCGCGTTTAAGCCACACGCCGGGAGGTTAGTAGTTGGGTGGGTGACCACCAGCGAATCCCTCCTGTTGTATGTTTTTTTTTTCTTTTCGTTTTATATCTTTCTTACATTCATCGAATCATAGTGACCTTGTTAACCTTGTTACAAGCATAACAGAAGTAGTAGGAAGTGTCTGTCGTACCTATGATACGACTATCACTAAAAATGACTAGATGTCCGTTGGCCTCCAAAGTAAATAGTAATTACATCTTCACCTTTCGCGGCTTGATATATGCCCTAGTATTATGTGGCACATGCCCCGTACATACTGAAGTTTTAGATGCAGTGACCAGTCCAATGGCTTCGATATTCATTTTAGCAAACGATTTGTGGTGCCAAGATCGACTTGGCCTCAAGTTGGCGCCTTCACACCGACCCACAAGAATAATGGGCAGCAAGTATTTATTGCCAATAGGCTTCTCAGAACTAAGCTGCAGCTTTGCACCATTGGTAGCAGGTCAGCGGAGTCACAGAGCCTGTGACGGAATTGTGCGCAAAATGACCCCGGGGTCATTCGACGCCCGAGGAGCGACTTCAAGGAGTAGCTCATAGGATTTAGCCACACTTCCTATCTCAGAAAACCGAGGAATTGGTCGAGAGGGAAGAAATGGGTCATTACCGTTGTTTCCTCCCCCATGACATTCATGGACGTAGATTACCGTTGATGCTTGTTGTGATTGTCTTCCGTATCTTTCAAGTGCCTGTGTCCGTGGCCCAGAACCTCCCTCCTATTGTAATCTGCCGCTTCATCGGTGGTCTGTTTGCTTGTTCGCCGCTTTCGATTGTTGGTGCCACTCTTGCGGATATCTGGGGTCCAGTGGAACGGGGAATTGCCGTATGTATATACTCTAACGCGACAATCTCTGGCCCCGTTCTGGGCCCAATTGTGGTTGGCTGCATCGTTAACAGCTATCTCGGCTGGCGATGGACAGCCTGGCTGACTCTTATCCAAGGGGCGGTTTACTGGGTTCTTGGTATGATATTCGTGCCTGAAACCCATGCTCCCACATTGCTGCGCCGATTCCAGCCTCGTGAATGCTCTTCTGGTATAAGGGACGAGCTAGGGCAAACAAATACGAAAGCACTGGCAAGCCATATGAACTGGAGGGAATTCCTAATGAAGTACTTGGCACAACCACTTGGTAAGGCCATTGCGATCAAAGTGCCACAATTGCACTAATGATGACAAGTTATGTTGGCCTCAGGGCCAATCCTCCCGTTAACAACACTGTATATGTCCCTAGTATACGGGGCATTATATCCTTTTCTTTGAGGAGTATCCTATCTCATTTCAGGATCAGCGTGGATGGAGTGCCAATGTGGGCGTATTGCCCTTTTTGGGCATAGCTGTAGGCGTCGTCTGTGGCAATCTGACCATATCAACAACAACGGTCTTCCGTCTTAAACACAAATACAAGGAAGGGTGTGGTAAAGTCGCCCCGGAAGAGCGTTTGATCCCCATGATGGTCGGCGCCGCTGTGTGACCGCCAGGACTATTCTGGTTTGCATGGGCCAGCAGTCCTCATATCACTTGAGTACCCCAAGTCCTAGCTAGTATTCCGATTCGGATGGGTATTCAAGTCATATACACAATGGGTCTCAACTATATTCTTGATGTGTAAACACCTTATGCTGCCAGCGCTGTGTCAGTGAGCGCCTTCGTTCGATCCATGGCCGCTGCAGGCTTCCCTCTGTTCGCTACCCCGATGTATGACCATCTAGGTATTAGTTGGGCGACGTCGCTGTTGGGGCTCTTGTCGGTGCTTATGATGCCAGTACCGACATTGTTCTATCTCGATGGGAAACGGTTAAGGAGGATGGGCCGCTATAGTGTCATGTAAAGAAGTCGTTCATGTTTTCATATCTAATTCGACGGCGTGTTCGCTTCAACTTCATAATCTAGATAATTCTTCTTCCAGAAACTGTAAATATTATGTTTTGAGATCATGCCTTAAAGTCACTGCGATCTAACCCCTATACATAAACATGCTACCCCATAGAACATATACTTTTCTGCATCCACCAACCAACCTTATATCTCCACTACAGGCCCGGAGTAAATCCTCCTCGCCCGGACAAAATAATAGAACAGACTAAGGATAATCGTCCCTAGCGTACCTACCACACTATAGTTCATCGACTGTACATCTGCATGATTGTTCGGAGGCCAGAAGCTGAAGAAGGTAGCAATGGACATGTATATTAAGGAGAAGGCATTCACGACAATGCCCCCAATGCCGCGAAGATGGAACGGGCCCCAGACTAATTGAGCGCCGGCCGTGTTGATCTTAGCCTCCGAGCTCCGGTTCCCGTGGTTCCTATTCATGATTCCGCCAGTGCAACGGCGGTAGAGGAGCAGACCAGCAACAGCCATGTATGATAAGTAGAGGCCTGATGTTGACATAGACACCAGACTATTGAATGCGACGTCGGAACCAATGTTGATAAGGTTCAACAGAAGCGAGATAGTTGTAGTGAAAACGACGGTATATGTTGGTATTGCTGTGCGCGTGGTGACCTAGAGTCATTAGTGCTGTGATGTAAAATTGGCCTCGAGTCACTCACCTGACTCCATAATTGCCAGCCAGGGATTCCACGGTCCCGGGAAAAGGACCAGAATTGACGCGATGCTGATGCAAGCATGCCTACTGAAGTACAGAAACACAAGACGATGATAATAGAAGCCATGACCACTGTCCCTGGGATAGATTCTGTTGCTTGCAGGAAAATACCCACAAAGGGCAGTCCCGTGGGATCATTCAGGGCTTTATCAATATCCCCCAGGCAAAAGAGCAAGGCCAGAAGCATGGCAAAACCAAGGGTTCCGTTGATCAATACAGTGAGCATCAATGACCAAGGCACATAGGTAGGAGCGTTGGAAATCTCTTCCGCCATCTAGAAGTGGATCGATTAGCACTTTCTTTTAGATCTTAGAGATTAAAAAGCCTGCAATATTTTGGGCAAGGATATCCAAGTCGGAGGTTAGTGACATACATGAACCGCGGCATCACCACCAGCGAAAGCAAACACGGGACCAATTAATCCGATGAAGAACGAGAGACCCTGGGTTGGCCATTGCCCTTCATTTATGAAATGAGTAAAGACCTCCTTGGCGTTTTTATGGTCGGCCATATAGGTTAAGGGGATCAGGATCGCAAAGAAACCAAGGATGTGGAGAATGAGAATTGTGCCTTCAAACCGCGGCAAAAGCTTGCCTCCCACACAATTGATGGCCAGACCGATTAACGCAGTCGCATAAGAGTACAAAGTCATATGCCATGCTTGCGGAACGTAGTCAGAATGTGTAAGGGAGATCATTGCTGCAATATACGTTCCATTAAGATAAATGGCAGTTGCATAGGTCGCCTGCCATCCAATAACAGTAAGCCAACCTAGCATCCGTTGTCAGTATCTTCAGGCTCTCGTCTGGGTCGAAGCCCTTCCAATGAAATCCGCCAAGTGGACTCACCTGTGATGTAACTGGAGAGTTTCATGGCCGACGGAGGTGCCAACATCGAACACCAGTGGTACTGTCCACCAGCTGTTGGAGCCCTAGCAGGTTGTCAACCAAAGGTTGGAATCTTAACTTGATGTCTTACATTGAAACGAGCTCCGATAATACAACGAAGGTCGACGTGACACCAATCCAGACAAAGAGGAAGGCATAAACCGATCCAGCAGGGCCACCACTGCAATTGTCATGTTAAAATCTAACTATTTCCTGGAGATTGTAACGGGAGATTGCCACATACTTCTGGAAGCCTTGTATGAATAACCTATCACAGTTCCCAACATTAGTCGCAACAACCGGAAATAAGGGGGAATGTATGAAGACAGAAACATACGCGGTTATACCCTCCCAGGTGATGAGGATTGTGCAACTGAAGCCCAGAATTGACATCAAACCAAAATTTCTCTAAGTCAAATCATGAATGTCAGGTAAGTTTAGACCGATGATATTTGAGTGGGATGGGCAAAGCTGACCCTCAAGACAGCGCGCTTTCCGATGCGGGCCAGATTGATATCATCCAGATTGTCCTGGGATGAGCCGTCTACTTCGTGTAATGCTGCAGGAGGAGCCTGCTTTAATTCATGGTGGCCCATTGTGGAGATAATCCGTAGGCTAGGGTGCAGTAAAATAGACAACGGAAACTGTTATAAGCGGAGCAGATGCTATTGCAAAGGAAAGAGATATAGCATAACGAAGGCAGGTCCGTAATAAGAGATATTTTCTGCTTCAACTGGAAAAGAACCCGCACCGACAGAGAGTAACAACTATGTACATACAGGGGTGGAAATTTCTTCGGTGCCCTTTCTCTCAAATAGAACCGACCACAACAAAGAGAGGAGACTAGAGTCAATGCTTCGGTTACAAGCGATGATACGCCAAGTAACCAGTTTGATGACTATGGTAACTTGGAGGAGGGGAACCTTAACATGTGGACTGATTTTGTTGCGACATCGCAAGGATTAGAATCAAGTGCGTCTTTAGCTGCATGTCCGTCCCTGGATCAGCCCAATCATATCACTACATATGTGACGGCGGAACAACATGGTATGTACCTAGAGTGCCCAGACGGGTCTCCGGTAATTTGGCAAAGTTCTTAGATTCTTTTGTTTCTAGGGTGGTTCATTAATTAACGTTCTGGCTAGACAAGGGCTTGTTGCCGTCCACCGTCGATAACCTCTGGGGGAAACACGTCGCAAGCCAGTGGCTTTCTAGGCGCTGGCCTCCTCCTGTCTTAGACTTGTGTACCTGACCCGTGTAATTTCCACCTTTATTAAATTTGCTATCCGTGGCAGTGGTACAGCTTCGCTGGTGGAATGTTTGGTTGACGATGTTACGAGGCACGATTACCTCTCATCCTTGGGCGTCGTAAAAAGCCCTTGCCAGCGTCTCTCATTTCTCAATGATCTACACTCCCCTTCGCACGCGCAATGGGCAGGCTTGCAAAAGACAACTGGAAGCCCACGGTCAATGTTGTGACCTGGTTCCTTATGACCACGGCCATCCTTTGCGTTCTCACTCGGCTGGGCACCAAGTACTGGATCTTCCGACGTTGGACGTTAGATGATTACCTCAGTATTGTCTCGGTGGTACTTTGCGCAGCGCAGTCCCTCGCCATGTCGATGGCGACAGCTCATGGATATGGAGAACATTATGGTGGGTTATCAAGCGCAGCTGTGGACAGCATTTTAAAGGTGGGTTGTTCTTGTTTCTCGATTTCGAGCAATCGCTCATGTCCTATAAGTCCCAACACGCTGCTGCTATTCTCTTTATTTCGTCTATATGTTTCTCGAAGTTATCTCTTATCCACTTCATCTGGAGCGTGACACCAGCTACATCCGACCGTCGCATTGCCATCGGGCTAGAGATTTTCATAGTGCTGTGGGCAGTAACAAGTGTCATCGCCTCTATCTTCCAGTGCACGCCGCCTCGAACGTGGGATTATCTGAGTGGGCAATGCTTCAACATTGTATGCCATGGCATTCTGTATGAAGCCCAAATGAATGTCGCTAACATGCGAGATGTAGGGCGCTTGGTGGAATTATCTTGCAGCCACGAATATCTTGTCCGAGGCGGGAATCATCATCCAGGCCCTTCTTATTATTGTTGGGATCCAGGCACACTGGGCGAAGAAAGGAACTTTAGCAAGTATCTTTGGGCTTCGCATATTGTGAGTAATACCGAACGTGACTCACACTTTTATTAGTGGATCGCTGATCGAGCACTGGAGTGTGATCGCTGCTATTATCGGTCAACTTGTCTATGTGAACAGAACCATTGATTCCAAAGACCCTACGTTCGATACCTGGTCGGCTACCGTATCGACTCAGCTTGTCCAGTGCTTGAGTGTCGTAACTGCCTGCTCCCCACAGTTCAAACCCTTCATGGATAGCTTGCGCTCCACAGGTATGCGCATTGATGGATTGACAAGTTACAATATGGCATCAACAAAGCGACATGGGTTATCCTCGTTGCGTTATCAATCCACTTTTCATGGCAGTGAGGTTCACGAGCTTACACCAGTAAGCCCAGTCAAGGACACGTATGAGACAACGGTTACTGCTTCTGGAGCTATATCCGACGGTGACTCAGGGAGTCAGTCGAGTCAAACTCATATCATTCGGGAGGTCAGGACCTTCACGGTGACCGAATCAGTGCGCGGTCGTCGAGACTAGGTGGAGCTGCGTGCGATGTACTTCGGAATGGTTATCGAGGCAATACACCCATGGATACCACCATATTGGCTATCATTCTGTGGGTCACTACGAGCTAATGCCCTCTCGGTCGGTCTTCCGGTCACTTAAAATAAATTAATTGTAATGGGTGGTCATCTTGGTCAGTGGATTCTATTGGTCGTGCGTTTCACGTAGCATTCCACCCCACCTGCCGTCCCTTGGCGTACTTTGGTCTGTTTCTTCGACGGGACCCTAAGTTTTGTCCATTCATACAAGCTATACACTTAGTATGGCTTCTCTGTGTAGCGTTTTCTGTGAACGGTATATAATACTAGGGGTATGCTGCTGACTCTAAGAAGGGGCATGGCTTAACATATCTTACGCATGCCAGAGCGAGAGACATAGACGTGCTCTGGTTCAGAGCAGGGATGTACGTAGTATGGTTTACATGTTATGGTAGCAATCAACGTTTGTAGACTACAACAACTGATATGAAGCGACTAGGTTTAGGGAGTCGGCACAGCCCGACGGTCTCAATCAACCGTGGTCCGTCCAATGTTACATAGACCGCGGGAGAATCGTTACGCCAAGTAATCTGTGTCCCGATCCCTGTCTATTAACGAGCAGGGGGCGGGTTAGGCGTGGGCTGGCGAGGCGATGCTTCTGGATGGTAATTCTGCGAGAGCAATACGTAATAGGGTTCCCTGTTCACTGATGCAGGGAGAGTACACATGTTTTGGTACTCACAGTGAGGTTAATATGCACTTGGAGCCAACTAGACGAAGCAAGCAAAAATGAACAAGCATGTAAATCAAAGAGAAAGCATTCAATATGATCCTCTAAATGCTCTGCGGATGACATGGCCTCCAAAATAGTTGAGCTGATGCGGTATTGAACTTGGCTTCTGATAGGCCTCTGCAACATGGCCCATCCAGTGATATTCACCAAGGCCCTCAATAGTGTCCGCTCCATCCTGGATCGCACAGCAATCCGCGACCCAGCCTTTGTGACTTTCTGCGTAGCTCTATTCCTTATGTCGATCGCCTACTGGGTCCTTTCTTTCTTACTTTCTACCTTTGCTCATTTTAAAATCGGCGCAGACTTAAATTTACCCTTCTATATCCTAGTTATTTGCAACACATCAACTATTCTAGGACGGTATCTGGCGATACCACTCTCAACCCGATTTGGGCCCGTGTTTGCTATAGATGGCTTTACTCTGGTCCCCAGGCTATAGTTTAAGCAGTTTTTATTGCTCTATTTATAGGACCGCTAGCAGTTTTATATCCGATTATCCTATCTTATCTTTCACCAGATAAAAAGCTAATTGATATAAGGATCGGTGTATTATCAGCTGTAGTGGCTCTAGGGACGCTGGCCGGCTTTCCAGTTATATCTGCCTTAAATAATATTGAGACAAGGTTTTTCTAGAAGGGCCAGGCTCTGAAAGGATGTTGCATATTTAGTGGGGCTATTTTGATGATATACGTCTATTATAAGATACCCAGAGAAACGTGGATATTGCAGCGCACCAGGTATTTTGCCAGGTTTATTTCGCTTATTTTCTCCAAGGTTGCTAACACAGCCTCAGACATGGAGTACAAAACATGCAAGCGTGAAATTTCTATTCACGAAGAGGACTCGTAGACATGAAATCATTTCTCAGAAGCTCTCACTTTCAAGAAAGATATTCTTTGTGTAACTAGGACTATTGAATTGGAGATCTGGAACGTGTTCTGCCCAGGGGCTCTTGAACAGCATTATGCCGCAGCATTTGGGTAGCTGAGCACGGTTTTCTTGCGCTGACCAACTGAACACCATTGATCCCTACTGCCTTAGCTCAAAGCAACAATTGGCCCATGCTTCTTCTGGATTGCTTGAGAAAGACGGCCCGGCAGGCGTTGATGACCAGGAGGCAGACAGTATACATTCCTCGTGCTACAGCATTGGCAATTGAGACCTGCTGTAGCTCCGTGATTCTTTTAATTTTACCAGGCATCACCAAGGTGCTTACGTCTGTTACATCTGAGTAGAGTCGCAGTCACCTTTTCTTTTGCCCTCCTTCCATTCAATACCCGGTCTCAATAGGGATTATATATACACAGCCCACGGGATCATACGACACAAGCAAGATACCTAAACTAAGATCACTTCAAAGCGGACATCGTGAACCGGCTAAGTGCGCGTCATCTGGCTCCCAATCTGTGAGCGCTCTTCCGGTATACATTATCTGTCTGGCGGTATGCCTTCGGGGTGCTGTAGACCAATGGGCTACAGGCCATATAATACTGGGAAGATTGGGTATATTCAGGATTCTAAAGAAGAATAGATTAGTTGAAAGAGAACGAATCGCTTGGGGATCTAAATCGCCTGTGCGGTGGGAATCTCTATCGGGCGGGCAGTGGCAGGGGAACCGTTGCCTGAGGCAAACAGCCGTCCTGGAGACATGCAGTTGGGGGGGGGGGGAAGTTGAATTGCTTTATATAATTAAATAAGAAGGTCACATTCATCAATTGGCCGGATGGTGTAGTTGGTTATCACGTATCGTTAACACCGATAAGGTCCTGGGATCGAGCCCCAGTCTGGTCATTGCTTTTTGTCCCTTCTCTATTAGCGTCTTCCCTTTGTTTTTATTTTTGTCTTTTCTGTTCTTTTTTCACCTTTCCTCCTTATTATCGATACTTCTAAATAGTTGTTTGTCAATGCTTATGGTTTTTAAGGTTCAGGAGTTCTATCTTTAATCCTCCACTCATAGCCACGATGTGATCACTTCATCCCGACAGTGACATTGATCTGTAGAGAGTCGAGACATTGTGGGTGCAGTATCTAAACAGGGCGTTAATTTTGCCCATTTGTCCAGATATCACTACTGTACCAGTCTTACATTGTGTTGATACCGTGTCAAAAGCACAAATTCCTAGATTTTCTCGTTGGCGTTGGGGATATATATTTGGTGTTGCACTCTTTGGTAACTGTCATCGGGCATATATAAAAGCAAGAACAAGGAAGATCAAACAGAATAACATAAAAAGAATCATTACACAACTAATGCAATGAATATGTATCAATTAATATAGTTACTGTTCAACATTTCTCCCTCTCTTTTGGGACACCAACGCCAAAGTATCCGGAGAACACACGGAATATGCAGGACTTCAGGGAGTCTCAAGTTAAGTCAATCGAGGTTGTGGCGTGCCTAAAGCCAAGCATTCATATCTCCACCTTTAACTCCAATAAAGCACGTACTCCGTACGGTAAAGCCCGAAATCCGAGACAAGGGCTAAATTACAATTAACTAGTGGGGATCTCCAAGACCAATAAGAGATATGGGATAGGGCTACTATGTCACATGCTCACTCCACCTCGAGCAGGCAGCCACAGTTTGTGGCAAAATAAGGTAAACTGTTATCACTGGTGGGTCTTAACGCTTGACTTTTCCTCTGGCACGAGAACATTGTCATGTCGCGACGTTATCCCCTATACTGGATGGTAATTGTGTTAGGCCGTAATTCAAGCTCACAGGGGATGATGATTCATTGCAACGATACCATTTCGGGTGGAAAAAAAGGCAAATGACCTGGAAATGGGGCACAACAACAGTGACATGGAAGAGACGGTCAGGTATGAACTTTATGATAACCCAAATACATTCAGCGTTGACTCGAACATGCGCAGGATGGCCCTTCCGATCAGTAGCAATCGAGAGAACAGAACTGGTGTGGGATCCTCGAGACGCCTGGAGACCAGTACCTCTACGAGCACCATACCTCCTCACACTGGCGACTTTCTTGCTGCTGACGGCAACCGCTCTTGAGGTTTGTCGTAAGTACAATGATAGAATCGGCTGGCTCGTACGCTACAAGGATGCCAGCGATCTTCCCACGACTGTGTCAGTGGCCTACATCATTGTTCCAACAGCCATAGCGCTGGTCGCTGTGAACCTATGGGAGTTTAGTTCCTGTGATGTGATGCGACTCGAGCCTTACTTTCAGCTGGCCAAGTCACGAGGTGCCTCAGCAACGGTACTCTTCACAAACTACAGCTTTTGCTACGGTATCTTTGCGCCTATTACCGCCGCGCGCAACCGGCACTGGATTGTTCTTTGCGTGTCGTTCATGTCTTTGGTCCTCCGGGTGCTTTTACCCTCTTTATTTGCTGGGCTAATAGTGATGAGTGAGCTGAACCTGACCGAGCCCAAGACGATAGACACATGGCCGGCCCTTGTCGACTTGCGGACCCAAGAGGCGTGGATGGCAACGGAAGCATCTGGCCGCGTCGAAATTCGTCAAGATGCCGATTTGATATTATTTCGATCGTCCCATTACGCAGCCGCACCAGTTTCAATGCCCGTGGATGACGAGAATGATACATCCATGTTGCACCTGAACCAAACGATATATTGGGCGAATTTGACTTGTGGGGACACGCCTCTGCATGAGACTATGCCAACGAAGCATCCTACGAATCGAACCAGTTTACATGGCGAACAGACACTTTCATGGAATATGCACAATATATCCATTCCAACTACGAGTGACAGTGATAGTACTTCAGGTTGCTCGATTAACTTCGCACTCGACAGCGCGGCACCCACCGACACTGATCGCTTTCAGCTTCGCTATTGGGAGTCAAGTAAATCAAGCTGGAATTCTAACGCCACCTTTGCATTTTCTGGCAGCCGCTGCAGTTCCCCTACCTTGTACGGCGTATTGATTGAATGGGATATATTGCAAAATAACTCTATACACACTTCAAAGGCAATGGGGTTTGCCTGCATGGCCACTTATCATTACGCGGAAGCGGAGGTTTCCATTGCTACAAACACATCAATCATCACAGCTAGAATTCAACAGGATACCGTGAGCAGCCTCAGTCCGGCTGAGTTCAGCATCGACAAGTTCGAGGATCAATTCCGTATCGGGGCTCGAGCGGCAGGCATGCAGACAAATGTCAACACTACCAGCTTATCCAGTCTCCTGGAGACAGGGTCCAGATCTAAGTTCCTAGAACTTGAACAATATCAGCAAAAGCTGCGAGAAATGTGGAATCATCGATTCCTTGTGACGATAAACAAAATGTTCGATCCTACACGACCTACAACGACCTATGCAGAACAGCAGAGTGTCTCAGTCATCCTCCAAATGTTGCCCGACCCTGCCTTTCATGCGGAAATCATGCTATGTGCAGCTTCTCTCTTGCTCTCCTTTCTAGCCCTCGTCTATCCGCACCGCCCTAACTTTCTTCGAAGCGACCCGGGGTCAATTGCTGCGCAGTGCGCGATCGTTGCGAATCTGTTCAGTCCAACAATCGCACTAGCTCGGCCTGATACAGCTTTTGATCAGGCCACCACCCGACAACTTCTCCAATGGGCTAAGGGGTTATGGTGCCGATGGAGCGGAGGGTCAAAGGACCCGAGACTGGAGATTGTGTCACTTGATGGAAATCCAGTACCTCTTTCCACATGCAAGTCTCGGAGAAAGAAGGATTTTATGCCCCATTTCCTAAGACTACCCTGGTTTTTGATAGAATGTTTATCGCTGGCTTTTGTACTCGCTTTGTTTGGGTTGTCCCTTCGATATCTTCGTATGGATGATCCTAACTCCGTGACCTGGCCCCAGATAGTATTGTATGTTTCGATGCTGTTTGTCCCAACCATGGTTGCCTCGATGATCAGTGCGCTTCTCGCGTCAGTACTTCGACACCTCAGCGTCCTGGAGCCGTGGACTCAGTTACAGAAGGGACCAGTGACAGCCAGACAGTCACTGTTGATGAACTATGGCTGTCAAACTTCATTTGCGGTCCTTTGGAAATGCACACGCCGTGGCCCTCGCTTCCTTGTCATCATCTCACTAGCCTGTATTCTGGACCTGCTCTTGACGATTGTGAGCGGTGGTTTGTTTGAGCCACAAGTAAGACAACATTCGACGGCTGCTTCTGGTTTATTTGCGACATACAACTTATCCACGCTTTCAAGACAACCGCATAGCTCTGTATTGGATAGCTACAGTTTTATTCCTAGTAGTATCACAACGGACGCGCCCTTCCTGCCGTGGACTACATCGAACCACTCGTTCGTGCCAATCTTCATTGATGAGCCGGAATGCGATCGTACTTCTTATACAGCTTCGACACGTGGGATCGGTGCCGATCTGATATGCGAAAGCCTTCCATATAGCAATCAATGGATCGATAGTGATTCAGGGAAGCGACACTGGCATTATACACATTTCAATGGTAGTACGGAATCTGCCTGCTCTGTAGAGGCGCCGTGGACAGCCTCCGATTACGCCGATAGATTTATTCATTACCTGGCGCCAACGGGGTCCTCCGCATCGATGGAATGCGAGAGGTCCACACTCGTGGTTCTTACGCGTTGGGACAAAATGGCAGGGACATCGCTGAATACTGACAGCACAATTGCAGTACATTGTCAGCCGACAATTCACATCCAAGATTTCGTGGTCCAGTTCGACGACTCTGGCCATATAGAGTCTTACGAGACGGTGCCCGAAAGCTCGATCACTGCCGGTGCATTTTATCAGAATGCGTCTGATATCCTGGGGCAATTTAACATGGCGTTTACGCAGTCAATTCAAGCACTTCCTGTTCGTCCAAATTCATCGTTTTACCAATATGACTGGCCTGGAGTTTTGACGGCACGCACGATTGAGACGCTGAATCCCACGTCCGGTTCTGTGGACCCTGCACTTCTGATCAATGCTGTGCAGCTTACCTACCGAACAGTCTTTAGCACCTACTTTACTCTCTGGAGAGATTTGTATCTTGAGCGTTTGCCCCAGTCTCATTCCATCGCTGTCAATGGGACAGTCACTCAAGGGGTGTGGGGTATACTACCAGCAATGCCGTCAATTCTGATTGTCATCACACTTGTCTCGCTGGATGTCCTGCTGATGGTCGGTGTATTTGTCGCATATCGTGGCCGATTCAATGCACCGCGCATTCCCAAATCCATTGGGTCGCTTATCCCGTGGATTGCACATAGCCAGATGATGCGTGATTTTGAGGGCAGTCATGCGTGGACTGAAGTACAGCAACGGGAGCATTTGGAGGAAATCGGTCGGACGTACGGCTTGGGAACCTTTCCGCGCCCAGGGGGTGTGAGCAGGATAGCGGTTGATTATAGCGATGATGGGCAAGCATATGAGTTGTATGATATGTCGACCTCTGGAATGGTTTCGTCAGCATCGACTGCCCGAGAGTCACAACAGGGTCACCAGGAGCTCAGTCGTACACCATAGGGTGGATCTGTGGGCATCTCTTGTACGGACTGGGACTGAGTTCACTGGGCTACGTATAACAGGGAGCAGGCTGCCGCATCTTTATTCCTCTACAGGAATGGTTCCGTCATATCTTTCCCAATGGGCTGGTCTTCGGTTACATTATCGATCTTGATGGTTGATGTTGTCTCAGTTGCCTATACTTTGTCTCCATTCTAATGTAATCAAGATACCCCCGGTAATTAATATGTTCATTGATGGTATACTTAAAACGGTGTAGTCCGCTGCGATAGGTACGCAAGAGCGTGCCGGTGTCAAAACATAGGCTCTGCGCCCTAGGTCTGAGCATCACCATAAGTAGGTTATTAGCAAAGACTTGCGGGTAATATTCCGATTGTAGTAGCTTGGTGCCTAATGAGGTTCTGCCTTGGCCGCATAATACCTGCGTCTTGGCCATGAGAAGATAGGATGATAGGGGTGCTTAAAATTTTACACCAGAAAGGAAGCTCTAGGAAGGCTTGGTCAGTGCCAGGTTTCGCAGGAAAGGAAAATCCGGGTTGCATGACGGGGCAAGCAACAACACGGTGGGTATTATATTGAGCTGTGGACGACCAAAACGCAATGACGCAACCAGGCTGCATTGGCCTTGCATACAGAGATTCTAGAAAGAAGGGAAGCTTGCGTATAACTGGTAGGTTTGATATGAGATGTGAACTGCTAGGATCGGTGACTGAAGTTGGCTGAAACGGGATTTGCAGCCCTGAATTGGATAAGCTTGAAATTTCCGCTTGTTACAATGATACTGATTGGCTGGATGGACAGCCGGTGCTGCTTCCAAAGAGTAACGATCGTCGGTGGATCCCTAGGGCAAAAGTAAGATATTTTTACGTCGTGGCTTCCACCAAGCTTATTTACGTTCAAGGACCACTTATCTATGATCACAGTTGATGCTATAGGATACTCCATAATATGCGTCACGTTCACCATCAAGTAACAGGGGTTATCATGTTCTAGAGGTCGGGATCGACATGTTCTTTGGTCGGGTTCCCCGAAACCCTTGGAGGCCTCCCGGACTCTACGGAGTACCGCCAACCGGGATGACATCCCGAGCTGTCAATGATGAATATTCTAGAGCCCCAAGATACCGGATATGGTAGGTGCTCGATATTTTAAAATGCCCTTATGAAAATGTAGGATTCGGTCTGTTGATTTCCAAGAACAACAGAGATTTTTCTTTTGTAAGGGTTTCCGGCTGCTCGTGACATCATGGATCCGCCGGCCGGGTGCGAATCCGCTCAATCAGTCGCGATAGGGTTGTTTTGCCACGCGAGTCACAAAGAGCAACCAGGGAACATTTATCACAATTAGATAACTCATTGGACATTCAAGCGTGCTATGTCAGAAGAGTTACTTTTGGATATTATGACCCCACCGCGCGTAGATCAGATACGTAGCAGAAAAGGAAGGAGGCAGGCTATTCTGGACTCGGTCAATGCTATCATCGTCGATGATGTTATGAGATAAGATTTTCATAATAGACCGAGCTAGCCTTTTATTCTACTCTGTGCTTATATATTGGGATCCTGTCCTTTTCACTTTATCTCTTTCTTTCCCCCTCACCTCTTGACCGAGCGTTGGAATTTAGACACCCAGCAGATCCGAAATGTCGGACGAGCAGGATCTGGCCGATGGCCGTCAGGATCGGAATGATGACCTGAATACAATCCAGGAAGATAGAAGCGAGCCGCCCAGACCCCAAAACCGACAAAACAACATGAGACAAGACAGACAGCGCCCACCACTGCATTATCGCAGCACCGGATCACAGAGAGCGTCCCGATACTCTCAACTCAGACGACGGCAGACGAACCAGACGAGTCGGACCAATCAGACAAGTCAGACGAATCAAACGACTCCTTCTCTTGCCGGCCCACGAGAACCCGACCCTAACTCGACATACGTTCATCCAGAATATCATGACATGAATCCCGACTATGGGAAGACGAATGAAGAGCCGATCTGGGGCTTAGCGAAACCGCTTCCGCGCGTGGTCCGACCAGGCATGCGCCGCCATGATGGTGGCGGGACAACGTCTGCCTACCCAACAGGACAAAAGGGAGAATCAGAACCAGTGCCTGAGTTGGAGGCCACTCCAGACCAGGGAGACGAGCATGGACAAACTGGGCGGGCGACCTCTGATCCTCGGGTGGGCGCCAATGAGGATACAACGGTACACCAAGAGATGTCGAATGCGGATGCCCCCGACAGAGTATCACGTCCAGTGGAAGACGAGGTGACGGAGGACGGGAGTAAGCCGTACGGGGGCGAGGCGGAGCATTTCAACAAGTGGTCTAGGGTGCGGCACAGACTGCGAGAGCCATTTGCTGAATGGCTAGGGGTAAGATATCTTGCCCATTAAGAACATCTTTTAAGAGATACCGTACTGACGATGGGATTGGTAGACTACAGTGGCGATGCTAATTGGGCTATGTGCAACGCTTGCAATTTCGACCGGTGGAGGTGAGGCAGGCAACAAACTCGCTCTTTACTGGGCGTGGGGACTGGCTATTACCGTGGGAATCTACATTGCTGGTGGGGTCAGCGGTGGCCATCTAAACCCAGCGATTTCCATTTGCCTGTGGATTTATCGAGGCTTTCCAGGTCGGCGATGTATTTATTATGTGGTTGCTCAGATTATGGGGGCTCTCACGGCCGGCGGACTTGCATATTGCATATATCGCGATTCGATTTTCCACAGCGGTTCTAACAGCGACTCCGGCATCACAATGGGTGCTACTGGTCTGGGCTTCTATACCGAGCCATTGCCGTACGTCCGCAATGTGACGGCGTTCTTTAACGAATTTGTCGCCGCCGCTATTCTAATCTGTACAATCTTTGCAATGGGTGACGATAGCAATGCTCCGCCCGGTGCGGGTATGCACTCGTTCATTATTGGCCTGTTGATCTTTGTGTTAGCAATCGGCTTCGGTTATAACACTGGAGGGTGCGTATTTTCCCCTCGCTTAGATGTTGTCCGAGAGCTAGTCCCGCTAATGGAAGTCTAGATGTTTCAACCCAGCCAGAGATCTTGGTCCTCGCCTGGTGGCTCTGATGGCAGGATACGGTGGCAGCACATTCACCGAACGAGGGGGTTGGTGGTTTTGGGGAGCTTGGTTGGCTACCATCTCTGGTGCCCTAGTCGGAGGCGCAGTGTATGACATTTTCATCTTTATTGGTGGGGAGTCTCCGATAAACTATCCCCGTACTCGTCGCCGGAGATCCAAGCTGAAGAAGGAGGCGAAGTGGAGGAGAAGACTCAATCTGGGGCGACAGAGGCTTCCTAGTATTGAAGAAGCAATCAAAGAGCTCGAGTAATGAAGCCTCACTTCCATGTTTATGTACATAAATATGTACAAGTAATACTATCATCTAATCCAGTTCACTAGAGCCTTATGAGCGAGGTGTGTTTAGCTTGACATCGTACTGCTCATCAACATCGATCTTTAACATCCGCTTCAACGTCGGCGAAGAATATACCACGCTATAGTACAACACCTGGCATTCCCGGCACATGTGGCTCGAATCACCCCTTGATACATGGTTGTTTGCATGATCTTATTGGGAGATTTTCTACAAGTGAGTTGTTGTCGTCTTGTTAATGGGCCATGGTATACGATCTCCGTACGCGTACCAGCCATCATTGGCCGGTTAACATTGTTTCATTCTCTTTGGCCGTTCCAAGGTGACCCCAGATAAATGTGTCCACCTGAAGAGAGACTCCATAACGTTCTGCTTTTACTATTGACTATCTGACCGTTGAAGTCTCTTGTCACTTTCAAGTCCCGAGAATACGCCAAGTTAACAGGTGTCTGACAGATATAGCGGTAGTTGAAGATTGTGCATTACATATACTGCCCGAGAAACAATCTACAAGAAGATACCACCCTGATGTGAATTTTCCTTTCATTGTGGGCCAGCAAAAAAGTCATCAGGGGGTTTATTCATGCCCGCCGTCGGAGTTCGCAATCTGAGCGGAACTTAGTAAACCCCGAGATGGTTTACTTTAAGAAACCCTTGAAAGGCTTCGTTTGCGACCCCAACACGAGATAGCTTTCAAATCTAAAAAGTAACATTTTGATCGAGATTTGAATGATGGACAAAACTTGGGATGTTATCGTTGCTGGCGCTGGCCCAGTAGGGCTTTTTCTCGCCTGTGAATTGGCCACAGCTGGTGTGTCGGTGCTTGTACTGGAACAAGAGACTGGCCCGGAGTCGCCTTGGAAGGAGGGATTATTTGGTCGTCGTGGTCTATATATCCCTTCAGTCGAGGCATTCTATCGTCGTGGCATGTTAAAGGAGATCTTCGGTGAGGACGAGCGCCCGACGAATTTCCAGAAGACCGAAGGATTTCAGTTTGGGGGACACTTTGCTGGCTTGGTACTTAATGCCAACAACATCGACTTTTCACGATGGCCTTATCACTTACCAGGACCGTCCTTTCTGCCTGGTCCAACTTCTCTCGGACGTCTCGAGGCTGTGTTGTCCAGACGCGCAGAGATGCTCGGTGTACACATCCTCAGAGGTATGGATGTCTCCCGGCTTACAAATGGAGGTGAATCAGTACAGGTATGGACCGGCGACCAGCTTTTTACGGCGCAATGGCTCGTCGGATGCGATGGTGGACGCAGCACGGTTCGCAAAGCTGCTGGATTTGAGTTTGTCGGGACGGAAGCGCAGTTCACTGGTTATATTGCGACGTGCGATCTCGACAGACCGGAGTTATTAAAGCCAGGATTTACGCACACAAACACGGGGATGCATATAGTTAGTGGGCCTGGACAGCTTCATGTGATTGATTTTGATAGGGACTTTGACCGGTCACAACCTATCACGCGGGAACACTTCCAAGAAGTATTACGACGAGTGTCAGGCACAAATATCGTCGTCGAAGCACTTCACTTAGCCTCATCGTTCACCGATCGCTCAAAGCAAGCAACAAAGTACCGCAAAGGACGTATCCTCTTGGCCGGCGACAGTGCCCACATCCACTCTCCATTGGGCGCTCAAGGATTGAGTACGGGCATTGGCGATGCGATGAATCTCGGCTGGAAGCTTGCTGCTACCGTCAAGGGGGTTGCATCTCTTGGCCTACTGGACACTTACCATCAAGAGCGACATCCAGAGGCGGCACGGGTGCTTGAGTGGACTCGCGCGCAAGTAGCGATATTACGCCCTGATCCATATGGCCAGGCCATTGCGAGCCTCATGCGGGACATGGTCAATACACAAGATGGAGCCACCTACATCGCCGATCGCATCTGGGGGCTTTCACTGCTCTACGACCTAGGCGATGCACATCCACTCGTAGGCTGTAGCGCTCCAGACTTTGAATTCCATGATGGGTTGCGACTCGGAGCTAAGTTAGAGACAGGCTCCTTCCTGGTGATTGACTTTGGGAGCAACGGCAAGGTGGCAGCGTTTGTGAAGTCCTTGCGGCCCATGGTTGACTACTCTGGGCACTATGCAAAGGAGACATTCGGGCTGAAGGGTTTACTGGTGCGACCTGATGGTGTCGTCGCATGGGTGTCGACGGACAAGATTGACATAAGACGACTGCAAGCGGCATTATCCCGTTGGATAAGTCTCCCCGGACTTGATGTCTGAAGGCAATACCTCTTGTTTGAACCAATAGAAGGAATTGACTGCATAACAAAACTCAACGAACCAGCTTGTCTACTATTAGAGTAGAGGACGGACAGAAATTAAATACAATGAAAAGTCCAAATATATCTGATAGTAATCAGGATGAACGGACCTACAAACTTATGTCAATGCACCTGATAAACACAAGATGAGCCTTAGTCTGTGCCTCCTGAGCGCAGTTGTTTCCGTCCCACGCCTCTCGAGATTGTCTCGTTCAATAGTTCCTGGGCGTCCGAGGCTACTGCAATATGACTAAATTCTATTTATACATTGACTATGCGATGGTCTATAGCTCCGACAAAAGTCCGTTGAGATTTCAGAGCAATAAATCGCATCAAGCGGAATCCCCAGAATAATTCTCTTTTGTAGTGGCTCGGTGTCCGATAATCCCTTCCCGTGGCTTAAACGATTTCTACACAGGTCATGTTTCGCATCACCGCTCATTCACCTCTACGGTTTTTGCTGTTGAGTTGAAAACCAACAGGCAAGCTTTACGTTACGGGGTTTGGCCCAAGGTAGATATGGGCGGATATAAAATAATTCTCCGCAGCTCCAACGGCAAACGTCCGGAGGCCGGGAAGATCGGTGACACGGGAATCTATACTTTGATCTATATAAGTCCCCTTTGCAATGGAAGATTTAGAACGAGTCGTGTGGTGGGACAGAATGCGAAGAACTTTGATTTTCAACTCTATACATCCCTGGAGGCAGAGACGGGCGAGACCTGATATTTGGTCAGTATTTCGATTGGAATGCAACTGCTTCTGCAAAGACGGTGGGCGACACTTTTGCTCAGGCATCGTACTCTGTACCTCCCAAGAGGAGGTCTCTCTCAACTCATCTGGTCGATCGGCGGTCAACGTAGTGTGAGAGAAGCCTTCAGGACACCAATTGTTCGAATCGCATATGGGAGCGGTCGCTACAATTTTCAATTGGACGAGATAGTGGCGAGCGCCCTTTGAGGAGCTACATGAATATGTACAATGAGTACACAATTTGCGTTGACATCCTTAGCTCTCTCGGCTACCGGTTGATTGATGTACACCTTCGGCGATGATCCAGAATCCAAAGCGAGATACCAGGAAATATGAGGCGCGAGAAAGTATCCTCACGTCCCAGTGATAGGTATATAATGCCATCCTACCTTGCTCCATTTGCTGCCTCATCGGTCTCTAGTCACAATCATACCTAGCCAGCTTTCTATCAATCTTACCCGTGGTCGTGAAAAGCCCATCCGGCCTCATTCAATCGCCATCAAAATGCGGTTCACCCTTGCTTGCCTCGCTGCTCTTGCGTCTTCCGCCGCAGCCTATATGATCAACAGCCCAATGGGTGGTGATAGAGTCTACCTCCAGGGGGGAACCACGATTACATGGGCCGCTGTTGAGTAAGTTATAGATTGCCTATTCTCAACCATGGATAAGAACCACAGTGAGCTGACATGTTGTACGTGATCTAGGAGCGATGCTCCTTTGTTTGATCTTTGGCTTGTCAATATGCGACACTTTCCCCCGTACGCAAGGCGCATCCAACAAGGTATCAACAGAAATGCGCTTTCGTACAGCGTGCAAGGTGTGAGCGATGTCCCGCCGAAGTATGTACACGTTCTATGCCTCAGACCTTATGACCAGTCAACTAATTTCCACAGCACTGGATATCAATTCAACTTCGTCCGGCACAATGCCGATGAGAATGAGGCCAAGGAGCGCCCGTTGGCTCAGTCAGCGGACTTTGATGTTACCGCAACTGGCCTTATTTGATTTGGCTTCAGTGGATAGAGCTTCAGGGCTCTGCGGTTTGTCTGGATGCTATGGTTGAGTGCTTGATGTTGTGTTGTTCGTTGATAGTGTTGTCTTCCGTCCTCCTCTTGTACGTGGAAGCATAGACCACTTTGGAACAGGCAGGCAAGTCTTCGTGGTTTCTAGCAGCGTATAAGACTTTTCGGGTTTAGTTTTGATGCCGTTAGTATGCCGACTGAATATGACCTGGTTTTCTCGAGCACAACCACTTTTGTATATTTTCGTAGCTACACAGTACAACGCCTCTCTGCTATGCCTTGCAGCGCGCCGGCGGAAGACAATTTCAATCATGTCAGTCATTGCCCCGGTGACATCTAAAATGGCTGTAATGGCTAGGGTGGTATTTACCTCAGTAGATATTACATTGTAGCGAACACGGGCATACAAATGAGGCAGAGTTGCAAGATGTCAAATGGTGCCCACGGTCGCACCGACGAGAAAGAGCTACGGGAAAGCAAAGCCACCAGATCAGTAGTAGCTTCTGGCCATGTGTTCATCATTGCTCTTAGCGTAAATTGGCCATCAGAGGCTTATGCGTATTGTGCGCCAGGCACATATCCAATCCGCGTACTCAGCTTGGGGAACGTCGGATGCCACCCCATACCGGGTGCCGTGTGGGATCAGCGCCGACGCTCACAAGGTCATTTATGTCTTGCGCCATGAGCACTCGATATGGCGTAGAGCTACCCATAATCAACTCACGAAGCTATGCTGAGATATCGTCGATTGCATAAATATTCGCTGCAATGCGCCACGCGTGCAGTAGCAGGAGAAGCGAAGCCAAAGTGTACCCTGTGTTGCCGAAACCGGAGCACTAGCAGTTTAGACCCCATTAAGGAACATAAGCGCCAAAGCCTAAGTACATGGCATGATAGAATTGCGTTATTATTAATGATGTGTCGATCGCACCAGAAACGTTTAGCTCTTAGTCGGTTCGGGAAAGTTGTCACGATCAACCATGACTGCGAGAAGTTAACACAGAGGGACGTGAGCTGGACTGGATTCAAAATGGACGTGGCGCAAAGAGACATTGGGGTCGGTCTATTTGATGCACGCTAGCCATATGGATTGGATCAAAGACATAAGTCAATCGACGTAAGCTCACGAAACCAGGGTAACAGGGTAAGCAACCCTAAAATGCAGCCACGGAGGATCGGGCCAACCCGCGCGGCCCAACTTCCCTGTCACTGCGTTAAACCTTTTAAGCGCAAGGTGCTTGCTCGAGGATCGACTCCACTTGGTTTATGAAAGGGTGAAAAGGAGAGAGATCCGGTGGGCTTTGGCCATCCAGACCATGAATTAGATTTCATTTCGTGGCTCAGCTGGCGGCCGGGCCCACCCGAGGGATAGATACTTGAAAATTTTTTTTCGAAGATACGGAGAGAGCTATGACTCTCTGGCCAGCCGGATAAATCATGCCCCACGGTTAAGTGGCTCGGCCCATGTCGGGTGCAAGACTCATTTCGGTTGATTAAGATCATCATTCTGCTACTTGATTTTTACTTATGGTTTTTACCTATGTAGGAGTACTCCGTACATGCTTACTGCTTCCTAACTATGCGGTTGAGAGATATAGAGGTATCATACCATATTTTCAGAAAAGATATGTGGAGTACTGAGAAAGACCGTGTTTATTTCTTCGCCTCATAGCTTCCTTCAATATTAGAGTCCACTTTACGCCATATCTCCAATTGCCCTTCCGGTTGAGGGTCAAGAACAGGTAGGTTGATCGCTTCTTGGCTAGTTGATGTCGTAAGCATTTGAGACGAGGACTCGCCAAGGCCCTTGGACTGCCACCATCGTTTAGAACTCGATGGTGCCAAGTATTTGCGATCGGCCGAAGGCTTTGTGGAGCCGGTCCCCCTTGAAAGAACACCGGTGGGATGTGATCGATGCCCGTTCTTCGCAGCGTATCCACTATGGTACTGTGTCAAGGCCTTGCCGAAAACCTTGCGTAGTAAGGGCCACCAGCACATGAGGTTGGCCACATAGATGGCGGTGCTAGCTTCACGAATATACCAGAGCTGATAGATAGTTGTAAGCGGCGAGTGAAAATTAAAATATTTGTTTAGGATGGCGGCGACCATCACAAACACTCCCAGACCGAGGACGCTCACGAGGAGAATCTTCTTGCGCAGCGGCATCTGTGTGCCTTTCAGTAGGGGAATTGGGATGGCCAACATGCACGCATCCGACGAGAGGTTGAACACCGCCTGTGTGATGGAATAGTGTTGGTAGGTTGCGCACTGCGGGTTCTGGGGGGGAACGGCCCAATATTCCGAGAAAGGTCGACAGTATACGGCGAAGTAGGTAATCTCAATGACAACGAATCCCAGGGCGACATAGCCGGCGAGGAGTTTAACGAAGAGATGCCAGCTCACCATCTTCGTTAACTTCCAATACATGGCAACGAGACATGTCTTGACACCCCATGTCGAGAGGAGCATGCATTGTTCTAGGCCAATCACGATTTTGCTGCCATATACCCGATTTGCCACGTCCTTGGGGTCGGCCAGTATCTGCGGGAGCTGTTCGGAAGGGAAAAGGTTGGTGTTGTAGTGGGAGGATATATTGATGAGGACCAGGAGTGTCGTGTATATACCCTAACGAGTCCGTCAGTGGCGTGAATTCCCCGCTGTAGATCCAGGCAGTAAAACTGGTAGAGAAAAAAAGAACACACATACAAAAGTGACACTCATAATGTAATCATCCACTACCATGTTGTTAGTATTTTGTATGGAGAGCACTCAATGGTCTGAACATTCGCGCCATCCCGTGGGTTTGGAGGCCCAGTGCGCACCTTGAAGATTCCGGATGCCTCCATTGGATATACTTCGAGCGACACTGGTTGTCCTTCTCAGCTCCTGAATCTATGTGAAAGGAGGCCAACACCGATCAACCTACATTCTCCCAGTCCAAATTAGCACACCTATACTCCAGAAGACAACCGCTTCTACCAAGAGCTGGTGTGGAGTGGGTGAAACATCTCCCATAGTAGATCGGATGCGATCTCTAGGTCTGTGTCGAGGAACCGGCAGGGACCCGGCATAGGCGAGGTCAATTGTTTATTTAAACTGCAGCGGGTCCGTGGCGCTCGCAGGGTCTATAAGCTCATTATTTCGTCCATAGTAATCGTAATCGTCTGCTAGGCCCCGACGATTCGGTACTCCAATCAACCCGCGGAGATTAAAGTTCACAAACATGCAGGACAGTTCACAGTCTGAGATATTAATGCCGTATCCGAGAACCGGTCTGTAGTTCGGGCATAATTTCAGGATTCATATCCTGGCATGGTTTGCAGAAGGGAGCAGGTCAAGACGCTAAGCCTTCCTGCGGCCGAATCAACAGCGATAACGAGACTTGGGCACGATGCTTAGTGTGGGTGGGGGTCCAAGGGAAACGCAACGTGAGTTCTTAGCGTGTCTGCACCAATTTTATATCCATGCATCTCGTCCCACCCCTGCAACTATCGGAAACTTACGCAATATTCTTCAATTTCTTCCCTATCTTTTTGCTTACTATTTCAAATTCCTAGCAGAGCTTTCTATTTTTGCTTTTCCCATTTTGCTCATTTTTTCCCCCCTGCTTACCTGTTGTTGTTGTTTTCGGAATATTCCCTTCCCAACCCACCTTTTTGTGTATTGATTGGATTCTGGTGACCTAAAAATGGAGCAGGCTCCAGGCAGCGCTAGTCGCGCTAGTAAGGGAAACATTCAAGTTGATGAAGCACGCCTTGAAGCGGCTTTGGGTCATAAGCAAGAACTGGTTCGTGGATTTGGATTATTTAGCTTGACCAGTCTGGGAATTATTATCGCAAAGTATGTGTGTGACCTGCGTTCTCTGCCATCCTGGCTTATGCTTCGAAATTCGACGATCCTAACCAAGATGACAAATTGATAACAGTTCCTGGGCGGCTACTGGAGGAACTATCGTGACTGCCCTGTACAATGGCGGGCCTATGGCCGTTTTATATGGGCTGATCTTGGTCACGGTCTTCTATGCATGCATCTCCGCCTCTCTCTCTGAGCTAGCTTCGGCAATTCCCTCGGCGGGTGGTGTCTACCATTGGTCGTCCGTTGTCGCAGGCAAGTATGGTCGCGCTGCAGGCTTTTTCACGGGCTACCTCAATGCCTGCGCCTGGTTGCTGTCGGCAGCTTCGATGAGCTCGGTGCTTGGAAATGAGGCAGTTGCCATGTATCTCCTCCGGCATCCGGGTGTAGAGTGGCATAGCTGGCAGCCCTTCATTGTTTTCTTGATAGTATTATGGATGTGTTGTGCTATTGTGTGCTTGGGAAACCGGTACCTTCCCCTCATCAACCGGATTTCGCTGGTGCTGTCCATGGGTGGTTTGTTTATAACCATTGTCGTGTTGGCCGTGATGCCCCGCGGCCGACGCGCCAGCAATGATCAAGTCTGGCGAACTTACTACAATGAGACTGGCGGCTGGTCTGACGGCATCTGCTTTCTCTCTGGACTCTTGAATGCAGCCTTTGCGGTTGGGACTCCGGACTGTATTAGCCACTTATCCGAAGAGGGTATGTATATCCATGTCCGGGGCTCCTTCGTTCCGCTATCGTCTCCTTCTCTGTCCCCAGGTTATACTAACAACATCTGACACCCAGTCCCCCAGCCAGAGAGAAAGGTCCCACAGGGCATTATGCTGCAGCTTCTGACCGCATTCCTCACCGCGTTCGTCTATCTCATTGCGCTGTTCTACGGGATCAATGATATTGACGCCGTCTTTAACACCAACGTCAATTACTTTCCCGTTGCCGAGATCTACCTACAGGCTACAGGCTCTACAGCGGGGGCAGTCGGTCTTATCGCCCTGCTCTTCCTAGCCACCTTTCCCACGCTGGTGGGAACCCTGACAACCGGTGGCCGGATGTGGTGGTCACTTGCGCGCGATAATGCCACTCCCTTCCCCTCGTTCTTTGGCCAAGTGCACCCCACGTTGGATTGCCCGGTAAATGCCACAGTGGCCATGGCAGTGATGGTTTCCTGCCTGGGCTGTGTTTACGTCGGTAGCACCACCGCGTTCCAAGCATTGATCTCGTCATTTATTGTTTTGAGCACGCTCTCCTATGCTGGTGCTATTGTTCCGCATATTCTATCCCGGCGACGAAGTGTAGTCCTGGGACCCTTTGCGATGCCCCACAAGATTGGTTATGTGGTTAATTTCCTCGCGGTACTCTACATCGCCGTCACGGTGGTGTTCTTCTGCTTCCCCTTTACTTTGCCCGTCACCGTTCAGAATATGAACTACACAAGTGTTATTACTGTCGGTCTTATGACCCTTGTCGGCATCTGGTGGTTGTTCCAAGGTATGAGGACTTACAAGGGCCCTACCTATAGCCGGGAGGCGGCTGAACGGCTGGCGATGGGTAAAGCAGAGTCGTCCGCTGATATGAGTGCAATGGCCGAAATGTAATATATTATATCACAAAATGTAGTAATAAGGGTTTGTAATGTCGAAGTTAAGAAATGGAATAGTGAATACGAGTCTCTATGCATTTATGCTTGGTTGGGCATAACGGACATAATGAGAGCTAGTGTGAATAACGCTGGCTCCACGACATAAGTCATGCACAGTTCGACCAGGTGCGGTGGTATACAGTGGCATATCCTGGCCATGCCCATCCTGTCAGAATATACATTACAGGGTACTGCCTAGTAATACCCATATTGTTATATTGCACTTTCCAGGTGGCCTCGGCGTCTTTGAGGCCAGAGACATTATCAATTTCCTCCTTGAACTGTGATCGGTCGGTCTGCAACTATCTGCGAGCATCAACAGCTAGCATACAAACTTGTGAACGCCTGCAGACAGGGGATAGCATCAAGAAGAAAGTGGAAGTATTATTCAAGGTTACGTTGAAGGAAAACCAAGTGCGTGCGGGAATTGGAAGGAGAGAAGAGAGAAATAGAATCTATGATCTAAGAAATAGCCTTGGAACTTAGGCTATGTAGGTCCACCACACTGAGCGATTCCGCAGATTGTGCAGCAAAAAGGGACATCAAGGTCCTCTTCCAGAAGCTTCTCAGTGTCGGGGCGGATGGCGTGAATAGCTCACCGAATTAATCTCTTCCTTTACAATTTTCAAAAGGCACTAGTCGAGCTATTATCGCTGACCATGCCGTCTCGGAACACCGAATCAATAGCCGCCGTGTAAAGAGCCTCGGACTTCTTGCGTGCAATAGTGCCTTTGGGGGTTCTTGCAAAACCAACAGCAGGATCCGTGAGGAGGATACGGGATCGCGAGATCTTGCCGTGGGTGGGTGTAGCGGCATTGGCTTCTACAACTGAGGGCCATATCTTGTCAATAAATTCCTCTTTGCTGATATCGCTCATAGACTGCGCTGGTTCGGTTATAAGGACAACCGCTGGGCGGGCATTTCCCACGACTAGCGCACCAGCGATGTTAGGATCTCCTTGTAGAGCCGTCTCCATGGGAACAGGAAACACCTTAGCACTAGTCCCTAGCGCGATGAGATCGTCAGTGCGAGAGTGGAACTGCCACAGGCCTGGCTTTGTAGGATGAGGAGTAAATAGATCCTTGGTGCGCCATTCCTTCGCATCCGGGAAGGTATGTGAAAGAGTGCGCCGCCCACTGAATTTATCATCCTGATGCAGCACCAGCTCATAAAGACCGGAGTCCTTCTCTACCTCCTGCATATCACACTCTTCGGCAGGATTCGGCTCAAGGTACTGCCATTCTCCGGGCTGGGGAACCAGCATCTGGATCTGGCCGCTCTCAATAGAGCCGTACATTTGACAAAGGTCAGTCAATTCGCTGAGCTTCTGCCCGACATTTGGAGCTAGAGGTCCGCCACCAAAAAGCACAAAGTCGAGACCCTCCGCCTTCTTCCGCGCATCTGGGTCACATGTCCACCATTGCTCGACAGTAGATGGAGGGATATAAAGGGCTCGAACTGTCGTCTGATTCATAATAGAGCTCACTAACTGACCGCTGGGTGGCATAGTCGAGGGACCCCAAACGGCAGTAGCGGCCGTGGAGAAAGTTGGGATGACCATGAATGCCATTGTACCAGCCAGCTTCTTTTCATTAGTTATATAAACACAGAAAGCAAGTAACTTCAAGGGAAGATTTCCTACATGGAATGGCGGGAAGCAACAGTAGAATCGCCCGGTTGAGGAAAAGTCAAACTGTTTAGCATTCTGTGGCCGACGTCCTTCCGGTACAGGAACATTCCGGTCAGAATCAGTACAGGCAAATGCATCATGTGTATAGTACACAATCTTTGGGAGTCCTAGATTGACACCCTTGGTCAGAAACTATGTAGCAGGCTTTTAGGAGAGGGGGGGGAGGGGGGAAGAATTTGTACCTGTGGACCCAGACGTGTGCATAGCAAGACATCTTTCGTGTTTGACATCCGCAAACAATACATCAAAAGGAAAAGGAGGGGATTGACTATTCAGTACTTCATCCAGCGATGGTATCAGCGTATAGGATATCTGAGATATGGAGTCAAGCTGCTGGATGCCTTTGACAACCGGCTCCATCAAATCCGCGTAGAGAACAAGAATCACTCTCGCCTCACGTAGCAAATACAAATTCTGATCAGGTGGGTTTCGTGGTGATACCCAGAACGTCTTAGGAATTACATGTTAGCTGCATGTAAAGCCTCGGAAGCAATATTCGGATTCGTACCATCCATCCAGCTTTGATTGCTGCAAAAAAAAGAACAGGATATCGGATATCTGCTACTCCGACATATGCTAGAACTTTCTTCTCTTTAGGGACATCCTTGGAATGACTATCTAACCACCAAGCCATGAAATCGACCGCGGTAGCCATTGTCTTCATGTCGACATCTCGAAAGCCATCCGCAACATTTTGCGTTCTTGGCATAGAGTTAAATACGCGACTGGGACCTTCATGGGCATGATAGTCGATGACATGGGGGAGCAGTCTCTGGCCCCTGAATTCCTCTGCCCCCCGAAGCCATGGCTCTTTGTGGTTGGGAACGGACATTGTGGGTTAAAACCAGAGTATAGGACAAGGAATTTGCTTTCAGAAACACGAACGCAAAGAGAGAGTTGGATTATACATGGGAATGAGAGTGTCCGAAGTATATATAGCAGGTATTAACCATTAATACTACCGTCGAGGTGAATATATCGGGCCGGATCCCACCTTGTACTTTACTGCAAGGATCATTGCAAGTTTGAATGTTTCCACTGTAAAGGTGAGCAAACTGGAACGATAACCCCTCAGAGAGACAAAGACGGTGGATATGGTGGCGTACGGTTGTATCAGACAGCCTGCATTAGCCTTAAGGCGAAAAGTCCCTCAAGCCCCAAGAACTAACACAATAGTGGAGAGGATGGCGCAAAAATGGATCTTCCCTTTGTTCACTAGTCAATCTGCGTAAGCCTCGAGTTTGCCTTGGTCGGGATATGGTTGGAGGGCTTTTCCCGGAACCTCCTCATATCCCTGCACAAGGCTTCTTATGAACCGTGAGCCCCGCCCCCAGTTTAGATTGGACTGTTTGTCGGTCTATGAAGTTGTCAGGAAAGGAGTAAAAAATGAGGTTTTTGTCATTAGGTGTGTTGAGCAAATTGCCAAAGAGAAAGCTGGCCAGACGAGGCAGGTGAGCCAGATGAGAAGTAGTAAGTGTAAGTGAACAATCAGCTATAGAGAGGCGAGTCCCCAGGCACCGCGCGGGCTATCCCTCTGACTAGTGAGTCGAATATTGGAGCGTTGTGCTCCGTACTGTTTACCTAGACTAGTCTCAGCTACAAGTAGGACTCAACCCTTGAAAGAATTTCAGTTCTCAATATCCCTGAAACTTACAGAATAATATAATTCACTGGTATCTATGTACATTTGCTCCTTTAAGTAATATGATAAATCTAGATTCTAAATGATATTACTATGTTAAGAGACCTGCATTAGTGTCTCTTAGCCTGAACCCACCTCCGCTCAAGTTTCCCAGACTCCCCGATCAACTCTAGCTCTGATGTGAGACGATCACTTGCAAACCTTTCACTAGGATGCTTCAGCGCTTGGTGCCTTAAGCCAGGAGACACTGAATGTTGGATGTACATACATCATGTTATTCTATCCTACCACGAGGGAAAGGCCAGGTGGCTTTTACGCATCCGCCTTAATGATATCTGCGCTCGCTCAGCCATGGCATGCACCGTACTCATGATGTTGGCTACAGTGATCAACGGTAGGATACTGGTGTCACAGACTCGCAAATTGGTCGTTCCATGTACCCTCAGCTTCTCATAAACTACACCACCCTGTTTCGGCGGTAGCATAGCCGCGGTTCCGCAGGGGTGATACGTAGTCGTCGCAGTATCGTGTAGGTACTGCTTGGCAGACCCGAAGTTAGTGATGAACGCATTGGGGTGATTTCGCCGCCCGTTCGGCTTCAGAAACCGCAACAGAGGCTCCGCTTTGTGAAGTTTCTCCACGTCTAACAGATTACGGGTCATTATTTCCAGATCCAAGGAATGTCAGAAGTAACGGGGATCAAAGGTCCGCTTGTCCTCCACGTTCGTAGACGAAATGTGGATGCTGCCACGTACATACAGACCTTGTATTTTCTAGTAGTTTCAAATGCTGATAATGGACAGGTCGCTACACACGCCTGGTCAAGGAAGTCGTCATGTCCGAGACGGCCACGGTCATTGCACTTTTAGTTTCAAAATATCGAATCAGCTTCCCTACTGATAAAGGAATCGCTCAAGAGAAGTGTTGAGACGTTGATGAAAGATCAGTTCACTGCAACTCCGGATAGTATAAATCTTGTATTCACTGAGCGAGAGATAAGAAAGAGGCGAATTGCTATCGGCCGAGTATAGGTTTAGCCCTAGACTACTCGTGGACCAATGCCCCGATTACAGGGTTAAACACCGCGCATTCTACATTCGTATACAAACTTGGATTCAATTGGTTCTGTCATGGTGCCAAGTCTAGATATGAAGATATCATCCACCGATCCATGCCCCTATTAAAAATGCGAGAAGGAAACTCGTCCAGGCTATGCCGTGATAGGCATTAACAGGAAATGAGACCAGTATTGCAATTCCCACCACATGGGGGCCCGACTGTAAGCACCAGCTACGTAATAAACTAATCGCATATACGTTGGATACCTGACTCCAGGCGGTTACGGCATTTCACCTCTCCAGTAGTGGAAGGCCAGCATGACGGAGGGGACTAGATCAAGAGAGCCGGAGCCCATCGCTTCCAGGTCTCTTGGTAGAGGGCACGGTAGCTCTGGCTCAGTTCGCTGATAGGCGAACCCCACTTTCGGGTAAACCCATTCGTACGAGTTTTGGTAAGGCTTGATTTGTGCATTCATACGAGAGAAGTATGGCTGAGCATTTGTTAACCGTGCTACAAACTACCTAGGTATAGGACGGTCAAACTCCAGACGGGGCGGCGATACCTTGATCCAACTCTTAACCATGGTCCAGAAAATGGATAAGCATAAGCAACCTGCATTAGCGCGAGTACGATTGACGAATCATTGCTATTTGTGGGGTGTAATGACCCTCTCATTGGTACCCATATGAGCGCCACGGCTAACTCGTTTTGTGTCCAAGCTGGATGTGGACCATGTTTTACTACAATATGCTAAATTACCACAACACACCAAACAATAGCCATACGTTCTTGTTGGTCGCTGGCGAGCAATTGCATTCCTGTCGGCTATTGTCCACTATAATCCCTCGTTATATGCTGCATTTCCTGGTACCCCAAACTTTACATTGTGGAGAGCAATCTCCCCACATACGTTAATGGGCTCGTGCCCTTAGCTCTTCCAATACATACGCTGGAATCGTGGAGTACCCCAGACTATCCCCGCGCAAAAAAACTGCCAAATAATGAAGGTCAGTTATCTAAGCAAGATGAAATTATAGCAGAGCCCCGGGGTTCCTCCTGGAAGGATTGGTGTCGTCAAGAGCTGTCTGTAATGATAATGAGATATCAGGAATATCCCTTTGCTACTACCTAAAGGTGAACAGATCTCAAGGCTTTCTCGCATTCAAGAAGCAAATGAGGTAGCACTCGCTATGTAGTAAGGGACTTTTCGGTACATTCGCTTGGCATTTGTAAACCCAGTAAAGAACGTTCTCTGCGTGCGGGACCTCGTATTCCGCCCTTCCAGAATTGCAAGGACAACCACTCAAGCCGCCGATATATCTCCGCGCCAATGGCTTATGTCTCCTCCGTACCGGCTCCAATAGAGTCTCGTTGAGTCAATAGAGCAGCTACCTTTCGGTTAATCTCCGCACTAAATACGTTAGCGAACGTGCCGTGCCATCGAGTCTGGTGCCATGGTGTAGGTTTTGGGTGCGAGCACAAATATAAAGACACGCCGTTGTCCCAGTCCAAATGAACATGCTTCTATTTTGTTATCTTTTAGGCACAACTAGAAGCTAATGGCAAAATGGTGTATTCCAAAGCCTGCTTGTTGATCCTCGGTGTGGCCGGTGCCCATGCAACCACTCTCCAGGATGACAGTTACTTTTACGGACAGAGTCCACCTGTCTATCCCACTCCCAATATGACTGGGGCCGGCGGATGGGGCTACGCACTTTCCAAAGCTCAAGATCTGGTGGCACGTATGTCTCTCGAAGAAAAGATCAGTATCACTGCAGGGGTTACGGATGACACGAGTGGCTGTGGAGGCAATATTCCCGCGATCAATCGCCTTGGGTTCCCCGGAATATGTCTACAGGATGGCCCCAATGGGATCAAGGGAGCAGAGCTGGTTAACGGTTATCCATCTGGTATTCATATCGGTTCGAGGTATGATATGGTTTGACAACGATAGAAATAATCATCTGCTAATATCAACCCAAGCTGGAACAAAAGCCTCGCTTATCGCCAGGCGCATGCTATCGGCGGTGAGTTCAGGCGAAAGGGTGTAACATTGGCACTTGGTCCACCGGTTCTCGGTCCTCTTGGGCGAATTGCGCTTGGAGGTCGCAATTGGGAAGGCTACGGCAAAGACCCATATCTCAGTGGTATCATGGGAGCTGAAACCGTCCGAGGTGTGCAAGACAACGGAGTTATTGCATGTGCAAAGGTAAGGGACCGCGTCACTCTGTGCCATGTTTTAAGTCAGCTTGATTAACTCCTTTTAGCACTTCGTGGGTAATGAGCAAGAATTACACAGGAATCCTCGTCCAGACCCGGTCACAAACAAAACCGTCGAGACCTCCTCTAGTAACATGGACGACAAAACTATGCACGAACTTTATATGTGGCCGTTTGCTGACGCTGTGCACGCCGGAGTTGCAAGTATCAGTAAGTGTTCATGTCCTTCCTTTGCACTTCATAGGCGATTGTTTACTAATCATACTATTATCAACTTACAGTGTGTGCCTACCAGCGACTCAACAACAGCTACTCGTGCCATAACAGCAAACTCCTCAATGGGCTCTTGAAGACCGAGCTCAACTTTCAGGGGTTCGTCTTGAGCGACTGGTTTGCCCAGCACACTGGTATTGCGAGTGCCATGGCTGGCCTTGACATGGTCATGCCCGATGGGGACCTCTACTGGGGTGCCAACCTTACAAACGCAGTGCGCAACGGGTCCATCCCAGTCTCCCAGATCAACAATATGGCCACCAGGATTATGGCAGCTTGGTATCTCTCTGGTCAGGATAACCAAAGCCTCCCACCGGTTGGTATTGGGATCACCGCAGACTACAAAAAGCCGCATCCCGTTATTGATGCCCGAGACCCCGGTGATGAGGCCCTCCTTCTCGAGGGAGCTATCCAGGGGCATGTCTTGGTCAAGAACGTCGGCAATGCCTTGCCATTGTCCAAGCCACGTATACTATCGATCTACGGGTACGACGCGAAGGTTGCAAACATCAATCTTGCAATGGCTGGGATAAATGGCTGGACCCAGGGGCTGGAGGCACATGATTACAAGAGTGTTGTATGCGGTTTTGGCCCAACCGGAGGTCACTGCCCTCCGTTCGCTCCGATTGCTGCCAAAGGGACTTTAATCGGCGGTGGTGGCTCGGCGGCAATTACGCCCACGTATATCAGCAGTCCCTTTCAGGCCTTGGAAGCCCGCGCACGCCGCGACGGCACACAATTGTTTTGGGACCTTGAGGGTTCACAGGTGACTAATGTGGAGTCAGAAGCCTGCCTTGTTTTCGTCAATGCAGCTTCGTCCGAAGGAGTTGATCGGCCGGCCCTAAGAGATGATTATACGGACGGACTTATCCTCGACATTGCCTCTCAGTGCAACAATACGGTGGTTATTATTCACAATGCAGGTGTCCGGCTAGTCGATCAATGGATCGATCACCCGAACGTTACGGCTGTTATATTTGCACATCTGCCTGGTCAAGACTCCGGAGAGTCCATTACCCAGATTCTATACGGAGACGTGAGCCCAAGTGGAAAACTTCCTTATACCGTACCCCATAATGAGTCAGACTACGGGGCATTGCTCAATCCGGTGACCTATACAGACTGGGATCGGTATTTCCCGCAGGATAACTTTACGGAGGGAGCTTTTATTGACTATTGTGCATTCGATAGGAACGGTATTGTTCCACGGTTCGAGTTCGGGTTCGGTATGACATATACAACGTTCAAGTATTCGAACCTCAACGTCAGATACACTATAGATTTATCTGAGCTCCCAGAGTATCCGATTGGTCCTATGATTCCAGGCGGAAATGCTGACCTCTGGGACACCATTGCGGTTGCAACGGCTGACATCACCAATACTGGTCAAATGGAGGCAGCGGAGATTGCACAACTCTATATTCAGATCCCTATCGAAGGCCAGCCACTCTTACAGTTGCGGGGCTTTGACAAGGTCACAGTCCCTCCTGGCGGAAGGAGGACTGTTGAGTTCAATATCAGGCGCCGTGACATCAGCGTGTGGGATGTGGCTTCTCAGAACTGGAAACTCATTCTTGGAGCACAGTATCCGATTTTTGTTGGTGCCAGCTCCCGCAATATCATTCTAAACGGGACATTAGAACTGTAAGGATCTAAATGCTGTATATACGATAGGACATTCAATTCAAGTTCTATTGGCCTTGGCTGTACACTAAGGGTAACCACCGCTGAAATATGTATATATCAAGGATAGAATACTCTCAGCAGTATCCGTGCACTCAAAAATGGTTTTACACCAGTAAGACTGTGAAGATAATTTATCCATTTATACCACGGGAGGTAGCTAATCTAATTATGTAGAATGTATAGTTAGTATAACTATTTGTCCAGTCGCTAGGGAGATAGTATAACTACTATATATGAGAGTCTAATTAGGGGACAGGATCATGGATTATGAGGGTACTGGCGATAACATACATGCTTAAGGATGCCCTTACTCCTATACATAACAAGATCAATGCTTGTTTTGCTAACATCTTCATATCCCACGGCTCGGTACAGGCGACAACCGTCAACAGAAGCCTCCCGTCATGCTGACAGTCCTCTTTGTGAGCTTCAAGAAGACATGGGAGAGCAATCGTTTACCGATGCCTTGTTGTTGGTAGTTCAGGAAAGTAGCGAAAAAGTCAAGATCTGCTCGACAGGATAATCTTTGATTTTGATCTTAAACTCTTCTGCCTAGTCAGATGGTTTCAATTTCTAGAGATGTCTGTCGGAAATTGTGAAAAGAGAAAAAAGAAAAAAAAGTATAAAGGGGGCAAGGCTTTCGTATCTTTCGAATTTTAGTACGTAACGACGAACATTTATGGAGCATCCAAAAGTGGAATTAACGTGAGCGTCTTTCTAGCTTCCAGTCAGACCCCCATTCTGTTCTGGCCAACTGCCTATGCTTGAACCCACAATATGAAACCAGAATGCTCATGGCATAGTCAATAGTGTTGTGTGATTAAATACTGAAGACACCTCTAATCATCAGAATCACTCTTGTCATGGTTTAGAGTGTCATCACAACAGAAAAGAAACGCATCAACATCGACTCTCTCTTCAGTCTTCCTATGTGATTCCACATTTTCCGTGTATGTAGTCAATAATACATCCTCCAATGACTCTAAACCCGGATCTAATGCCTCCTTTTCCATTCTTCCGATTATCGCCACCACCTCATGACGAGCAGCCGAAACGTTGATAACATTTGGTAACGTGCGCCTGTCCGGAGGCACAAACTGAACTCGAGCAGCGAGACTGTCCCATACTCTCTGAGAATAGTATCTTTTCCACGACGTTGGTGTGAGGCCAAAAAGGACTATGAAACTGTCAAAGGTCAATTGAGACGGTAGGATTTCTCTACTACCTTCATAAGGAATGTCTAATGACCGTAGACATGCGCGGACCATGTCCAACCAAAACCGGGCTTGTGTTTCGGAATACGGTGGTATCGCCATGTTTGTAGTCCGCAGGCGGATAGTCGTTGATTGGAGTGTGGCAACTGCTTGTCGTATGGCATCTTCGTTGCATGATTCTGCGATATTTTTGCATTGGGTGATGAACACAAAAGCGAATCGTATCAGTCTAGCGGGACTTTCTTGTCCTGGAGATAAACTAGCAGGCTTGTCAAGAGCAGATGTCAGGACAGGCAATGGCCGACGATCAGGAGGGATCCATGATTCCCATGCCTGTGGGCTAAAAAGATGCTTTGTATTATAATACGAACTCCAAAGACGAGGGTCCATCACAGAGGGCGTATTTAACAGAACATTGTAGAAGTCGATCCATAACGGATCACCACCAAGTTTCATTCTCATTCTGTAGTCCCTGATGGCGATCTGTAGCTGTAAGATCCAGAAAATAGTCATCGTGCTGTCAACAAGCTCTTAGTATATCAGGCTCATTGCAGGAGATCTTTTGAAGAAATTCTGTGCTAGTGAGAGCTTACCGATGTGGCCGACATTTAAATTTCTCTGGCTGACAGTTTTGCAAGCGTCTTAAATGAGCAAACATGGTATCAGCCATAGCAAACGTACTCTGTTTTCTTTTTGTGTACTCCAAAACTAATATATAGGTGACCTTGAGGTGGGCATGATGATCCCAGACTGGTAAGTCTCCGGTAACAAATGAGTTCCAAAAGGCCTGGGCATTGACAGAATCTTGTGAAGTTTGATTGTCAATAGGCTTGCTCTGACTCGGACTAGATATTGTATCCTCTGGTATTTCTGTGACAACTTTTGGCTCGGGATCCCGCACAGGCTCAGCCCGGGGCTGAGGCTGTGGTTTCGGTCGAGTCCGCAAAAGAAGATTTGCAGATGAATGAAGCTGGCGGAGGACTTCCTTCACCCCTTCTCCCGTTTTTGCACTGAGTTTATGATCCAAGATTCTCCATGAGAGTTGATGCTCATACCTGGCCATCTCCTTCTCATACTTCTTCCGCAGGCCATCGACAACCAGTGGGGCGCTTTCCGGAGGAAGCGTGTCTTGTTTGTTTAGGAGTATCCACAGATGTTTACAATCATATTTATGAACAAAGTTCAGAAAGTAGTGAAAATCATAAATCGGCTCAAGCTGTTGTGGGTCGCAGTTGTGGATAAAGAGAGCAATGTCTGTCCCTCGAAGGTAGTGGTGGATGTATTTCTCATGCAACATCCTATTAGACACTGTAGCTTGTTATTAGTTTGCCACTAGATATGGAAACTGAATAAGAGATGGCAATCCAATACAGTGTGAACCGGCATACTATGGGCTCACTCACGGGAAATGTCCCAGATGGTCCATTGATACTTTCTCGGGTACTCGACCGTCTCAACATTGAAGCCGATCGTTGGGATGGTATTGACCAACTCTCCTAGTTTCATCTGATAAAGCAAAGTGGTCTTGCCACAGTCAGAGTTACCGAACAAGTTAACTCTAAATTCGATGGTCCTGAAGGGCCATGTAACCCATTCAACAATAGCTTCGGGAACTGCTCGTCAGCATGCTATATTGTAGACCTAGGCTTCAAGTAACACACAACTCATACTGCCTCTCTCCGAATATTGACTTGCGCAGTGGGGGATATCAGCCTGTACCTGCAGGTACAAAAGAAATGGATTCTGGAGGTTGGGGATGGACGGTTCATGAAATGTGTACTGCTACCTGTCTTACGTCAAATACGAGAAGATCTGCAATGTGTCCACTGCTACCGCTCGTCAGCCAAGGCAGAGGCTGTATGTACAGCCAGCAATGAGCCATAGAAAATCTAGGCAGCAAGGAGAGCTCAGGCTCTTGCTCACTTCTTCAAGCCTATATTCCCCACCTGCAAATATATATAGTATCGACAAGGGAGAAATCGCACACGTTCGATACTGCGCCCACGGGACTTAATTCTAGCTATGAATATTACCAACAATCCCGAAGGCCAGTTAGCGACTTACTTAACCCTCAATATCTCCATTTCGTTCGACTTTTACTTATTTTGTTTTCCTTTAAAAGGTTGCTTTTGCCCTTGAAGAGGGATCATGTGACTCAAAGTCTAGTCTGCATTGGAATGTTTAGAGTGTTTGTAATGTTTGGAATGTATGTAAGAGGAATTGTCGGATCAACGTCCATCCGAGCGGATAAACCTCTTGTGGATGAACGGCTCCGATTCTCCACTTCAATGATCTCGGATAGATATCGCAAGTCCATGACTCCATAAGTCCATATCGTCTTTTAAGTGGGGAAGTTGTCTAACAAAAGACCTAAAAGGATTCATTGACGCTAATATTAAGGAATTCTATAGTAAGACATGTTGCGCGCGGCCTAATTAACCTCCTTGAACTCATCAATCACACTCCTGGGCTCAACATACTCGCCCAACGACTCATATGCGAAATCATATCCATAGCCCTTCGGTCCACCAATCTCAAGGCCCCGTTCCGTCTTGGACCAATGTGGAGAGCAGGCTAATCCCAGCACCACCACCTGGTAGCCATACCGATACTCCGGCACACCGATCGGCTTGCCCGATTCCTTGTCCAAGATGCAAATGAGGTCCGGCACGCTGGCAATGATCTTCTTCGAGCCATCGGTGGCATGATGCTCGGCGTAGATGTTCTCGTTCTTGAACGGAATGCGGATGTGCCCGCCTTGCGCAACCGCAGCGGAGCAATTCTGGTTTGTGGCCTGGTCATCATCCTCGATGGGGACTTCGGTGATAATGAGCTCGCCGTATGAATGGCCTTTGTATACTGTTTGCTCGATTCCAGAGATCTTGCCTCGGAATAGGACCTTGGCGGATTGGGGTCCTCCGGCTTCAGCAATGATGGCTTCTGGAACTGTGAGAAGTGTACTATATTGAGCAGCCTGGGCAATGGCCCTCCCAATTCTCCATGATAGTGACACTGTATTCAAAATGGCGAATTCCCTTACAGCCGCACCATTTGTCGGGCGAGCTGATAGACCAACTAAGGAACCCATTTCGGTCAAAGCAGCACGGAGCACGCGGTCGACCATCTCATCATCTCCCGCTCGGGGCATGATGACAGACCTTCCATCGCCAGAATCAATCGCGCATGGTGTGAGTTCCCCGGGCCGATAGACGGCCATTGTAGTCTGCCAGATCATGGGATTTGCGCGGCCCATAAAGTCCGCGTCGATCACCGGGCGGTCGTAGAATCGATCCGAGCCCCATTGGAAGGCTTCGAGACCATTTGAACCGCCGATTTCGAGGCCCATCACGGCATCAAAGGATTTGTGACCCATATAATGCATGAGCTGGCCGATGGCATCGACCGTTTCGTGGGCTTGGAGGCGCTCCACCGTCGTTGCCGGTGATCCCATACGTCCTCCCCAGTAGACTAGCGCTTCGTCCGGCAGGACGGAATGATCAATGCACCGGATTTTGTAGCCTTGACGGAGCATTTCCTGTAGTTGGATGCGGCCTGCATCTGGACTTCCTCCGCCACCGCAGCCGAGGACATACGCGCCGTCTGCGACGTAGTTCAGATCGGTTTCCGTCAGAAGCCATTCGTGCCGGCCAGCCGTCTCGTTGAAGACAACATTAGGACGGTAGGTAAGATGGTCTACTGGGATCACTTCGGGCACTTCCAGGTGTTCGGTAGTCCTGGGGCTCTCAATTATAGTATCCTCCTCCACGGGGCCATCGTCATTGTCAACGAACATGCTCATCGACCTCTCGGTATCTAAATTCCCGATTGCCTTGACCACCGTTCTCAACTGATTGGAAATATAGGGAATAGGCATGGATTCAACCTCGGCAATGAAGACGCTATCCTCCACTGCGCCAGCTTGAATAGCTCGTTCAATGGCAGCCTTCTTAGCCTCTTCAACAGCGTCCTTGATGGACTGGTTCGCGATGCTGGTGATCTTATCGACCGTTCCACCAACCTTGGCGCATGCTGCACCGACCGCGTTCGCCACATCAAAGAACGGCGGGTTGATGAGTTTGGATGCACCCTCTAGCTCTGCAGGAGCCAGGACAGCACCTCCTCCGACAAGGAGCACTGGCAATGGCTCCGGCGAGGTCTTCATGAGGTCAATTGACCGTTCCAAGATCTGTTTGATCCGTGTCTGAGACGCAGAAACCAACTCAGAAGTCACTTGCTTAACGGACTCCGCATTACCGACGACACACTGACCACCGGCAACAGCAATATCAGTTGCCGTCAGAGTCTTTCCACCAAATACCAGACCTTCCGTGAGCAGTCGATGCCCAACGGAGTCTGGACCAACAGTGACAGCCCCTTTCTTGGCGCCTCTCTGTCCATCACGGACAATGGATCCTCCACCCAGTCCGACAGAATACAAATGGGGCATGGAATAGTTCACCTTGATGCCCGCTGCTTTCACATAAGCAGACGCCTGACGTGGGAGTCCAGACGGAAGAAGAACCCCAACATCGGTCGTGGTGCCACCAATATCAACGACAATGGTGGACTTATTAGCTAGATCCTCTCCGGCCAGATATGCGGCGCCGCGCATGGAGTTCGTAGCTCCGGAATTGAAGGTGCGGATGGGTGTTTTTGCTGCACTAGTCGCGTCAATAATGGTGCCGTCATTCTGCGTCAGAAACAGCGGGCACTGCAGATGAAGGGATTTCATCGCGCGACGGAAGCGTCGGATTGTTTGGCGTGCGTATCTCAAGATGGCGCCGTTAAGGATAGCAGCATTTTCCCGTTCCAGGAACCCTATGCCGTTCTCGTTAGCATTACCCTCGCCGGCCTGAGCTGCGACGCAGTAGACTGTCCAACATACCTATATTCGCGATCTCCTTCGAACACACGACATCTGCCCCCGGAATCTCGCGGGCGATAATATCCCGCACCGTCTCCTCCTGTCGGAACACCTCATCAATGGGCGAGTAAACGCCAGCGACGACAACAGTTGTTAAACCCAGCGCCTTGATGTTCTCACACTCCCGAACGACCTGCGATTCGACGACCGGTGCCTCTTGAGACCCGTCAATATGGAGGCCGCCATCGATGTACCCGACATATCCATTAATGAGACTGGCCAGTCCCGCTGGCCACTCGGAAAACGGCTTCACATCGCGCAGGAACGATTTCGACAATCGGATAATCGCAACCTTGCTTAGACGGCGAGCGTCTTGCTCCAACACAGAGTTCAGGAAGGCAGTTGTACCAATAGTGACAGAGGCCACATTTTCCGGAGCCACGTGAGAGTCCCGGAGGACCGTGTTAATGGCTTCTTGGATGCCAGTGGTGACGTCGGGGGACGTTGGTGCCTTGTGAGATGAGAGAATGCCACGAGACGCTGTCTCTCGCTGGCCCAGGTCGATTAACACCGCGTCGGTGTTTGTTCCTACCGGGTGTGAGCGGATCTTGCATGAATATACACAGCACTGTACGAGGCTGCTGTCTTACCACCGACGTCCACGCCGATCCGCACTGACTGCGCCATTCTACGAGAACTACCCAATACCGTAGCTTAGCTCTCTAGCGATTGAGTAAGTCAGATCACTAAGCACCGACTTGCAGCGCCCTCTCTCGCAGTGTTGCCACCTATTATACCGTTAGTCAGCTTACGACGCCGATTGTCTGCACTGATCGCGCAACTTCGGTCTTGTCGCGATTCTCAACTTCCCCGGAAGGAAATATCGCCGACGATCGGGTCAAATCGCACTAAAAATCCCAACCCACAATCCCGATGATCTGATTCTTCCTTCCTCCAAAAGGAAAGCTAACACGACAAGCCCCTAAAAGTAGTCGCTTTGGATTACATGCAGAAATAATCCCTGTCAAAATTTAATCTAGCATGCATTGCAATACAGATTTAATCACCAAAAATGCACTAAATTCATTACAATGCTCAAAAACTGATAGAGAACATGAACACAATTACACTCAAGCCACCACCGTCTTCAGATAGTACTCCAATGACTCCAACGGCTTCCTAGAAGGAGGGTTTGGCACTCGGTCTCGCCAGATTTCTTTGCCATCTTGGTACACAACCAGGGTTGGCCACCAGGTGACTTCCGCTTTCTTCTGCACTTCGGATCCAGCTGCGTCGAGGCCGTTGACCTGTAGATTCTGCATTAGAACTGGCATACGACGCACGATGAAGATGATAGATATACCTTGTAGAAGCGGACGCTGCTCTGGTCGTCGGCGATCTTGCTGTATAGAGGTGCAATTACCTTCCGGCACGATCAGTATCGTCAACCACCAGGGTGTCGGAGGGTCTTACATGACAAGGACCACAGTGGGGAGAGTAAAAGTCCAAGACCGCAAGACCTGGCTTCGCCAGCTCTGCCTCGTACTCAGCCAGCGTGTGAATTTCTGCAATCATGGTGACTGTTGTGGTGGTTGATAGTGATATCTCAATCGATGACAGGGGTTCGCCCGGTAGACTGATTATATATGTGGGGACCTTCTACCGTTAGACCAAAAACGCCCATAGAAAACTTGCCCTAGTCTGACAATATCTAAGATCTTCTTAATATGTCATAATCCATTAGCTTGGTCTCGAGTCAAGAACCACTTCCACGGGCCCACTTAGAAGCGCTAGAATCCCAACCGAAGCCGTGGGTGGACCCCCTTCTCGGTGAAGTCGGGAAGTTAGCCTTGAGCTCTAACCGTTGCCTTCATGACTTTTGTGACTTGTGTGCCGTTACTGCCGTCTGGTTGCCTCATTGTATACGTACCACATGACAGTCGGGGATGTTCTGTGAAAAGGAAGGACGCCGTGTGTCGAATCAGATTATGAGATGTATTAAGCGAGAGAGTAATTATTACTACATAGAATGGAAATTTTTTTCTGACAAACATGGAGACAACGTCCATCCATCATAAGGCCGGTACAATCAAGGTACCCTCCCGGTCCAGCTCACATCGTTCGCCATGGAACTATCACAGATAGTCTACCGATGTTGACCCTTCTCCATTGCCGTGATGGTCTGGCTCTGCATCTCGTCTGACCGTTCACTATACATCGGGTCATGAAATTCCTGCTCATCCACTGCCCCAATCCCCTTCGGGGGACTGAGATAGCACAGGCCAGCGTGAAGCACGAACGATGCAAAGAATCCCGCGATGGGCCACAGGTAGAATGTATATGTCAAGCCAATCGGGATCCCTGTGTTGTGTGGGTTTAATGCGGCGAGGCCAGGAATACTGGGCGCAAATCCAATCATCCAAGCTGTGAAGGCACGCCAGTTGAAGCCGCCCTCGAACCAATAGATGCTACTCGCATCAGCGCGGTAGAGGTCGGACAGTTTCAGCTTTTGCTTGCGAACGATGTAGTAATCGGCGACCATGGTGCCCATGAGCGGGAACAGGATGACTGGAGCGGCGGTTAGTGTGGGATTTACTCAGGGGGTTGTTTATCGCGGCCGAGAGAAAACTCACCTCCGAAGCTGTTCAGGGTGTTGGTGAAAATAGCCCCGTTGGCGATAATCTGCCACGGGTTGATCACGACGGAGATCGCCGCCAGCAGATATGATCCACGACGGATGTTGAAGTACCGGGGGTACAGTCCGGCGATGTCCATGCCGCCCGAAACACCGTTTTCAATGGAGTTCATGGCCATGATACTCGATGTTAATCCGAAGGCGACGAAGAACGCGGCGGCTCGCATGGCCGGATTATGATACTGGTTGTCCAGCCACATTTGCAGGATATTGGGTGGATTCCACAGACCGAGTTCGTTCACGTCGCCATACATCTTCGCGGCAGCTGCAGTGCCGAAAATTCCCAGGATGGGAACGACGTTGCCGGATATCAGGAACGAGAAGAGTTGTCCTTTGACCTGAGCCCCCGGTCGTCGGGCGAAACGTGAGAAATCACTGTGGCTCGCCATTCCGACCGCGTTGCCCGAGAACACGACGGCGAAACCGTGGATGAAGGTCCATCCGAGGTTGTCGGTTCGCTGGGACGTCTGGAGGGTACCCAGGGAGCCACCTCGGGCACCCGCGATCAGGCCGATCGCCAGTCCCAGAATGACGAGCAGGTTGATACTGGCGATGAGCTTAAAGGGCTTCTTCAGCTTGTCGGGAGGCACCCATAAGAGCGCGAGCGAGACTGTACCGTGTCAGATCCCCTATTACGGGTGCGAATACGAGGAAGACAAACTCACTGATATTAAAGATGACATATCCGACGAACTGCTTGGTGGTCATATGCGTCGACTCCGGCAGAGTGTTCTCCATATGGTGATAGCCGGAAAAGATCGTCGACAGGATAATCGCCACCAGCTGGCCACCTGTAAAGGCCTGGACACCATACCAGATAATGCACAGGAAAATACGGAGAATGACGGGCACATACGATCCCCACATTCCAAAGACCGAGCGGGAGTTAACCGTGAAGCCAATGTGCCAGACTCCACCGGGCCATCCGACACAGAACACCACGGCCGTCTGCAGGAATTTCGTAATGATGTTGCATAGGATGGATTGCCAGACATTCAGGCCGAGACCAAGAAGCGAGGAAGTGATTTGCCAGCCGAATGTGGTGAAGAAGACGGTACTCCATAGATAGAGGAAGTCCCAGCTAGACCAGGTCGTGCGATCTGCGCTCGGGTGTTAGAAGCTGTATAAGACCCTTCTTCGCATTCCCACGGTAAATCGTACCTGGAGGCAAAGGGATCAGGTCTCGATTCCGCCACTGATCTGTATCACCGCTGAGTTGCAGGGTGCGATGCAGTCTGCTCGCTGCGCCGGAAAAGCGACCCATGATGTGCCCTTTTTTTCCCCCTCCCCCTGATTGACTCGAAATATTCGGTTACCTCGGTCGCGTTTCCTTTATATGCTCCCGTTCAAGTGCCTGGAGAGCTTTGCTTTCTGCTCACACGTGGCGTTAATCACGTCTTCAACTCTGGAAGATTGTTGAGGATGGGAAAGGGAGAAATGGTCTGGCTAGGCTACTAAAGAATGCTAAACCTACTAAATTTACCGATGCCGTGTTTTCGCTTCAACGGGTAACATCCCCGACATCCTCGTTTGTCGATCTTAACGAAAGTACTGGCACAATATGGCACGATCCGAATGATTTCCTGAGGGCTGCAGATTATGTCGATTACCTTCGAGGATGGCTTGATTTGATTTGATTTTAATTCTAATTTTTGATGTCTATTGGTCTTACCTAATCTGCATATTTAGTTAACTATCCACGCTAACTAACGCAATCCCCACCGGCACTAAAGTTTCACTAAACTACCAACCTTTCCTCAACCCGCTAGATCGCGATGATTATTCAATAACCCTTGTACCCCTTCAAAGTCGATAGTACAAGTCCAGCCTTCATCTTCGGGTAAGGCCTGTGTCGTCGTTTGCACCTTTAAAACCTCGCTAGCCACCTTCTGCAGCTCCTGCAGAGCAGATTGCCCTAAAGGCCAATGTTTACTAAACGATTTCAACACCCCGATCGCCAAGTACATGGAATCATAGCACTCCGTGATATCAATATTCTCGTCTTGACTCCTCTTGGATAATGCCGACAACTGCACGATCGCCGCACTCAGCAGCGCACAAATAAACAACGGCGTATGTTTGATCACCGGGAGCCGCAATGCTGCCAGATTAAAAATCCACTTGGAGGCAACGATCGCTTTCAACCCGTGCAGACGTTGGGAAGTTGTTGGCGACACATGGGGTTCGTTCTGCGCACATGCGATGTCCGGGTTCGGGAGCATGGAGATGAGATCGCTGCGTGGGAAATGCAAGAACATGCTGGCGTATTGCACGATCATGTACGCCTGGAAGAGCATCTCGTCCCCCTTGCCGTCCGGTTGCAGGATATCCCCCTTCCCGTCTGGCAGATGATGAATCCATCCCGCGATGGCGTGGTCCACGGCGTGGACTTGCGACGGGCGCATGTTGGAGTCGGGCTCCGTGAGGGTGAGCACGTTGACGAAGATGCGGACGGCTTCGATGCGATAGGAGTACGAGGAGAATTCGACACTGTTGGGGTTAAAGATTCTCTTGTCGAATTGGGTCAGCGACACGAGGTTGGATGGGTCGGGAATGGCGAGGTTCTCATAGTCGGTCTCCTCGCAGGGGAGGAGGACGTCGGAGAAATATGTCGCACGGGTGAACCGCTGGTGTCGGTAGAGACCGGATAGAATGCCCTCGCTAAAGACCAGCTCCCACCACGTCCGTCGCAGACTCTCCTCGAGCATGTGGTTCTGGTTCCCATGCTGCACGGCAAAGCTCGCGCAGTCCATGCCCAGTTGAATGGCCAGGTCGGTTGCCGCTTGGAAGATGGTAAAGGAGTCCATGAGTTCGTATCGGGCGTGGATCGCGAGGGCGCAGATCAACCGGGCCTGGACCATCTCGGGCGTCTGCGGGCTATTGCTACTCATGATTGCCTGGATGGTTTCCTCTCGTGTTTGCCAATCGACCGGGTTCGACGCATAGTGGCTGCCGACGAACTGCACCACCGCCTGGAGGTAGTCCGGGTAACCCTGCGTGGCGTAGAGGGAATGCGGGAGGAGGATGGGATGCGCGGGATGGAAGTTGCTGAAGTAATAGTTGACCAGACGTTCATTGTAATGGAGACGAGATGCCGTGGTGGCCGTGGTGGTGAAGCTGGTCAGCGGGGAGGCCGTCGAGGCTGGACCGGGAGCGAGGTTCACGGGCTGCGACACCTCGCCTGGCGCCGGGGTGTCTGCGAGGGAGAGAGGCAGCGCTGTATTCGGGGTGGCGGGGAGAAACGAGGATCGCGGGGTCTGGATGGCAAAGGTTGATATATGCTGCGAGACCGAGTCCAGCTCGGGTCGGTTTTTAGGCGGCCGTTGCCCACGGCGCGAGGGGATGTACGTGCAGTTGGACCCCGCGGACAAGCACCGCGAGCACTGCGGATAGCCAGAATTGCATTTCAGACGTTTTTGTCTACATTGCGTACAAGCAACTGGGGCCCGTGCGGCATGGTGGACCGCAGGTGTTGCTGCTGGAGCGGGTGAATCTGTCATGGTTTTGTGGGAAGCTGTGGGAACGTTCCGGTCGGGGAAGTGGAGGAGGTCGGCGTTGTCCTTGTCCAAGGTGCGCCAAACGATGGCGTGCGGACTCGGTCAAACTCGGGCTTCTTTCGTATCGCCTGTGCCGATAGTATTAGCGCCATCTCGACCAGTTTCACGACACTAGTGCCGTCGTAGCGCACGAACTAGTAGTGAGATTGGTTAGGTTGGATGTAACCGTAGCCTGACAAAATTCGTCGGAGATTGCACCAGCAGGTCAACGGATATATCATCCAACACTGACAAAGGGAAAGGAACAGCAAGAATTTCAAAGGGAGAAGACAAGCATATTGTTTCTCAATGACCTTTGTCGATCCCATAGACCTCGGTAATATAAAATGATGAGGTAGGTCTTGGCATCCCCTTAGGGCATCGGACGTCACAAGATCGGAACTTTAGATTATCAGTGCCAATGCAGAGTCTGAAGCCGACAATTCTATAAGATGCTCATATAGTACCTGAGCTGTCCATCGCAGTAATAGAAAAAAAAAATGTCGTATGTACCACGTTGTCGGGGCGAATATCCTAGTACATCGCGTGTAGCAGAAATTGCTCCAAGGGCGCGCTGTCGATAATATTACCCAGCGAAGGTCACTGCGTATCTGTCAATTATCTCGAGATGGGTTACAAGTCGTTGCCTGGTCGCAAAGGATGTGTGGTAGACAATCATGTAGCGTAGTTATTGCTATGGACGCTTCATGAAATATTTTCCATTGCCAAGGAGCTGACTAAACATACCGGTCACGACATTGTTACCACTCTGTACCCCGAAAGTACATCCTACAGTACTCCGTCGTGTACAACATTTTATATATATAGGAGATCAGCCACTAAGAACCAGGCTACAGTTGGTCTTGTGCTTTGGAATTTACTAGGAGTCAGTACTAGAGGGGTAGGCTCTTACTATCACTCTTCCAACCCCAACATTCTCTAGAAAATTTAGAAAAAGATATAGTGACCAGATTCCTATAGCGTAGTTATGGCTCTATCAGTGACTATAACATGGTAACCACGAGTGGGGTCCATATAAGGTGTGATTCGCTCCATCACCCAGCTCCATAGGAAATTTTAGCGGGTCGTGCCCAGCGGGGAAGCCGTCTCACTTGGCACTCACTCTATGCGGGTCAGCCTGCCCAAAACCGACCAGTGGACCAACCTACATGAGACAAGGATAATAATAAAATCACAATATGTACTTCTCAAATGCCTCCCAGCGGTTCCCCTCGCTCTCGCACCGTCTTGGACCCGCGCGGGTGATTCATGCGGAGATAATATCAACTGGTTGCGCGGCGCACTAGGTTCTATCCGCTCCGACAAGCTATACCAGATGGTCAATATCCGATAGTGCAAAGAGCCATGCGTCATTTCAATCATTTCTCCTATGGTTACTTTCTCGTAATATTCGTCTAGTATCGGAAATGAACTCTAAATATAACATTGGGATCGATACTACAGAGTTGGCATGTCTTGCACTAAAGAGAAGTCACTAGTGCCATCTATAATGAATATTTTAACTGTCCTTATCACTCTTACGAGCCTGTGGTCATCTGGAAATAACAGTTCAGGCATGATTGTAGTGAACGGCAGTTCAAACGCTAACTACTCAGGCCACGTTCCACGGCACAATTCCCCTACCCAGCAAAGTCCTCACCCCAAACTCTCGTTCAGCAACCTGGAATAATGGCAGCCCTTGAATATAGCCATTGCCGACCTATAGTGCCAACTGATACCCACGTGGCCCGTGCCTCATCTTCCCCGATTGTCACCAGCGACCTGCCAGTGCCTGTGGCGCTTGCATCTGCCGCAAGTTGGATCTGGTAGCATTTTTCTAGGAAGATAAACTAGGCAACTGTAGCCTTAATGCTCTGACCTACTGTCATCAGTCCATCATTGGCTAACAATGCCGCCTTTTTATTCCTCAGGGCTGCAGCAATCGCCTTTCCCTCCGCTGTAGCCAGAACGAGACCAGCGAAGTTGGAGTACAGCACATGGTCGTTCCATAATACACAGAAATCTTGCGTTAGCATGTCCAGAGTCTTTCCCGTCGCACACATAGCTCTTCCATAAAGTCTATGCGAGTGTGCAGCACATCAGACGTCGGGCCGAGCTTTGTGGATCTCCGCGTGGATAGCGTAAGCGGCTAGGAGTGTCAGACATTCAGTAACAAATGTGTCTTCCCGCTCCCTTCTACGGAAGATGAAACAAACCGAGGGCAGTAAACTAGACCTACCGTAATTGAGTCATTTATTGTTCTCTCCCTCAACTACATTGCCAGAGCGGTCGACACGGATAGGATCGGTATCTTCAATCAAAGAAAAATGAATTCCTAGGGCCATCAATCAGCAATTGCCTCGTTGTATATTGGTGGCTAGCAGATAGATTCGATCTTACCGAACGGATTGACCCAAAAACTAGTTGGATCCATCGGGTCTCTAACTGTGATGTGGCCTGCAACTCCCTCTGAAAGGTCAAACTTGGCGAAGATTCGAAAGGCAAGAGCAAGGCGGTGTTTCAAGTATCTATGTTTCTGGTAAGGGTCGTCGAACTTGGGAGGCTGCTCTGCTTCCTCGTCCATAACGGCGAGTTGTGGATCGCCATTGCGATATGAATTACTCTGCCCTGTGGCTGGTTCTGCTGAAGGTGTCATTTTAACTTACCGGGGAGGATATGCCTGTGTTCAGTAGTGCTCGTTCTAGCCGACTCAATTTGGTAATGGATATCTACCGTGCGATGATATATACCAGGTCAACATAAAATGTATTGACACCGAATGTACATCAAGAGCAATCTTTATGCGAAACTAGTCGGTTGTTGTTTCGGCAGCGCGGCGGAGCGGTCTTTTCCTATTTGGGAAATCCGACTATCCGATTTAATTCCTACTGCAAATTGTTTCCCTGCGGAATCTTTCCATTGAACTTCGAGTCTAGGGCAAAGCAACGGTGCGTGGGCTGAGAAAATATCAATCATCTCTTATATACAAGCAGATCGAGGAGCCATTCTATATCAATTAAGTAACAGAATTTAGTGTACTAAGTGGTGATTCCTTCATTTTGAGCTCTCTGAGTTACATGCTGCAGCACTTCGTAGTTTCTGACGTTATGTGCATTGAAAGCTGGCTACTAAGGACCAACCAATGCTGCACTTAGTCAGTATTTGCTTTTTGGGGTTTTGCTTTTCTTCTGCTCTTGTGACAGGTCGTATTGACGGGTTTCCTGCAGGATTATTGCATATTTTAGGGCATGTGAGTCTTAAGTATGCATGATGACTACGAGTGGAACGCCCCTTACTTGATGCATAGGCCAATAAAAGGATCTGAATATGTCAACTGCTGTCATCCCTAGTTCTACAGCTAGACATATATTTAGGTCCAAAATCCACCTGAATTCTTGACCTAAGGATCAGAGAAAACATCAGGATGAGGCTCGGTCTACTGGTGCTATCTGCTGCGCTTGCAAATGCAGTACCCCAGGAGATACCCTGGTCCCCACCTGGGCCAAACGATGGTCAGCTTCGATGTCGTCGATGCAGAAATGCGAAGGCTAACGACATACAGTCCGCAGTCCATGCCCCGTGCTGAATGCCCTCGCCAACCATGACATCCTCCAACACAATGGAAAAGATATTACTCAGCAAGATACAATTCGCGCAATGGACTATCTACATGTGGATAAAGAGCTTTCCGATACGCTCTTCGCAGCGGCATTGAAGACGAACCTCAAACCTAATGCGACTACCTATTCTCTCGACGATTTGGATCATCACAACATCATAGAGCACGATGGTAGTCTGAGGTACGTGGGGATCCAACCTAGTGAGGAAGCAAACCACCTAACGAGTTCAGCCGCGGAGACTACTACTTCGGAGACAACCATTCCTTCAACCAGACCCTTTTCGACCAAGTGAAGTCATATTGGACTGAATCCATCATCGATCTGCATTTAGGAGCGAAAGCCCGTCTAGCCGGGGTAAACAGGTCCAAGGCTACCAACCCTACGTTTGACCTCTCCGGATTCCGTCTTCGGTTCAGCTATGCACAAACAGCTACTTATATCCTTGTATTCGGTGATAAGGTCTCGGGGACTGTTAACAAAACCTGGATCGAGTATCTGTTCGGTAGGTATACCAACGCCATTAAGAATCTGGTGGATATCTAACATATCCTCTGTGTAGAAAAAGAACGGCTTCCGGTCGAGCTAGGGTGGGAAAAGAGGGAAAACATCATAACCACAGCCGACCTTGATAGTATGATCGAGAGGGTTATGGAAGCTACCAAGGAAATTGAAACCTCACAAGAGGCATGATGACGGTCGCAGATAATTGTTTTGGGATGGGAGGCGCATGTACTAATTCGGCCTGACCGGAGAAGGAAGGTCGTGCGTAGATGTTTGACCATTTTGATATTTCTCTGCTAGAAACCTATAGTCACATTGTTGATCAGACCGGTGTTGGCGTATCTCGTGCTCTATTGCAAAGTCTCATATTCGACATCCCCAGGGCGAGTTTGTAGTTGACCCTGAACACTGGGTATCGTTGCTAGTTCCTGATTAAAATGTTCACCGCTATAGGGCGGAGACGTCTACAATGTGCGCTCGATGATTGATTGACCGGGCATTCGATCATGGAGTCGGGTTGTTATCATGAATACATCTAGGTAGGGCTTGATATAAACGACCGCGTCGTAACGGTCTTGTAGTGCACTACATTCCAGTGTCATTCGGTCGCACTATCATCCCGCTTTACTCAGCCACTTGCCATCTTTAAGGCATAATAGAATTCAACTCTATAGCACCATATTTCCCTCTAGGTTGACAAGTGGGGCTTTGAAGGAATGGGTTCGTGGGACCCACCAAAGAGCCGCAGATTTAAATAAACCTGTTCATTTCCTGTAAATAGAGCCAACGCTATATCTTTGAGAAACTGCGCCATGGCGTCGGCTTGCACTCACTCCTCCATCTGCCACACGTCTTCCCCTCACGCTAGAACGGCGGGGTTCAAGAGACCTAATAAAGCAGAAAGACTGGCCGCAGGGGAACCCACAGAAACCCGGCTCCCAGAGGTGAAATGTATGGTCGATAATCCTGAAATCTTTCCTCCCCCCTTGATTCTACCCGGTGACGACCTTTCAGAGGACCCTGAGTGCCCTCCACAGAGCTATCGAGAATGGTTTCGTGAAGAAGAACGAAACCCAGTCACTACAAAACGCAGAACAGTTTATGTAGTGCCTGCACCGATTGTGGGCGATGAAGTTAGTTTTATGACATCTTGGAGCATGCCTCGTGATGTTGGGGAGATGCCACGCGTCCACACACCTAAGGTCTTGGATATTTGCGATTATTTGGCAGCATTCTACCATGGCTTGCCAGTCAAAGCCCTGACCCAGTCACCGCCAGAGTTCATGTCTTGGGAAGAGTCAAAAAAGTCAAAAAGAGCTCAGCGAAACCCTGAATATGTCGGACTGAGGATCGCGGATGAATGTGTGGGCATACGCACTCGAGCATGTCCTGATGGTGTATATTCTAGACAGCTCAATCTTGACGATCTTCTCGATGCTGCAATCAGCATGCTCCCCAAAGACGCCTATGCGCTTGTACTTCTAACAGATCACGATCTGTACGAGGATGATGAAGACACATTCGTCTGTGGTCGTGCATATGGTGGAAGCCGAGTAGCAGTGGTCTCAAACGCACGATATAACCCAGATCTAGATGCTCTCCAATCGGTCGATCGTCTCCACGCCTGGCCCCTGTCGCATTGTGCGGAGTATATCTCTACATGCTGTTCTCTTTCTGAGCCCAAGACAAAACGCCAGAAAAAGTCTCGCCCAGCAAAAGCACAGGCAAACCAGGAGCCAAGTGGCCCAAATAAACCATCACCAGGCCCCCTAGACATAGCTTTTTCTATCGGTCGGTCCCTGACAGCCTTGGACTGGACACAAGAATCCCTCGCTGCGCTATGGCTTGGTCGAATTTGTCGCACAGCTAGCCATGAGCTTGGCCATTGTTTTGGCATTGATCATTGTGTATATTACGCCTGTTGTATGCAAGGCACTGGGTCGATCCAAGAAGACGCCAGACAACCACCTTACCTCTGCCCTGTTGATCAAGCAAAATTACTACGTGCGACTGGCACAACCGAGGCTCAGCGGGATCGTGCTCTTTTGTCTTTTTGCGAGCGTTCTGAATTGAGAGAGACTCAATTCTTTGGCCCCCTGGCTGCATGGCTTCACGCAAAGTCATATTGAATGAAGATAGAATTCTCTTGGATATCGAGCTAAAAAAAGGAAAAGTCGTTATCTTCTTTCTCTTCCCATATTTCTACTTGTTCCAACTCGAAGGATGAGTCACTGCATGAGCGTAGAGACATGGTAATAAAGCAACTATCAGAGAATTACTGGCAGCTCGATCCCTACGTGCGAGCCCGCACTGTTCGTGATCACGCGGGGGTTATTGAAGAGGCTGGAAAGATTGGTTTCTATCCGCCATGCCCTCAGCCGATCCAGAGCGAAGTCGAGTCAAGTTGACGAAGGGATTTCGTTCGAATTTCCCCCTAAAAGACATAGAATATCCCCGGCTCCAACTCATTCTGCCGAGGCTTGGATCATTCAGTGAAAGCCTCATTCCCTTTTAAAGACCGCTGACTCAGGAAAACCATGGACAAGAATACCGATCTCTTGTCGGTTATTTTCATAACTCTCCCTATTAGAGTAAATGCTGCCCAGAATCCAACATTTAGTGTGGATGATCGCCATTTCTTTGTTAGGAAATGACTCCACTGAGCTCACGCCTGACAGAATTTATTGAATGGTATTGTTGAAGACTTGATACCATGGGAAGCTGTAGTTGGGCTCCAGGCTAAGTGAATTCGGATCATCAGCAGCTAGGCCTAGCAATGCATATACTTTATCATGGCTTGTTGACGCCATATGTTAACGATACATGCCGATCAGTTCACCGATGCATAGGCTGCCCCTCAAGCCGGGCCAATTCTTTGGCCGAACCTGCGCACCTTTGATCAGGTAAACGACGGGGTGGATGATGGTCAGCATAGAAGGGATTTCTAATTGACTGAGTCCTTCACAGAACCTGTACCCATTTATTTGGACCGAGCCACATATAATCTCAATGGGTCTAGCAACCCCGACATCTTGGAGTACCTATCTTACCGTGTTAGTTGTTTCTTGCCGAAAGTAACCAATCGTCTCACCCAAACACGACGAAACCACTTTCGCTCTAGCAACCTTAGGCAAGCCTCATTGGTTGATTGCAAAAGCTTAGGTCGTCAATTGGCCGACGATGTGTTTTACGGCACCCTGGATTTCGGCCGACGGCCCGAGCGACGTTCGCCGAGAGGGTCAATGGCCCATCTTCACAGACTTCTGAAGTGACATGCCCTATACCTAGGAGTGTGCAGTTATACCGTCACAGTACCTGGCATAACGTTTATGCACCGGTCGCGGGTGGTAGGTTTGAGGATTGGTTGCAAAGCTCTTGTCATACCCAACACTGTGCATATCTTTGAATGCTAATTATCGTGATATTTTCCAGTTGTCAGTTACTTATAAGACCCCAAAGGTCTGAGGAGGTACCGAACTTTTCACCACTCTCAGGAATTACCGACCTACGCCACTGTTATCTGATTGCATGCGGATATCGGTCCAAAGACCTGTACCTCGCGCACAAGCAGACGGAAACCGATCCTGCGCACCGGCCCCAACTCGTTGTCGTTTGGCGATGTCCGTGCAATCAAAGTCCTTTACAGACATGCCATGAAATGTATCAAGGACAGGAGTTACACTCTGGTCGGTATCCCCAATCAGTTCATCCAGTTGTTTTAATGGCTTTCCGCCAGTCTCTGGCACCAATAGAACCGCCCAGATGCCAGCAGGAGCGCAGAATGCTGCAAAGAAAAGTAGGTACCAAACCGAATAGACGAACGCATCGGGGCGTGGAAATACCGACAACAAAATCAGAAATCCAACACATACAGATAGCCAGTCCCACCCTCTTCGATCGAGTTGCACTAGGGAAGACTTCGGACGGTAACGGTCATCCCAGGGGTGAGTAGGAGACGCCAAGGATCATGATAAATAGGAATGCCATGCCCCATCCTGCTGGTACGTGATCTGTCCAGCTGCCGGAATAAGCCCTGAGAGCACCGCAGCAGTAGTGTAAACAACCACGCCAGCTAGAGAACAGTAAAGACCCCAGATAGTACCAAACACGTTTAAGCAGTCGGATCAAACGGTATACATAGTAGTTGAAAGAACTAATCTTGTCGAAAATGTTTCACTGCATTCTAATTCGTCTAACGCCAAATAAAACGATTGAAGAGATCCATCCAACATCAGTCTCCAGTCTGAGGCCCGTGATTCCAGGATACTGCCTGGTCCGAACCCGGCTTTGAAACTCAATCTCAACAAGATTTACTTCCAGCCCAAGCTTGGGCGAGTCGTCCCCGCCTATGTTGTCTTATCACTATCACTGTTGGTCCTGGTACCCCCAACCTTATCCTTGGGATCGTTGGCCTTCTCGTCCCCTAAACCCGTGATGGCACTATTGTCGGTAAGACTCTCTTACTCCGGAAGTGTTTACTTACTTTCTGTTGCTGCTGCTGTCTTCACCCCTGTGAGACGTTCCCAGACAGTATCGGCTATCACGAAGTATCTATTCCTAGGATCGTTCTGCTTCTCGACGAACCACCAAGGCATCATCGCCGCTGCCATTCTCCTATCAGACCTGATGGCCTTGAGCTGATCATAGACGCCGTGGGCTATGGCTTCCTTGATTTTCTTTTCTTTGTTTTGGTCGGGTCGGGGGTCCTTCTCCCATTTTGTTAAGTCAGTCGCTTTGCTGCTGTCAAGAAAACTAGAAATATTCTTCGCAACCGCCTTGCTCAACAACATATTTTCTTCATGGCTGGGTTCCCAATCGTTCACAGTGGCTTGGTTGTTCTTATATGCATCGTAGATATCACTTTCAATGGCTTCTCTCTTCTTCACGTTGCCGTCTCGCCACCCCTTGAGCCATTCTCCGAATTCGATGGGGTCTACATAGAGAGCCAGGCGATCGGCCGACGGAAGCCCAGCGGCCGTGAACTCTTCGCCGGGTGTTATGCGGCTCATCTTGATGATTGCTTCCAGAGATCGAGTGCCATGATGGAACCCCGAAACGTTTAGCAGTGCCTTGAGGACATCTTCTGCCACTTTGAACTGTCTACCTCCCACCTTTGGGCCCACCAACCCATTCTTTTCAAGTAACGAGCGAAGAATGATGGCACGTCGGACTGTGTATGTTTCGTCACTGTCATCTCTCGAGCTGAGCTTATTGGGTCCCCAGATATCAACCGAGCCACGGAGGCGGCTCACAAAGTCGGGCTTCTTCGCGGCCACAGCGGCCGGTTTACGGGCTGTTGCTTGAAATTCGGCAAAGGTTGGAGATGTACCACCAACAAAAATGAAAATGGCGGACCCCAGGGGTCGGAGATGTCCACGTTCCAGAAATTTACCGTCCTGCATCGGGGCAAGGAAGTACTGTAGCCACCCCAGGGCTTTGCCGCCAAAAGAACAATCGAATTCGTCGAACATGACCACCGGTACTTTGTTGGAAAAGGTCTGGTCTCTAATACTTTGAAACGCAGCGAGTAGGTCTGAATATTCCAGGAACTGGGACAGGTTAAACTCCAATTTGTGAATCTCTTTCCCCTGTCCACTAGCCACTGCTTTGATCACCTCGCCCACTCCGAAAGACTTTCCTGATCCGGGAAAGCCAAAGACACCAATCGAGAGCGGCTTAGTCTGGGGAGTCTTCATATAGTCCTGGACGAGATTCGCGATCCCTCGAAAGTTCTCCATTTCCTCCCTATCCACTGTCACTAAGTTTCCGAATTGGGCCGTGGGATTGCCTTCCAGGGCCTTGTCGGTGCTTTGTTTAACAATATTCTTTGCTAGTTTGAGCATTTGTTCTTTGGACTTTGCTACGGCACTGTGACCGTTGGTGAGAATGCTCCATCGTCCTGTTTCAACCTTTGATATATCGTCAATGTTGATAGTCAAAGGCTTATTTTCCGAATACATCGTCGGAGCACCCTCAGCTACATTGGGGTACATGAATTGTTTTGGATCGGGACTTGCAAAGCCTTTTGAAACCAGCGAGCAAGCCGCTTTCATCCCACATGCAATGGCGTCTTGCATGTTGAATGCGCTCTCACCGGCCAATTTAGAGACCAGCCCCGCTGTGAACGCGGTCGCTTCGCCAATCATCGCTCCGGACATATGCTGGACATAATCGCCTTCCACGAATTTGGAATTCGCGTAGTACAGGTTCAGCTGTTGGGGGTTTTCCTTGTCGTAATGAATAATGCCATCACATCCAAATCTCACAATGAGATGCAGAGCTTTCTTTTCGTCTTTAAACCTTTTGAGGTCTGTCGCAAAGGGGTTATCACTCGAAAGGAACTGGGTGAATTCCTCCACGGTTTTCGACCAAGACAGATGATAACTGAGCTGAACACCCTCCTGGCGAAGGTCCTCAGCGTCCACTATGATAACAGGCCGGGTCCCTAGTTTTTCGTACTTTTCAACAAGCGCGTCCAATAACGACCTCCCTGCTTTCGAAAATCCACCCAATACCTGGATATCGGGCAATAAGCCCTGGAGTGCCGTTAACAAGTTCTGACCCTCTTCAACCGCCTTTCCTTCGAGCAATCGGAATAAGTCTTTATCGGCGACATAGTTCTTCCCGGTCGCGTCCAACGGAGTGATGATATCTCTGGGCAATTCCGTTTCGGTACAATCCCGGACCCTCTGGATTGCCCCAAGTAAGTTCTTGTCGCCGGCAGTCGCTGTTTCCGACTGCAGATTGTTCATTAGGGCCTGGTTGATGGAATAGGTGGGCAGCTCTGTGAGTTCCTTCAGCCACTTCCAGTTCTCATTATTGGTGACCCCAGCTGGGATCTCTCCCTTGAGTGCGTCCAATATCTTTTTGCCATCGACCTCCCATCCATTCAAGGCTTCCACTGATTGGGCGTCCAGGAGCAAGAACTCCTTCAGCGTCTGCTTCAAGTCATCGAGGTTACTGACCACTTTTTCAAGCACTTCGAAAACGTTGACCCGGTATTCCTTGGAAAGGGGTCGAGAGATCTTGCAGACAAGGAGGGTTTCTTGTAATTCATTGACAAGTTTGAAGAGCTTCCATATCTCTTCATCTCGGTTCTGGATATGATCTTCCAACAAAACTACTGCAGCGCCTTGTCTCGCAGAGACAGTAATTTTGTCCTCCTTTAGCTTAGGATCTCCGATGTGAAGTTGTCGCTGGACTCGAAAGGAATCTTTATTCTTTTTATCTCTGAATAATTCAATCGACGAGTGGGGGTTCTCCAGGTTTGCCACCATGTCCCCTTCCTGGCGGTTCATGAGTTTCCCAAGGAAATACTTCAGCAAGTGAACGCCTCCTTTGAGACCAGAGACCTTGGCCTTTCCCGAGCCAGTCTCGGTCTCAGTGAAAACAACATGCTGTGAGTCGTTCCCAACAAGAACAATATCTTTCTCAGCCATGACGTACAGTTCAATCACACTGCATAACAGATCTTGTAGAAGTAAGGAATGCAATGAAATTGAGAAGAAAACCTATTGTGTTCTATTCCCATACCTTCCGGATGGAAAGGTTTATGTGTCTTTCAAGGAAACGACATGCAAACGGCAGTACCACAGGCATCGCCGTACCCAAGCAATTCCCTCGTCTTGGGCACATTTGCATTGATCAGCGTACACCTGTAGAACCATCTATAGCCGATCTTCGAGCTCCTGCACCTTGGCGATATTGCTTTCCGGTCATGGGTCGTTTGAGGGCTTCTCATAGGGTCCTACTCAGCTTCCTTTTCTTCTTCCTCCTCCTTTTTTCTTCTTTTTTTTTTTTTTTTTTCTTTTTACCAGTTAGCTTCAACAAGGTGCATATTCCTGACCCAGTATGCAGTGTGCTAGTACATACATATGTCGCCAAGGCCCAAGTCTTGCGTGTCCTGGTGAGGCGCAGGGCATAGACTAGCCGTAGTTCATTGTCTTCCGTGACGAATGCAAGCTGATAATAACAAATACAAGGGCAGCAGAACTTCAGCCAGCCACATATTCTGTACACGCGTCTGTTGCCGAACTGCCCCTCATTCCGAATTCGTCCGTCCGCAGATGATGCGGTACATGAGAGGAGGAGAGGCTATGTGAGTTGTCACATTTCGCTTATAGATGGAGACCACATAAAGGGTCCATTAATGCTTCCGAGCAAATCAACATTTAGCACAGAATAAAAGAGAGCACGACATGTACACATAGTCGAGGTCCGACCCGAGCCGCTGTGCAGTGCATTTGTGATTCGTTGATCTGGTTTTTAGTTGCATATCCGGAGGCAAATCAGAAGAGGGCGGATTCATCTTCCGTTCTTATGATCTTCGGTTTGCTGACGATATACTTGGAGGAATACCGAAACCATGAACTGAGCCCAAGCTAAGCTGGACACATCGAAAGTTGCTATCGTGGAAGACTTTGTTGCTTCAGTTCAACAACAATATGTGGTATATGATAATGTTAAGCTGTTCGGATATCCCACTGCAGGATGGGCGACCGGGAAATGTATTACGAGGCTGAATTTAATTTAGCTGACATCCGCAAACCATTTGATGGGTTCTATTTTTATTTTACCTTTGGTTTTGTGGGGTCCACCTCAATATACCTCCTTAGTACTTAGGTATGGGGATGAGGGCTACCTTTGGTGGGCTCGCTAAGCAGGGCATCACAGCCCGAGGCGACGTGTTAGCCTAACTTCCACACTGGTGACGTAAATTATACGGTATTTGCTAGTGTAGCAACATGGAATGGAAGCACCTGCAGCGGTACCATGCAGTCGGCATCTCCTAATAGACTATCTAATGGGTCAGTATAAGGAGAGAAAAGGAAAAAGCAGGGCCCGCCAATAGCGGCCTACCTAGTGGGTGAAAGCATTCATACCATACTTAGTGAATGCCCTAATAAAATAGATCATAGTAACTAACATGTTATACACCTTAAATAGAAAAGACTACCTAATCATATGAATCTTCTGTTCTTTGTTCCTATCTCTCCCCCCTCTTGCGTATGTGAACATATGAACAAGTAAGCCTCTCCATAGCCCGTAAGTTTATGGATTATAAATTCTAATAGAATCACTGTATTTAACATTCCACCAATGATCTGCGTAGTCAATATTGATAGCCATTGGTATGAGTAAGTCATCTTGAACTAAATACTTAAAACAAAAGGGCTTGGCGTAACCCGCACCCGTAACCTGAAGGTATCGCAAGATCTACGTAAAGAGGATTGGGAATTATTGTGCTGGCACTCACCCCACTCCTATGGCAACCAAAGTCATAGTACTCCGATGATCTGCATCCGCTGGGCAGCACAACTTTCAAAAACCGTGTAAACAATTCAGGTGACGATGGTGGGAGGTCTAACAACCAGTCGTGCCAATAGACTTCGGCACAACCCATCATGGGCTCAAGGTCCAGAGTTAAGACCTGTTACTTCGGCATCAACGCTTATCATAATTTGATACCCTATCGTCGTGGCTGGCCAGAATGTCTCTAAGGTGCTAACGGGAATCGACCAAATTGGAGTCTATGTCATTGTCAGTGACGAGCTGAGCCTCATGCCTCGCAGGAGAAATCCCGCCGTGCAGGTAGCCAGCTGGTTTATGGTCATAACAACTTCTCTCGTTGGACTTGAACACCAACCGAGGCACGTGTAGCTGGAAATGCGCCTTGATGTCATATGTCGTGGCATAATATACACTCACTGGGGGACCCGACATTTCCCTTCCCTTTGTCCTTTTTGTTTTGTTGGGTCCGGATTTCAGATGTGGGCTTCTATTTTGTTTGCCCTGAATATAGATAAAGGTCTTGTTGTCTTCACTGGTCGCGGTCATGTCGGGATTATCAACACCTGCCACGATGCGATCAAGTTCGGCAATGGTAGTCCTCTGTACTGCGTCGTGGGTAGATGTTACTTTGGTGGATGCTGACGATGCTAGAATCAACGCTACGATGGCAGACTTGAAGAAGATGGAGCCCAAGGTGCTGCTCGCTGATCACATCACGAGCTTGCAGTTCAAGTGCCTCCTTGGGAAGCATTTGTCCAGGTGTATGATCCCATATTTTTCAAGAAGCAAATAGACACTGTATAGCTTCCTAGTTTGAAAGAGACGATCATGGACTTTATGTCGCATGCAGACAATAAACTACCTAAGAACATGCCAGACACCGGATTTCAACAGGATTTTTGCGTAGAGCTCATGCAACCACACCATGGGCCCCTGCATCGGGAGATTACTTGTCGTCCCGGCCCCTTGGAAGAATAGCGACTTGAACTTAAAAACCGCCACTTTACTTTCTTGATCGATGTGAAAGGCAACCTCGATCAGGGCGTCGAGAGGACGCAGCCCCTTGTTGGAGGTTTTATCCCCGGCCCGGATCAGAAGGGACTCATTGGACCGATCTACCACTTCAAAGTTGCCCACAATATCGGTGCCTACCTCGTAATCGGACTGGAAAAGTTCGAAGGTGGACCACAGCTGGGCGCGGCTCGACTCGCCTCGGTCGAACCACGTGTGGAGGAGTCTTTGTGGGGCAAAGCCTGAGGTGTGACAAGGGTCTAGGGTCAGAGACACCATATATTGCAGGAGAAGGGGGAGGAGAGGGGCTGAAAAGTCTGAAGAGGATGATGCTATAATGCCACGAGGCTTACCAGCTCCCGCCCAGATTCCCCCGCAATATCTTTCCAGAAGCTTGTTCGGATCCTCAAGAAGTTGAGGACGGATCTGTTTTAAGGGCACTCTGGCGATATGCAAATCGTGAACCGTGGGATTGCCATTGGGATTATACTCCTGGAAGTGTTTGGAGCGGAAGATAGGGTCATTGGCGGATACGGGCACGTATTGGATGTCGGACGTGATGTAGTATACCAAAAGTGCTAGGCTACTGCCTCCGGTTATGGCAGTGCCTGCCGCCCACTTAACCAACTTAAATTTGGGTAGCATGTTCATATCATCCAAGGGTAGAGAGAGATAAGTCTTGTCTCCAGGTAGAGAGAGAAAATGAAAGATAGAAGACCGCGCGGATTAGGGCTGACACACACTACACCCGATTTGGGCTCGGAATCCGACTGAATGGAGCTCGGAAATCCGAATCCGGTATGGAATTAGGTGCGACAGTGTCCACGCCATTACCCAATGAAAGCATTTTAGAGCTCAATAGGCTTGAGGCAGTTATACCTCAGGCTGCTCATGGGTCCTGCTGAAGCTCCACGTATGTTGGTCAATATAAACACGAAAGGAGCTCTATCGTGGGGTGGCGGCCAAATGATATTAAGCCTGCGGCAGATGTCCTGGTGCCTGGTATTCTCAAGACTCATTCCTGTAACGGAAGCCTCAGAGCTTGAGCTAGTGCAAGAGGATACTGGCCAGAGCCCCGATTTGTTAAGCCATATGACGCCTGTAGCCTAAGTACACATCGGTTGTTTGGATCGACTAGGGGTGTTTCCGTCAGCGTTTGGCTATTTGGCCGTGCGCAGCCACACATTAGAGAACCATACTGTGTCTAGATAGTTGATTACGATGGTTTTATTTTATTTAACTTGTTCAAAAGTCATATAACTTCCTCGGGTCCTGCAATAGAATTGAGAAAAGCCTGTCCGAGTTCCGATGACTTCTCCGTATCTGAGATGTGCAAACAAGGACGGCTGTGGTCCGTACCCCGCACATCATGTTGATATTGAAAGACTAAATGTGGAGAAATGCAAGAAAGGGAGGGAGGCGGGTTACGTTAGAGGCACGGGAGTCCTATTTAAAATGACTACGCAGACGCCCTGTTGGCAGACACACCTAGCCGTTGGCATCTCGATTACAAATAACCACTACCTCGAACCCTGTCCTTAACTTACCATGGATCAAGTCAAGATTCCCTTAAAACCATTTCCTGTTGCACAGGTCCATGAGATCGAATTTGGAGTTTACCTCCTTCCTCCCTTGAGCCGCCGGGGCATAGGGCCCGCCCTTATCATCATCGTCCCCGATGGCCCACCAAATAAACAAGTCCTAACCAATGGAGTCCCAACGCCTTCCCTGAAGTGGGCTGAAGAGGGCTACACTGTGCTCGAGGTCCGAGGGCCAGCCCTGACTCGGGGGTATACCCTGAACCAAGCCATTGAGACCTTAGCGCAGCACGGCCAGTGCTCTGGACATGGTACCATCGGCCTCGTGGGTAAGACTGTTTTGCCCTTGTCCATATCTCTTATCAGAGTGCACTCCCGCTAATGTCAACCAATAGCATATGACTTTCAACTGTGGGAGAGAGTTCACTCTCTGCCGGAGATCAAGAAGATCACAGCGGCTGTAATCTACGGGGCTGCATCCGATGCCTCCGGGTTGAGTTCAAGTACCATCCCCACCGTACAACATCTGTCTGGCAAAGCGAGCATGCCGCTGCAGCGAACCGAATTTCTGATGCAGTACGAGTATCCAAAGATGAGCAGCCAGTGGTTTGCCCTCCCTACAGCTCCGGGATTCGATTATGCGACAGAAGCCATCTCCCACACACGAAATCTGACCTTCCTGAAGAGGCAGATGAATGGCCCTTACTTCGACCTCGAGGCCATCTGGGAAGAGCATACCTACTTTGAATTCGACAATCGGTCCGTGGAACATACCATGAACACCATGGTGCAAGAGCCATACGTGAATCATATTCCCACTGTGAGTGCCTTCCTCTCTATGTCCAAGAATCCCATTCCAAAACTCCCTAACAAATGAATCGGTATTTCCCAGATGACGGGGGGCATTGGCCGCCATAACCTGACTCGATTCTATCGCGACAACTTTATCTTCAGCAACCCACCGGACACTCAAAACGAGTTGATTAGTCGGACCATTGGCATCGACCGGGTCGTGGATGAGTTTATCATGACGTTTACTCATAATTCCGAGGTGGACTGGTTGTGAGTGTTGTTGTTGCTCTTCTTCCCTTCCACAATTTCACAGATCAGCTGTTTGCCTATGTTCAGCCCCCTATCCAGCTAATTTGTTCGAGCAGAATTCCTGGAATTCCACCAACAGGCTGTCAACTGGAGATCCCGTTCATGGCGGTGGTTAATATTCGAGGAGACCGACTCTACCACGAACACATCACATGGGACCAGGCAACTGTGCTCAAACAGCTCGGCTTGATGCCCGAGTATGTCCCGTATCCATATCCACTTCCAGACGGTCAACGACCGGCTGAGGGCAAGAGCTTTGCGGTCCGAGTCCCCGCGGCTGGGGCTGAGACGGCGGCAAAGATGCGTGATAAGAATGCTGTACCGTCCAACCAACTCATGGCTGGGGGAATTCAAGAAGTCTGATTCATCGTGATGACATCTGTGGGGATCGATAGATTTTGGGAAATCAATTTTTTGGTTCTGTCGTCGACCCAGTGAGAGAAAATACATGGTTGCATGGAATATGGAAGAGAACCGTGAATGCCTTTCCATATGTTATAGAGGGGCGTAACCTATAGGTGTATCTTAATCATGATTTTTGGCAGCGGGTTTTTTAGTCAGTTAATTGCATAATGTTTTCTCCTTCTTATTCCGCTGTTAGCTTTGCACACAGCCTTGCTTCAGTTCAGTCCTTTGGTTGGGATCGCTATCCGAGGGGACCTACTGCGAGTGTTGATCTACAACACCATAGAAGACGATCGTCAATCACCTAAAGAGAGCGGCCGGGGTCAGGCCTCGATCAAGAGCAGACTGGAGGTCATGATTCCGAGTTTCTCGACATAGTTGCTTAGAGCGACGTGCAAGGAGAATTGGCGCGTGGGTTTCGCGGAGAGCCAAAAAGGAGAACCCGGTGATGATGCCAGCCTGCCGGTTTGGTTTAGTGCCGGGTTTCAGATTCCAATGTAGATAGAACGATTTACCGTAACAGCTAGGACCCAAAAGACCCAGAGCCATGACACCTCTTGGGTCAGAAAGCCATCACAAACACTGAAACAAAGTGGAGAATGCAGCATCAGCTTTTATTATATCACAGCATCGTCTCAGAACTCGAAATTTGATCTTCACGACATGTACAAGGGGTTACTCTTCGTGAGCTGTAGGTAACGTTGACCGGCTTTTCTTCTAACTTTAGTTGAACTGGGATGATCAAAACATGACAACTACTCCTATCTAAGCATAGAGATTTATAGTTCCATATCATTCGCTTGTGGTAAATTGTACAAACAGTTACAAGTTTTAAGAGAACAGCACTTTAGTTTCCTCTCACCATGTGCGTCGTGCGCCTCCAATTACATACCAATTACTTACTTCAAAATATAAAAGCAGATCACCACAACACGTCTGGCTGGGATGACTTCATCATACCAGAGATTCTTCATGACCCGTCATTTTAGACTCACCGCCCCCTTGAATCGAATCTCCTGCGCGGGTCGTATTGCAACTTCAACACGAGAGACTGTGGCTTTTCCCGAGGCCAATCTCAGCCTCAGTGAAAGCCACATGCTATAAGCCATTTCCAAAAAGAAAAAAAGCCTTTGAGCAGACATGACAAGTGGTTAAATCCCAATGCACAACGGATGTTCTAGAAATATGATATGCCAGGTTTTATCTTCCACCTTATCAAACCGCCCAACTGAGAAGAAGAGCGTCTGATATTCCAGCGTTCCACGAATGAAATTTTAACCGACAAGGATAGCTGGTCAATCGGCGCAAGAGGCGGGGGCCGTACAAAGTTCCCTCTAGATAGAGTTGACTACAGTTACCTAACACCCCTACCTCATCACACGTTCACAAACGAATAGTCTCCTTCCACTAACCCCACGCGCGGAGAATACTAGCAAACGCGTACTGTGGTGTTGACAAATACCACCTCAAGGCATATGAATAGCCGTATCAGCGTACTTAGACGACAGGGGTGCGATTCCTCGTCTATATTAGAAGCCATGATCCCGGTGAATGATATGGAGTATGCTATGCAGATAGGTCATCAACACGACCAATTTCAAATACTCCAGCCTGAGGTGCTAGGATATCTTCATCATCCACCCAACGACCTTCCAGCAGTTATATCATATCTATCTTATCCATCACCTTATAGATGAACCCGAACAACCTGCCCACCATACACAGATCCATCCACTGTGCCCCCTCGCGTTGTGACATAGAGAGTCTTTCCATCCTGTGTGATTGCCAGCGATGTTGCCCCTACCAGCGTCGTATGATCATCTCCTCCTCCAACAATAATATTTTGCACTCCATCCAGTGAAACCTGTGCTACGGCATTATCTGGCTGCGCAAGGTACGCCACATTAAGATCTTCCAAAACCACGAAATCGTCCCAGTTATATAACTCTGCATTATTGAGCGCCGCAATCACCTCGATCTCACCAGTCTTTCGCCCGAACCCATCAATAGGTACTCGTGCAAAGATCTCCCTTGCGGTGTTGGTGAAGTACATATAACCGCCGGCCATCTTCAGCCCGTTCACTCCAATTGGGGTGGATGCATTGGAAGGTGCGGTAAGCAAGGGGTCTTTGAAGGCAATCTCCGCAATTCCTGTGTCGGTGTCGACGCGGAATACAGCTCCGAGCCGTGCGTCTCCAGCCATGACCACGTGCGGATATGCTGGTAGGGCGGCCAGACCATTCAGCATAATGGCATCAGGAATCCGAGAGACTACTTCAATAGTTGGATTGGTAGGGTTGGTGCCGAAATCCACGGTGTATATGGTTTCGTTGGTGTAGCTGTAGTTACCCCGAACGCCACCTATGATGGCAAACTTGTTGGTGTCGATCGCTGCAATGCCGCAGAGGGCGGTCGCACCCGGGAGGGCTGCGACGAGCTCCGCTTCAGCATTAGGCACGGAGGGATTAAGGGTGTAGAGGCGACCTTGGTCGAAGGTGGAGAGAAGAAGGCTGCCATCGGGCCGGAGAGCGGTGTTCTCGATAGCCACCGAGGTCGAAAAGTGGAAAAGTTCAGTGGTTTCAAGGGCTACGACCCGGTCTGTTGCTATGGCGAGAAGTGCTAGAGTAGATAAAAAACGCATGGTTCCGCTGGGTAGGAATCAAAGACTGTTATCGCGGTGGTTGTCCAGTTGAAGGTGTCCAACACCTCTCATGTTGAGATGGATCGTCCCTCGCTTTGTACAATAGTAGCGATCTCGGAGATTAAAGCAGGGTCGGCTTCAGGAACCTATTCTAGTAAAGTATTCTCGGGAGAAAGCACGGTCGATCTTGGCATGTTTGAGATTTTTAACGGTTGAATGAATCTCCACAATTCCTCACACTTTCTCAATCACCGGCAGCAATAGGAGACATATTGATCCGGTGTTCCGTCCTGGGATGTTGATCCACATATGGCAATGACGGTTTAGACAGATGATCATCGGTAGTGGTTGGAACGAATATTTGTATACAATGTGAGCTCGTGGATGTACTCTTTAGAGTTGAGTTGAGCGATCCACGAATATATATATATTAACGGCGATGGGGAATACAGGAGGAAATACCAAACATAGTATGTCACTACAAGCCAGGGGGGGAAAAGCAAAATGGTAAAGAACTCATGCTTTGAGAAGCCAGGACATGTCCCTTTCTTTTTTATTTCCCATCGAATATGCCTTGGCTTTCTCGACGGGTTTCATGGTGAACCCCCAATACACACCGAAAGAGGGCTTTGGATTGTGAAGCCGAAATTCTCAGGAGTTGTTCCGTGGAAGGGAATCGCTTGAGTTGATAATTGCCGGGGCAACTAAATTAGAGAAACAGCAGGCCTTAGCCACCTGAGGCATCGGTTCACATGATTTTGAGTGCCGTCGCCCAATCAGGAAGGTGGCTCTTCATGGACTTCATGAACATTACAACACGTCACATCCTCATGCTATTAATCGTTCGTTGCTGCCTGCATCACTCAGCCCTTGACTAGTGCCTTGCTTAAACACACATTTCAATGGACCACTGTCGAGACACGCCAAGTATGGTGACAGAAATAAGCATAGTGGTACAAAAAGACTTGAAAAGATGGTTCATTTCGCGGATGTGTCCGGTACATCTACCATCATAGCGAACTATGTCCGTTGATATACTACAGCTCTGAAAGTCCACTACAATAACAGTTTACTATATACACAACGAGTCTTTCAATATCTTCATCGTTATCAACACTGTGTGGACTACATATGGAAGAGCACGTAATGTTTCGTTCCACAATATTGTCCAGCATCTCCAGGGCGCGGGCGAATAACAAGAACTGAATTACTGAGTGAATGGGAATTTGAGGAAGTTCGCCGCGGTGATTCAACAGATAGGAGCGACAAGTAAGACGGGAGTGTCAGAAGGTTTAGAACCTGACTCCCACCTGCCGGGTCAGCTTCGTCTTCTGGCATGCCGCGTGGCCGGTACTGCGACGGGCGAACTTGAATCGCAACAATATGAAGTTCTGATATGATACCTCTTCTCCCGCGATCAAAACATGCTACCAAATGAAGTGCCGGCAGTTTAGTGCCAGTATATTTGCTTGGTACTCGCACAAGCGCGTATAAACGATTCAAGGTCCTCTATTGATCTCGCTGGCCAATTGCGCAAGAGTGAGTAAATGTTGTGTATGTGTCCGGCATCACAGCCCAGGATAAACCAAAGCCGAATAACCTGGGAAAAGGGCAGGGAATACAACCAGGAACCAAATAATTTTTGTCGGACAGAAAGTCCAGATTACGAACAAAGGAAAAGACAAGGAGAGATCATCCGCCGTAGAAGCCATAGCGTCTGGGTCGCTGCGCCCCATTATTGTTTGTCTTGAGGTAGTTTGACTTTTTCTATCCTTCGCCAGGCTGAGGGAAGTCTTATTTTTCTGTATCGTCCTGACTGGTGTCACACTGCCATAAGAGAGAAGGAGGCTAGGGATTTGAAAGAAACCAATGACGCAGCAAAGGATAAGGAGCATGACTACACGTCTTGGCTAGTTGTGGTAATATCCCCCGCACAGCTATTTCCTTTGGATAAATTCCGAATCGGCTAAGGCCATTCAGGATACTGATCGGCAAAAGCAAAAATCGGGTGAACAAGGCCTGAGCCCAGGTAAAACGCTGCCAGGCTGACAGAAGAAACTCCACCAGGGTAGCACCGGTAATTGATAAGACGTGCTCGGATCCATGGATGAGCCTTGTGAAGGCCGGGTCAGACAAGGCCGAATTGTCATGCATCATTCTTTCCATGGGAAAATGTATTCCATGGACAAAGGACAGACAAAAAAAAGGTTGCCTGAAAGCGTGCCCCGTTAGTCACAAAAGAACGTGGACAGAAACGCACCGGGATTCTTACTGCAAGTGAGATTATTCTGGGAGGTTCGAAGACTCTCTGGCACTAGCGAGTTCGCGTGGCATTTGAGTTGGCGAATCCCAGTGCAGAAAGGTTGCCAAGCAGCTAATCAAAGGTGCTGAGGCCATCCCGAAAGACACCAGTAGAAAACAAAGCCGCGTTGGTGGCTGCGCTAGTCTCCCGCATCTGGGAAATGCCCGGGGTATCTCATTTCTGATTAGTGGAAGGATCGTCTCTCACCTAAGGTCAAGAGAGGCATGGTCTGACTCAGGATCTCACCTTTCATAGGTTCCCCCAGAAGCCACATTGACCACAAAGGTTGCATTCGGGACGGCTGGTGGCGGCATGGCTGTCGGATTCGGGGCTGCCGCTCGTATCACGATTGCTGTGAGAATGAGAAGGTATGTTTGGGGTGGTCCAACCATGTCATGACTACTAAGGGGCTCTTTGGTTCTCTGAGAGGGCGCTATTGACTACCAAGATTGTGACAAGGCGTTGCCAGGAAATCTTACCAGTCTTATGCGAGTCTTGATTCTAGGGCTGTGGAGTCGTGAGTCGTTCTTTTCTCTTTCAACCTCCCGCTTTGACCGCCTGCCCGGTGGGTCAATTTTGCAACCACGCGACCAGTCACCAGCCGCGGCTTGCCCTAATTTGTTGTCGGCCTGACGTTGGATGACCCGCCGAGCCACTACGCTAGGATCTCTCTCCCCACGGGGCGTTGGAAGTATCGCGCCATGACCGGTTGCAGGATTTAAAGATTTAAGGTCATCTCCACGGGGTCCCCTCCGAGGGAGCTCGATGCCCGAGAGATAAAACCCCAGGAAGGAGTCCGGAGTGAAGACTCATTGCGTCCAATCTCTCTCAAGCTCTATCCTGCACCCTGTCAACCACCATGGAGGAAAAGACATCCGTGGGCGTGACCGCTCACAATGAGACCCTGACTCAGGTCGAGAAGCCAGGGCTGGCGGACCCGGCTGACCGCCGCCAGTCCTTTGCTGTCAATCTCGTTGAGAACCCGCTGATGGTGAGCCTCGCAATTTGATGATGGTCGGCTTCCACCTGTGATGCTGACTTGGTTTACCCTCACAGCGCAGTTCACCGGAACAGGCGGTTCTGGCTGCCCGAGCTTTCGCCGAGTCGCACCAGATGGCCGAGCATGCAGATCTGTTTGGTCGCGCCGCCCTGGTCGCGCGGGACCCCCAACGCTTCGAGATGATTACCGAGCTCAATGAGGAGGAGCGCGCCGCCCTCACATATGAGCGCGATCACAAATGGCACGGCCCCTTCATGCTCTGGTACTCGATCGCTTTGTGCGCCGTCGGCGCCGCCACCCAGGGATGGGATCAGACGGGATCGAACGGCGCCAACCTCTCGTTCCCGCAAGAATTTGGCCTGGTTGGAACGGCGAGAGCGGAATGGATCGTGGGTGTGATCAATGCGATCATTTTCTTGACTGCTGGTCTTATGTGCGTATGCTGGGAGTCTTGATATGTGGCTTTCCATATTGACGGTTGACCTGGGACACAGTGGCGCCTTTATCGTCGATCCACTGAACCACTACTTAGGCCGACGAGGCGAGATTTTTGTTACAGCTTGCTGTCTCACGGCCACCCCAATAGGCTCGGCCTTTGCCAAATCCTGGCAAGGGCTTTTCGCCGCGCGATTCGTCATGGGTATTGGCATCGGCGCAAAGAACGCTACGGTACCCATCTACTCCGCTGAGATGGCCCCGGCTCGTATTCGAGGTGCTCTGGTCATGTTCTGGCAACTGTGGGTGGTAGCCGGTGAGTGGTCTTCGGTCGGCTGTCTCGTGGCATGGCTAATGGCGACTGCAGGTATTTTCTTGGGCTTCTGCGCCAATGTGATTGTGAAAGACACCGGAGATATCTCTTGGCGTCTCCAACTCGGTTCGGCATTCATCCCGTCTTTCATCCTCGGCGCAGGCATCTATTTCTGTCCCGAATCGCCTCGTTGGCTCATGAAGCACGGGAAGCATGCGTCTGGATTCCAATCCATGATGCGCTTGCGAGCTCATCCCATCATCGCCGCCAGAGACTTCTATTATTCGTGGATTATCTACGAAGAGGAGCTCAAAGAAGCCCGCGGCGCCGGCTACTTCGCCCGTATGTGGGACTGTTTCGCCGTGCCGAGGATTCGGCGCGCTAACTACGGCGCCTCGACCGTCATGCTTGCCCAGCAAATGTGCGGCATTAACAGTACGTCACCGTGTGTGGTCGGTCTCTGCTTCCCCCTAACTCTTTGCAGTCATCTCTTTCTACAGCTCAACGATTTTCGAAGATGTCGGCTACACCTCTGAGCAGGCCTTGTACGCGTCTCTTGGCTATGGCGCTATTCAGGTCGTGTCCACTATCCCTACTCTCTTCCTCATCGACACCAAAGGTCGACGCACCCTGACGTTGGCTGTGAGTAACCTTGGCCCGTGTCTAAGGAGATAGCTGACTGTTCCACCTATGCAGACCTTTCCCCTCATGTGTATCTTTTTATTAGCTGGTGGTCTGTCGCTTCTGAAAACTGAGGGTACTAAAGGCGAACGGATCGGACCAGTTGTCCTGTATGTTTTCCCTCTATGTTTGCAGCTCCGACGCTTGGCTAATGACTTCTCGACTAGGTTTGTCTACCTCTTCACGATCTGCTATTCGTTGGGTGAAGGACCCGTCGCTTTCCAGTACTCCGCCGAAGTGTTTCCCACCATTCAGCGAGAGCAAGGAATGGCATGGGCCGTTTGCATCAACAACACCTTTGGTGAGTGTTTCCGGTCGTCATTGTACAGGGAGTCTCCTAACAACGGCCTGTGTAGCGGGTGTGCTCAGTCTCACCTTCCCTCGAATGCGGACCGTCATGACTCCAACCGGCGCTTGTAAGTGAAGATTGCTGGACTCCCCGGCGGGACAATTTGCTGACTCTTCGCTCAAGTCGGGTTCTATGCCGGACTCAACCTTATCGCTTGGTTTATGATATTCTGCTTCGTCAGGGAGACGAAGCAGCTAACGCTGGAGGAGTTGGATCGTACGTTGACCCCCCACCCGACCCCTGTCACTTTCTCTCACATCTTCTGCAGAGGTCTTCTCGGTTCCAACCAAGGACTTCATCCGCCACGAGTTGACCGTGTGGCTTCCGTATTTCATCAAGCGGCACATCTTCCGTCGGAATATCGAGAAGCCACCGCCGATCATCGCGGCAGCCGACACCGCTGTGGGCATCCGTGCGGCATAATGTTTATCGATATTGGTTGAACGTACAGTCGTGATGAATCAAGTCGTGGAGACTGCCGGATAGGACCACAATAGTAAAGGATATTGAAACCTAATCGCTCCCCCAACGGAAGTGCAGGAACATGGTATATTAGAGATGCAGCTGTTGATGATCAAACCTTAGATAACCCGCTCTATTATTGTAACTACTGATCTATTCCTTTTTTGTTTCGCTATTCTATTCCTCCTTCATGCCAAGCTGTCTACCATGTACTCATCTACGAGAGCCATTAATTGGAGAGTGGTGGGAAGGCGCCCCATAGGACACCTCGCTATTGGACAATCCCCTTCCGCAGTTTATTGCCTCCGTACGATCTTCATTTAGTCTAATTATGAGGTATATTGCCTGAAATTTAAGTAGACATTTGGGAGTGTTTCGGGATTTCAGATGTTGAAAATCAAGCGTTTGCTTTTGAATTAAGAAAGAGAAAATCATCACAGCTTCAGCTAATGATCAGACCCAGTAATCATCAATGAGATGGAAAAGTCTACAATTCTAGGTTTGATGTATATGAAACTCACGTTCCAGGAACTGGCTGCACCACTGAAGTGAAGCAGGATGATGTATGGAGGCCAATGTACATCACGTTGTCGATACGCCCTCCAGATCATGCCGGACCCATGCCAAGACTCTCGACCCTGAGCGAATTCACGCCAATCTGGTCATCCTTATTCGAGAATAGATTCATGCCCCGACTTCTGATAAATGCTTTAGCATCTTGCATCTGCGTTGTCGTGGTTCGTGTGGACTTCTTTGGGAGATTAGCCTTGGATCGTGCGCGTCAGATACAGCGGGAAGAATTAGTTTGACCGACGGGACCCAATCTCACCAGTGATATATCCCAACTGGATGCTTCTTCTACCGGCAACCCATTTCAGGTCAGGGAGTATTTGAGGCCGAGAGGAACCCTTCACCCGGAAGATATCATACCAGGGTTTTAACTCCGAGCCTCCGGAATTACGAGTCGGTTCATTCCACACCATCCCTAAATGGGTTAGAGGGAATGTATCCGAAAGCCGACAAGCTTTTGGCACTAGGCCCAGATAGGGCTAGCGGAGTCGTACACCCGGATCCACATCTGGCAAGAATTTCGGTGGAAACGCAAACCAAAACCAGGCAACAGCCAGAGAGACAGAGGGCGAAGACTCTGTTCAGGTACGCTCACATCGACTGAGGATGAAAATGGTTGACCCTTGCATCATGGAGGTCGGGACTGTGCACGAGGGGCGGGCGGTGGGAAACCTCGACAACCGCCGCACGCCCTTTCGCGCGATTGGGAGCTCGACGAGTGCCATTCCCTTGATCCGTTATAAATAGCCTCGTTGGCTCCACGCAGGAAAAGCCGATAGTTCGGCTCCCACTAAAGAGACGGAGACACTGCACGTCGCCTGATTGGCGATGGGTATACTCTCCTCCCCCCCTTTTTTTTGGCGGTCCCCAAGGGAATAGCGTGCCGTTACCACCTTTTTTTTTTCTTCATCCGACGTATAACCCGAGCATGGTCGCCTGCTCGTCAGACGCCATGAACCATTCTACCCCCAATTCCTCCTCTGCGATCAGGACTTGTGCGTGACCACCGTATACGCCTGCCGAGGGGACACCCATCCGCACTACCACGACCGCAACGTTTTCATGCGCCCCTTTCGGTATGTCGGCATCCTGAGTGCCCTGGCCAGGATTGCCATTGCCGACGAGCAGACGGAATGCAATCCATTGAACACGACCTGTCCCGCAGATCCGGCATTGGGGACCGAGCATACCTGGTGGTTCAACTCCACGCTGGATGAGAAGTTGTGGAATCTGACCACCGGGGTTCCGACATATACGTCGGAAGGGGCGGAGTTTTCGATCAAGACGGAAAATGGATCGACGCTATTACAATCCAACTTCTACATCTTCTTCGGGGTCATGGAGGCACATGTCAAGATGGCCAAGGGCGCCGGCATCATCAGCAGTGTGATTCTCCAGTCGGACGACTTGGACGAGATCGACTGGGAATGGGTCGGATACAACACCAGTGAGGTACAATCCGACTTCTTTGGCAAGGGGAATACGACCACGAGTGACCGTGGTGGGTTCCATGCCGTCGCCAACGCCGACACCGAATTTCATAACTACACCTCGTACTGGGACCAGGACCGCCTGGAATGGTGGATTGACAACGAACTGGTGCGCACGGTCAACTACTCGGAACCGCTGACCGTCTATGGCAAAAACTACCCGCAAACCCCGTGCCGCGTCAAAGTGAGCAATTGGCCGGTGGGTATTGCGTCCCAGTCGATTGGCAACATCGAATGGGGCGGCGGTCTGGTGAATTGGACCAATCTCCCCTTCACCATGACGGTGCAGAGAATTCGCGTCCAGGACTTTCATTCCGGGAAAGAGTATACCTACTCAGGGAGCTCGGGCTCATACGACAGCATCAATGTCGTCAGGTATGATCTCGATCTTTCTGTCTCTTCTGGTAGCTGTAATGGGCGAAGATAACTAATCAGCCCGGCAGTGGCAACTCCACCGCCAAAACGGAGATCAACAAGAAGCCCGCCAAGACTCTCGCTCAGAAATGGAAGGACCTGGGCAAGGCAGCCCATATTGGTGTGTATTGCGGAGCCGCTGCTGCGGGGGTGCTCATCGTGGCCGGGTTCGCCATGTGGTGCGTCCGGCAACGCCGCAAAGGTCGTCTGGAGCGCGGGCTCGCTGAAGGTCCGCCGAGTACGGGCAAGCCGATCGAGATGGAAGACTATAAGAAACGATGGAGGCAAAGCGACTGGGCGCATCGTGGATATCACGCCGTGGACCAATAGATTTGTATAATCTTGCAATGTATCGTATCTGATGTATGGTATCCGGAGTTATCATGTTTGTTCGTATATTTTCATGGGCATGCCAAGCTGATGGTTAACGCATGCCCTCTTTGATTCTACATAACACTGTAGATTGCGATACGAGATCAGTCACTCTACTTGGTGTGCGGGTGATGGTGAGGTCTACTGACAATACCGGCATCACTTCTCTTCTTATGGCCCACAGGCCATCCGCGCTGCAAGCAATTGAGTTAGTACAGCCTCGCAAGTGGGATGACACGGCATAACCCCAGAAGCAGAAGATGGTTCTGATGTGAGCGTATCTCGAAGTCCGATGTCCAATAGAAGCATCCAAGGAATGTGCGACGTGGTCATGACCCGAATAGACAGTCAAATGTTAGATTGTAACTCAATTCAATGAGCAAGAGTTGATGACGAAGATAAAGATTGGAAAGGGAATCCCTGAGATGTGGCTGAATGAAGGCTATGCCTGGTAGAAAGCATCGGGGCCATTCCCCCTTTCCTCCTTCGACTTCTATGTTCTCTGTTCGAACTCGATGACTTTAATTCCAGAGACAACCAACGGCAAAGGTGTGGAGGTTCAACTTCAGCTTTGGTATTTCTACCCCACCGGTATTTACCCTGCAAGACTTTCTGTGGCATGATAGTAACCACTATTTCAGATCTTGTCACATTCATTGAGTCCTTCAAAACTCCCAACTACAAGTATTACTCTCTGGCTTCTGCTCCGTCGTCCTATACACGCCGCAATTTAGTATTGCGCCTACGCTAACCATTTATAAAGAAGGATCGAGGCTGTATATGGACATTGGCAGGCATTTATTTCGATAACTTCAAGGAATCTTTGGACTATTTTCCCATGCTGCGTTCCGTCGTGGGGAATATATGGACATCAGGACAGTTACTACGTCACCATTAGCAACTAGGACACAAAACCCACCGGTAGGTGTAACTCACTTCTTGGAACCTGAACTCGCCATTATCATTGATGATTCTTTCACCCAAGTTGACATCAGCTAACACAAAGTCTCCCTCCTCGTTCTGAAGATCAGCACGGAGGATGGGCACATTGTCGCCTCCTTCGAAGCTGAACTCCACGTTCTGGGCAGTCTGAAAGAAGTCGACCCCCCCCCACTCAAAAGCGCCTAAGTCACAGGGACATAATTAGAGGCTGCGTCGGCTTAAGACAACAGAGAGACATGGGGAAATACCATTGTTGTTACCAAGGTATTCGTTTAAATCGATGAAGGCATCCACCACTTCGCCGTTAATATTGCGAAGGCCAGCATGGAGGACGGGTCCCTCAACATGCACATCGATAGCAGACTCGTAGAAGTTTCCGGCCATGGTTTATGATTTGGAATAATGATCTGGGCGGTGCGAGTGATTTGAAGATTGGGAAGTGAAGATGATGAGAAGAGTAAACGGAGGTGACAGAAGCACTCCCTATATACCCTAAAGCCTCCACCGTCAGGTGGGGTTCTTAATCTCTCATAGTATGTACATTGTATAGTACTTTCCGTCTCAGCCACATGGCCGGTATTCATTTGCTCATTGCTGTCTATCCTGGCATGGTGGGGATGCTGTTAGAGCTTGGTGGGACAGCTACCGATAGGAGGAGAATGGATCATTTGACGAGGCAGCCACAAGTGAGATCTCAGTTGGAGGGGCAATTGGATTGATGGAGGGGTAATCGGGGCCAAGGGTATTTAGCGAGCTGAGATAATTCTTGGCTATTATCAGTATCTTGCTCACCGCCACAAGTGGTACTTTTATACCAACCGCTATCCAATACATAAAGCCACACACTTCGTCGTATATCATGTAGTTCCCACATTGTTGACCACGGTCGATATCCTTATTTAATTCCATCCCCTACTATACCGCCGAAAACACCTATGAATTTGAATAGTTTACTGCAAGAAAGAGGGAACACTCTTCCTGACAGACTAACTATTTAGCGCATCCTTTTTGTGGACCGACCCGCTGATGTGGAGAATCCAGAATATACGTGGCCACAGAGAGAGAAAGAGAGAGTAGGACCCTGGAGCCCTGACTACGTCGATCAAGCACGTCACATCCGATGACACTCGCTCATACACTCCAGATATGAGGGATGAGGTAATCATATTATTTAAGAGACACATCCGCCTTCACAATATTCCAAGTAGACACTTGCTCGGGGAGCAGCAGTTGGGCGTCGGCGGCCAACTTTCTCTAGATCTTCCGGTTCGACTTATCTGATCGCCTACTCGTGGTGCTGATGGGGAGATATCCCAGCTACTCATGGAGGGAACATTCAATCTAAGGGTACATATGTGCAGATGGATCAGCGATAAGCAAACAGAACATCCTCCAAGGCCCTACGTTGGGGATCCGGAAATAGAATGTATACTAAACCAACGAGTGCCGAACATTCCAAACAGTACATACATCCCCCACTACAAATTCTCGAATCCCACATCCATGGTGTACCCTAATATGATCTTGACAATCTCATTTATGGCTGTCGACAAAGCCACGCCCTTGGTCCGCTGGCGGAAGGGGAAGATCTCGGCGCAGTAGATCCACGATAACGGCGCCTATGTGAGTTTCAGTTAGCTAGCCTGGTGGTGACAGCGTTGGGGTGGGGGGACTGTCCAAGAAATGTGTTTGTTTGGCGTCGCGTATAATCTAAACCGTTTATTTGAGCCGGGAAATCTCCTCTGAGGCCGTCTGACTGCCATAACCTCTATGGCCGTAGAGCGCGGCTAGAGGTTCCTTGCACTCGGTCCAGCGGCCCTACACGGCAAGCCAGCGTGGAGACTCAGGGAAGAACAAAAGAGAGACCCGATGGATGATCCCGGGGATACCCTGCAGCCCCCAGCTGAGGCGGAAGCCCCATGTATGATATGTGCACGCATAGGCGATCAGGTATGTAGCGAAGATGCCAAGGCTAATAGTCCCTTGTTGGAAGCCCACAATGCGCCCGCGGATGTCTCTAGGCACGAGCTCAGCTAGGTAGACATTGCCTTGGGAGGTCATTCCAGCTGCCATAATTATAAGCTAGCCATCCAGTACTTGAAAGCTTAGGGACAATACTTGCGAGTCCGCCGACTACTCGTCCAACAATCAAATGGACGATACTCTGCGCGCTGCATTACAAGGCGCTGCCAATGGTCCATACGACTGCGGTAATCATCAGCTGGGCTCGCCGGCCAAAATGGTCAAACAAATGACCGGTAATTATTGCGCCAACAAAAGAATGTGGCTATAGAAGGGGAGTAAGTAATCTGATGTTTTATCAGCGCAGGTCTTCCATGGGACTAGAGGTGTGTATCACAGTAGATTGTTGGATTTCAGTTTCTGGATGGAAAGACGACACGTAGCCGCTATGATTCGACCGCAAAATCATCGACCTAGATTTGTCAGTTGCAATATAGGTAATTACTGAGAAGGACAGAGATATATAGAGTTGCTTCCACTTATGGTCCGCTGTAGAGTATATAATACTGCCAGAACTATACTGAATTTGCTATAGGATCAATCCAATATGTTATATATACTGTATATATTGATTTGTATAGTGTTGTTTGAACTTCCTAATTTTTATAACAAGAGTGTTGAACTCGGAGGTATACTTCACAATACTTATATTAGGAATTATACCAACTATATACAATAACCGGTGGCGGGGGGCAGTGTAAGACTGGTAAACATGAGTATTTTAATGACTGTTGCTATTTTTATCTGTTCTTATATTATTAGGCTGTAAATTGTAGGTTGATCCTGGACTTCTTTATATATATTTGGCTCCTGTATATCTAGCGGGTGTACTGAACACCACTGTGACTAGAGCGATGCTTAAGTAAAAGCCTATAAAGATTGGGCGCCTGGAGATCAATGTCAGAGAAGGATTGATAGATCGGTTACAGCCCAATCCGAGACTATATTCGCGTCTGGAAAGTGCTGACCCAATAGTCAACAACCCGTGGCCGAACCAAATTCTATGCTTGGAAATTATGAATGGGTTTAGATGTGGTGTTCATCAGGGTTTCTGTTATTGGGCGATTGTGCATGATAGAATATACGGCTTTCAAATCCCTGGTAAAGGGAACTTGACTGGATTGCCAGCATCCTCTGAGGGGCTTACTGTTTGTCAATGAAGCATTTGAGAGATTATGTAGTTTTGTGACTACTTACCTCGTAGACCACACTAGGCTCGGTGTTCTCCTTGCATCCAAATATGTGTGGCTCTCGTAGTTGCAAAATAAATAAAGAACCAGGAGCCTGCTCAGGGCGCTCCAAACTTGGATATTTGAGACATACATATACATTTAGGACGTTCTATATCTACCCTGCTTGGCGGTTGGGTGCCAGTGGGCAGCTTTCTCTCTATCCCTGGGGTCCGGTATATCGGATTTGATCGCCTACTCGTGAGCTTACATTCCTTGAAGAACACATGGTGCTCAGGGAAGATATTCAAGTCATGCGGGGGGAACTTTCAATATCTTCGGAACATATGTCTCGTGGACCGGATAGATCACTAATCCTCGTATCCCAACGCGCATCGGAAAAACCCCTGACAATCCTATCCTTTGGTGTTTAGTACCTACGGAAATCCCCGTAGAGTGAACTCATTCCAAGGGTACACTTCTGCTTGGGGGCTGCACAAGGCATATATTCTTGGTTGTAGAACATATATCCCCATGGCTATCCATGGCGAGTGAGAAAGTAGAAGTACATAGCCGGACTTTTGTTGATTAGTCAAAGCGAACTACTAGTTAACTACTAACTACGCCCGTTCTTCAATTCCGGGAATTCCTGTGGATCACTAATCTTCGGTGAGGGCAAATAGTGATAATACTCCTTTCCTACCTCGGTGAATAGATAATCACGACAATTACAACTCATAACATAGATATCACAACCTCGGAGTCATCACCATAAATGGCCTCGAAGTGGCTATACGGCACGCCAAGGATGAAGTACTGAAGCTTTATAAACCCCCGACTGAGAACGGTGCTACATAAAATTGTCATCGCATACCATCAACCCACCCCATACGATACTCACTCGATCACAATGGAACCGATGAGCTACCAAGTGTTGATTACCGGAGAGCAGGACATCAAGACTGCTCACAAACGACGAAATGTCTATCTCCGACCCTTCCTCCTATTCTGGCTGAATTCTCTTTTCGCAGAAATCATTTTCTTGGCCGTCGGTATTTTCGTTATGACGGGGACTCGCGACCTTCTTTATAAGATTTTATGGACTCTGGTCTTTTGTCCACTAGGAATGGGCGGTGCGATGGGGGGGCTCATCAACTGCTTCATTGTTGACCATTACTATGGGAAAAAGGCGGCACATTTCACCGGTATTCTGTCGCTACTCATCCTAAGCAGTTGCAACTACCTGTGCTATAATCTTGACCGACATTTCGGTTGGTTTGGCGCGACTGAACATCCATTGTGGTTCCATTGGCGCTACCCCATGATTTGGATGGTTGGTTACTTCAATGGGCTTTTGTTGTTCACGGATCGAGGCCAGGAGCGACTGGCAAAGCTGGGGCTTTGAATGTTTCATATCGGTGAATGGAGAGGGCATGCTTGGCGTTCCGATATCTCACATCATGCTAGGTTACGGACAGCCTGCCTAGCCTGCTGCCCAGTACTAGACGCTATTGACGTGACGCACTGAAGGTTGGAGGATATATCTGTGAGAGTATACATTGACCTCCGCATTTCTGGCTAGGATTGAGGGTCAAATATGCCACTGTGTATGGGGAATGTGGCAGCTGATAACTTCTAAATTGTGGACGTATATAGAGACTGGTTGGACAGATTGCTCCTGTCGCTGTTGGCCCCCATCGTGAGCGGTACCTTCAATCTGCTGAGAATCCAATACTTTGGATACGTAGGGGAGTCTCCGTGTTAGCAGCACATTTCTATCATATGTCATTTCACGCAATGGAACAGGTTGTATGCTAGTGTGTTGAAACATAATCTGCCTTCCATATCCTCTTAAAAGAGTATTGGGGGCAGCACCCGCTAAGCCCCTGAGTGATAGATTCCCATCAACAACGGAGAAGGAGGCCTGCCGGTCTATAGTGAATGGTTGTAGCCATGCTTTCCGAGAATATCTAGCCTTCATTTAGACTGAATGTCAATGCTTAGGAGTTTTGGCCACACGTGTTGATTATCCTAACAAGAAGACTGGGGCTTAGACGAGCGAGGTATCGAAATGCCGTCGACTATGCCCCATATTCGGCGATCATCAGTTGCCTTGCAGCTGAAAGGTTCTCCGTAACAAGGATTGCAAACCGAGAGATAAGCAGTCTGCCGCCTCATGGGAGATGCAGAACTTCCACTCTTCACTCTTCACAAATGGACTAGACCCTACCAATAAAGGGTCTCCATTGTGTCACCTGTGATCACAACCGAACGAATCTTGGACTACGTGGTATCCACTGAGTCGTGTTTATACGTCGACCGGGGAAAAGTGGTTGTAGCCAATGGGTGGGAATGAGTTTTGCATGAAATGAAGACCTATTATACTGCTGAGCCGACGGCCAAATTAATCCTACCGTTTTGTAGGAGTAAAGGCGTCGTGTCCAATTGCTTTTAATAAATCGTTACAGTCCTTATTCGCCGTTTGCCACCCCTGTTCAATAATCTGTTGACGTTCAGGGCTTCGCACGCGGAACGAAGCCTCAAAGGGTGGAAGTGTAAATATCACGCCGAAATTCTCCGACCGGTCTGCCGCCTTCACATCCTCCAAGGTGCTCGTTACTGGACAATCTATGTCATACGCCCAAAGCATGCGCGCTATCGCGATGAACAGAGAGGACCGTGCAAAGTATTGTCCCGGGCATATTCTTCTGCCAAAGCCAAAGGCCGAAAGAGGAAGGTCGGGGTTCTGGATCCATCTCTCGGGCTTGAACGACGGGGCGTCTTCGAAAATACTCTCGTCCATATCCATTTCCCATTGATTCGCAATGATCGTGGCACCGGCTGGAAGGAAATACCCCATGTACTCATCATCCTCGGAGAGTGTTCGGGGTCCACCGACCGGGGCCATTGGTCTCCACCGGAGTACTTCGGAGATGAATGCATTGACGTACGGGAGTTTATCCTGGTCCTCGAATGATGGGAGCCTCTGTGAGCCCACAACCTGGTCCAATTCTCTTTGTGCTTGGCGCATAGCATCGGGGTAGAGTAAACTGGCCATAACAGCTATCCGCAGGGTTGAGTCGGTGGTGTGGCTCCCAGCTATGTAGACCTCCCCGATACTGAAAGCGAGCTGTTCTAGGGAGAAGTCTTTACTTTCCTTCCTGCTGAAGGCTTCCTTGCTCCAGTTCCAAGTGTCCTGTTGCAGAGCGGATTGAATGCACTTGATGAATGCATTCTTTACATTATTGTGGCTTCTTTCGCCGTTGGCTTTCCACCGGGAGAACAATTTTGGAAGTCGGTCAAGGATTGGGAATATGTCAACCAAGAAAGTCATCACCGAGGTTGCGCTGGTTAGTGATTCGAACATCTTGTCCATGTGCTCCTGATCACTCTTATTCTCCTCGTCAACATCTTTTCCATATGCCAAGTTGAACATTACATTAGAGACATAATGGTGGAAACACGACCCAAAGTCGTTTGTTGACAACAGGCGGTGCAAAGTCTTCTTGCTTTGGGTATCCAAAAGGGCCTGGCAAGCTCGAGTGAATTGAGGACTGAGAAACGTTGTGTGGAGCCGTCGATGAAGCTTCCACTCTGGTCCGTATTCCATGAAGACCGGCTGCAGGCCCTTTGCGATATATTTGTTGACGTATACTGACTGAATATGAGTGCTGTACAAGCTGCCGCGCTTGTCCAGCAGGTCCCGGGCGATTCGGTGGCTCCCCAGAATAATGATCGTCTGGACTCCGAGTTTCAGGCTTACGATAGGACCGTGCTCTTGGTGCCATTTTCTAAAGGTCAGCCATATTTCCTTTTGTGGGATTGCGCCTGGATTTAGAAGCGTTGGCCCAGGAGGAAGGGGTAATGTCGAGCGGTTGGAGCGAACAAGCGATTTGTAGCAAATGTATAAGGTAATTGTAACCAAGCATACTAGGCCTATGAGTGCCATGATCCGCTTTCTTCTTTCGAGGCGGCCCAAGAATATTGGCTAATGTAAAATGCGATTGTATTGAGCAGATATTTAGAGCCCTGTAGGAAGCAGTACCGCCCACAAAACGTGGTATTAATACCTTTCCGTTCGAGCTATTTAATGATTGAGGCTGGTATGTTGTGCGCCCCTTCAAGGCCGACATTCGTATTCTGATGCAGGGAGTTGGGCGAGTTATAATGCGGATATTCTCTGGGACGAAGCCAGGTTAGCCAATGAGATGTTTCCAGTTGGTATTGCACAAGCTCACCGAGGGAGAGACATTTAATCTCCCGCTTTAAGCTTGCGTGGTTAGTTGTCAATATGGAAGCCCCTTGCGTGGAAATTTGCCAGAGCATCCTCTGACGCCACTACCCGAGCAGTTCCTGAAACTATTTAATAAAACCTAATGAATACTCCTCATCCCTTAAGCGTCTGATAGATCCATGGCGATTTTAGCAACCTGAGGGATGTATTATTTCTCCCTGGTGTCGTAACGATAGTGATTAGACCTAACCAGTATTGCAAGTTGGTTCATATTCCTCTCCCTTCCATTCGAAGAGACGAGTGAAAGTGCCCACATCGCCTTGTGTTTTGTCAGTATAGGGGACGAGTCGACGCGTTAATGTACCTACTCGCTGGTATGTAGGAACTTGTTTAGCTCCTTGGAATGCTACTGATGCGATCTATGAGCCGGAGGATGAAACTTAAACCGCCCGTTGGTGGAGTAGGTTAATCCAACAAACGATCAACAGAAACCCCTTTGTTCTTATTTAATCCCTTGATTCCTCACCCAATCTTTTCCGCCAAATATGAGAAACAGGCTTTACCCTGCTGAACCGAGGAAAGCCCCTTGAATGCCCTTCTTTTAGACCCAGTCCCATTCTTAGCTCGCAGGATTTCAACGTCGAAAGGTTCAACCCCTTACTGAGGGCAGTCTTGGTGCAACATTGAAGAATCACGTTAGTGGACCATCTCATCTAGGAGAGGACATGCTCCACTATCCTTGAATCCACATCCCCTCCAATGCTGGGACCGTTTATCAACCAGACAACGTTTTTGCATACCACGAGCAGGATAGTTTAACTCATCTGATAGCCCAACCCTCACAGTCCCTGCAGAGATCTGCAGCCGCCCGGATATTGTATGTTGCTATAGTTAACAACCCAGAAACTATTCCGGGGTAAACATGCCATTAGTCACGTATCCTAGTTCCAGGGGGAATGAAAAAGTGACCCGTCGACTCGTGCTGATCTTTACTCTTTGTAGATTCATCATGCAGTTATGGGAGTTTGACAGAGTAACCAACGAAAGCACCTTGTTCTAGATGAGTTTCGGAAAAGGAGCTTTCGCCCTGGCGGCAGAGCCACGCGTTGGAAATTCCTCCGTACAGAAGGTGAAACGAAGCTGCCACTCGTGGTTAAGGACTCTTGGCAGTATCCTGAGCTGAATGAAGGGGGTAGGTGGGGTTACCAATGTGGCGAGGTAATATCTACTCAAAGTCCTCCGTATCTTTATGGCTGAGGGTAAGGGAAACTGGTGCACACGCTCTCAATACGGTTTGGGACGAAAACTTTCATCAAGCTCTTGTAGTGACACCGAAACAATCCCCCCTACCCTTGCCAAGGAAACGCACCTGCTCGAAGTCGCTGAGCAAGAACAGGGGTAACCCTGATACAATAAATCGAATAGACGGTCGTGCGATTATCTCTTATGGCGGTGAATTGCTTTATAATTCTACTTTTCTTGTTGTGACACTCGTTTCCTTTGACCTTTGTATGGTGATCTATCATCCGTTGTATACTGCAACAGGGTTTCCACGAGGAGATATGTTTACAGGTAATATTATGTTGAAAGAAGAGAGTATAACTGTCCCAGGCATGCATGGCTTGTCGATTTAAACCTTGCACTTGAAGAGACACGCGGTCTGTCTACTGTGGCATAGGGTAATACCTGGATCGAAGGCTTCATGCAAATAGGGCAGTTGTTAGGTGACAGATTGTCCTCGGTACGTAGACTAGAATCCTTTTTCTGGGTTCTCTTCTGAATCTGGATTCACTATGAAGATCTAAATGAGAAATGCCTGCTTATCTGGTAATTCGACGAGTGGGACTATGTGAGTATGGAAAAGTTAGCCAAGCTCAAACATGGAACTGTTTCAGAGGATCATATTTTGAAAGCACCATAGACAAGGCCACGAAATATTATAAAGCACCGAAGCCTTGGGTTGATAGGCTACGAAAGTCAGTGTTCCCGAATGGGAAGATACGAGGAAAAGGAGAGGAGAGCGTTCTCTCTCACATGTGTGAGATATTATGATAGCCACAAGATGCCTTGAGAGAGGCGTCTCTTGTTTGGGCTAAATTGTCGCGCGAAGTGGATTTCCCAAAGAAAATACGCAGGCAAAAGGGGACCTGGCGGTCCGGTTGTGGATCGACCATGTCTACTTATCTGTCAACAATGCTAGCCAGTGGTTACTCCTTGCATATAATATCACTGTCAAGGACAACCGGACTACAACTCTGACCACGAGCGTATTCCGTTCGGAATTTGCGGGGTGTATGAGACACCATTTGAATTCATCTGACTTCCATTTGTGCGAGTTTGAGTTAGTGTCATTTATTCCGTACAGTAGGCGAATGAACTGGTCGCCTATCTACACTACCTTCAGGCCACAGCTACATGGTGGGTATATGATTAAATTTTCCCCTCCAAGATATCCAGTCCCGTTGATAAGGTTGAGAGGGATACATCCAAAATCAAACGAGGAGCCAGGTCTTCGCCTGGTTGACTAAGGACTGTGAATTCTAGGTTGGTAGAATTGGATTTAAGGAGTGAAACCTTTCATATCGCTTCTAGTAGATTATCTATATCCCCTCCCTCCTGAAGTGCAAGATGTAGATCTCGTATCTGGAAATACCATGACATGCTGGCGTGTTTCTGCACAGCCTTCTGTGCCAACCTGTGTTGTTTAGGAGTTAAAAGCTTGACAAGATCCTCGGAACTCGACATAGTGTATGCATAGGAATGTAATGTATCCCTAGGCTTTCTCTAACTCAATTCAATGTTTTATACCGCTGGCTACCTGCCTTTATGGTTCATTGATATACCAGTGAACAGACCTAGATTTGAGCTATAATACATGAGATATTTACACAACTACATTCGTTTTTACCCGATTTAAACAATCATGAAAAATGTCATTATTGTTCTTTGAAGAGCCGACAGATTCTGAGGAAAAATATAAAGTAATATTATGGATACCGATGTAGAGGGTTTGTTTGACAGCTCGAGAGTACGTTCAGTGATGCATCAGCCAATTAAGAAATAAATGATTGTCTGAATTCTTGGCCTATCTGTGGTTTCTAGCGGTTTGGATATGTTAATGCTATTCCTCCGAACAAGTTCAGCCTTTGCAGAGTAATTCATGACGCGGAACAGCCACCCAGATCCCGAACAGAACCAACGCTCCTACTGCACAAATTGAAGATTCTTGTGTCTCTCGAACCAGTGTTTGAAGGTTTGGCAGATGCGGGCAAAATTCAGTTGAGAAAAAGGTAGGAAGCTCTTCTATCCTCCCCAGAGCCTCGAAAGATCAGCGTTCCTTCATTTTCGGTCCTTGGATGGTATGAAGTCCAGTCTTTTATGCTCGAGTCAACTATATCAGGAGATTAGATTTATTTAAAGGGAAAAGGATCAATCTGCAAGCTACTTACATCAAATCTGCGTCAACTGGAAGCTCTCATCATTGGTAGGGGTAGGAGGAGAGAGATCCAGCTGATTATTCGAGTTCCGATGCAGAAGCAACTCGCTTCCGGGGTCCTGAAAGGTGTAGATATCGCCGGAAATGTTGTTTATCAGGAAAAGCTGCGCTGTCGCGGACGTGCTGCAAATCGCACCCTCCTCCGAACCGCAATTGATGTACTGGTTCGTGCCATTGTTCACGATCGCATACTGGTCAATGTCTGCTTCAATGAAGAACCAAGCCTGAGGATCTCCCTCCTTGAAAGTAATGGTACCAGACGCGTCTGCCAGATAAAGCTCGGTTCCCGCTGAGGCAACTGCGTATGTTCCCTCTAAATATTGGGCAAGTGCTTGGCAGGAGTGCATGGCCAACAAGCTGAGCATGGCAGAGACCTTCATTTTGGCTGGTGTTGGGAGTGTTGGAAGTTCCAGCTAGAAAGTGGAAATGGATACTATGGAGATATGATAGGGATCTAGTCGAGCGAAGAGCCACATTATATAGGGGCTAGTGGGCTACCCTTAATATGCTGTGTACTACAAGCCGTTCAGGTCATGACACATTTTCGACGAGTTATTGCAATGATACTTAGACTATTATTAAATGATCTGCAATGACTATTGGACAAAACAGGAATAAGAATGACGCCCTTGCCGACATGTCTTTCCAAAAAAAGAAAAGAAATGTGTGGTGCAGCTGAAAAAAAAAAGAAAAGAAAAGAGAGAGAGAGGGAAAGAAAAGCGAAGAAACAAGAGAAAAAGCAAATATGAAAGAATGCATGGAGTTCAACACCCAATAACTGAACACTTTGAATCAAAAGCTATGCTAGGTACGATTTCTGTCGAGCAGAGAAGGAATGTAAGTTTGGCTTGAAAGCTCTGGGGTTGAATCAAGAACAACTCATTCAATGAACGCGCATGATAGCTTCTGCTGCCGTGATACGTCCGTGAGTCTTTTTAACTTTTATTTCTTATTCCTCTCAAGTTATACATTCAAGATTAATCAATCTGTCATCTTTCGCAGCTGGTTGGCTTTGGCATTCCCGCCGTAAGAATGCCTGAGAATCGATACCTAAGGCAGCCGTTGAGGTATGCCATCACATGACAGAAAAGAAGCAGATCAACATCTTCCATTGCTGGACTGGCATCGAACACGCATCAACAAAAGGGCAACTTATATCCAGGGGATAGGACACGGTTTCATCGTGGCCCTGACAGCCCGTGGTGGTCTATTCTGGGTTAGTGGCATAAATAGGCGGCTTTTAATGTTGAATAGCCTCCGTCTGCAGCACATACTGCACGGCCACTCGTAGGAGCTAGGCACAATTGGCACCTCACTGGTCGGCGTTCCACGAAGGAGTATCTGCAAATCGCGTCCTGTGTTCTGAATGATTAGAACAGCTTCATACCTAACTAGTGCGATACAGGGCCGCTCCGCTTTTCTCGCTCAGCAGGATGCATTGGACTTTGGAGTACTTCAGTCAATGTCTCGCACCTAAGCTGGTAACAGGGTGCATGGCGCCCTTTAGGCCGGAAAGGCGGACTCTAAGCTTTCATGTGATGCTTCAACCAGGGAAAGTTGGTCAATGAGGGCCACCGCACTCTATCGAGGACCTAATTGTGCGGGCGACCCAAGTGACTCTAAGAATGCTCTCTTGGCGTCTCATGTAGCGATAGGCTACAGTCCAACCATGCAGGCGACTGGATTCTAAGACGGGGTTCAATTTCAACCAAGACCATAGACTGACGGTCTTTTCTAAATCAGATGGTTACATTCCGCCCTGGATGATCCTTGCGTTGAAACAAGGCCGCAAATGACTCCAGTCGCTGAAACACACCGCATTAATTCAGAGATATTTCGCCATGGCAGCGTCTGAAAAAGCCCTTCTACCCAGCTTTACCTTGGTATCGGCTGGGAATATATGGGCTCGGCTATTTCTGATGCAGCCAAGAGCTTCTACAACGGATCAAATGTCTCTACCGGGACGGGGATGGGGTGCAGCAGGGTAGACCAGCTAGTTATTCTGAAATATCATCCTGATTATATGCAAATTGCTTTCTACCATGGAAATCGGTAAAATAATGCGATCTGAGACTACTCCCTTCAAGGATTTGTTCAAGACCCTATCCAGACGTCAAGTATCCTGGATGTGAGGCTGCGGTGGGGCAGTCCAGGCTCGGAGGTTAATAACAAATGCACCCTCTCGCATAAAGTCACTTGCTGTATTGCAGAGGACCTACGCTTCTCCCATCTGGCAATGAGGACGGTGGTGGTCCTTCTTCCATCCGAGGTCAGCTGGACCATGGGACCTTACGGAGAACATGTGCAAAGCTGCGATACAGCAAAGGCTCCGACTCCCCTGGGCATAACAGGTCTTAGACTACCAGAAATATGTAGGTTGCTACGGTTTTAGTATGATCTGATGAGCATCCTGGACAGGTGTATCATCTGGTCGTTGAAAATAGAAAGGAAGCCCTATCTTGAACCGGCAAGAGGTGACGTGACTTTGTCGTGGGAGAACCAACTGCGCGTTTGCCAAGCAATACCCTTGCCTCCCGGGCTGAGGATAGAGTCGTTGGAGTGCATGCCGATGGATCTTTTCGATTAAGTTTTGTTTCATTTTAGGAATGAGATGCGAGACCATTAAGCCTGGGAAGATAGACCAGGCTAAGTACTAGCTCTGCCCTAACGGAGGCCAAAACCACCCATGCACATGTAGTATTAAGTCTGACAAAAGCAGAGTCCACCCAGATATATCTAATTCCGGGCTCAACCATCACATTCTGAAGAGTCTTCTCTATATTAGGGGCTAAGGAATGGATTAGGGCTTCCCCGCTCTGAAGATCCCTAGAGACAGCCGGGGACCGAGGCAGATGCTCACCACACAGAGCCAATTACGAACACGCCTTCATCCCCACGCAAGAACGGCGTAGTATCCCCAACATTTCCCTATATGACATCTTTGGGGCCGATCGGTGGGGCGAAAAACCCTGAGTGACTATACCTCTGAAACTGGTTGATGTGGAGGGGCAGGTTATCGTCGATCTCACATGATGTAGCTATCATACATGGTACCGAGCGACCTTTTGGCTGAGCTAGGGATATAAGATGAAGGCTGTGTAGACCTGGGTCACAGAGGCTCGTCTCTTCCCCGACAGAATAACACATTTATGAGATATGGCGACCGAAACAACTACGAAAGGCCATCCCCGCGATTCGATGGTGTCCACCTGGCGCGATGGTGACCGATCGAAATGGACACCTTCCCACTGGCTGCTTGACCTGCTGGGCACACGCCTGAAACCCCACAGGAGAGAAGTGCCCGTTTATTCGAAGGATGAAAAGATCCCGTTCGTTCGAGAATGGACTGTCCATCTGTGGATTATGTCTCACGCCTTGATTCCGCACGTTCTTCATCAAGCATACATGACCTATACTGGCCGGACCCTCCACCCGATCGTCGTCTTTTGGTTGTATACAACGACATTCTATGGAACCGGTATCCATCTTATGCAAACCATTCGCCGTCTCGGGTGGGTCTACGGTTTCCTGGACGGAGATAAGCATGAACGAGATGACATACCTGATGTTGGTGTGGAGAGGGTTGCGGCGGAACTGCTTTCTGTCCCGACCCTTCGCCTGGCCATGTCCGTCTACCTCTCATATCGACCGCAGGAGCTCCCACTCTCTTTCAACTGGGGATGCTTAGCGTTGGAGATCGGACTGTACAGCATCACCGTGGACTTCTGGTTTTATTGGTACCACCGCTTGATGCACTCGGTGCCCCTGTTGTGGAAGTTCCACCGCACGCACCACCTAACGAAACACCCCCACCCGCTGCTGGGAGCTTATGCGGACCACGAGCAGGAATTTATGGATATAATAGGCATCCCACTCCTCGCCTATGGCACTCTAAAGCTAATGGGATTGCCCATGTCATTTTACGAATGGTATATCTGCTATCAATATGTGGTCTTCTCGGAGATCATCGGACATAGCGGCCTCCGCGTTCATGGCGGTGCCCCCTCTACCCTCAATTGGTTACTTGAAATGGTTGATGCAGAGCTAGTGATCGAAGACCATGACCTCCACCACCGGTATGGATGGAGAAAGAGCCACAACTACGGCAAGCAGACTCGTGTCTGGGACCGTATTTTTGGTACCTGCCGTGAACGCATCGAAGGTCAAAAGGACAATATCGACTATGTAAACCGTGTTACGTTCCCGCTATTTTAAGAATCTCCATTTGACACGCCGAGAAATGGGCGTAACTGATGGTCAAACGGGAAAACTGAGAGGAGCAGATACACTAGACCGTTCTGTACTTATGATCCATTTCAACACAACACCCCAATCAATACTCATCTCCTGCTTCTCAGGACAAGCCAAAGGTGTTTCTACAGTATTTGATTAGTCAAGTGAAATGGTGGCCCAAGAATCTCGGTCACTTGCCATGCATGGCATACCCTATCTTTACTTAGGCGCCTATCGTGGCTGAATTTATGTTACCGTGTGGCCAGCGCCGATCAAACGGTTTCTGGGGAATTTAATGTGGTTCAGACCCCAGATGTCCTGGGGTATTTGGCCCACCTTGACTGGTCTTCTGATGATCATATGGGGGGGATGAAACCGAGGTATCCGCGTGCTGGACACCTGTCATGCCTCTTAGCAGTTGCGATGCTCAACAACTTGCAAGACAATCAGCATTAAGTGTCCGTGAGTCACCCTCCTCTCGGGCAGGACATTCAGACCCTCTGAACTCGGTGCTAGTATCACTACATTGTCAAGGTCGGTAGCTATCCGTTGGTAAGAAATCTCAGGAAACTATAGTGTAGTAATGATGACTCACGAGTATGTTGTAGCGAGACTCTTAAATAGTAATGTTTATTGATATTTAAGGCATTACACGACCAGAAAAAATCATCGTCAAGTTTAAAATTTTGTACTTTTTTGTTGTATCTCATTATTTACATGGTTTAACCCTTGGAATCATAACATGTTCATGCATCTCCAACCGCAACTGACTGAATAACAATGTGTGGTGGAAATAGTTGTATCGTGTCTGGTCTGTACGGTTCGTTATTGGACTTCTGACGGGCTGATTGGTTCTTGGCGCCGACGGCCAACATCGACTCCCCGCATTTTCCTCATCCGGACCGGAATATCATTATTCAGGCCCCGCTCCCGTTCGTGCACGCCCTTTCTGTGCTTATCGCGATAGCTTCATGTGGCGGTTGACGTCCTTGTAGAGCAGGTAGCGGAATTTGCCAGGGCCACCGGCGTAACAAGCCTGGGGGCAGAAGGCACGCAGCCACATGAAGTCGCCGGCTTCCACCTCGACCCAGTCCTGATTGAGGCGATAGACGGCTTTTCCTTCGAGGACATACAGCCCGTGTTCCATGACATGGGTTTCGGCAAACGGGATAACACCACCGGGCTCGAAGGTCACGATGGTGACATGCATGTCATGACGCAGATCCGTCGGGTCGACAAACCGGGTGGTGGCCCACGCATTGTTGGTGTTTGGCATGGGCGAGGGCACGATGTCCTTTTCATTGAGGAAGAGTGGGTCGGGGGCATCGAGTCCCGCCACGGATTCATAGGCCTTGCGGATCCAATGGAAACGAGCGGTTGCCACGCCGGTGTTGCGCAGGGTCCATCCGCTTTTCGGCGGCAGATACGCATATCCCCCCTCCGTCAGTCGGTGCGTTTCCCCCGCCAACGTAATGCTCACTTCGCCTTCGACGACAAAGACCACCCCTTCGGCGCCCTCGTCGAGTTCGGCGCGGTCACTACCACCTCCGGGTTGCACTTCCATGATGTACTGTGAGAAGGTCTCGGCAAAGCCCGACAACGGCCGGGCAATGACCCACAACCGCGTCTGCTCCCAGAAGGGCAGGAAACTCGTCACGATGTCGCTAAAGGTACCCTTCGGGATGACTGCATAGGCTTCGGTGAACATAGCACGGTCGGTGAGCAGCTGGGTCTGTGGTGGTAATCCACCTGTGGGTGCATAATATGCACTGATGTTCTTGTCGTTACCCATGGTGGGGGAGATGGGGAAATCTTTGGGCTGTCAACTGTTGTAGGGATCAATCACGGTGAGCTTCCTTCAATGTGTCTAGAAGAATACAATAAAATAAAATACAAAGTGACGAATGTCAAAGCTCACAGTGAAAGGAAGTTAGTGGTGACGAAGAGGGTCCCTTGCATATTAAATACACACAGTTTCCGGCGTTGACCGATCTCGGGTCAGGCCGACGGTCGCAGCCGTGAAGTGGATCGAAAGACTCACGGGAATTCTCCGACACCGTTGGCGGGGCACGTTACTTATCTTTAATTTAGCCTGTCATTCAGTTGATAATTTCTTTACAATGTATGGTGTTTTGATAATGTCTCTCGGTCACTTTGCACTATGGTAGACCTGATTATAATAACTAGTCACTGCTTAGAAACCACCCTCAATGTTGGTTGCGAAAGGTGTACCACTACCGGGATATATATAATTTATCTTGACATGGAATCATAACTTGTACCAGTGACAACCTTTTCCTTTTATCGGTTCCAGAAAGCCATTGACGGAGGAGACCTTAGCTACGTAGGTCTCTTGGGTGAGTACTATACTTGATACGAGCCCAGAAGCTTTGCCTATTCTTGCAACGAGTGGGGATTTCGACGGGTTTGCCATCGAGCCCTAAATTGGTAACAGCATTCTGCTGCTTGCCAAGGTAATAATCTACGAAAAAGGAGAATGTCAGCATCTATACTGTCCGGTGAGTTGGAGAAGGAGCAAGGGGGGAATTACCGGGCATCAAGCACGAGCAGAGAATAGACAGCGTGGAAATGGCGGCGGCAGCAATAAAAATTATGCCGTTTGTGCGCGTATAAGCCCTGATGGCCCCCTCGCGAATGGGATCATTCAGGTCATACTTTGTGCGAAGGATGTTAACCGAACCATAGATCTCCTGGAGTGTACTGTCCGGTGTGCCCGGCAACTCGTCACGCATGAACCCGAGCATCTTATCCGTCCAGATGGCAGAGGCAATGGCATACCCGGCGGCACTACCCAGGTACGTCCAAAGGAAGTAGGCCGCGATGATGGATGCCATATCCTCGTGAGGAACGGAGGCCATGGCTCCTATTCGTGACCCAAGGGCAGTCAAGGCGCTTGTTCCCAGGAGCACTTGTGAGATAGCGAGGGCAGTAGTGCTTTGGGTACTTCGCTGGTCGCTCGTGAGACACATAGCGTAGCCAACAACCTTCAGTACGGCTCCAACAATCATCTGGGTTCTATAACGGTGATATCTGACCTGGAGGAACCCACCAACCAGGCTAAATACAGTGATCGCAAGATTCCTGGCACCCGTAAAGACCGTCCAAGTGTAGTTATCCCAATCTTTGATGATATAGATATACGAGGCGAAGTAATTGCTTGCGAGAGTAGTGGTCATCTGATCGAAAAGGTTGGCACCCAATGCCGCAAGGAAGACCTTGTTTGCAATGATCCGTTTCGTCATCATAGGCTTCGGCGCAATGGAAATCTCAAAGGCAACAAACAGCGCCAGGATGACAAAACCAGTAGCTTCCATGGCAATCATACTACGGTTCTTCCAGCCGCTCTCGGCAGATTCTGCGAGCGATAGAGGGAGAAGAATCAGCGAGAAGGAGAAGCCGAGCAACACAAGGCCGGGAATATCGATCGCAATTAAACATTGCCAGGCAGTATGCAGAGGGCTCTTGTCGCCTTTCTCTGGCGGACCACTCCCCATTACCTCCATTTTGCGCGCTCTCAGTTGTGTGCCATATAATGTTATGATCGCCGGAGAGAGCAGAATTGGGATCATAATAGCGAACATACCCAAACCCCATCGCCACTGATCCGGGACGAATGCATCCACAATGAAACCATTGGTAAACGTGGTCACCAGGTAGGGAGCTATAATCATGCTGGTCCAGAAGCCGCGCCATTGCAGTGTCGTCAAGTCACCAACAATGATTTGGCAGAGGATGTTTAGGCCTGCCTTGCCCACCGCCGTCAAGGCGACACCGACGGTGTAGGCCACAAAGTTCGTGCAGCTGGCCGCAACAGCATATCCTACAACATAGAAAACTAGAGAGATGATATAACTTGTCGGACGGGATATGACGTCTGCCAGTTTGCCAACCACTGGCTTGGAGATACCATTAATTAAAGTGCTGGCGGTATTTACGGCGCCCAGCTGGGCATGCATATCGAAGGAGGAGGCCGCAACCATAGTAAACTGTTGCGTAACCCCCTCGTCCATGGCGTAAACAAACATGGTGAGACCAAGAGAGATGATAATGGTAGCGAGGAATAGGCGGCCAGTGAGACCAGTGTTGTGGAAAACCTTGTTAAGGCCTTCTACGCTGCGGAAACCCGCATTCTCGCATTCTGGAGTCGGCTCATCGCGCTTCTGGAGGTCCAATTCTTTCCCCTGGTGGATGTAGGCCGGAGAGACTTCGACGGTAGCAGTCTCCGATGCCATTGGCTGAGGCGAGGGTGAGATTCGAGGGTTATCACCCGTAAATATGAGCCTTGCACCGGTCAGACAGATAGAAGACGGTCAATTTGGAATTTAGGGCACGATGCATAAATAGAAGCCCACAACGGGGTTCACAACGGGATTAATAGGAGCATGTACTCGTCAGCATAAAGGTGGGATTCTCGGCCTCGGCCTTCTGCGGCGACGGTACAACTCGGCCGATGTCAGTACATTCGGCAATTTCTCTGTAGTATCTGTCACGTTGACATGTGTGTGATGCGTGTGTGCCCTGGCAGGTGGGGAGTGGAGGTCGAAAACAGAGCTACTTTCCGGTGGGCCCGGTGATAGATGGCCAATCCAATGCCAGGAATTCCACCTTGCATTAGCCAACCTGAGGGTATTCGCGGTTGTTTGCGCGGGGAAGAGCAACAATCCACCGACCCATTAGTAGTTGGATTAGTTATGGCAGAAAGCAAACCAGTAAGTTATTGTGCATTTTCCTGCAAGGAGCGGTAGGGGTCTACCCAATGATTGAAGATGATGACAACAGGGGGAAGTATCCTAAATGATCTCGATCTCTCCCCGCCATACCTGCCGAGCATGTTACGTATCAATCATCCAGGGCTAGCTGGGAACTGACCCACCGCCCATAAATCTTAGGGAGGGGCGCTAGTCCGATAAGCCGGCGGTCATAAAAGGATGAATATACCGTTGCCATGTCGCGTCCAACCAGATCTTGTTTTTTTTTTCAAGCCAGATCACGATCCTACTGCGCAATATGTTCTCCCAGAAGGCACGGGGATCTGCCCTATTGGTAAAACGGCGAGACCCACGTTGCCCCACGAAGAAGGAAAAGCGATTTGGCCGCAGCGTCGTGAAGATGTAATCTTTAGTCAGGAGACTAACTGAATCCATTCAGTCGAGGGATTTGACTGGGAACCCCCCATGTTACTATCTTCTTAAGCGTTTCTTGAAAGAGCTGCAGGTCCTGCTGGGACACTTCGAAATCAACAATGACTTGTGGCCCTATGCCGAGAATGCCGGCCATGGGGTCGGCGAAATCAAAAGTTCCCCGATTCCCTGAGAAGGCGACCTGCTCTAGCCCTCCGTATACTGTCTCGCCCGATCCAAGGGTTACACAGTAGCTGTTCGAGAAGTAATCATCGGTCCTGCGATCACCGTCCCATGGACCGTCCACGAGAAGGTCGCGCTGGAAGATCACCGCCAAGCCTGAGCCATCAGTCCCTTCGCAAAAGCCTGCCTCGAGAACTTGGTCGTCCTCGTCAGCTACACCACCTGCAGATTGCGCTGTGATTTTCATCGTGACCTCTTCTTGGGTCCTAGACTTTGGGCCCTTAGCTTTTTCGTCAGCGCTACAAATAGTGCTAGGCAGTGATTGATCAATAAGAGGAGGTCGGCATACGGGTAGCATGAACTGGGATGTGTCCTTGATAAGTTGTAGAACGTGTAGCGCGTGGGATATGTCACAGAATGTCATGCTCACGGCTATTAAATCCACCTATTGACGCTATACCATATCCAGTAATGGTAGTCTCCTCAGGCAGAAACTTCCTGATTAGGAACTCGGCGCAATACACACCAACGAACATGCCTGAAGGGAATATATTAGGACGTCAATCGAGAAAGGGAGACATTACAGAAAGGGAAATCAACAGGACGGGTGACTGGAGACCAATCCTGGAATTGATCAGATATTGGAACCCCGCTATTTGTCAACGAAGCCTTGAAATTAGCTGAATCTTCAAATGATAAAAAGGGCAGCAATCTGCACCAGGTGAAACGCGCCAGGAATATACAGTGTTATTCAAGTAGCCGTCTTTTTATCTTACTAAAGGTTTATTTGGGAGTCAAACTACGAAATGGAGCCACCTCTATCATCGGGTTATCGTAACTTGTAGTCGTATTCGAGGCATGCATCCAGCAAGCTGGCTACAGGCCAGTGAAAGTCCGAGGATCAACATGTGCAGAGCAATTGTGTGATTCCGACAAGGCCAACTCCTGGTCACCAAACCTCCCGCCATGTAACTAGCTCCTTGCGTATTCTTGATCTCGTCGTGTGGTGTGAGCGCATAGGACTTCGTCATGCGTTATTCGTGATCCACGGGGGAGACTTGGCAAGTAATGACTGTCAGAGATAGTCAGTACGGGCCCCATTAGCATATTGGAAAGTGATACTTACTTCTCCTAGTTCTTTGAGGGGCAGTTGTTCAGCGCCACACAGCCAGACTCTCTCGTAACCAACGCTGCTCGCTTTTCGGGACAGGTGTTCAGGATGATACAGCCAGCCTCTCGTTCGGACAGGCCGTTGAAAAGTTCCCGCTTTTCGGGGCATGTTCCCAGAATGATGCAGCCGGTCTCTCTCTCCGACAGGCCTGCGACTTCTTCTCTCTTACCAGGGCAGTTGTTCAGCGCCACACAGCCAGACTCCCTCTTGTCAGGACAAGTACCCAGAACGATACATCCTGCTTCTCTCTCGGAGAGGCCTACCAGCGCTTCTCTCTTCTCCGGGCAGTTGTTCAGGATGATGCAGCCAGCCTCCTTCTCCGAGAGGCCTTCTAGAACTTCCCTCTTACCAGGGCAGTTGTTCAAGGCAACACAGCCAGACTCCCTCTTGTCTGCCGGTAGAGCAAGGACAAGGGGGGTAATAACTGCAAGTACAGCAAGAAGACGCATAGTGAAGTAGAAATAAATGGTAGACAATGAGCTGACAGAAAGGAAAACACACTAGAAGCTGGTTTGTGTCGTCTTGGATGTTGCACGGAGTAGGCAAGTTATATGTTCGAGCGGAACCTATTTCAATACCCGACTCTACTTATTTGATCACAAATAAAGGATTCAGATAAGGTTCTAACAAGCCATTGACAAGCACTTCAAGCTAATCTCCGCAATTCGAACCAACTGCGATTGGCCCATAATCTGCGAAAGGATGCACTAGGTTAAAGACTCTGGGGCCGAAGGAGTATCGCGAAGGGCCACGTGGTTCCCCATGCATGCGATAGCTTAGTTCTCCCAGCGAAACGTAGAGTCGTTGGTTGGACAACTTGCAGAATCGGACTTTATTGTGCACCCGCCTCCGTGGTGATGATCATTATCGACTGGGAAGGATTCATCTACTTCCCGCTGGACTGATAAACACGATGTAACATCGGCACAATGGCCTGTTGTGTATAGACGCTATTGGTGAGTAATTGCAATCTAAGCAATGAATTCATTGTGCTCGCGATGTTTCAATCGCGTTTAGCCTCATCAGATGCCAGTAATATCTCACTACGTGCCACCGGAAGAATATTATAACCCGATTGGAAAACCTTGCGGGAATTGAACATTCTCAAAACTTTTAAGCAGTCCGAATCATCCATAGACAGTACGCTCTAACCTGGTGTGTTCTGCATCAGCTCTGGATATCATTTCATTTGCGCCTGTCAACACACCATCAGTACCATCCGTGGTAAGCAGATTTAGCAGCTTGCTTTCAAACCTCCCTGCCTGTGGTGATTAAACAACTTCGGTTACTTCCATACACGATGATATTTTTACATATCATATACTTCGGACTATGTAATCTGGACATTACCACAAAGTCGTTCCAGTACGCTTGCCGACACGATGGTAGGGTTGCTAATATGGATACAATTCAGCCGAGAAACAAAATAAATCTGAACAACAACGAAAGATAAGCCAAAAGAGAATCGAAGGGCGAAAGACATGGGGAATCGAAAGAGAAGAGAAGACACAATCATGTCTAGTGCCTGACAATTCTATATCAAACAAACAGTAATCGATATTCCGTTATGACGTCCGTGCATACACACAGGCGAGATCATGTGAAACGAATAGGATGCTGTCAATATTGGGATTGTAAAGCCGGTCACAAGCACTCATGACGGTGCCACCCTCATACTTGCTCTTTATCACCTCTTTGGCTGATTCGAGGTTGTAACCCCCCCGCCCGTCGGCATGACAGGCCCTACACTGCGATAGGCATTAAGTCGAAACCCGAAGTTTGTTGTTGGGTTCTTACCGTCGGATTTGCAAGCATACGGCTACTACTTTTTATTGTATTTGTATTTCATGAGAAAAGGGAACGGAAAGTCAAGTTGGAAAATCAGTTAAATAGATTAGATGTTACGATATGTGAATCTTTGTTACATCAACGCTCCTGGATTAGACCAGATAGCTGCTATCATAGAGCTCATACCGCCTCGATCTGCTCATCGCTCGTGCCCTTCTTCTTCAGGTCCTCCCCATCATCGGCAGGGATAACGTACGTTGCCCACTCGCGAACAGGAACCCTATCCTGGAAGAGCCTGTCGATATCCGCATTGCTGCGCCCCGCAGTCTCACCAACACAGAACCATGAGTACGCCAGCAAGAACAGCGTGGTACCCCCATAGATAAATCCAATCATCGGCCCTAGGTTTGCCGTGTAGTACATATAGGGGCTGGTGAAGACCATGAGCCAGACGGTGACGAAGAACACGCCCATCGCGCAGGAGGTGATCTTGTTCCTGTTCCGGCCGACGGACATTTCCGATGCGATGGAGTAGGAGAGGGTTCCGATGGAGAAGTTGTAGAAGATGATGTTGACGTATGCGAGGACGACAATGCCAATGCCAATGCCACGGCTGAGGGTGCCATCGGCGTCCTTGGTGATTCCGAGACCGCCAACAGTGAGTAGGGAGACGAACATCCCGCATGAGCAGACGAGGAGGTTCGTGCGGCGCTTGATTTGGTTCCCGAAGACGACGGAGACACCGACAGTGATGATCTGTAGGACGTAGATAATGGTGTTGATGGTGAAGGGGTCCGCGACGCCGATGGACTGCGCGAAGACGACGCCGTAGGTATACCAGAACTGAATGCCGTTGATTTGTTGAACAAACATGGCGCCACAGGCGTAGAACAGCTTGCGGCGCTCGATGGGGTCGGTGATCAAGGAGGCCCAGGTGGCGTCCTTCGCCATTTCTTGTTCTTGTCGGACTGCGTCGTCGATGGCTTGAATGTCAGCGGACGGGTCGTAGTCGCGCATGCTGCGGTTGATCTTGCGGAGGGATTTGATCGCTTGCTCGCGTTTGCCTTTGTACATGTACCAGACGGGACTTTCCGGGGTGAATGGAAGGCAGAGAAGCATGATGGCGGGAAGGACGACGAGGAGGCACATGGGGATGCGGTAGGATTGGGAGCTTTGGATCCCCTGGGTGCCTTGGTTGACGCAGGCTCCTACCAGTTGCGAGATGGACTGCATGAACTGGAAGCACATCAGAGCTGGACCTCTGATGGCCGATGGTGCCACCTCGCCGATGTAAATTAGACAGGTGGCGGTGAACTGCCCGACACCCAGACCGATCAGGACACGGCTGATGTAGAAGACTGGGTGCGACCCAAATGAACAGGCTTGCACGATGGCACCGACGATGATACAGATCGAGGCAGACAGGAACACGGCACGTCGGCCGAAAAAGTCATTGATGGGAGCGGCGGCGAGTGCCCCGATGAGCTCTCCCACATAGATGATACTGGCAGACAAGGACAGGAACGTTGTTCCTAGCGAGAAGGAACCGTCTGAGCCCTCCTCTCCATAGTCCTTCGCAAACCAGGTCATTCCTTGCACACCAGTATAGTAGATTGTATCGTAACCGTAGCAAAGAGCACCAATGGCAGCCACTAGACAAAAGCCGATGGCCCGTCGATTCGACTTCCAGTCGACGTTGAATTGAAGGCCTGCCATGTTCGGCAACGTGGAAGACACTGTAGAATTGGGGGACCGGGGAGGGAAAAAGAGCACACAGTAGGACCAGGCTGTGGAAATCTGATCTTCCTCGGAGCGGCAGCCTTTATACCTTTTCTTGATGGAGGTAAAAGTTTAACATGGCCGGGGTAAAGCTCCACGGGGTGTGCAGACCAACATCGAGCGCCCAGTCGTAGTCCAGCAACCCCGAATTCCCCACTTCGGACGACTCTGGGGCCCCCAGTTCGCATGCCAATCTTTCCTACTATGGGAAGGATCGAAGACGAGCAACGGCCGGCAAATAGACGCCCACACAAGAGCATATCGGAGGACAAACCCCCGGGCCAGCACAGCACCAACGCCTCACAATCCCGACTCACTGCGCCAAGCCAAGCCAAGCACACCCCACGGCATCCCGCCGAGTACGGGAAACCTTACGGAAATCTCTTCGCTAGCCGAAGTCTAGCCGAAGTGCATATCGGCACCAGCCAAAGCTTGATCTGGACGAGCGGGTTAACTGCGATACGGTCGGTTTCTTGATTGTTCCCAGCTTCGTTGGGACTAGACTTAGGGATATGTCTATCCTCCCTTTACGAAGTCATCTCTGTCCAGAACCCTTCGCTCTGTTGGCGGGGTCCGCTGCCAAGCGTCGGACCAGTGTGCGCGCTCAGGGCTCATTTGCCAGTCTTTTGCAGATTTCTCCGATAATGGTCCGGGGGGCGAATATCTCTAGGCTGGGCGCTCCATGAATCCACTCCCTCCAGGTTCACTTCCTGGGTGCGATCCACATCTCGCAGCCATGGCCCCGTGGGGGCATTCGTGTAACACTCCAGAGAAGGCAAAATTCTATTGCGAGGCTAACGTGCCTTCTTAGCCACCGGTCGATGATTTTGGAGAAGATTGTCTGATCCACTCGTTAACTAATCGTCATAAATCCCTCAGTGTTCCCCAGAAGCTGTCAGAAGGCGGGTCGACCAATGATTCCCGACGATATTCAATAAATATCGTTCAGTTGAAGTTTAGACATAGTATTATTGTCGTTAGTGCTTCCCACTAGACCAGCAATTGGCTAAGGATATTAGAACCGTGTATTGTGGATAAAAATACGCCTTCCAAAAGGATCACCGGCTGTGGAATTGCCAGCGCCTTGTCAGGTTGATTGCTAGAATTGACGCTTTGATATTTGCTATTATCCTCCTACCTCTATCTAAATTGCTTACTCACCAGCCGGAGGCGTTGTATTTAGAGTGGACCCTGCTGCCGCCTCAAATGCAGAGAGTCTTCAACCACCCGAGTCAACTATGAAATCGTGAGCGGGTAAACAGCAGAACAATGGTGTGGCAAGAAAGGCGGCCTTTCTCCCGTTTTGGGTAATGGCCAGTCTTTTCACCCTGGCGATAAACGATAGCGTTGGAGATTGACGCGTGTGTCTGGGATATTTCATAAAACTTAAAGGCTTCAGGATACAAAGGACGCATCGAGTAGTTGTGGTATGAGCGGAGTCGGTGGTTGGCCTGCCTGAGCCTGGTCTTGAATTCGAATACTTCCACGCCACATTCGATTCCAGTTCAGTCAAGTGACCACTGTTTTTGCTGTTCGGATAACAGGCGTGTCCGCACAATCGACCTGCACTACCCGGTGTTGTATTCCCCTTTCAGTCGACTCAATGACAACTACACTAAGATGGTAACCATATAGGCATACAGAATCCAGTCCGATTGCATGCCTGCCCAACTGCAGACGACGGTTTGCATCGTGCCCAAATATCACAGTCGTCCTGGCTGCCAGTTGGTCCTGCCACCGATCCCATTGGGCAGCCCAACCTTCCTCTCCCGATGCTTCAGCCGGTATGAACGTGCTTTCGTCGCCCGGCGCGTGAGCGAGGCTGCGCATGAGCATTAAAGCATGAGGATCCTGCCTCTCCAGCGGGATACCCGGGGTGAGACCAGCATGTACGACAACCAGAGTGTCGTCGATGGATGATGCGGGATGGTGCGGCAGCCTGATGCGCAAGATCAATGGCAGAGCGGCAAGCCAGTCCAGGTGGCGCGTCGAGAGTGCGCGGGCGGTGCTATACGTTGTTGCACTGTGTCGCGTGAGGCCGTCGGAAGCCACAGTCTCACTAGCTGGTTCAGCCCCCGAGTTCCCGGGTAGCTGGGCAGGGCGGCTACTTATGTCTCCAGCATGCATTGGGTCGTCCCCTCCGGTGTTGATTTCCACGGCAGCATCGAGGACTGCATTGTCATGGTTGCCTCTCACAGCGCTGGCACCCAACGCCACGGCCAGATCAATCACGCCAGGGCTATCGGGCTCTTTGTTGACCAAATCACCCACGAATATAAGATGGTCCCCTTGGCCCTTGTCGAAGCCGACTTTCTCCAGAAGCGCTTCCAGAGACCTTTTCATCCCGTGGACGTCACCGACGACGACTAAACGTCGAGCAGCCGATCCCGGTTCATTTTCATTTTGTTCCGCGGACGAGGTGAGTTGCGGAATGAGATTGCTCGGCAGATCTGATATCAACGTGGTGATGGGGAAAATCCTATTGACATCTGCTGCAGGAGTCATCGTGGATTGTTATTCCTCGTCTTTAACGCAGGCCAGACGCAGACTGCATGCGGGCAGGATCGGAAACCACCGGCAGAATCGATGAACTGCCAAATGGTAGATATCTCGGTTGATTCCCCAATCGGGTAAGGCGTGAAATCACCAAGCAACAGTGCCATCCAAAGTCAATTGTGGGTGAACAACGGAAATGACACGGTGATACGTGGTATTCGGAACAAAAGTTGTGGCCTTTCCACCCGGGGGCTGCCGATTTAGTGGTTTATACATCCAATAATAATGAGGATCGGTATCCATAAACCAGGGCAAAATGCGGGAGTACCAGTACCACTCATTGTATATGCAGTTGTACAAATATATGTTCGTGCCATTCTTCGCGGACTGAGACTAACGTCCCCGTTTCTTAACCCTCCATAGCCCTAGATATTCAGCTATCAGGATCAGGAGAGAAAACAAGCAATTCCATTACTCTCAATAAAACAGGTTTAACATTGATCCCGGAGAGTTTGATTTGGGATAAGTGTCAGGTCACATGACACACATGGTACGCATGAAGAGTAAACAAGCAACCAAGAATGGGTAATTATAGAAACGGTGAGTTCAAAAGAGATCACTCTACCACATATCATGTTGGCCATTGTCCGCTTGGAGGCACGATCACATGCCTAAGGTATTTTGGTCGAGTGGCAGAACGCTTAACATATCACTATACAAAAAAGTGCGAATCAATAAGCTGCCTGGTTGCAACCATCTAGTCTTCTAAATGACTGGTAGATTGCAACTAATGAGAATGGCTGGATATGTGCTTAAATTAGCGCTCAGTAGTTAAAAGAGGTGTTTGCACCTACTTCTAAGTAGTATAACACTGGATCTACAGGACCGCTTCTTTTGGATGGGTATAGAACTTATTTAACTGCCAGACTTAATGATTTGTGTATCGATGATTAAATTATATGTAATAATATGTCTTCGTATACCTTCTAGCTTCTTCACCCTCGGATTACTGCAGTTTGAAGATAGCACGAAGAAAGTGAAGGATTTGCATATCATGTTCCGTTCTCGGCGCTTGAAGGAATGGCATGCCTAGAATTAGGAATGCGATATATATACATACAGAGAAACAGAGGACTGGAACCAATATCGATCCTAAAGCAACAGTTCGATAGGGGTTCTCCCGCCAACGAAATAAACCGTTGTCATGCATTCAACTATTACACCACATTTATTACACCGATACCTGATAGCGCGAGTTCATGCGGATCCTCTTGCCATAAAGGTAGAAGACCACCGGCACCGGCAACAAACCCAAGGCGACAAACCCAAGCAATGAATTCCCCCATCCCAGCCCTAGCTTAGCATACATCGACGGCCCGGCAAGCGGCAAGAAGGCTCCAACAATAGACCGCACGACCGTATTCGCCGCTATGGCGGAGGCAGCATATTCCCCAAAGGCGTCAACGAGGTATGCTTGAATGGGGAGAAGGGTGGTGATCATCCCACAGCCGACCCAGCCCAGCCCAATGATGGGCATGATCCAATGAACACGCATCTGGGCGGACCAGCCGTACCAGAACAGACCGATGGGGATCAGGAGGCTTCCCGGGATGAGCGGCGGAAGTCGGAATTCCGGCTCTGCGGGACCGCCGTTTTTTGCGATGAGGCGGTTTTGGATTTTGTCGGAGAGAGCACCGAAGCACGAAATGCCAATGAGGGCTCCGACACCAATGCCGATGTAAACAAGTCCGGTGGCACCCTGGCTAAAATGGTAGGTGGTTTCGTATACTTCGGTGACGGTGGTGAAGAGCAGGTAGAGGTAGCCGAAAACCACTCCTATTGGCACGCAATTGTTATGAACTGTGCCCCATCCGGGGTCGGGAGCTACCTACCAGTGTATAGCGAAAACAAGGCGACATTTGGGGTGAGGAAGAGTAATTTCGTGGGTCTGGTTATTGCCTGGATGAAAACCTTCCTTGAGTCCAGCTGCGGAGCTTGTCCAACGTTCACCTCCTGAGATCGGTTTTCGCGTCTGATTCGATTCGCTTTTTGCCGCAGGAGAACCGGTTCGTACGATTCGGATAGGACAAGAAAAACAAGAATTACCGCGACTCCGGACTATCACGATGGACTAGTTAGGTTGGAACGAGTAGAGGGATCATGGTGGACACAAACCACAATAGCTAGCAACCAGAACACCCATCGCCAACCTTGTGCTTCGGAGAGGTAGCCACCTGCGATAGGTCCGATGACAGGGCCAAGGAGCGGGCCCAGCCCATAGATGGACATGGCGACTCCACGCTCCTGTCGAGCAAACATATCCGCGACCGAGCCTGCCCCCAGTGTGACCGGACTGCTACCAGAGATCCCCGCGAACAGACGAAAGACCAGAAGTGCACCGACGTTCGGGGCGAGAGCACCTGCGATGTTCCAAATCGTAAAGATCAAGGTGCCCACTTGGTAGACACGCAGTCGACCATAGATTTCGGAGAGCGGCGCGAGAAATAGCGGTCCGACGGCGAAGCCGACGAGATAGATGGAGACAACGAAGGAGGCCAGAGTCCTGTTCGTAGAATGGAAATCTTTCATCACGAGCCCCTGTGCCGGTGCGACGATGGACGACGTTAAGGGGGTAAGAAAGGTAAGATAGGAGATAATGCCCATATTCCACCATTTCTTTTTCCTCGACCAGTTCACCGGTCGCGCAGGATCTGTTGGTCCATCCCACGTCACCTCCTCGGGCGATGGTTCTAATGCCTTTTCTCCTGAGCCCCCTCCCGGTTCATGCCCACGGGGTGTTTTGCAAATGCTTGGCGGCTCTTCCTGGTGACCCATGTTCCTAGCCAAGATATTCTGATTGGTATGATGGCTCATCACTCAGACGAATACGCTTCGATGAGTTTTGTTTATCGGGGAGCCATACTGATGCAACAGCAAATGGGTAAGGGGATTGAATTAGGGTTTGTGTGGTTTAGGGGTTGGAAATGTTCGTCGATCACATTCCACGCGCGGCAGGTGCTACAAGTACTCTTATTAACTTCCCCCGTTAGTACTCATTTCCCCCCCTTGCTTAGCCTATGGGCAGTCGCCGATTGTTAGCGAATGAAATACGGAGAATATCCAGTAAACAAAGAAAAACAAAGAAGTAAGTTGGGTAATGATTTGATGAGGCATCGGGCGCGAGCTTAACCCGATTTGCTGGATTATTGTGTGAAGTGACTTTATGAAGTAACCCGATTCATGCATAGTAAATATCTGAAGAATAAGAATAGCGGTAGTGGTAAATCAGAATGAATTAACTGGCTAATTTCATTCTTCTTACGTTCTCTCAAAACGAACCGCAAATCCATACACAGTCTCCCCCAGATTCGGATTATCATATAAGGGAAATCGTTCCATGAGAACTTGCTTCCAACCCTTAGGCACACCAAAGTCCTCCAGGGTAGAGATATGATTGAAATTACTACACAGTTCACCGTTTCGCTTCTTCATATTTTCAATGTACGCCTCACTGAGGTCCTCATGGATCGCAGTCACCGACATCTGAGCAATCATGAACATGCGAGCTAAACACGCAGTCAGGTGGAGGGGATCCAGAAATTGGAATGCCGCGAAGCAAACCACATGGTCGAATTCAGGCATGCCCTAGTTGTCAATCAGTAAGGATTACCATGGGAGAAATCAGATCCTAAGGAAACCCGGGAAGTTACCATGATAAGTTCGTCCATCGGCCCGATCAAGAGCGGTTTCTCGTAGTGATCCTGAATGTATGACGACCGAGTCATCCCCTCGGAGACGTCGACGCCAGTGACTTTTGCGGAGACGCCATGTTCATGAAGGGTGGCTCCGAATTCACCGTTGCCACACGCAAGGTCAAGGACTGTTCCCGAGAAGTTGTAGTCTCGGCTCATATTTTCCTGCATCCGACTCAGCCCAGTATTGGCCCGAGCAGCATGGTAGCGAGGGGCAAAGCCATCATAAACACCCGCCAGGTGTTGATTCCGGGCGTGATCCTGACCGGAGCGGATCTGCTTACTGGTAATCAGCATGTCCAAGAATGCCATATGTCCACCAGGAAACTCCTCTTTGATCACCACGTCCTCGTAAGTGGTATACCCCTCGCCGTAAAATGCGCGAGGAGGGCAAAGGAGACCCTCCAGGTACATACTGTCAGCCTCTGCATGTAACGAAGCCTCCACACGCACAAATCCACCACCAGACACTCTCAGCACATCCAACGCCATTGACTTCAGCAGGGACTGCAGGGGACCTTCCCTGACCCAGGCGAAATCTGCCGATGCGGGATGTAGATTGTCTCCATCAAGACACATGGAGGTACCACATTGAGCAGGACTAAACACCATCTCCTCTTGGCCCATCTCCATGGCTAGGATGACCCACCTGTAGCCCTTGAGATGTTGCAGGTTCATTCCGGGTGTCTTTATCGACATTCGGAAACGACGTGTTTCTTCTCCCGCCTCGGTGGTTTGAGTGAAGAGCGGACGGTTGAGAACTGAGATATCTTTCGCCTCGAGATATCTCGTGATCGCTGCCGCTGTTGAAACATCATCGGCCGACTCTGCCGCCTATCCGTGCTGGATCAGTGATACTCTTTCTCGCCAGATTCACTTGGACGAACCATGTAATTTAGAACGATGTCATAGCCATTTTTGCAGATGTCATCGATATCGGCCTCTGCCTTAGACTTGCCGATGTAAAGGGTTTGAAACTGATGACGAGTTTGAGGTATATAGTGATTAAGATCGATAGTACTTGGGCTCTAGTCAAGTGGGAGAATGAGTTTGTGTCTTGAAGCCCGGACAGGAATAAATAAAGGTAAATGGCATCACTAACCTCCTCAACAGCATCTCCGCGTAGAACCAGAAGTCCGATCTTCATTATGTAAAGCAAGTTTGCGGATCAGCGTCGCTCTGGGGGTGGGTTGAATATGATCATATGTTGTGAAAGGTAAACATTCAAGATACAACATGATACCATTCGACCTAACGAGAGATACAGGAGACGGTCCAGAAGGTCTACAGGATACGGTGCGGTGTGAGTGAAAGATGGATAGCTGCTGCATATGCGTGGCAACCCAACAGGCAAGGGATTCAACCCAAGGCTACTTCGAATGTTTGGCTTGCGTGCCTTCCCCTTCTTGTGCAACTTGTGGGGCAAATTCTTCAACACATAAGAAGGTGGCTCTCAACCTTCTTCCTAGAAGTACCTTTGTCTACTGGACCCACGTCTACCGAAAATGAGCCAATTCTCTAGCGAGACCATTCGCCACACTATCTACAAAACTAGTAATTCAGATGCGGATAGCCTCTCACTCAGCAAGGCCTTGACTACCGTTTTGCTGATTGGGGTCACGGTAAGTTGACAGTATTAATCTGGATACATGTATACTTCAAAGCTAATCGAGCTGGGCAGTACTGCATTCTTGTCGGCATATACAGGGTCACACTCCATCCGCTCGCAAAGTATCCCGGGCCAAAACTGGCAGCGGTGACGCGCCTGTGGCATACTTACCATCTATGTACCGGAGACGTCGTTGCAGCCCTTTCGCGGGCACACGAGACATACGGACCAGTGTTACGGATTGCTCCAGACGAGGTGCTCTTCACCTCGAGTCGCGCGTGGGATGACATCTACGGTGCGCGCCCCGGGAAACCCGAGATGGATAAGGATACCCCCCTCTACAAGGGTCCCACGGCTCCTCATTCAATCGTCACAGTGGATGGCGAGCTGCATCGCTTTTACCGCCGTCTGCTTGCCAAGGGGTTCTCGGATGCTGCATTGAGAGAGCAGGAGCCAGTGATACAACGCAACATCAATCTACTGATAGAGAAGCTGCATGAGGAAGTAGCAGCAGGAAGGGCACCAGAAATGACGGCTTGGTTCAACGTAAGTCCACCTCGACCCCTTGTCTGGCCGAGTAAACTGGCACCTGACGGAGTACATTGCCCTAGTATGCGACATTCGACTTGATTGGGGAACTTGCATTCGGCGAGACCTACGGCTGCCTGGAGAACTCGCAGTACCATCCCTGGGTGGAAATGATTCTCGAGGTCATGAAGCTCCGTGCCATGACGCATGCTGTGGGGTACTATCCGTGGATCTTCCATATCCTGATGTTGTTCGTGCCCAAGTCCTTGCGCGATAAATTTGTCACCCACCGGAAGTACACCCATGACAAGGTGCAGCGTCGAATGGACCGAAAGATCCACTACAAAGACCTGACCACCAACTTGTTCGATCCACAGAACGGGCTCGAACGTTACGAGATCGACGGGAATTGCTCCACCCTCATCATCGCCGGGAGCGAAACGACGGCAACCGCTCTGAGCGCCACGCTATACTTCCTAACCCAGAACGAAAACGCCAAGCGCAAAGTGATCGGCGAAATCCGAAGCACCTTCCACAATGTTGGAGACATTAACTCGATCAGCGTGAATCAGCTGAAGTATCTGAACGCGTGCATGAACGAGGCGCTCCGGATCTTCCCTCCCGGTCCCGCCGTCTTTCCGCGTCGAGTCCCTCCGGGGGGGGATTTTATCGACGGGCATTGGATCCCTGGAGGTACTCAGGTTGGCATCGCCCACTACTGCATCAACCGTTGCAGCCGAAATTTTGTCGATCCGGACAAGTTCATCCCTGAACGATGGCTCGGCGATCCCGTGTACCAGAACGACGACCGCCACGCCATGCAGGCCTTCAGCTACGGTCCTCGCAACTGCATTGCCCATAATCTGGCCCGGTTGGAGATGCGCCTGGTCCTGGCTCGCTTGATCTGGGAGTTTGATTGGGAGTTAGCTCCTGGATCGGAGCAGTGGGAAGAGGCGTTAGTCTTCAATGTCTGGAGTACAAAGCCGTTGAAGATCATATTTACCCCAGTATTACGCTGATGCTGAAGAGAGTGGATAATAGGGGTGCCTATCTGACAGTTTGTGGAACTAAACCTTTTATCACGAGTAACATTGTTTGTATTCGACTTGCGTTGTGTGTCCCGTATCAGAATTTCATCGCTGTTGATAAAACTGTATACTTGATGTTGCTGCTCTACGCAGTGTCGCTGAAGTAGAATCACCACCGATGATCCTTTTCCAATTTTCGTCTTCCTCTACTGCTTGCTTTTTCTTGCTTATGGCCAACTGAGTCTGCATGTGATATCCACCGAGCGTGAAAGGGCGGAGGGAAGACATGTAGGATCCTTGCACGGCTCGCAGATTGAACGACTGTCTCACGCAGTAACTCACCGGTTCCTGATGGTATCTAGGGAGGAACTCAAATCAGACCATTACACATCTCACAGCTGATGGGTTCTCCGCGAAGTACTAAGGTTGACCGCTAATAATTGAGAGGGGCCATCATTGGACGTTTCAAGTTAGAGTCCATGTCTGTAATATGTAAGGTGATATCCGTGGCTGGCTGAATTGGACCGTATTTGGTAACAATAACTATCCTGGTGGAACTTAGTTATTTCAGCTGGTTCTGACTATGTCCGACGCAATGCTGCCTAAATATGTATGTACTGTGTGATAGGTCAGGAGATTGACAATATGCAGGGTCAGCAATTGGAATCTTATGCTAGCCCAGGGAATACGGCACAATGGAATTTCCCGAGATCAACCGAGGGCACAAAAATGTAACGCTATCGAGAATTGGCCTTTCAGAATGTGTTTGAAGAGCCTAATCGACACGCACCTGTAGGGCTCGGCCACGGACACCGCTCCAAGACACTAGCGGATATGCATGTCTGATAGCAGAGAAGGTTAACCGCATGGTTATTGCAGATCGAGACTGCCATGGCCAGGCATTCCATTCCTCCAACACAGTCTGATGAGCGTAAACCTCTTCAGCTTCGACTGGACTGCAGATCCAATGTCGTTGATCAAGGCCCTATACCATTAACAATGGCATAGGATGTAGGATCAATAGTTTGGAGCAAGGGGTGTTCACGGTGGCTGCCTGCAAAGTGACACAAAGAGGCAGTGATGGGCCCATAGAGGTGCTGCCCTGGACTCCCAAGGCGCTAAGGCCGTACGGACCGGCGATCACAATCCAGCCAATGTCCAAGGGTTCAAGATGAGCAATTTCGCGAGTCAAGAAGCCTCACGCACACGAGGCTGCACGAACATCGAGTGATCGTCTGTTACGTTTAAATCGGTGGAACTTTGCTCATTGGACTGCAATAAGTCATCTTCTACTTTCCTTTCTGACATTCTCGAAGATGGTTGCCAGGATCGCGAACTTACTTGGTTTTTCAAGCGTCGCCTGGCTTAGCATGGCGAATGGGATCGTTGCCCACGACACCATCTCCCGCGATGTAATCATACTTGGTGGTGGCAGTTCGGGCACGTATGCCGCGATTCAACTCAAGGATCAAGGCAAGACCGTTGCTGTCGTTGAACGCAACGATTATCTGGGCGGTCACGGCGAAACCTACTACACTGAAGATAATACACCTCTCAACTATGGTGTGGAGGGGTTCTTTAATACGACCGTGACTCGGAACTATCTCGAACGGCTTCAGGTACCCTATGGGCGCCGCAACCCTGCTCCCGCGCACGAGGACTACGTGAACCTCAACACAGGGCAAAGAACGGAATACCCTCCAGGCCAGCTTCAAGACCGGGAGGCCTTTGCGAAATGGGTCGATGCCATCTCTCAGTTTGGGTTCTTGGATGACGGAGTCTACCGCATCCCAGAGCCGGTGCCAGAGGACCTCATCATGCCTTTCGCGGACTTCGTCAAGAAGTACCATCTCGAAGATGCCGTGTACGCTCTCTTCTCTCATACGTCTGGCGATGTGCTGGAAATGATCACACTCTATGTCATCCAATACATCGGGGTCCCCCACGCTGCCGCCTTGAATGAGGGCTACGTCCGTCCTATTGAGGGTATCGCCGCTCTGTACAAGAGCGCTGGCGAGGAACTCGGTGGTGACGTTCTGTTGGAAACGACTCCCGAGTCCGTCCAACGCTCCGAGGATGGTGTAAAAGTCATCGTACGCAGTGCTGACGGGACCAAGACGCTCCTCAAGGGCAAGCAGCTCCTAGTCACCATCCCGCCCCTGCTGGACAACCTCCATGGCTTTCCGCTCAGTGAGCAGGAAACTTACATTTTTTCGAAGTGGCAGTATCACCAGTACTGGGCTGCTCTTGTCAATGATACCGGTCTCCCCAACGATGTGAACCTCGTAAACGTTGATACCGAACGCCTGTACGGTGTTCCCGAGGAACCATTTATCTGGCGGGTCGACAATCATTGGGCCCCGAGCTACCACAACGTGAAGTTAGTGGGCGGAGCCGACTTTGGCGAGGACGAGGCGAAGGCGTATATGTATGAGAAGCTCGAGCTTCTCCATGCGGAGGGAACATACTCTACGCACCAGCCTCACATTGTCAAGTTCGCGAGCCACACCCCGGTAACCATGTTTGTTTCAGTGGAGGAAATCCGTGGAGGGTTCTACCGGCAACTGTATGAGCTCCAGGGGCTGAACAGCACGTTCTGGACAGGCGCCACTTGGGCATCGGATTACTCCACCTTACTATGGGGGTATACGGATGAGGTTCTTCAACAGATGGCTTCTTCCTAATTGTTGCCTCCAGTAATTGGGCATTCCTCGGTCCGTGCAATTCTACGATGACCGCCGTACTTCGATAGTTGGCTAGTAAAGATCCACACAGATGCAATTAGGCAGAACTTGATAATTGAATATGCTTGTACCCACGTTCACATCTCGGAGAGATCATTCCTCAACACATATAGACTTCTAAGGGGTACAAAAGTGACCATGGTTAAACTCTCTCGAATACAGTTTGTAGATCCCTTGGTACTTCGTACCACTGGAACGGGGCAACAAGGGAGGTTGGGATTACTGCTCCTACGCAGAGCAAATAGGTGGGGACAGAGAGAAAAAATTAAAGATTTTCTTGTTCTAAGCGACACAGACCAAACTTCTCCCTGGATCTGCAACACTCTTGGCTAGGATAAGGAAATGATCTGCGACTACGAGGATCCGGAATGAAATGAATCAACAGAGCTGATGGATGCAGGTGAACGAATAGTTAAACTGTCCTTAATGACTCTGATCCTCGCGACACATTGTCATATCCTTGGTAGTAGCGTTGCAAGCCTCGAAGGTATGAAGGTAGACACTCATATACGGCTTGTTTCCTTTGTAAGAGAAGGAGACCCACGCCTGTAGGTGGTTTGAGGTATGTAGGTCGACATCCGGACTGTGGGTTGAGGTTAGCCACACTCATTCATTGCATTTGGCATATGTCAAGACTTACTAGTACGATGCCAAATCCGATGGATAGCTTTTAGCCAAGCCACCCCACCCTCTTCTGTCAAAGAAAGTGGCCAGTCCTTCCGCAATAGCACCGTCATTCTGCCCAAAAGCAGGGAAATAGATCTGTGGCTCGGGAAGGGGGCTTTTAGGCGACAAGGTAAAGTTGATGATGAAGGGTAGCTGTTCCTGCGGTGAGGTACCAGGCTCGTAAAAGCAGTTTGGCAGTGGACACAGACCCTCTGTGATAGGCAATAGCTGCCACAGCTCCCTCAGCGCATTCAGGCCATCCAGGGTCTCTGGATCGCTCCGTCGCCCGTTCATCGTCCAGATTCCTTCAATGGAGGCCAGGTTCAGCTGGCGTTCCATACAATAGACTTTGATCCGGGACTCGGATGGCTTAACCAAATCACAGGACAGAAAGTGGCCGATGAGGGTAGGCGCTCGCTCAGCCATAAACTCCTGGAGGACTGCCAGTGGGGCGGCAACTCTACCACTTTTATCGGCAGCCTTGATCGCGTCAAACATGAGCATCTCTTTCGATGTCCCGGTCGCGATCGACTTAATCCGCGGGTAGATGTAGGTCTTCAAGACAATATGGCCAGATGGCTCCAGATCGGCTGCCAGCTTGTTCTGTGTCTTGAAGACAGGGATTTCCGTATTTGCATCGCGCAGAGTCTGAATGTCCTCGTCCGAAACGACCAGTGCGTTGGTAAAATGGTCAAACCATTCCAGGTCAACACCGGGAACTATGGCCTTGAGGTCCTGGAGAACAGGCCTGATGGCTTGGGTGTTGAACGGATCATCCTGTGTTCCAGTTACGGGACCCAGGGGCTCGAAGGCGAACCGTAGTAGTGATTTGGAGTAATTGAAACTCAGCTCAAAAGGAAGTCCGAAGCGTGTGAGATGGCTCTTCCAGTGCATTTGCTGACCCTTTTCGGGGTACGGACCTAACGCTGGGATGATGACCTCGCGGTGGATGCAGAGGAACTTGTACTGTGCGTGAACGTCATATCCGGACCCGGCCATCATGGTGGCAAACATTGGAGCGGTGCTATACCACCATTTTGCGTGGTCCTTGTTCGTGAGGTTCAGGGCTTGACTCAGTACGTAGAAGGGCTTTGGCAGCTGTGCCGCTGTGTCCTTGGAGATTTCCATCGTTTAGCGTTCTGGTTAGAGATTTGTTGTATGAGCTCGGAGTCAACAGGATGAGGGGAACCCAAGGAATTCTACCATTGCTTTTCTGTTCAGGTCCCAGAATAGCGTGATCTTCATGATTGACTTGCTGGGGGCATCGCTCTCTCCGTGCGTGTGTGACGGCGACTGCATTACGCAGGCTATACGACCCTACCTGCATGGAGTGCCCAGGTCCGTCTCGCTGGCTACTGTAACTGAGTGTCTTGTCGACCCACACAGAGAGAGACATTGAAGACTGATGGCTGGCTGAGGTCCACATTCCTTCCCCGGAAGTGTGCAAGGGACTTAGCCTTCTTCTGCAAGTGCGTGCGCCCTAGTCTTGTCGCTGTGGGGCATATCTTTTGACCCCTTGAGACAATGAGGTCGAGATACGAATAACATGACAATGCATAGCTTCCAATCTATTGCAGTACTAATGTCAAGGTGCATGTGATAATCTTACGCCAAGTTTTTGTAGCAATGCCAAGCAGTAAATATAGTGATCGCCAACATCTAGAATCATAACTACCAGGTGGCCATTTGTACGTACGTAAGACGCAACATCCTGGAATGGCCGATACCCACACCGGATCAGACTAATTGTAAGATCACGCAAGTACGGCGATTGGACGAGCTGAATAAAGCATAACCTTCCTGTGACTATACAGGAAATTGCTTCAGCTGAAATGCCGACCACAAAACGAGTTTTACTGCAAGGGATATTAAGTGCCACGCACCAAATGCAGTGGCGGTTAGTAGATTCAGAGTAAGCAATGGCTCAACCCGTCAAGCGCACTGTTAGTCACGGTTGTTGTTGAATGGGGCTGACTGCCGTGATGATAGGATAAAGCTTCAAGGTGCCATCATGTAAAGTACTCACTCTTGCTGTAGTCGTCCAGCCATTTCCACTGCTAAGCCTACCGGCCGTGGTCCATATCTTTGCTAGAAAGTTTTCCATTGTCAATGTTAAGTTTATCTCGCTGCCATGAAGACGCCGATTGCTGTCGTTGGGGCCGCCTGCCGATTTCCAGGCGATGTAGCCTCCCCTTCGCAACTCTGGGAGCTATTGTCTAACCCAAAGGATGTCCTTACGGATGTACATCCCGAAAGATTAAACCTGTCCAGCTTCCATCATCATAACGGCGAGCATCATGGAGCGACAGATGTCCCGAACAAGTCCTATATGCTAGACAGCGATGTACATCGCTTCGATGCTGGTTTCTTCAATATTAGTGCGGCGGAGGCGGAGGCAATGGATCCACAACAAAGGCTGTTACTCGAGACGACTTATGAGGCGCTCGAAGCTGCGGGCTATACATTGAACCAGATGCGCGGCTCGCCCACCTCGGTATTTATTGGCGCGATGACCTCGGACTATCATGACATTCAAGCTCGCGATTTGGACACAATCAGCCGATGGCATGCAACAGGGACATCGCCGAGTATCCTCTCAAATCGCATATCCTACTTCTTTGACCTGAAAGGGCCGTCCATGACTATCAATACTGCATGTTCTAGCTCCCTGGTAGCATTGCACCAAGCGGTCCAAAGCCTGCGGAACGGTGATTGCAGCACCGCCATTGTAGGTGGTGTCAACCTCCTACTCGACCCGGAGGTTTATATCAGTCATTCCAACCTACACATGCTGTCCCCAACGTCAAGATGTCGCATGTGGGACCGGGATGCTGATGGCTACGCCCGAGGCGAAGGATGCGCTTCGCTCGTGGTCAAAACGCTGGATCAGGCGCTGAAGGATGGTGACGATGTAGACTGTATCATTCGGGAGACTGCGGTCAACTCGGATGGCAGATCTGCGGGAATTACGATGCCCAACCCCGAAGCCCAGGCAGAGTTAATCCGTCACACGTATGAACGCAGTGGCCTAGATCCGGTTAAGGACCGATGCCAATATTTTGAATGCCATGGAACTGGAACGCAGGCAGGGGATCCCGTCGAGGCGCAAGCAATCCAGCGGGCCTTCTACCCAAAGAACGTTGTCTTTAGTCCAGACGACAAACTCTATGTGGGAAGTATCAAGACTCTCATTGGCCACCTGGAGGGCTGTGCAGGTCTCGCCGGCGTGCTGAAGGCTATAATGTGTCTCAAGAACCGGACAATTACCCCGAACATGCTCTTTGACAACCTCAACCCCAATATCACGCCATTCTACAACCATCTCAAGATTCCAACACGCACTATACCCTGGCCACCCGTTGCCCCCGGCTCTCCAATGAGGGCGAGTGTAAACTCCTTCGGCTTTGGAGGGACTAACGCACATGCCATTATCGAGAGCTATGTACCCTGCCAATCGGAAAACCAAGTCAGTTACTGTAGACAATCAACTATAAAGGAACGCGCCATCGCCGGCCTATTCCTCTTCTCAGCACACACCCAGGAGTCCCTAAATTCAAACATGGAGCGAATAGCGCGATACGTGAAGAACAATGCTGCATTAGATCTGGATGATTTGGCCTGGACCTTAGCCAAAAGAACCGTCCTGCCATTCCAGGTCTCTATCAGTGCCTTAAATAGAGACGAGCTCATCAGCACTATCGAGAAGGTCATTGAAGAGTACAAAGCTAGCCGAGGCAGCGAACAAGGCCAGAGTTCATGGAAGCAGTCACGCGAACCACCAAGGATTATGGGTATTTTCACAGGACAAGGCGCACAATGGGCTGGAATGGGGCGTGAGTTGCTACGTGCATCTTCCGTGTTTCGCAACTCCATCGAGCGCTGTGAGCGTGCACTAGCAACTCTTACTGATGGCCCCTCATGGTCCCTGCGGGAGGAGCTTTTAGCAGACAAACCCTCGTCAAGCCTCTCTAACCCTGCAGTCAGTCAACCGATGACGACCGCAATTGAAATAGCTGTCTATGATCTGCTGTGTGCCTGTGGAGTCCACGTCGATCTAGTCGTGGGCCACTCCTCCGGCGAAATAGTGGCCGCCTATGCGCTCAACATCATTTCGGCAGAGGATTGCATGAAAATAGCCTATTACCGAGGTTTGCACTCCAAGCCTGCGAAGCTGGGTAGCATGCTTGCAGTGGGTCTTTCCTTTTCCGACGCCAGAGACTTGTGCTCGCAGCCGTCATATTCGGGGAGAATCGTGGTGGCAGCGAGCAATGGGCCTCTGAGCACAACCTTGTCGGGTGATTACGATGCGATTGTCGAAGTCAAGGCACTTCTTGACCGTAAGAAGACCTTCGCAAGAGCTTTGCAGGTTGATGTTGCGTATCACTCACATCATATGGTGCCCTGTGCTGCTACATATCTTGAAGCGTTGAAGGCGTGCAACATCAAAGTGAAATCACCCAGGAGCGGCTGTACATGGGTCTCAACCGTAACTGGAAGCAGTATAACCATGAACAGCGATATGCAGGCCTTCTCTGCAACTTACTGGGTCGACAACATGGTCAAGCCTGTCCTCTTTGCTCAGGCAGTGGAGAGGTCACTTGGTGGCTGTCAAAACCTCGGTGCATGTATCGAGATTGGACCTCATCCAGCTCTCCGTGGTCCAGTGTTGGATACGTTGAAGGACAAAGGGTGGTCAAGCGTCCCTTATACTTCGTTACTCCACCGAGGGCAAAATGACCTCAAGGCAGCATCATCCGCCGTCGGTTGCCTCTGGGAACGGATGGCCGAACATTTGGAGATTGGGAGGTTTATCCAGGCTGTTAGAAGCCAGCCCTCCCAGCTGATGAAGGGACTCCCCACCTACTCCTGGGACCATAGGAGGAGGTACTGGAGAGAGTCTCGCGTGTCGCGAAGGTACCGTCTCGAAGGTACACCTGTGGACCCGCTGTTGGGTCGGCGATTTGCCAGCGAATTCCCAAACGAGATGTGTTGGAGGAATATCCTACATCTAGAGGAAATGCCCTGGGCTGAGGGTTACAAGCAAAAAGGCCGAGCGGTACTCTCGGCAGCCTTTTACCTCGCCTCTTTATTAGCTGCAGCTAGTTCTGCAGCTGCACGCCAAAGGCTTGTATTACTTGAGGTCAGCAATTTCGTTGCCATGGAACCCATCTTTTTGGAAGAGCATGGCGGCGGAGTAGAATACATCACCGCAATACGATTCCCTAAAGAAAACAATGTCACAAATTCAAACACCAAACTAGATGCCCAAGCTTCCTGTCATGCGTATAATAGCGATGGATCGGTCCTAACCAGGCTATGCACTGCACGTCTGACGCTTTATCTCAACGAAGCCAGCCAGCCTGATTGTGACCAGCTACCACCGAGGGAACGACAGAGCCACCTTCTCGTGCCGGTAGATGTTGCTGATCTTTATGACTCATTTGAACAGGCTGGCACAGCTTATTCCGGACCCTTTCGATGCATAACCTCGATCCAGCGGTCTCTAGGCGAAGCCACCGCGTCTGCAGCTTGGGCGGCTGACACAATAACCCCGGGATCCCTATTTCATCCAGCTAAACTAGAGGCATCGTTTCAGGCAATAATGTGTGCCTTTGCGTCACCATTGAGTAAGGGACTGTGGACGTCCTTTCATGCAAAGGAGGCTCGTCGGGTCCTCCTTAGCCCTCGTATTTCTCTGGGAAAACCTTCATGCGAAATCGACGCTTTTGTTACAAGATTCGACAGTGACAGGGTAGAAGGCGATGTGTCGTTGTACAATCCAGAGGGAAAGGCTATCATGCAAATCGAGGGCTTGGTTATGAAGAGTAGCCCTCGATCTGATACTTCTAGACACCGTAACCTGTTCTCACACGTGGTGTGGGAGAGTGACCCTTTTGGATCTTCATTGATATCCTCATATCATACCCCGAAGGAAGAGATGGCGTGGAGAAGCGCAGCAGATATAATCGGCTTGTATTATGTCCGACGAGCACTCGACGAGATTGGTCCACACGAATCTACAAGGTTTATGCCCCATCACCAACTCTTATACCGTGAGATGAGTCGCATTGCTGCGGATGGCAAGGGCTCTGAGTACTACATTACTCACCCAGATCATACCCAAACGTCGGAGGAGAGTATACTCGTAATGATCGACAAACTTGCTGGAATTGTGGATTTTGAGCCAAATCATTCACTCGGCATGTCCTTGCCAGCGATCCTGAGAGGAGAAATAGACCCTCCTGCCATGCTGAACGGAGCTGACCCCCTCGACCGCTTATCTCAAACTCGGGGGATGCTTTCTCTGCTGAATAAAGAGATTTGTTCTATTGTCAAGCGAATTGTGCACAAACACCCACACATGGATGTTCTCGAGCTTGATGCAGACACTGCTGTGATCACCCAAGAAATATTGAAATCTCTAGATGATAGGTATACGTCCTATTGTCTGAGCAGTATGGCTCCAGTATCACTCAGCCAGACAGTGGTTAAGCTGTCTACTCAGCACCGCAATCTATATTCTAAGGCCATTGACTTTACCATGCTCGACGTTAATCAATATGGCAGCGAGAAATATGACATGGTAATTGCTGCCAATCCGCTCAATGCAACTAATGCATCTACCAATCTCTTTGAAGGATGCCGCGCAATGCTGAAGCCCGGTGGCTACTTTGTGTTCGTTAGACTCACCGGGCGGATGCCAGTGTCGTTGTTGTATACCTGTGGCTTGCATCCCCAGTGGTGGCAAGGGTACGATCATGACGCCCAATCTTGGTCAGACACGTCAACTGTTAGATTGGACGCACTACTCCGCTCCAAGGGGTTTTCAGGCATCGATCATATATTTCAGGGCTCCACACATCCAAATGGGGACGGCCTTTCAGTCGTGGTTACTCAGGCAGTCAATGACACAGTCATGATGCTTCGAGAGCCAATGAATTCGACGGGACTGGCGCCGCTGACGGAGACTGTGGTCTTCCTTGGAGGAAAGACACTGTTAGTAGCACGCCTCCTCCAGAGTATTCAAAGAATCCTCGCCGCATCGGGCACCGCAACCGCTATAGTGGAAGACATTCACCAGCTGGACCTGAGTGGCCTAACAAAGAAACATTCCATCATCTCCCTGTTGGAGCTTGACGAGCCGTTCTTCTCCAGGGGCCTCTACCACGAAAGGCTCCTGACTTTCAAAGAGCTGGTTGCAAGGTCCAAGCACATCCTTTGGCTGACAACTGGAAATATGGCAAGCATAAGTGTTGCTATCGGGAGAGCAATGAGATCACAAAGGGGAGACGATATCAGCCTACAATTCCTAGACTTGTCCACCGTGGCAAACGTTTCGCCTGCCACTGTCGTTGATGTCTTCTTACGCCTCACATGGTCTTTCGTGCCCATGTTGACAGACGGGCAATTGCTTTGGACAAATGAACCTGAATTACACTTGGATGGTTGCACGCTTCGCATTCCACGAGTGGTGTGGGACCACGGACGAAATAAGAGATACAATACCAAGCCCAGAGAGCTTCGTCCAAAGGCTTGGCTCTCACGAAAATTGGTGGATCTCTCATCCGAGGTGTCGACCGGCTCAGTAGCCGTTCAAGTCAAGTACTCCTGCTGTGTTTGTACGGATGCCTATCTGTGGTATGGTACACGTGTCGACGGAAAGGGGAGTGCTGTCGGCCTTTCTAACCATATCTCATCGGTCATCCAAGCAAGGCCTGAGCATGTTCACAGCACTGCCGACAATGATGACTTGAGCCCAGATGCATTGCGAGCGACTGCTAGCTTCACTTTGGCATATTTATTCTTGAAGTCTATATCTGGGCCGATTCTTCTGTATGAGCCTGATGAGTTACTTGCTGCTGCTGTTGAGCAAGCCCGCGAGCCGCAGCAAACGGTTTATTTTCTCACTTCAAAGTGCAAGGAGTCAAATAAAGGGTGGATAGCAGTCCATCCGCATGCATCGCGGCGTATGATTGAACGGGCTCTACCTAGTGACGTGTCGTCTTTTGTTGATTTATCCTCATCTGATGATTGTGTGGTCACGATTCTGCGCGATATATATTTTCGAACTCGGGTCCAGACGGTGGACCTCTATCGCCGTGCGCTTCTTGCGAATCCTGGACAGCTTATCACGGAAAGTTATTCTCAAGCATGTACTAGCTTATCGACTCTGTCACAGCCACCATTGGAGGTTACCTCCTGGACAGAAATCCCATCAGGCAATCCATCCGTCACTGTTCCAAAGGTAGTGGACTGGACGAGCCCTGTATCGATAACGGGCCATGCCGATGTCACAGGGACCACCACTATGTTCTCCTCAAGCGGAACCTACTGGATGATTGATATGGCAACAACACTTGGGTTGTCAATTTTGAAGTGGATGGCGAAAAACGGTGCACGGACGTTTGTCCTTGCCAGCAGAAATCCACGCGTGCATGAACCTTGGCTGGACGAAATGTCTCGTCTGGGAGCTACTGTGACGACCTTGAAGATGGATGCTTCGAACAAAAAGTCTATTTCCTCGGCTTTCAACCAGATAAAGGAGACTTTACCACCCATTGTAGGCGTCTGCTATGCTCCCTTGGCTCTGTCCGACCAAGGGTTTGAGTATACTGTCGAAGACGAGGGAAGCCTTGGTGCGACTGCTATGATTAATGCAGCAACATATCTTGACGAGCTGTTCCCAGCACCAACACTGGACTTCCTCGTTATCCTGACATCCACGGTCTCTGTTGTCGGAACTCCAGAGCAGGTAGCGTCTCATGCCCCGGCACTTTTTATGACAAGCCTCATTCAAGGCCGTCGGCTGAGAGGTCTGGTGGGGTCTGTATTAGCCCTGGGTATGATTGTGGATGCTGGGTACTTTGCCAGGCAAGGCAAGGAGGTGGTTCAGCGCATGGTGGACCATGGCCATGCACCTCTGTCTGAGTCTGACTTACATCATGCCTTTGGTGAAGTGGTAGCTGCTGGGGCACCCGAGGCCGCAGGGAATGCCGAGATATTCTTTGGACTTCAAAAGATAAATTTGCAGATTGACGAGAGTGATGAAAGCGGTAAATCCGGTTGTTTTTCTAACCATCTGCTTTCGCACTTCACTACAACGCGCTCTCCAACCAAAGAGAGGGAGTATGCTGGACAGTCAGATTCAACATCCCCGCTTAGGGCTCATGGGCAGCTTCAAGAGTCGGAACTAAAGCAAAATGAATACGACAGGCTGCTTGCGCGTTTATCGGACAAGATCAAGTCAATGCTCCGGCTGAGAGGACAGACATTGGATGTGAGCACCCCCCTTCTGGACCTGGGCTGTGACTCCCTCTTGGCTGTGGATATTCAAGCATGGGTTGCGAAAGAGTTCGATATCGATATTACTCCCATGGATGCACTACTCGACACTGTCGCGGGCTTGTGCAAGAGGCTCATCCAAGGGCCAGATGCTGCAGAAATAGCGCCGCAGAAAGAAGACCAGCTTGCCCAAGACATCGAGTTCATCGACGTTGCGACAACTGGATCCAGCTCAGAGCACAACAGCTCAGTTCAAGACTCACCGCTTGATGCCACTAGTTCGGAGTCTTCCTGTGACCTATGCCCTTCTGACTCTGGATCCAAACCAGAACGAAACGACTTGGAACCTAGGTTTACACGTGTCGAAAAGATGTCTCCACACCAGTCACAGATCTGGTTTGCCGGCCATTGGATGAAGGACCCTACCCAGTACAATGTGGTTATATCGTACAACGTTCAGGGAAGGTTTCCGGTCGACAAGTTCAAACGAGCTTTGGAAGAGGCTGTCTCCCGGCACGAGTCACTGCGGACTGCCTTCTTTTCAGATCCCAATAATGGTGAGCTCCTTCAGGGTGTCTTAAAAACCCCACCACCTTTCTTTCAACATGTCAAGGCTTCAAGCGCTACCTCGGTGTCACAGGAGTTTGACCGGCTGGCGTCTTACCAGTGGCGACTGGAGGAAGGCGAAGTCATGCGAGTTACAGTGGTATCTGTTGGACAAGGCCAGCACACCGTCATATTTGCATACCATCACATTGTCATGGACGGGGCTAGTTGGTCCACATTCTTACATGACTTGAAGTGTTTCTATGAACAAAGGCCACCACGCGAGGTTGCGCAATATGTTGACTATTCTCTGATGCTGAATCGCGACATTCAAGATGGAACTTTCGCAAAGGAGCTGGAGTACTGGAAGTCCGAGCTTTCACCACCGCCAGAAACGATGCCTGTCCTCCCTCTTGCCACGGAGAAGACCCGTAGACCAAGAGACAATTTCAAGGTGCACACAATGACGCGGTATATCAGCATGGAAGTCACGGAAAGGATCAAGCAAGCAAGTCGCACTCTTCGTGGCACCCCGTTTCACTTCTACCTGGCTACATTACAGGTCTTCCTCGCTGTATTGCTGAAGGTCAAAAATCTGTGCATTGGAATGAGCGATGCCAATCGCAAACACGAGCAGTTCACCGGCACAGTCGGCTATTTCCTCAACATGTTGCCGCTTCGGTTCGAGATCCAGCAAACGGACAGCTTTGCCAAGGTGTTCCAGAAGACCTCTTCGAAAGTGATGACCGCTTTGTTAAATTCTTCAATTCCCTCCAACTTGGTCGTGGACGCGCTGAATCTCCCGCGAGTATCGAATGTAACGCCTCTCTTCCAGGTTGCGATCAACTACCGTGTGGGAGAGATCACCAGGATGTCCGTGGACGACTTTGACCTGGATTACGGTCGGAGTGTAATGGGCAATGCGCCATACGATATCTCCTTCCATGTCACGCCCTGCGCCAACGGGACCTCTATTGTGGAAGTCAGCTGTCGGGACTATTTGTACTCGCCCAAAGCCACGGAAGCAATCATCGATCAATACACAAGGCTACTTGAGGTTATGTCTTCGGATCCTTCAATTCCTGTTGGGAGCAGTCTTGTCACTTCTACCCGCATCAACGAAGGTGGTCTCTCGGTACAACGTGGCCAGCGGATATCGCACGGCTGGCCAGCGACCTTAGCTGAAAGGTTCAAGAATATGACTGATCGATATGGAGATAGAATTGCCGTCACGGATCACAGTGGCGATTTCAGCTACTTGCAGCTTCAAACGCAAAGCACTCATATTGGAGTAGCTCTGCTTCAGAAAGGAGTCCGAACTGGAGATGCAGTGGCGGTTTTATGCCACCCGTCAATCAACTCGGTGGCGAGCATGCTAGCAATTCTCCGCATCGGTGCGGTTTATGTACCCCTCGACCTCAGCCTTCCTGCTGCAAGACACAAAGCTATGGTCTTGGCATCCCCTGTCAAAGCACTTGTTTGCTTCTCTTCTACTGCTGAAGGTGTCTCAGAGTTAGGAGTTTCAACCATTCTCAACTTTTCCGAGATTCCTGACCTTCAAGCTTCACCCACGATGCTCACCGACAGTGCGAAGGGTGACGCTTTGTCCATACTGCTGTACACCAGCGGCTCAACAGGTCAACCAAAGGGCGTATGCCTGCCACAGCGCGGCTTCATTAACTATCTCGCTGCCAAGAGGGAAGAGCTCGGTCTTAATAGTTCGACGGTTGTCCTTCAACAAAGCTCACTGGGATTCGACATGGGACTTGCACAGACGCTCAATGGCATCATGAACGGAGGAAGGCTTGTCATTGTACCCCAACAAGTACGAGGGGATTCGATTGAAATTGCAAGAATTATCCGCGATCACGGAGTAACATTCACGCTAGCCACTCCGTCCGAATATCTCGTCATGCTTCAACATGGTCGCGAATACCTCAACCATTACGCCGGATGGCGCCACGCCTGTCTAGGTGGTGAGCCTTTCACGGATCAGCTCAAGCGGGAGTTTGTGCGGCTGGGAAAGAATTGTCCTGTGGTGCAGGACTCCTATGGTGTGACCGAAATTTCCGCGTGCACAACCTTTGAGACGATGTCGGTCTCCCGGCTCGAAGGCGCACGGAGCGTTGGACGAACCATTTCCAACACTTCTCTTTACATTGTGGACCCTGACTGCAATCTTGTTCCCACTGGAGAGCCTGGGGAGATTTGTATCAGCGGCGCCGGGGTTGCATTGGGGTATCTGAATGAGGACCAGACCAGGTTGAAATTCGTGCAAGATCCGTTTGCTTTGCCCGATGATATAGCCAGAGGGTGGACTCGACTGTACCGTACTGGCGACAAAGCAAAAATGCTCGATGACGGTTCTCTGATCCTCTTGGGCCGAATGGACGGAAATACAGAGATCAAAGTTCGAGGACTTCGTATTGATCTTGAAGACGTCGCTTCCACCATGGTGAACTGCCACCCGAATTTGCTGTCATCAGCCATCGTGTGTGTCAAGGGCCAGGGCGTCTCAGAAACGCTCGTCGCCTTTGTTGCCCTGATGCCTGGACAGACTGCTAGCGACGTCGAGCTACAACATCTCGCGAGCAACCTCCCATTGCCACAATACATGCGCCCGTCAACAGTCATCTGTCTAGATGAGCTACCCCGAAATGCGAACGGAAAGATTGATCGAAAAAGAATAGATGCTATGCCATGGACGCCGCCAATCACTACGAGTCAACCGTCAAAACGGCTCACATTGGGCGAGGGCGAGCTTAAGCTTCTTTGGCAAGTTTTGCTGCCTGGGAAGCACATTCAACCAGAGTCGGACTTTTTCCTTCTCGGAGGAAATTCCACGCTGCTGGTCAGGCTACAAGGCGCGATCCGCACCTCCATCGGGGTGTCAGTCACTCTCCGCGACCTGTATGGTGCCAGCACATTGGCACAGATGGCGCTCAAGGTGGATGCCCGGAAAGCTGAAGCACCATCCATGACGATCAATTGGCTCGCGGAAACAGCTATACCGCAAACTATCCTCGATCGCGCCAGATCAACGTCAAGCATTAAGCTACCTAAGCATCGCCAAGGATCAGGCTGTCAAATCCTCCTCACCGGTTCGACTAGCTTTCTAGGGAGAGTGCTGGTGCAGGTTCTCCTCCAGGCACCCGAAGTGGAAAGAGTGCATTGTATCGCCGTGGAAAAGGATCAGGAGCACGTTCTTCCCACCAGTGACAAAGTATCGCTCTACTATGGAACCCTTCTCGACCCAATGCTCGGTCTCTCTCCCGCAGAATGGGCGTCCCTGCACGACTGTATCGACGTCGTGATCCACAACGGCTCGAATGGTCACTGTCTTAACACTTACAACTCTTTGAAGACGCCGAACCTGGGCTCAACCCATCGCCTCGCCCAGTTTGCCCTACAGTCGCAAACCCCCCTGCACTATATTTCGTCCGGGAGAGTCATCCTCCAGTCTGGGCACACTGCCCTCGGGCCCACATCAGTATCCTTTCACCCTCCTCCGCTCGACGGCTCTGACGGTCTCACCGCAACGAAATGGGCCAGTGAAGTCTTCCTCGAGCGTTTCGCCGAGCACACTGGTCTCCGCATTAGTATCCACCGCCCCTGCACCCCCATCGGCGATCACGCTCCCGCCCAGGACGCATTGAACTCGCTCCTACGCTACTCGGTCAGACTCGGTGCGACGCCCCGCCTCACACGAATGGAAGGATACTTGGACTTCCAGCAGGTAGAGATTATTGCGGAAGAGATCGCGACGCTGGTGACATCTCGGTTCACCACGTCGGCAACTGCGGCATCGTCTAGAACCGCTGGGGTGTCCTTTTTCCACCATTCGAGCAATGTCAAGGTGCCTGTGAAGAGTTTCAAGGAGTATATGGAACGAGTGCACGGGCGGCCCTTCCACGAACTCGGGTTGCGGGAATGGAGCTCGCTGGCGTTGGAACAGGGCATCGAGCCACTGATTCCTAGTTTCTTGGAAGCGGTCGATGATAACGAGGAAACATTGCGATATCCTTATCTGGGTAACTAGTCGGTATCTTATGTGTTCTAGAGAGTCAATAGATAATACTCCCGAGTGAATGAGATAGGTATAATGACGAAGTCTACTGGATGATGAGCCGTGTCGATGGAGTACTACTAGTAATGGTCGCGAGCCGTACCGCACCGCAGCCAATCATGGGAAGCGGTGTGGGTGGCCTTGAATGGCTTGGATTTGGCATGAAATGCACCGGTGGCTGACTGATACTAGTATATTAGTATCAGCCCACGTGTTCTCCGACGCGAGGCGGAGGAGTATGCACCGCCACAGGAGCACCGCCACAGGACATACTATTGGATGTTCGATCTGGCGAGTTCGAGTTTGAATCCATTGTTAGTAACAATCCGTTCGCCATCTGGATAGCTTTCATTGGCTAGATCGTGTACGGCCACCACCAATCAGTCTCTGCCTGGTGGCTCCACTTGACTGACGGGTATCGCCCAAGATGGTTTGCTCTTCCCCATCTATCCCGTTGGCATCTCCTTTTTATCTCAGGGTTTAGTGCATCGCTGCATATGAAAAAAACACAGCAAAATCTTCTCATATAAATATATATAGATAGATAGATCTCTTTTGCGAAAGAGGGTCTGGTAAAGTCAAATCGTAGTACAGTCGTCAAGGGGAATGATAGTCAGGCCCCCCAATGTCAGGCCCCCAACCGCATCCGGACATGACATCCTCCGGCCCCCAATCGACGCGCTCCAAGAATCATGCGACCGATCATAGCTACGAGGTACTTATTATATTGGCAGAACCCTCCCGGGTTCTACCTACACCCACCCCAGCTTTACCTTGGTTCGAGCCCCAATGTACGCCCTCCAACGATTACTCTACGGATTCCCCCCGCCGGCGCCGCACAAACGCACCAAGCCCGTCGAGGTGCTCTGCTTGGGCTTGCCACGCACCGGAACCGAGTCATTAAGCGTGGCCTTGCGAACGCTGGGCCTGCAAACATACCATGGCTGGGACTTGGTCTTTGAGCCAGACGGCCGCAAGCTGCAACTCTGTGCGGAGCTAGTGCGGCGGAAATACAACGGTGCTCCCGATGGCGACGTGCACATTAGTCGCGCGGAGTTCGACATGCTCATCGGGGATAGTCAGGCGGTGGTTGACTCGTTGTGTATTCTCTTTGCGCCCGAGCTGCTCGCCGCCTACCCAGACGCCAAAGTGGTCCTCAACGTGCGTCCCGATACCGACGCCTGGTACCGGAGCATCAATAAAACTATCGTCGAAGAGGTCGATCAATCATGGGTGATGTGGGCGATGCAGTGGTTCTCCGCAGAGTTTCATTGGCTGTACAGTCTGTACTTGAGAGATGGATATCCGGGCATCTTTCACAGCGGCACCACCCAAGCGGGTATCCAGCGAAACGCAAAGTGGGTGTATCGCGACCACTGCAATATGGTTCGGGGGATGGTACCCAAGGAGAATTTGCTGGAGTGGTCCGTCGAGGATGGCTGGGAGCCGCTCTGCCAGGTATGATTTGGACGCAGCTGGAATGGTCCCAAAACGATACCTACTGACCGACATAGTTTCTCGACAAGCCTGTTCCGAACGAGCCCTTCCCTCGCACCAATAGTCCAGGCGATTACGCCGAGCACGCAAATGAACTCATCCAACAGCGCTCGGTGCAATGTCTGCGGAACGTGACTCTCACCGCCGTGACTCTCGGCGGGATTACCACGGCCGTTGTGATGTGGTGGCAGGGGCGGATCCCCCACGTGACGAGGCTGGGGGATCTCCTTGGGCGATTCACGAAAACGGCGTAGAATCAATATATGGAATGGAATTTCAAGGGGAAACTTGAAAGATGTCGATTTGAACCACTCCACGCCCAGGCTCAACAGAAGACGTCGACACCCGTTCTTGAAGTTTCGTTTAGGGTTGCGGAATTGCTGTCGAAAAAAACAACGGGGGTAACGCGAATTCCGGATGTTCCCCAGACAAGCGATCGATTCCCGCGGGAGGTTGCCAATTGGAAGGGTTATCGATGTGGGCACTAGCTGTGGATAACATGTTCGGTGAAACTTAGAAACTTAACAGACTCACCTCGCATTGAATACATTGGAATACCAATAATACGGCTGTGGAATAAATACGAGTACTCACGGATGGATGTACATCGCAAGCATTACCATATGTTCGATGATGACGTCAGGGCCGTACGCGTCAGTCTTCTGGGCCCCATAATAACCTCACGATATGCTCGTCCGCTGAGAGAAACACAGGAGGCGACTTATAGATCTGCAGATTAAAGTTGCACTAATTGATTATGACGTACAAAGGTTACCATCTCTAGACGAGGAGTGTGAAGGGACAGAAAGAAGAGGAATACCAGTAGTAATGAAGAAAAGTCTGGTAGAACTATATTCGATGCAAACCAATAGATATTCAGAGTCAAAGTTGGACAGCAGACGCCTGCTGATAGCTCTCATACTGCGGCTTCCCCTCTAACAAATTGACCACCTGCTCATCGGCAGCAGATGTCTCCACCCAGCCCAACCGGGCCGCAATCCCCTTCTGGCTAATACAAGGCCCTTCAAAGGGCGCCAGAGCAATGAAATCTAGGTCCATCGACACCGTCACCAGGCCGGCGATATCTCGGAAGTAGAACTCCACCGTGGGGTCGGGGTCATCGACCGTCCAGCCGTTTTAGAGGCGTTCGCTTGCGGGGCGGAGCGTGTTCGGTAGCGGGCTGGGGGAGAAATGCCAGTGCAGTGCATGGTGTGAGCTTTTCCCAGTGGTTATCTTGGCGGTCCGGAAAGGACCCGGGATGACAGTGCTTTGCTGGGAGGGAGAGGGAGCCTCACATAGCTGTATATCTCTAGCTTCTGCCGTTGAAGGACCTCGACTGCTTTGGGGATGTGCTCCTCGGTCAGAAAACGGCGGCATTCTTCTTCAGAGCGGTCTGGACACAGAGACACCGAGTCTTAGCTTCTACAAGGGGCCCCCGCCACCGCCACCGGCTCGTGAATCCTCAAGGTCCGATGTGAAGTTCGCCGATTCGGTGAGCCGATGACCGATTACAAGTTGGCAGCAGCGCCGGCAGAAGACGAAGGTTTATCATCTACGATTTTCATCGTATCATGACCGTCTTTGTATAGACATAATAGGCTCCACTCATGCAGCCGCGTTTGCTTTAGAAGCGAGAACTCGAGAAGGCATGATGGCTACATCCCCTTCTAGCTTTCTTGCGTTACATCGGTTCGGATTCGCCATCGCCGGCGTTAGCCACGCGACCGCTGGACCTCGCGACAGCAATTCTGCAGCCGTGCCGCTATCTGCATACATTGGCTTTCGCGTTCGCGAACCGCCCCCATGAGTATCTTGACTGCATTGGGCCCGCTGGGGGGGCCTAGGGGCCGGCTGACATTGATATCACCCATCTCCTCGGCCACGAACGGGGCCGAGAGCTGATTCACCAGATCCCCCAGACGATCGAGCAATTGTAGCGCTGACTGAATGACCAACACAATGTGCCCGGCAGGATCGTCCATGGCGAAGGCGCCAATCTGCAACGAGGGTAGTGGAATCGGCGCGCCCTTGGCCAGGGCAGTGCCGAATTTGTCGGCGGTTTGTGAGAACGTGATATGGTACGTGTCCATGAGCCGCAGGTAAGTTGATAGAGCGTGTAGTAGTGAGGGTTGGTCGAGGCCCGTCTCCCGCTGCTGCGAGTTGATCTCCGAAACGCCCGGGGGGCTCTGAGGGGTTGTTTTGGTGATCGGCGGCTGGAGCCGTGAGGGAAGTGTGGATGATTCCATCAATGGCGGTTTCCCCTGCGCAATTTGTGCAGCACTAGTCTGAGCGGTCCAGGTAACCCCCCGACGCAAAAGATGAATAAATCGCTGGGTGAGAACAAAAGTCGTGTCAATCGCGCAGTCGGGCGGGTGGGTATTGTTACCATTTCCGCCCGGGTTCGTGTTTACTGACGTTGAATCGAAGAGCACAGGATCCTCTAAGGTGTGCCGGATTAAGTCCATATCGATCTCCAACAGGTCTGCCATGAACTGCTGGAGAAAACGCGTCTGTGGACCGACCTTGCGACCACCATCCGCTACTTGTGCCGGGTCCAAATGCTGGGTGGGGCCCGTGCCATTCTCCGAGGGACCGGTCTCCGGCACACCCAGTACCGAGAAGGGCTCAAAGAGAGGTAGATGAGTATCAGTGATCGGAGTGAGGGTTGCCTCGCTTGGACGACTGAAGCGAACGAAGACGTCCGATTCCATGGGACCATCCGGAAGACTCAGCGACTGCGGAAAGCTTTCCGGGATGGTGACGCTAGGGTCGATGCCGATACCTACGTCTGGTAGCGATAGCCCGGCAATATGGCCACTGCCACCCGGTATCTGCTCGGTATATATTGCGTGAGATTGCTCCTGGCCGTCATCGGCAGGGTCTTCTTCCCTTCCCAGGCGACCCCGGTGTGCGTGGGTGGTGCTCTCCAGCCTACATGTCCCAGAGGGATCCGGAGGACTCAACTGGTTCTGCGCGTCGAGGTTAGCCACCGGTGGTCTCAGGCGCTGTGCGATCCGTGGTGCCAATTTTACATTCGACGGCCCATCGCTCATCCAGTGCGATGTTTGGGAGTTAGATCGGCGAAGTTGATGGTTGGGTCGGCGACCACGATTTGAGGGACTGAACACACAGCTTGCGCCAGCTCGCAGACAACGGCTACATTTCCCGGCATCGATTCGGTGGCATCGCAATTTCAGATCGTGGCAACGATCGCAGGCTTGCCGTGACGGTGGTTCATACATACTCATACTTCACAGTCCCGATGTCGAGATTCTTCGGGCACGTGGGGAGGGTTTTGGGGAGGCGGTGGGGAAACACAAGGTGGGAGGTGGAGAACCCTGAGCCCTACCGAGTCACACCAATGGCACTTGGCGTTTCTGATTGTTTTTCTATGTGGATATTGCATTGAGCTCGAGCAAGTCGTTCCTTTTATCTGTCCTTAGTCGGTTGTGTCATTCGTACTTAATCATGCTAGTCTAGGTGCCATACATTGGATTCTTCTTTGGGGACTTTCCACGAATGACGTGCGGTGCCGAGTAGCTTCGTATATATATATAAAGGAATTCGTCGGCTCACGTCAGCGTTTTTGTGTTTTCGGTACAGAAGTAGAATAATACTCGTTGCATTTGATCGATTACCAGTACGAGCTATCTGAAATCTCATATGTAGATTCATATAAGCGGCCTTGGCTATACATCGTGAAGAACAAGATCGTCCTAGACCCTATCCTGAGTCATAACTTAATCTAGCCTACGGTCAACCGATGATGTTTACCAAGTTTACCAACACGAACGCGCGATTATATAGCTGATTAAACTTATATATTAAATTCAACTATATTATCTACCTTATCTATCGATTATAACCATTGATATATCTGGGTTATTGACTAGTCCGATTCCGAGAATAGTTGCTACTTTAAATACTTGAGCTCTGTAGTATTTTAAAAGAACCGGATTATAATATCTCTAGGCACAGTAACCCCGAACTAGATATTACCCCTGATAAAGTTTGGGTATTGTAATACTAACCCCTCGACCTAGTGTCTGGGTATCACCACCACTGTACTATGTAGATAACTAAGAACTTGGGATTTTTAAGTGCGGTGGCCTAATGTAAAACGACAAGCTTTTAGTACCGTAAGCTAGATTTAGCCGCTGTATCATTGAAAAGTCCACTATTGTACAGTGCACCTTTTCGTGCTCTATCGATGCGAGTATTAGTACTCGACAAACAAACCCCTGGAAAAAATAGACTTGACAAATCTCTTCAAAACGCTGTAGTATATCCATGCAGTCTATCTATACCGCACAGGTGGCACGCTCTCGCTCGGTTACGAGATCGTTCTTACGGCCTGCGGAAACCTAGGCTCGCTTATATCGCAACAAAATACGAGAGGATCTCGGACGAGTGCGTGTACATACTGATAACCGCAGTGTCCATAGCATGGATGGATTCGGTGAGCTTGAACCAATCAGGGGCCGTAAGCCTCGTCGATTGTTGATCGCATAACAAACATCACCGAACTTCGAATTCGGCGTCGGCCATGTTGACAAATACACCACGCAATTCTTAGAAATCTCTTTTGGATCATGGCCTTTTTCTTCGCGCGAGACAGCCGCTTTGGCTTGCTCGATTCTCGATTCTGTACGGTGCACTTATCGGTACTATGTCGGACACCTCGGAGACTGCCATACAGCCGGGCGAAAAGAAGCAGGGGAAGAGATGGCGCTTCTGGGCGATCTATATCTCACTTTGTGTGTCGATCTTGTTAGCTGCGGTGGAGTCGACGGTCACCTCAACCGCTTTGCCGTTTATCTCGGATCAATTACACGCGGGCGAAGACTATGTTTGGTTTGTCAACTCGTTCTTCCTCACGAGGTAGGCTGATTCCCCGGCACAGAAGTCGTTCATGGTTACGGCTGACCGATTCCCCAGTGCTTGCTTCCAACCCTTGTTTGGACAGACCGCGGATCTGTTCGGACGACGATGGCTGATGATCGGCGCTGTGGCCTTCTTCGTACTCGGCAGCGGTGTCAGCGGCGGTGCTATCAACTCTGCCATGATGATCGCGGGTCGGACAATCCAAGGAATTGGTGGAGGTGGTATAAATGTAATGATAGACATGATCGTCAGTGATCTCCTCCCATTGCGGGAAAGAGGAAACTTCATGGGCATGATCTTCGCCGTGTTCTCCATTGGCACCTCCCTCGGTCCGTTTATTGGTGGTGCTCTGGTACAACACAGCTCCTGGAGATGGGTGGTGAGTACTCACTTGGTTTGGGTCCCTGGTGGGACGTGATGGGGCTCACGCAACTCATAGTTCTATCTGAATCTGCCCATTGGCGGAACTGCTCTTGTCTGCTTATTCTTCTTCCTGCATGTCAACGGCCAGAAGGAGCCCTGGCAGCGGAATCTCAAACGGATTGATTATGTTGGCAACGCGTTATTGATGACCTCCATCGTTTCGATCCTGCTGGCTCTCACCTGGGGCGGTACCGCCTATGCCTGGTCCAACTGGCGCATCATTATTTGTCTGACGCTCGGATTGGTGGGTATGATAATTTTCCATCTATACGAGGCCAGCCCGTGGTGCGCGGAGCCCATGATGCCGCCGCATATGTTCGGCAACCGGACCTCCTTTGCCGCTCTAATATTATCATTCATCCATAACATGCTCACTTTCTGGGTGGTCTACTTCATCCCGGTGTACTTCCAGTCCGTCAAGCTGTCGAGCTCGACTCGCGCTGGCGTGCAGTTCTTGCCCAGTGTGATCCTTGCTGTGCCAACGGCGATGATCGCGGGGATCATCCTCACTAAATGGGGCCGCTACCAGCCCATGCACGCTGTTGGCATGGGTCTGGCTTTGCTAGGGCTAGGTCTTTTCACACGCTTAAATGCCAATTCGAGCGATGCAGAATGGATCATGTACCAGATCATCACCGCAATCGGACTCGGTCTCCTGCTCACGACGACCCTGGCCGCGGTGCAAGTTGGATTAGAAGAGAAGGACGTAGGCCTGGCCACCGCTACCTGGGCGTTTGTTCGCAGCTACGGCGCTATTTGGGGGATCTCCATACCGGCTGCTATATTTAACACACAGTTTGGCCACTTGTCCAGTCGTATCTCAGACCCTGCCGTTGCTGCGCAGCTTGCCCGGGGCGAGGCCTACTCCCATGTCTCGGCAACTTTCATCAAGTCTCTTGCGCCTCAGGTTCGTGACGAAGTGATCAGCGTGTACTCTGATACGCTGCAGCTGGTTTGGCAAGTTTCACTCGCTTTTGCTACCCTGGGATTTATTATCGTCTGGTTTGAGAAGCAGATCAAGTTGCGCTCGGAGCTGGAGACCGAGTATGGGATCAAGGATCCGAAGAAGGAGAAGGCGAATGAAGGCGATGTTGCAGAATAGGCAGTGGAACGGGGACCCTTTACGCCCAACATCCAAAGCAAACGAGAGTTGAGAGTTTCGAACAGGTATGAGAGCTGGAGAAGAAAGAAAGACGCGGTGCTTGTGCGGTGCACTTGTGAACTGTTCGAATTACATGGCATGTCTTGATAGTCGACTACGTTCTTCTGATTATACCAATTTAATTATCTGGTGCACATTTCCCATGTCACTTTGTACCTCCGTCATATCCACGCAGCTATACACGGCGATCAATTCCAACCTGGCCATCTAGAAAGAAGAAGACACGATGTTGCGGTCACCCAAAGATTCCCAGCTTGGCTTGAAGCCTTCCGTCGGACACCTCCTTGCCAACCCACAGATGCTTCTGCTCGACGGGAGGATGCTGCAACCGGTTGCACACCTTGTTTGCACTGGGGTCCTCTGTCGCGTAAATGGACGCCGCGGCACCTGTGACCATGACAGGGCACTTGACACGACCCAGGTACTCTCCACCATCAGCAGTCTGGAGAGTGAAGTCCTCCATACGTCGCATGGCATTCGCGGGGTTCTTCGTACCCATGGCTCACTGCACCTGGTTCATCTCCCATTTGATCTGGAAGCTAGGCGGGGAAAGAATGTGCTTTGTGCCGTTGACGATACCATCGCCTAACCAACCCGACGTCCAGGCTTTAATAAAAAGAACTTGCATGGACGGTTGATGTTTCAAGGTACTGGAGGGTAAGATATTGTCTGGTGAGCAGCTTCCCTACAGCTGCTGCCCATTAGGAGCCTCACTCATGTCATGGGACATACGTCAATTATGCTGTGGGAAATGGCAAGTTTCAGGCATCAAAATCTAGCACTTGTGGGAATTATGGTCAGATGCCTAACCGATAGCCTGGCACTCTCCGCTCCCATCATGGGGGTGTGAAGTAGGTGCCTTGCTCTCTCTCTAGCGATCAACCTCCCTCTACCGACTTCTACTTTGGGGATTAAAGATATGCCGCAAACATCTGTTCTGACCTATCCCCCCAGTAATCCGGCATCAGCCCTATTGGTGTTATACCATGGTTGTTAGGGATATGAGGGCAGGCTCCCCGTTTTAGCAACGCGGTGATCATAAAAGGCATCTGGCTATCGAAGGCCAAGTGAAGCGGTGTGTTTCCATTTTTACCAGCCTCTGAGAGTGTTTTGGGACGGACATCAATAACAAACTCTGCGGCATCGATATTATGTTGTATTTGATCGTCATTACACTGGTCGAATGTATTACTAGCGATGCAGTGCAGAATGTTATTATTCTCACGCCTGGCGGCAAAAGAGACCCCTCTGGCTAGCAGTTCCTTCAGTAACAGTGGGTTTCCTCGCCAGGATAAAGTGCGGAATAGAATCTCCTCGCCTATTCGGGCTAAATCGAGCTGGTCCAGGAGTTGTGATATCGTTGTGGGACAATTGGAGAACGCCAGCGATAGAATCCAGCGGTCGAAGTTTCTGGCTTCCACCCCAAAACCTGTTGGCAGCCCCTGGGATGAAGGAGGGTATAAGGAATCGTCACAAACTTTGCCACAGATATCCCGTCTATGGCTGGCGAACAGATCCAGTGCTGGTAATTTGCCAATAGCCGCTGCAGCTACCGTCTGTTCCTTGGGGAGCTTAGTATTGATATAGCCCCCATGATCAATCATCCAGTCGACCGCGTTGAGGTGATTCCTCCGAGCAGCGGTATCAACGGGGGTATCCCACGGGTGCGTAACATCAAGTCCCATCATGTTGACATCCGCTCCTCGTTCTGACAGCAGCGCCACGGACGGGACATAGCCGATTATGGCCGTAAAATGAAGAATATGGTTCAGATCAGCCTGCTGTGGGGCTGGGTCACTCTGACTGCTGCAATCGAGAATAATCCGCAAAAGTTGCTCATTATGCATCTTCAAGGCTTGTTTCCCGATATTGATCCAGCTTTTCTTTGAGATCTTGCTATGCTGTAATAGCCGCTCCATGATAGGCAGGTTACATTGATCCATCGCAATCTGTATTACGGCGCGCATAGTTGCAACATCAAATGTCTCATGTTGCTCTTCCATTGCGGCCAGCAGCATCTGTACGCACTCGTATTGCCCTGCATCTACCGCAGTCTGAAATGTATAGATTATCATGTTGGGGTCGCACTGATAGTCGAGAGGGCTCTGTTGAAGAACTTTCTTTATCATCAATGGGTTGTTGGTTGAAATAGCATAGGGGAGTAATTCCTCGGCACTCTGTATTCTGGGTTGGAATTCCGTCGAAAGGTCTGGCGGATTGAGGTTCATATTTTCAGCTCCAGGGCCTTCAAATTGCCATAGTACTGGATTGAGCAATTCTGCTAAGCGACGGTTTGTAAGGATTAAACTGTTCAGCACGCCAATGGGGGATAGTTCTCCTAGATAGAGGAGAAGCTCGTTGTGTAGATCTAGAAGATTGATCCCCATGATGACGGTGAGCCCAGAGTGTTGTCTTTCTTGCGTTTGGTTAGTGGATGGGACTGTTATAGCTAGAGGGGGTGTAGTATATAGAATTGTCATCTCTCCTCAATACGAGGGGAAATCATGATCCTCTGTGTTTCGCACGCCCTTACGTGGATCACTTCCATTTTTGGATATGGACGGACTGTCTGTTTCCGAGACTAGATCCACACACTGAGCATTCTTCCTATTTGATTTTCCCATTGCGTATATACTGATAGATATCTGTCGGATCCTCGGAAGTTCGTTTTGGCTAGAAATCTAAGCTCGTACAACAAAGGAGGCTGCGTGGCTTAAACTCCTCAGAGTTATAACTACATAGGTGCCGAAGGCGCTTCACCCACTGTTGATCCGATACCAGAACACAGAGGGGTCCTGTATGATAGAACTCTTTCTTTCTTCCTTCCTTCTCTACGTTTGAGGTTTCGTTAGATCGCCACTTTAGATATAATTGATGCATTTTGCCAAGGTGTACAGGATCATCACAGTGGTAATATAGAGCAGATCGACGGTAAACTGATATAACGACGAAGCAGTGCAAGCTGCTAGCGGCATTCCAGCCGGGGAAGTCCCCTCTAGGTCACAGCCGACAAGTGGCGCCCAGCGTCAATCCGTTATTTCTCAAGTGAGACCTCTAGGAAAGAAAACAGTGAATTGAGCGGTCTGCTGGACCGTTTAATCGTGAGCCTCTCGTCTGCCATCTTCAGCATTCTATGCATATGACTGGCGTTTCTCTCACCACCGCCCGAGAGAGTGAAGACCAGCAAGTCCAGGTTGCGCAGCATTCTCTCACTGTGCCTCGGCATCGTGTTGAGCTCGTCCGGCAGGATTCGGTTCATGATCCACAGCTTTGTATCAAACCTCTCCATTGCGGGTACCAAATGTTTCAGTATACGCACCGCGTCGGCGTCCTCCCAGTCTTGCAGTACCCGAAACAGCGTATACACTTTCGGAACTCGTCCGCCGGGAAGCTCTGGTTGGGGTGAAAAGAAGTCATGTGGCTGGTATTGGACGCGAGCTGCCAACCCATTCTCCTGAATGATCTTCTCTGCTCCCTCTCTATTAGACGGCTGGTCTTGGATTATAAAGTTACCACCCGGGATCAGTGGCACGATCTGTCCCTCAATGTGCCCATTGCCGCCCCCGACATCGACAACCGTGTCTTCTGGACCTAGCCAGTCCCAATCGAAGCCGTGAATGAATGGCAGGTAAGAGTGGCCCGCGTGGTGGTTATACAACCCTATCATTCCGGTGCTGTACCTCTCCATCCCTTTACCATCGGGCTCATCTTCCAGCTGCACGAAGGCTGGCCTACCCAGTCCCTTGGGGTCTGCCAGAGCGCACGGTATTCCCTTCTTGCCGGCCCCATTGCGCAGCGCAGTGGCGATCTCGTGCCCGCCCTGGCAGAACGTGCGACCGAGTCTGAGGGAAATATAAGGGCTGGACGCTGGCATGGCGGCACTCAGGGCCGTGTGGGCGACGCCACCGGACGGTGTCCGCCGGAACATGCCCATCAGGAAGGCGAAACGGAGTTGCTTCTCGAACGCATGTACATTCCGGACGCCCACCTTGGACGCCAGATCCGGGATACTGATCTCACCATCCAGCGGGACCACATCGGCGACGCCCAGAGAGTCCAGCACCCGGAGGACCTCAATCTCGGATAGGCAGGGCCCCGCATACCCCGCCAAAATATCCGTTGGCCCCAGCGCGAGGTTCAGCAGTGTCTGAGCGGCGTCGATGAGGTTCGAGCGCACAGCAAGGATAGCGGGGATAGATTGCGCATCCGACCAGTCTTGGCGCCCGCCGGGCGAGAACGAAGGTTGCGGGAGCTGGCTTTCCTCGAGTAGGCGCTGGAGGGCGCCAGCCGACTCCTTCACAACGTCAGCCAGCGTGGTGAGGGTATGAGTTTCGCCATAAGAACCCATGTCGGAAGGCTACAGTGACAGAGAGGAAGGAGAAAATGCCAATATACACAGGGCTATTTGGAAGGCAGTGAACTGGGTGAAGGTCGGGAATGATCTCAAAAGAAACGATATGATTGATGACAGGACGAAGTGAAAAGAAGGTTGGGCTATAGTTGTAGGAGATACATCAATATAGGGAGGTGTACATCGATAGCTATCCGGCAGGCACTCAACAGTCCGGTCGGTCAACCTTCCCACATGGTAGAAATATGCAGTACTAGGTGAAGGGTGTCAGCGGGATAGTAATACCCGGATGGTCTTTCTCCTCCAAGGGCAAAAGGCCCTGCCATGGACCAATGATGCGTATTATGTACGTAAGCCTCTGGCAACTGATGAATGAACAAGGTATAGCATACTTGAAATGAGGGGTTCCAAGGATTGTTATCCCTCTTCTGTGAAAGGACACCTCTCTAAATTTGCCCAAATATCCCTACAAGCTGCCGCTGACCTGCATTGACTCTAAGACCTCACTATGGTAAACTCCACACTTCATGCATTCCTACGCACATCAATGGATGCCAAGCACGGAGAACCCACGGAGTTCCCCCTGGTGGCAGTACAGCATAAGCGTTTCGTAATGAAGGCAATCTATACGTGTCAGGAGATTGGCCGATAAGCTGGCCAATAATATCCTGAATCTGGTTAACTATAACAGCCTGAGTGAATGGATTCTGGACTTGTCGCTGGTAACTCGCGATATATGCCTTCTCTAGTATAGAGCGGATCCGAGTGCCACCAGGATGCTTCGACCTGTCAGGCTTATATGGCTGGTCCCACTCGCTGGAACTGGACAAATCAAGCAATTCATTTCGTATGTATTGGTACACATCTTACTCTGTCAAGACACCATCGGACATGAAATTCCACCATGTCATAGGCCTTAGATTTCACCCGTACTAGACTGGCGTTTGGCCAGGGTAGGTTAGGTTAATGGGGTCAGTTATACCTAACCGCTAGGTTATGACTAAGTTACATATATAACTATTATACCATCCGTGGTTAACCGGCAGTTAACCTAGTTCTGCCTGAGACGGTCAATTAAACCTATCTAGGCAGGCAGTAAATCAGGGCTATTTTCTACGAGCAGTATTTTTAAGAGCCCTAGCCTACCGCTTATCTAAATAGACTTAATTTAGTGTCTTATAGCCATATCAGGCAGAACTAGGTTAGCCGCGGTTAACCTAGCTTTAACCTTAACCTAGGTCAGTTAAACATTTTTATATCTTAATCTAACCGACCCCGTTTAGGTTAGGTTATGGTTAGGTTACAACGGTTAGGTTATGCTACTCTAACCCGTACTTATGTTACATATACGAGTCCAACTATGGTGACAAAGCACAGTGGTAGTGCTATTCAGCTGGGTAGCGATCCACGGGAATATCATTAGAAGGAAGGGGAGAAGAAGAAGAGAAATGAACAAGGAAGCCCGTGGTTGATCACATCAAGGTCGATTTTGGATTTGCAAAGTTGGTCGGACGAACCTACAGCTTTATGGCGAGACGTCTGTCGACCCACAGCCGCGCAGCTATAACGAAAGCAAGTGAAAACAGTGCGGTGCCTCCCCCGTAGAATATAGCAGGCCTGTAGGGAACGATCGAACTTGACCTACCCGCACCCGTCGCGTCTATTAGGACTCCAGCGATGGGATTGCCGACCAGCAGGCCGGGGGTCCATCCGGTAAGGGTAATGCTCACGGCTCCGGCTCCACGGCGTTGTCCCGCAAGCCTCCCCACCGCTGTAGGCAGGGCTACGAAGAAGGCGCCGTTCGCGAGCCCGTTGAGGACGGAAAATACGATCAGGATGGCCAGTGTCGAGGCGAAGGACCATAACGCGAACATCGTAATCCCGTTCAGAGCCATGGTCACCAGTAGTGTATTCATACTCCCAAACCGATCGCAGGCAAACCCTGACGTCAGACGCCCGATCGCCATGCACGCATTAAAGCAGGCCACGACGCCCGCGGAGGTGGAACTGGAGAAGCCGAGGGAGGTGGTCACAGCCGGTAGGAAGAATGGTGGCGCGTAGATGGAAAACACCCCAACTACACCCGAGGCGAAGAGACAGGAAAAGGAAACGTCCTTGAAAAGCGACCAGTCGATGTCAAAGCTCCCCTGAGCGGGAATCCTCTCCCGGATGAAGAAAGCGGGCGGGACGCCCGTGGCGAGCGACAGGAGACCGAAGATTCTAAAGGTCCACGCGATGCCGAGTTTATCAGTCAGTACACCGGTCACAATGGCCATGACCGTAGCCCCGATGCCTCCGCCCAGCTTGACAATGCCGTTGGCGGCCCCGAGCCTAGTGCTAAACCACTGGATGGGCAGGCTGTTCGACATGGTGTACATCAGACACGCGCCGAGTCCGTACGTAAAGCCGCACGCGATAAATAAACCGCCGACGTTGGACACGGTCCAGGCGCTGACAATGTTGCTAATGCTGTATAGCAGGATGCCTATTAAGCTGGTCCAACGGGCGCCGATCGTGCGGGCGAGACGGATAGTGAAAATTCCCAATGCGCAGGACAAAGCGATCCCCAGAGATCCGATGAAGGAAACCGTACTGGATGTGGAGTCATGCAAGGTCGTTTCCAGCAAAGCGACTTGCAGGATACCCCACGACCCAGTCCAGGCGTTCTGCCAGAAGGTATGGACGAAGCACACGAAGACGACCACCCACCCGTACCCGCCGTCCGGGATGAGTTCCACGTTATTTGCCTCGTCCATCCCCGGCTGCTCAGCACCTGTCATCCCCTCAGGACGTTGTTCATTATCCCCAGTCTGGTGAGGCCGATCCGAAAGGGCGACCGATGAACCCATCCTGACCGCTCTCTCGACTTGTTCATCCGGTACGAGGACGTTCTCGACGCGCAGGACAATGGGGGAGAACAAAAGCAGTCAGTCGGCCGGGAGAAGATCGAGAACGAGTGTCTTAACCACCTGGAGATGGAGGTTATGAACAGTCCAAAGTCACCGAGAGAAGTGCAGGAACGAAGGACCTGGGGAGAGAAAAGTGATGGCCGGGTGAGAATCCAATTGACGGGAATTGGGGGGGGAGAGATCAAACAAAGAGCATAGCCGAGAAACAAAGAAGCGGAGGACGAAAAGAGAACCGAACCATCACTGAGCCTTACACCCTACTCACATACACCCTTACGAACAAAGGGCAAAAGGCGGGATGTGACTAACTGACTGAACTAGGGTTACTTCTGGTGGCTGTCGTCCCCTCGGTTACACTTGCCCCATCACCGCAAACATTCTGCCGCGGAAACCCGTCCCGAGCCGTGCCCTACCTTGTAACAAGTCATTCCTGTCATGCATCTTTGCTTTATATAGCTCAGACTCCTCCAATATGGCGTCTAGAGGTAATGAGGGGGGTATCGTGTCTAGCCCATTCGGGTATTTATCAAACGCTTTGTAATATCATCGAACTATTATGGGTCGACTCTTGTGTCTGAAATACGGACATTTGGACTATAGTAGCGGTAGAGTAGTAAGTATTATAACAGATGCATCCTGACGGCTTTTCAATTACTGTGGATAGAATGTTTTGAGATTGTCAGTAATAGTACGCTCGTAAGGAGAGAGATGAATATTGGCTTCTCGCGACACGCAAACCATTATCGTCCTGGGTCTCTGTCATCCCATTACAGCAAGGTCCGGGACCGACAGTATGCGTACGGCGTTCCGTGCCACCTACTTAGTAACGTACCCTGCATTGCTAATCCTCCATTCAAAGAGGCCGAGCTTGACAGGGGCTTTCGCGGGATATCCGTTCACCCTCGATACGCCGGATTCGTCTCAAGAGACGGGGGCAACCCAGCCAATATCGGGCCTATGCTAAAGGTGGGAGGTCCCGCCCGTGGGGCACGACCCGCCGCCATGCCGAAAACTGGAGCTACGCCCTAGGTAGTCTCACCGCCGCTCCCTGATTTCAGCAGATAGCGGAGAGTGAGTTCCAAATTTGCATTCACCTACGTGATACTCAGCGGGTAGCTGCCACTGGTACTATGTTCAATCTACCTGCCTTCTCCTTTCATGCCCTGCGCATCAATGGTGCTGTCACACATTTTCAGGTCGCTTGTCATTGGTCAGATGATACTGGGTAGGATGTGATAAGCCGGAAGGAACATGCAGAAGCAGGTGCAAGGGTTTGATCCTCCCATACTACCCAACCGGCTGTTGGAAAATAGTAACGGTAAGCTGACTGCCTGGACCCCTGCCAGTAAGCTCGAGACCTGTGCGGGGATTTGCGGGTGCCCCATGCGATGCGGGTTGGCCCTCCACCTCGATGTACGTAAGTCCCTTTTCCGGGAGACGCCGACCACTCGATCTGCCAACTCGTCGGCTTCTCTAGACTCAGCTATGGAGCTTGGCTAATATAGCTCAGTCAGACTAGGAAATGCTGGCTACCGTGTGATAGAAAGAAAGCCGACCAGACACGGCCGCCTTTCACCCGCCCATATGTTCTCCTATGGGCTGTCTGAGAGAACTGGAAGTGATCGTCTCTTCCCCGTAGATTCTCATTCGACAGGTTGCAGGTTCCATGTCAAGACTATACCGTCTAGAAAGGTCACAGTGGCCAGTTACATTCTAGTTCTTCGAGTTACCTCGAGCCTGAGTTCCCCCGGGAGGGTACTTAAGAGAGTGAGCGGCACGCGCAAGCAAGCCGATATATCACTGTTCGATTCTGAAAAACAGACTTCTGATTTCTTCAAAGCCTAGCTTATTGGAAATATCAATTTTAAGACACTTAAGACCCACCATCGACAGATATGGCTCCAATCCAGCTTGAACCTACTGGCAACGCCACCGTCATGAGGAAGAATGGTGTTGACGGGAAGCACCGTGACGAGATGCACACTGATGTTCGAACATTAGAAGTGGAGTTTGAGCACTTCTTTGGCATTGTTCCCTCCAAGATCAACAGGAGGTTTCCCCTAAGTCTATCTGAGCAGAGCTATCTGCCGAAGGTAGTGTCTCCCAAGCTCAATTGCATGATGCTCTGGTCCATTTGCTGAGCCATACATATATTCAGGTTGAGAATCCGCGTGCCGATTGGGCCGTAGTCGCAGCCTTCAACTCTTTCCAGGCGTACCAGCGCGGTCAGCTGGGGAAGGTCCAGCGTTTCGCCACCATTGGTACAGGCTCGGGCACCGACATGATCGCCGCACTTGAAACCTTTCCGGATCTCGAGTTTGGGGCGATGACTGACTTGCACACGTCTGTAGTCAGTGCTGCGAAGCGGAACGTTCTGAATGCCACTGACAATTACGCGCCCTGTCGGGCCGTTGCCAAGGGTATCTATGCTGCTGCGGGCGATCTCCTTCTCCCACTGAGAGACCAAGAGGCTTTTGACTTAATCTATGAGTACGTACCAGGAAGTCAGCTGTTATTACCTTCAGCAGCCGAAGAAATAACATGGCTAGGAACCTGCCGAACATACCTCTCCCAACGACCAAGAGCCTCGTCGACGGACAAATATCGTCGACGTTTATCGGGGATCGGACCGCAGATCGAGTCCCGGTCCATGTCTCCCAAGCCCTTCTAGATCTTCACTACATCTGCCTGTACCAGGCCAGGGTGATGCGCCTTATCAAGTCGTCGGGCGCTATTTTGTCTAGCATGGGGGGGAGAGTTCCGGTCCAGTCCATGCTAGACATGGCTGACGCTGCCGGGTACTCCAGCAGAGTCGTTTCTCTGACGTGGAAGATCCAGAGCGAGCCAGAGACGGTCATTGGTGAATATGCCGAGAATCAGAAAAAAGGCTTAGGCAAGGTAGGCCGTTCCTATCCATCCCGTTTCTTCATAATACTAATGACCGGATATAGTACTATTTCTACCCAACATCAGCCCTGGGGACGGCTTTTGGCGATCTATCCCCGGCTGCTGCAGGCCTTCGTGCTGCACAGATCGAACAGAACTTGCACCCTCATCGCTTGGATGCCGTAGCAGCGCTGGAGCAGTATCATGCGGGTGTGGAAATCGGCCATACTGTCTATGTCATGGCTAGCGTCCTCAAGGAAAGCCCCAGCGTGGTTTAATTCTTGGGGCTATGTCACATCTCTCTACGTACATAGATCTCGTTGTACCTACTAGCTTGCCACGTACTGTAAATGCATCAAATATTGCAGCGTACTCGCACTCGGTGACGCTATTTGTACTAGGAGTGCTCCAATTTTAAATCACATATATATACCTAAAACTATCCTAACTAAAATCGGCCAATTAGCACCTATTCTCAGCTCTAGTTCAATTAATAATAGTAGTAACGGCCCACCCCTTTTAGATTAGAAGCTAGTACTATGTACTCATGTCTAAAGACCAAGAACACCAGTCAAAATCCGGCGATATAGATCCACTGGTGTTTCCAAGGGTGACCACTGCACGTTCACAGTCAATTCCTGCCCAACAAACTCCCCTTTGACTTCAAAGTGGATCGGCAATCCCTTGGCAATCTCAGCAGTATCAGCTTGGATATAGACTCTCTTGAGCTGGAATGCCACCATCTGCCAGCCAGTGATAAGATGTCTGGCAGCATCAATCCCCAAGTTGCCTCCTTGTATCAGCAGCTTCAAGGCATGTGCCACGCCTCCTTCTTCAACTCTTCGCAGATGCTCTGCATCTTCCAGCTTCTTGATTTCAGTTTCCAAAAGCGCCATGTCCCTGTCGTTCTCCGCCTCTTCGACGATAGCATCGGCCAGGTCGATCTGTTCCTTCAAGCCAGGACCTTTTTCTTCCAACAAGGCCCTGGCACGTTGAATTGCTTTCATGTACTTTGAGTCGACATTTCTCAGAGCCTTAAGCTCCTGCTTAGCCGTGGCTGCACGGTTTCAGTGAGCCTGCTCAGTTCTGTAGCCGCAGTGCTACGCTGTGCTCGAGCTTCTTCAATCTTCTTGAAATTTTCGGTCTTTCTCTTGTCAGACTTGCGCCTGGCCGCCTCTAACTCTTGAAGCAAAGCCTGTCGCTTTGTCTCCAACTCTTGTTTGCGTGCCGAGAGGGCAAATTCGAAGTTTCTCAACCGAGACGTCTCTAAGATCCTGAATAGAACGGAGGAAGGAGTCTATCCCATTACTGAGGGCTGCAATGATGTCGGTGTTCACGACGATTGAAAATTTGAGCGTCGCTTGAGAGATATCATTGTAGGTGGATATGTTCTGTGCCTCGGCATGGAGGTCAAATGAGACATCGTTGGTCAAGTACACAAACACGTGGGCATTAACATTAGGGTCAACATTAGCAAAAGCAGTCACTATATTGTACCATGCCTGAGAGAGTACAACTCACATTAAGATTCTTAATGCCCATTACATTCGTCCACTCACCTGAGGAAAAGCTCATAGCCATCCAGTACACAGTTTTCCTCTTCCTCAGGCGATAGTCACACTTTGATCGGGAGACTTGATCCTGGAAAGTGGTAGATTTCCAAACTCCCAAGGAGACCATAGCCGAGTTGCCAGGTCGTCTGGTTTCGAGATGTGCCTGGGTTCGTGACCCTTAACATAGACACCTCAATGCCAACCTTTTTAAACTTGAAAACATCGCCTAGCCAGAAGGAGATATCTTCAAATGACCCCTGAAAAGTCAGATCCGTGAAAGCAGGCATACGCGTCCAGACACGATGTGGAGATAGATGGGCCGAGACGTGCAGTGCCTCAGGAGCAGCAAACTTATTGTCAACCCCGATACCACCGCTGGGAGCTGCTTGAAATATATCATCCAGCATATCGGCAATAGGCTGTAGGGGACCACGGAAAGCCAAATCGGCTTCAAATCGAAGCCCTGGTAGGTGAAACATCTCGGATTCATCCTCGGAATAGATCAGTTCGACATTATCGATGGGAATATGACGGGTCAGGTCGTCTTCCAGGAGGTCAGGAAGGAGTACGGCAAGAGGGCTCGCCCCCAGCGTTCTTATATCTAGCAACGGCTTGACAATTTCTAATATCGGCGAGTCCTTATCTGTATCGCCTGACTTATGATGCATGTGCAACTCCGCTTGTAGAGCTGGTATAACAAACAGAACGTGGATCATTCCGCCAAGAACATAGTTAGAGAGTAGTGCAGTCCCTCTACCAACCGGATGCTGCGCCGCTAGATCTCTCACTAGAGTGGAATCGGTCAGTTCCTCACCATGAACACGTCGACCGCAGGGAGATGTGGTGGAGAGTAATAGGATTGGCGTTTCAAGGGTTGGTTTCTTATCGTCTTCTTTGCTGCTGCTGCTCGCAGGGGCTAGAAGCAGAGCGTGGCGGGTTTTGTCGGTGACAGAGGCGAGCCGGATTTGAACTGGCCAACGGGCACTTCACAGTTGTCGCTGTTGAGGAGCATAAATGGATAGGCTAACTGCGCTCCTCCCACTTGCACCGAATAGGACGAAACTCTTGTTTGGGGGAAAGTCGTTGGATGAGCGGAAAAGGTAGTAAAGACGCTGTTCAACGGATTGTTCATAGCGGGTAGTGCTTTGGCAGATGGCTGCGAAACGTCCAGGCAGTTGACAATGTGATTAATGGAGTCGAGACGATGGATGTTATCATATGCGTGCAATGAGCTTTCGAGGTATTGTATGGAAGGGTGAGAAGCTGGTCAAACGTCTTCTTCCTCACTCAGGTTCACTTCATCCCCAATACTCGCTGCCTTGGTCAATCGAGATTTCCTCAGGATTGCCATCCAACCACGTGTTGTCCTCCTCGGTCTCTTTCTTCGCCCTCTCCTCATCCTCTGGGGTGGCATCCATGTCCTCATCATTATCGTCCGATTCCCATAATTCTCAGGTGGCTCCGGTGTTCATCTTAGCAATTTGATAGGCAATTTGAACCGGCATGGACGACCAGCTGCTGTTCATGCCACCTGGACGCTTGGACTGTGGCTGGCCCGAATCCTTACTTTCTTCGAGCACGCTCTTCCTCTTTTGCCTCTGGAGTCCGCTGGTAGAAGGTTGATTGGGATCGAGACGCTGTTGCGGCTGATTTGTTGATCCTTCTGGTCCTGTCACCCTGTCTGTATTTCTGGGACGGCCTCGGCCCCGGGCTCTGCTTGTAGAAGGAACCTCCGATGTTCCGCCTCTCCCCCAGTAGTGTGCCTCGCCGCTGTATTCCGCCTCGCGCACGCCCCCGCTGCCCAGGGGCAAGAGGGTCTCTTGGTGGTCCAGGTTGCCGAGGCAATGTAAGATTCGGGTCCAACCCACATCTGCGTCGATAGACGCGTCGTATGAGCTGCACATTCACTTGCCCTTCTCTCTTCGTGAAGCAGCGTGTCGAAAAATGGGTAGAAGTACGCTGTCGCCCACGGTCTGTCCCATTGCAGAAGGAAAGATCTTCCGAGCAGTTCCAAGTCGTAGCGAAGGACGAAGCTTAACCAGGAGCAGCGCTTGACGCACCACTTGAGCCATTCGTTGTCGTCATAGGCGCTCCTTTCTACCCGAAGCTCATTGCCCTGCTTTATGAGCGACTCGATCACCTGATCCTTGTTATTCTGGAATGGCAGCCAGCCCGTCCGACTTGTCGGATCTACGGTAGGGTCTTGTATTATCCGCCGTGCGCTACATTCGGCCTCGAGAATAATGAGTTCTCTCCAAACCATTTCATACCTGGTATGTAGCAGTCAAAATCGTCATAAGACCTTCCGAAATACTCTCACAATATGTGTCCATTCAAAATTCTTCTTACCTCATGATCATGGTATTTGCCTCCCTACTGCCAAACACAAAATTTCACGCCATCTGGCTCGATATTGACCTCCCAGGTATGAGTCCTCCAAAGCAATAGGCACTTAAATGGAGCTACTGTTCACTCGTTAGCTGAAAAGATCTCAGGCTCCAGATTGTAGTGTTCGCTTTACTTCTGCACGATATTTCTCCGAGTTGTCCCACCCGAATGGATCAAGCGCAATCTACAAAGAGTTCTCTCCGTCAGTTGAGTCCTTTTTTCTTTTCTTTTTTTCTTTTTTGGGTTCATTTCCGTATCGACATGGACCTTAGTGCGTACCTTGTTCGCAGACGTATAATTCATTACACTTTCCTGGCCAGGATCCTCATCCCGAGTCCCACTGTCTCTCATTGCTTCATGACGAAGCTGGACACAACCATATGTGTGAGTTCTGTCGAGAGATCCATTACGCATAGCAATTTCCCAGTGGAAGGCTTCTTTAACATCCCTGTATTGGGTCTTTCTCCTAGCTCCATGATTCGACTCGGCATTGACCTTTCTGCAGCATCATAAGGTGGGCCGACTTGTTCAATTCTGTTGTAGTCATGGCCCTCATGCGCTGGTTTAGGGCGATCTGGTTGCCAATAGTTGTGAAAGTCTTGTCTGCGAATGAGGGTTCTGTAATGGAATAGCGGGTTGTCAGAAAGCTAAGTCATGAAAGGTTCCGGTAAGTTAAGTAATTCTCCAATATAGAAGGTCGTTTTAACTTGGAGAGGCTAGATTCTGAACTGACATGTACGTAGTCCTTCTCCTCGCTGGTAGCATCTTCAAGTTCAAACTTGTACTCGGTCAAATTGTTGGGCAAAGCGTTAAACTCCGCAATCACATCGTTAAAAGTGACACCATGAAACTCTTCATTGTACAACAGAGTATTTCCCCGAACAGGTCTAATGTAGAGAGAGAACAAGTCCTCTCATATCGAACGCTCTCGTACTAATAGCCCTGGTCCGTTCCTCACTCTGTCTAAGAACTCTCAAATGCCTAACTTGAACGGGTGTGAGCGATGGCTGCTGTTGCGGCGATGCCTGTGGTTTAGTCATATTGTGATCGATATCAAGTCAAGGAGTGAAGGGAAAAGACGAATAAGAGAAAGGATAAGAAGAAGGCTAAGAAACGAAGACGCATTCGTTGTTGACAAAAGCGACTTGGTCCCAGGTTTCCAATGAACTATGGGCGTCATTTATAGGCTTGGATACTTGAGCACCACCATAAGCGGGGTACATGCAGAATGATACCATGAGTCGATCAATCAAACATAGACTTTACAGTGGGTTACGGCTCGATTCCGGGTCCTAGGTCTAGGAACCGCCGCCGACCCGTGCTCACTGGGCGCAGACGGGACTGTTTCGGAATTGAACCTCCGCCCCTGTTACTTTTGGCCGCCAAGTAGATAATCTTGTCACGCTTAGTGGACCTGGTCTGGATTAGCCCTGGGAGTGGAGGGTGTTAGACAGCGGTTTATTTCCTTGGCGGTTAGTCGGAGGAGAAGAGGTAACGGGGAGCTTCTGGCGCAGAGAAGAGGCAACCACGGTCACTTCGAAATGTACCCCTTTTGAGCCGAGATTCTAAATTCTTCAAGACATGGAGCTATGGATTTTTCCATGAGATAGGTTGCACAGCGCCACATATGCATAGTAAACTTTCGGAAGCCCCCCCTGCCGCCAGCCACACCCTCTAGTACTGAAGGTAGGTTGCCAATATTTCTATTATAATACAGGATATAATACTAGGTTTACTAGCACATTATCAATTACCAAATATCTTAGAATAGTAGCGTCCAATAGCTAATAGTGTTCACCCCTAACATGACACGGGTATGGATGTCGCAATATTTCAGTGTTTACTGCAGATTATGTAGTCCCACAATTCAGCTTGTACAAGTGTATTTTGCTGACGGTCGGTGCCTCCTCCCCATTCAGATACCACATAGCTCACCTTCTTACGTTTCTAATGTGGGTTAAGGAAGTTAAGGTGGAGATGGTATGTTATCAACCCCAGCTTATGGAAAGACTGTTTCATTTCCTCGGACATGTCCGTATATGCTAATAGCTTAGCTAACTTTGTTCCCCTCATTTAATGCAACGTATCTAGTGCCAAGTCAGGCAGTAGCAGTGGGAATCCTCACACAAAATCCAGAGGCTACTCCCTCCCACACAGGGGCCTACCACTAGTGCAGGCTATTCCTGATCAGGCTAGCAATCACGCCGCTGCACAGCTAATCGGAACGATATACAATAGGGAGATATCCCTATCACCCCAGTCTGCTGTGCTAAACATCCAGCATTTGGTGGCTTATTGTCATATTTGGCATCTCTTAATAATACCGTTAATATAGCACGACATAGAGATGGTACCTGGGCGTAACAAGCCTCTCGTTCCGATAATGTGGTATTCTTGGCTTGGTGGCTTAGCCAACCTTTCCAATGTTGTAACAGGTCGTATGAGCTGCCAGCACCGATGAAGTTGGGAGCAGAGGACATCTGAATAAGGGTTTTCTCGAGTATGGCGGCACTTCGCACCCGCCGTTCCGTCCTGCCTTCTAACCTTTCTGCTGTAATTTCTAGATTATTATGTGGCCAAAATCTCAAATTTCGTCACGCTACACTTCCAGGCTTCTATTCCAGTCTCCTCGCCAATGCGTGCATCAGAGTAGCTTCATTCGCCAGAGGGTAATCAAAAGCATAACCCGATGGTCCTAAGACTGAAAGAAAACTTATAACTTTAGGGGTAAACATTAACATATTCTGTCTTGACGAAAGGCATATGGCGGTATCTGAATTAGTGGAGCTATTTGATATCTTCTTATAGCAGCATTTATTTCTAGGATTTAACATAGATGCCATCACATTCTCAAAAGTCATTTGAAATTGTTTCAGGCTTTGTGGTCAGTTACATCGCCCACATAAACCCATTATATTAGGCCCACTCGGTTATCACAGAGACACAAAGTGTTTAAATATGGGGCGCAAGCCCTCACAAGCGGAGTTGGGGGGATATGCCTAGACCTCGCCGTGACCCTCATGAGGGTCGGGTCCAATCTCAGTAATCCTTACCTGATCCTTAACTCTCAAGAGAATTACTCGAGAGTTATCTATTTGTAAGAGATATTGCCAGGGCCCAATGTTCCACAAGACTAAAAGATCATATAATTCGGGATCAACGATCCCGAATGTCCTGGGGTCACCTATATAGTATACCGCCGTTACAATTATCCCATCTATAGGGAAAGGCTTGTCCCGAGCCTTTAATTGTCTTGGGCACGCTATATTTATATAGGTATAGATCCCCACCCCATAGGGGGTACGAGTAGGTAGGTAAGGTTAAATCTTAGTATCGCTCTTAGACTGCCTTCTGGTACCTATTCTATGTACTGCAGCCAGTCACGTAATCTACCCTGTACCTGGGTCTCAGTTCCCATAGGGTCTTCCCTATCTCTGTAGTCCACGGTTAACCTAGGCTTACCGTCCAATTTTTGGCTTAACCGTGGTTAGGTATAGAAATTCCATTAACCTAGCTATAACCTAGCGGTTAGGTATTACTCACCCCATTAACCTAACCTAACCTGGCCAAACGCCAGTCTAGTATATATATAGTCTTTTGAATAAGCTCTTTCTCGGCTTTATATATAGATTGCATTTTTTGTATAGTGTAAATAGCTTCAAAAATAATAGAAATATTGAAATATTGAAAAAGTGACGTTGAGCTGGGAATAACATTGAGCTGTAGCAGACCCCCTACTGAAATGGGGGTCGGCAGTGAGACGGGTAATGTGGATACATGTAAGGGCGCCTTTGGTGTACGTAATCAGGCCAGCGTAACGCCGTCGGGCCCAGTGTGCCAACAGTTCTTCAGAAGGTGTAGTACAGGAGATATATTATACCCCGATTATTAGGGGATTTGTATATAAAGTGAGACAGAACAAATTGCTTGAGGATCAGAATCTTCTGCGCGATCGGAATCTGTGGGCCGGCTGGCTCCCGGCGCTTGGCTTGCGGCGGGGGAGCTGTTGCCTGAGGCAGCGAGCTGAGTCATCCGCCGTTACAATACAGGATTGTTATGTACCGAGACCTGAAGACGTTGTAGGTTACTGTGTCCTGTAAAAGCACATAAGATACGCCATACAATACCTATGAACTGATACTTAATTCTTTCTGTAGTCATATGTAACCGGTCCACTGGCGTTGTGATTGGCAACAGACAGATATAGCCACTTATGAAACAAACCACTGCTGTGGGTGGCATAGAAAATAAAGATATTGCCTACTTTTTGCTGAGGTGAAAGGAGTACATTTTTTTCATTTGCTCGAAATATATTAAGATAACAGTGGTATTATATAAATATGTTAGTCCATGGGAGTGCGTAACAATGTGGGTCTTAGCGAAATGATGTTTAAGGCATCGATCTGCGGTGGCTGATCATATAGCAGCTAAGTATTCTATTAAGTTTTTAGCGCTTTTCGAATTTGGTATTGGCGCATGGGAGGCCCCAGTACCATGTGTAAGTGAGCCTTGGTGGGGTGGGAATACAGAACATGGAGACAGGCATTTGTATGTGGGACGGAAAGATATATCGGCCAACGATCGATCGGCGCGGTCTAGCCCTAGGCGTACGAGAAGGTATTGTGGGCGCTGAAATTACCGCTAACCCTAGGCCTACTACAGTACAGTACATACTCTATACTGTAGCTACTGTACGTAGCTGCATCTCGCCCCTCTTTAGCAATGCACAGGTGTGTTGGCATATGCGGTACAATATGAGATGCATCTTACCCCTCCCGAGGCGCACTCCTATCACCAGTCATTGTCTGGCATAGGTACTTCATCCTCAGGACCGAAATGCTCATGGCGACCACCACCATGATCACCTCACCATCGTACATTCCCAGAGGCTCGACGTCCGCCGAGATAACTTTCTATGTTTCGCCATTGAACAATTCCACGTCCTCCAATGGCGTGAATTATGCAGAGCCCCCACCGCCGGGTCAACGTGCAGTGCGCAACTACATAGAACTCCCGTACGAAGTATCACTGAACGACATCCGCGGCATAGAATCCCACTTTGACTTAGACAAAGACGCAGTGAAAGCCATCCAGAAAGTCCCATCGGCCACCACCTATAACACCTTCGACTCGGATGTCGCCATCCAACAGATATACTACCCAGAAGTCGAGGCCCTCCTTCGCTCACAGGTGCCAGGTGCGATCAAGATCGTCCTCTTCGACCACAACGTCCGCCGTCAGAAACTAGGTGCAGAGGCTGCCACTCTCCCGGTCATCCGTGCCCACATTGACCAGACTCCACACGCCGCCGCGGAACGAGTCAAACTGCACGTTCCTGATCCAGAAGAACAAGAGAGGCTCCTCCAGGGTCGGTATCGCATTATAAACGTCTGGCGTCCTCTTGGGGAGGGGCCAGTGCAGTCAATGCCTCTGGCATTTGCTTCAGCGGCCTCGGTCGATCCAGCCGATTTGGTGCCCTTCCAACGCCGGTTTCAGACCATGCGACTCAAGTATAACCCCAATCAAAAGTGGTGGTATTGGTCTGGTATGACGAGTGATGAGCGCCTGTTACTCAAATGCTCGGATTCAAAGGGACTCCAGGATGGGTGTGTGGCGCAATATGCGCCGCATGCAGCATTTGAGGATCAGAGAACGCCGCCGGGCGCGAAACCTAGGGAGAGTATTGAGGTTCGAGCTTTGGTTTTTGGATGACACCCTATTTTGAGGTTTTGTGCTAAAGTCAGATTAAAACCTTTATATGAGGGGGCTCAATGCTCTTCTAGTATTATTTTTGCCTTTTATTCCATTAATTTCATCTTTCTGCTTTCCCATGAGAACCTAGCCCTAGCCAAACTCAATGCTTGTGAGATATTACTGGATAATTGAAGGGAAAAGTTCGATGTTATTGCGGTCCAATAAGATTCAAAAGAAGTAAAACCTAGAGGTCGTCCCCCAATACCTTGTTGGCAAAGGCTCTCTCAACCTGCTCGCGGCTCCAGTCCCATGAATGTATGACCCACTTCCATACGCTTCCTCCTCGTCACCAAGACAGGTCAACTGAGACTTGAGAAGGCTTGGCCATCTTCCCCCAGTCATAGATACCCCCTCGTTCTTTAAACGCATCCTTGTCCCAGTGTACGCTGTCGAGGGCCTCTTGGACTCCAACGTTGAGGATCGAGGCGGACGTCTTGCGTCCATCCTTATCGAGGAATCTCAGATATTCGTCGAGAATCAGGTATGACCGGGCCATAAGGCGGTTGGACTCTGGGACGAACGATTTTTGGTGGCGATGCGCGTTACAAAATTCATCAAATTCCTCATCGGTGATGGTGAACTTGCGAGCATCACGGATCGTGTCGTCCGAGTCATTTTCACCGGGGACTAGCAGGACCTGAAAGCATTTCCAGCGGAAGGGCTGGAGTTTGTCGATATGGTGATTCATGTCTTCCATATAGTTGGGCCGGCAGACGACGGTGTTGATCTTGAATTTGATCCCGTACTTCTTACACCAAGAAGCGACCCGGTAGAGCTGGGGTACTTGATCACCAGAGCCCCGGCCAATCTCGATGTTGGTTTGCTCATTAAACGAATCACAAGAAACGGCAAGAATGTCGATATGCTTGCCGTGGGTTCTAAGGAACGACTCCCTGATGAGGCTGCCGTTACTCACGATCGAGACTGATTCGAGCCGGAGATCGTTCTTGCAAAACTCCAACATTTTGCCTAGGAACTTGGGATACAGAAACGGCTCGCCGCCAGCGAAGTTGACCTTTCGCATACCAGCCTGTCGCAGGAGCCGCAGCCCTTCTTTCGCCTTGTCCAGGTCCTCCATGTGGGAGGTCTTGGCGGTGTGGAAACAGAATCCGCAGCTCTTGTTGCAGTGGCGGGTGAAATGGTAGTTCACTGACACTGGCACATGCCGGCGCTGGACATGTCGCCACAACAGCGCAGCCAGGAGCGGAAGCAGCAGGAGAGTAACAGGCAGATATCGCGTGATGTCCATCTTTCCCAGGCTCAGAATAAAGAACAAAGTGTCAAGGATATCTTCTGAGCGGGGCAGCTGTGAGAAATCCCTTGACGCTGTCCTTCATCGGGAATCCACCCCATTAAGAGTCAGGGCAAACAAGCGATCTTCGACTGATTTTCCCGGGGTTTCTACCGGTACGATCGACGCGGAGAACTATACTATGTACATGTATCTGAGCGTCTGCTGCACGGTATTCACCCGGTTTCCAGCCTTGCCCGAACCTTAATCGAAAAGAAAAAAAAAAACCCCCTTGATTCTATCACATCTGACGCTCCACATCCCCGAAGTTACATGCACATCTCAGGGCTAACACATTCAGCTCCCCATACGTGGCCCACTTTCAGCACACCGCCTACCCACAACGCCCACAGGTGGGCGTTGTGGGTAGGCGACACACTAACGCAATTTTTTATTATTAAACATGATTAATTACACCAAACCAGTATAGTGAAACCGCATTATTTCGAGCGTGAAAAGACATACTTGTGTACCAAGAATAGGTTGTCATCGAGAGGCTATGAGAAATAAATAGTATGAGGTATAAAACAAAAAGGAATAATCCTATTTTAGCGGCAAAGGTCGAGGAATTCAATAGTAAGATATAAGTAGTGGCTGTAACGGGTTAGACGCGCTTCTCACTATGTGGCCCGGCCACACAGCCTTCCCCGCACGTTCCGTTCTGCCACGTAGCTGTGAGACAATCCTCAGATCATCCTTCGTATGGGGTGCTCAGGAAAATATCCTCGGTTCCAGTCTTCACGGGTTGAGGTTTCGAGCACTTTGTCTTTGTCGTCTCCCAGGGATACGATGATCTCGTGTGGGCCAGCGGGCGAGATAATGATATTCCGTGCGTTAGGCCGGCATTGACCTGTACAGTACATGTATCGTAGTCAAATACAGTGTAGTAAAATACAAGAGATGGGGCAATACTATGGTGCAGTTTCGAACGGGAAAGGTATCGCCTGTATAGTGTGTACACTCAGGAGACGATTTTGTGAGGGGAATTATAGGATCCCACGCGGACTATGAACAAGCAGGGAAAATAAATAATGGGAATGGAGACTGCAATACCGGTCTCGAAGATCCTAACTGGGTAGTTCATCGCAGGAGACCAGGCAGTTTTAAATCGGAGAATCAGAATATGTTAACTCGAGAATCCTGTTGAACCCTAACAAAATGTTCACGACCACCATAAAAAAAAAAAAAAAAATGGTGTGCCGGCGTGCATCCCCCGATTCACCTCAAACCCACATTCCTCTCATCTTATCCCCTACGTCACCTCTATCCCCGAATTGGGCCAGCCCTTTTATACAAAGCATTTGCTTTTTGTGAGCTCAGGCTTCCTTTCACGACTCTAGTTTCCGCCCCTCACTCACGCATCTGATCATTCTTGAACGATGCACCACACCTTCCCAGACCTCGACGCGGTGGGAGTCAAGGCTGACCCTGAGACATCCAACAAGCTTGGCCGAAAAGTCGCGAAACTGCTTAGGCAGGCCCAAATAGGCTTCCCTGGGGCTGCTCCGCTGAGCTTCTCGTCCCGACACCTGGCAGAGCTGCAGCGAGAAGACTACTATGTCTGTGAGAAGACCGATGGCATTCGGTGCTTGATGTATTTTGACTCAGAACTCCCTGAGGCCCATTACCTGATCGACCGCAAAAACGACTACCGCTATGTACCAAGGCTGCAATTCCCAAAGCCAGGCGATAACAAGTTCCTGTCTTTTCATGTTGATACGGTGATAGATGGTGAGCTTGTCATCGACACCTACGAAGATGGCTCCCAGCAGCTGAAGTACCTTGTGTTCGACTGCCTTGCATTAGACGGACATAATGTGATGGACCATACGTTCGATAAGCGTTTGGCTTACTTCATGACGGAGATCCTTAAGCCCCATAATGATATGCTCCGGATGTTCCCCGAAAATAAGGAGCACCGGCCATTTCTCATTGAGGCCAAACCCATGCACTTCAGCTATAATATCGAAATGATGTTTCGTGAAATCATCCCAGAGGCTAAACGTCTGCATGGGAATGATGGCCTTATCTTCACATGTCGCGCGACACCCTATTATATCGGTCTGGATGAGCATATCCTGAAGTGGAAACATGCTTCAGATAATACGGTCGACTTTCGCCTGAATCTACAGTTCCCTGGTAAGCCAGATTCCAAAGAAGAAGCCAGTCGGGTTACGGAACCAGGTCGCAATGACGACGCTATCCCGATTTGTCATTTATCTGTCATGCTCTCTCCGGGAAATTACCGGCCCTTCGGTGAGATGTACGTCACTCAGATGGAGTGGGACAATCTACGAGCGATGGACACTCCCCTGGATAATGCCGTAGTCGAATGTCACAAAGACGATCAGGCTCGCTGGAGATTCTACCGGCTTCGTAAGGACAAGGCGGATGGCAACCCCATCACTGTTGTCGAGAAAACAATCAAGAGCATGGACGACTGCATCACTGAGGAAGACCTGATCCACGCCGCTCCAGCTATCGAGGCCGCTTGGAAGAGGCGTCAGGATACCATAGCCCCTGCTAATGGGAGCGCTAGTATCGAGCCTTCACCATTTAGCCAACTGTGAATGGGAACAGCCAATCCGCTAGCCAAAACCCGCCTTCGACTTGGGCTTCAACCACAAATAATAAGTACCAAACTTTCAAGGTTGATAAATAAGGCCTCCCAAAGTACAAATCTTCCATCAGATTTAAGATAGCTCTTGTGGTTGTTGAGATAACTCTGGTAAAAGTTCAGGATTTTGATAGTTTTTGTGAACAGAGATTATCTAGATTTAGAGAATATAATTTTCTTAGTTAAAAATAAAAAAAATAATAATATAAAAAATATAAATAATTTTAAAAATACTTTAAAATTAGAGAATAATTCTATATTAATTAATTAAAATATAGAATTTTTAATATTTATCTTTAATTTTATATATACTTAAAAGTAGATAAATATTTATATATTTTATAATTTATAATTGTTACACCCGGGCCTTTATTGTCGAATCTGAGATTAGTTAATAGATTATATATACAGAATTATTAATCTAAAGTTACTTATTAACTTCTATTATTTATAGATTATAGTCTTGAAAAAATAGAAATTATAGTAAAACTGCTATCGAGACAAGACTATTATTAATACTAAATTAAAATTATTTTAAAAATATAATTAATACAAAACTACTATTAATACTAGACTCAAGTCTAAAGAGCCAGATCTATTAAATATATATATTTAATAGTTAAAGAGTATAAAGAAATTAAAACTAGTTTTATAATTAAAAATAACTCTGTAGTAATAATATAAGATTAATTATAAAGAACTAAATTAAATATATAAATAAATATTTTTATATATTCTATAACTAGCTACTTCTACTGTAAGTTTTTTAACAGTAAATAATAGAGTATATCTAATTATAATATATAATA